GCGCGAAGAAACGTTCGCAGCACTGGATGCGCAGTACCTTGATTGCATCTTTTGGCATCTTCTAGCACGGCTGATGCTCCCGTATAGATGCAGTACCCCATCAAGTAGGTAATATTCTCTAACCCGAATGTCGAATCAAGTAATAGAACTAGCTTCTCGATACCATGAGCCGCTGCGATGCATGTCTCGTAGTGAGCCGGTACAGACCAGAATGGGCGATGTGCTAAAATCACTGTGGTATAGTATAGAAGGTTTTGCGAAACAATGTGTGGTGGTGGCGAGACGGTAGGAATGTAATCTGGCTCATAACGCAGGTGAGCTGGAGACTCCGCTCGCCAGACATCAAGTCGTACTTTGATATCGCGTAGTGCTGACTCTGTGATTTCTCGACTTCTTCGGGAATAGAGCTGAGAAATGATGTCGTTTATGATGATGGACAGCTTGCATGAGTTTGCAAAGCAGGACACTGCGCGACTCGTCTGAGGTGCGTATCGACTCTGCGTGAGCTTGGCAATGTCAACAGAGTCCCCATAGTAGGGGGACCACGACTCGAGCTCCATGGAATCATCAACTAAAGGCGTCAGAAGCTACCAATAAACTTTAGGGGATGCATTCACTAACGCTGATCGAGTGTGCTATGTGGTAGTGATTCAGTAATAGCAGGGAGTCTTCCCGTGTACATGCTAATGGCTCTTCAAGGCCAGAGGTTAGTAATAAAGTGTATTCAACGGTTGGTAGTAGAAAATGACATACTTGTCCCAAAAGTAACAGCTCCAGAATAGCCGTTTCCGAACTTCAGCATCTACAGGGCCAAACCTTCGAATGCCAGGGTCGCAGTGCTGTAGTCCAAGGTCACTCGCCATCCGAAAAGCTATTCCGCTGTACACCCAGGCTTGCGAAATGGAGCCGTTTGCGAGCTCACGAGCGCTGAGTTGTAGGAGTGCTTGGACTGTTGGTATGGAACTTGGCTGCTGTATGGCCGTTCCTAACAAGTGACGCATGCGGACTTGCAGAAATTCTGCGCAGTCTCCAATTTGGTACTTGGCCGCATGCGCACATATCACAGTAAGAAGAAGTTCAGAGTAATAATGACCTCCAGTCGCCATATCACCTGTGAGATGTATCAGCACGAGATATAGCCTATCAACGGTATGATGATACGAGAGCCGGGTCGGGTATTGAACCTACGGAAAAAGGCTATGCCAGAAGTTAGTCGTATCGGGTATCGTTTTTTATAGAAGCAAGCAGACGTACCTGGACGGTAAACATACATAAACATTGGAGACACCCACGTCCAATGCATGTGCAAGAGCTTGGCCATGACCTGGCGTGGGATACCTGTCTGGAGTGAGGCGTTTCCGATTGCAAAGTCTTCCCATATCTTGGACTCTTGGTAGTGAGCCGTGAGTGTTGAACTGATTTCAGTTGTTGAGAGTGTGCCAGAAGGTGCTGAGCAGGCCTGCGATATTTGAGATGGCAACTGGAGCTGTGGAGGATCATGGATAGCCGATGTGGGACCATAATACTGTATATCGCCGTTTTCATCAAGGCTCAAATTTAGCAAGTGGTCTTTGGATGTGCTTGGACATATCGTTTGGAGGTTAGTAGGGCGATGGTTGGGTTTGAAAGCGGGCGTCTCTTCGGCAGGTGCAACATCTGGAGACACCATAGCAGCTGCGAGCGGGCCTATTGGAGTGGAGGCTGTCTGAGGAGAGGCATCGCTCTGTGAAGAAGCGCTGTGCTGGGCACGAAGACTTCCGATGGTTTCTTCAGCCTCTTGCAAGCGCTGAGCCATGGCTATGATCTGCGACATTGGCGGCGTCTTGTCGTATCGACACTCGTCGCCGTAGATATCGCATGTCTTGCAACGTGGCTGACCACCTCCACATCGCATCTACGAGAAATTTGTTCAGATTGGGTCAAGCAATGATGGAACAGAAGCTACCTTTCGGGCCCTGCAGTTAGCGCAGGTCAGTCCCCTATAGTGACGGGCATCATTCTTCGATCTGGAGCCCTTCTGTCTCGTGTGTCTGGCCTGGGACAGCCGCTGGGTAGAGGCATCATCCACGGGGGATTGCATGGTGGAAGAGAGGACTGGTCGTCACATCATGGCAACGTCCGAAGAAGCCTCTGATGCAAGTGGACGGACAAGGCTGGACAAAACGTGTAGAAGGTGGGTCAAGTGCGGGGAGACAAGGCATGCTTCGGCATCGCTACCACGACCAAGTGAGGCCGCGGCGTTGCATGCAGATCGCATGATGGATGCATCCATCGTATTGCCGGCAGCTGCCGGCCAAATTCCGCGGCTAAAATCCGAGTGCTACTAGTACAGAACACGGTGCTCTCACGCCAATCACTTGAGATTAGGCTTTAGGATATCTCAATAGACTTCAATATCAGATGACCAGCTGTACTAAGAACGTACATACTAGCCCATTTACGGCGTGGTCTGCTCATCAAATATGTGTGTACGTACGTCGGCAACTGGTCCCGCTTCCGTAATCTCACCTTCCTACTTTATCTATCTGTATTTCTGACTATACACACAACAGCCATCCATTTGCTTTCTTCTCATACCTCCCCCTTGTGTTGCCTGGACTGCCAGTCGTTCCATTAAGCCTTATACGACCGTGCAAGCATGCCAACGTCTGTCACGTTCGCAATGCCCAAAAATGCAGTATATGCTTTCTCAGCCCTGGCATCTCCGATCCTCTTTGTAACCTGCTCAAGGAACTTGGTGCGAAGGAACTCTACACTCAGCGGGTTCTCATAGCTGCCAAGGCCATGCTCGACGTGCAACTCGATCTTTCTGCCGCCCGCAAACTCAACCGTGACATAAGCCTCGTGTTCTTCGACCGCTTCATCGCTCGTCACCGCCACCTTCTCCCGCAGTGCTATCACAGTCGTGTTTTGTACCATCTCATCAGTGAACTGTGTCGGGGTAGCTTCGCCACTGAGGAGTGCCACGGCTGCCGCGTGGTACACACTGAATTTTCCCTCCAGGCCCGTTGTTGGTGTCTTGTTGTCCGTTAAGAACAAGACACGCGGAGCTGTACGTGCTGTCACGTTTGTGATTTCTCCTAGGTTTAAGCCTTGCTTCAAGGACTGTTCTCGTACCTGTATCCAGCCGTCAATTGCAGGATGGATAATTCGGTCGCAGGGGAATGGCTTGAACGTGTTGAGCAGTAACTCCCAGCGCTGACCAAGAGTGTTCACCTCAGCGGTCAAATTTTCCCGCGTGCTGATGACATGCGACCAGCCTCTGGGTGCTTCTAGACTTTTCAGGGATCCACTGAAACCTTTTTCTGCCAGCACTGCCGCCATGAGTCCATTCTGCGCTGCACGCCCTACGTGGAATGGTTTCGTATCGGTTCCAAAAGATTCGTGCATGCCCGTAACCTGAACCGACGCAATCGATATGGCCCGTTGAAGCTGGGGGAGGTCCAAGCCGAGTATTTTACCAACAGCAACTGCAGCTCCAACTGAACCTACAGTACTTGTGATGTCTAGGCCAAAGGTCAGTCTCTGGTGATGAAAGCGAGACAATCACGACAACTTACGCCATCCTACATTATAGTGTTCTGGGAAAACCGAGACGCCAATTTTGCATTCAGCTTCTACGCCAGCGATGAAGGCTGTCACAAAGTCCTTTCCTGATACCGGCGCTTTCCATTCGGCCACAGCAAGCAAGGCTGACAGCACAGGCCCCGAAGGATGGATTGGGTTGTCCCGGTGTGTATCGTCGTAATCGTCTGCATGAGATGCTATCCCATTGATGAGTGCTGCTGTATGGGCATCGACCAGTGTGTCCGTGGCCAAGATAGTAGAATTTCCCTGGCTACTCAGAAAAGGTGTCACCGCTTCGAAAGCAACACCGGCGGCTGGTTGAGAGTACCCACCAATGGCACAGCCAGCCCAGTTGTAGATACTTTTGACGGAGATATCAAGAACGGGATCTGGGATATGAGCAAATTGGAGGGCCAATGCCCATGATGCGATTGTTTTCGTGGCCATCTTTGCGTTAGGAACTGTGAATACGTAAAGCAGGCGGGGTGCAGTTGATCTTATATCCAAACCCAAACATAGCTGAAGTTAGCTTTCATAACCCATGTAAGAATAACATTGTATCCGCGCATGTCATAAAGAAAAAAAGCCGATCCGAATCGTCATCTAACCCAATTAGATTGAGTTGTAATGTCTTTTCTCATCACAGCAAGTAAATTTCTTGGGATCGCCATGCCAATTGCCTACATCTATTATGATGTGTTTACTGTTCAAAATGTGGGTATGTTCCGTGGGAAAACTCCACGGAAGACTTCCACTTGACTGGGGTGAAGAAACATGGGTTCCCCGAGTTTATGCATTTCTCATCTTGTAATAGAACCATCTTTCTTCATTCAATTTCCTTAAAAGCCAAGTGTATCAATTCAATATTTATTTTCACGCACAAGCTACAGACGTTGCAAGATGATATTGATGATATCTATCTACAGCGCGACATCAGGAGATCCAGAAAGCGCCCGGATAAAAGCATTGTAGACTTTTGTATATACCAATAGACCGCTTCTCAGGTTGGTTGAGTATAACCATCTAGACTTGGGAAGGTCAGACGACGGTCTAAGCTTCTAATGCCAACACCAAAACACATACTGAAGCTGCGACGGAATTTAGCCTCGCACTACGGACAACCTAGCTTGGCGATTCTTCAACAAACAAAGAATATCGCCGAGCCAAATATATGCGGGGTATTTGCGGGGGTGCAGGGCCGATCGTAGGTATGCTAAGGGAAACCGCCGCGGGTAATGCCCGAGGGCAATTAAACCATCCGACTCTCGAAGTAGTGTAGACAATCAAGGCAACTTTGGTCTTGAATTGATTTCACTGAGTTGAAATAAAGTCTGATTGTCCTGCGATGTGTTAATATTTTACGCAAGATTAGTTCGCGTTCGCGCTCAACTGTTCTTTCCGATTAATCTGCCTCGTCCCGCCACATCATCAACATGGGTGTCCACCACCTTTTGACTGGTTCTTACACCAACACAAGCCTATATCTTCTTGCTTTCGACACCGTTGCCAAAACATTGACACTCAACTCTACAGTCCCCGGTTTTGGTCTACATCAATATGTCACATCCAATGCAGCCCGGGATGTGATATATGCTACAACAATGAGCGAGCCACCCCGAATATTCTCGTGGTCAAGAACAGTGAACAATAAGATTACTCATATCAATACCGCCAACGTCAGTAAGTTTTGACTACACGAAACGACCGTTTTCTGTATCAAGCTAAACTAAATAGCTACATCTTCGTGCTACATTTCCGATAACGGAAACTTCACCTTCTCTGCTGGTGGCTCTAGCGCCAGAGTCAACGCGATTGATGAAGATAGTGGCATCGGAGAAGTGGTCAGCGAAATGTTCTATGTTCCCAAACAAGAAATTTCTCGGGTTGATAAAACCCGTAGTGCTGTCGTGAGTAATGGTGTTTAACTCAAACAAGCAAGCTTGGTTGACATAGAGAAACCAGCTTTATGGAGGACATGGATTCGATGTCAATGCCAATAGCAAGGGCTTTGTACCGCATCTGTAAGTCACAAGCCCTACGCTTCCCAATCTACCTTACTGACATGGTCAAGTGCCTGGGATGCGATCTTCATGTACGACATTCTAAGCAACGGAACAGCCAAGCTCCTTTCAATCAACCTGAGCCCAGAAGCCGGCGACGGCCCACGAAATGTGTACCCGAGCAGCGATGGAAAATGGTTATATGTAGTAAGTGAGCCGAAAGCACAAGTGTAGGTCTTAAACTAACGAAGCAAAGATCAACGAGCACTGTGAGTATTTGGTCTGATTGTCATAGAATGATTTGCGTGCCCCAAACTAACATGCGCCTCGCAGCCCAATACCTTGATATTTATGAGGTTGGAGAAACTAATTTGAAGCACACTCAACGTGCAAGCGCCATACCTGAGGGTACGTCACATACTCTAAGTAGATCACTATATTGCACACTAATACAAGGTATTTTTTAGAAGCCAGAGGCAAGTATACATACCGCAGCAACGCAGTACGCCTTTCCCGCGACAGCAAGACCATTTTCACCAGCACGCGCGGATGGAACAACACCGCAGCCAACGGCTGGGTTGCAGCTTTTGCGCTCGACGATAATGGCAAGCTCGCGTCAACTGATGCCTTGACATACTACGAGGCCCCACTTACACTCGGTTCTGCTGCGGGGCTTCGCGTAGCCTTTTGGGAGGACGAAACAAATGCTGATCCAACCGGCCTTACTGACTACATGTATTTGTCCGATACACAAGAGGGGTACATGTATATTCTCGGATGGTCGCCTAGTACCCGGAATCTGACACAGGTAGCTGCTTTGCACTATCCTGATAACTCAGCGCCTTATGAGGCTGTGTGGCTTGATTAGAACTAGTAAAAAATAGTAGTAGTTAAATCTTAGTACAATATGATTTTTCCTAGCTTAGTTATTCTAGAATAAGCGTCGTAATATTTCTAGTTATTTAGTATATTATCTAACTACGGAACTAAATCATCATATTCAAGAGTGGTTAATAAAATACTTGAAATAGATTCTAATATTGGAATTTTAGAAGTTATAAAAATTCCAAACTCACGACTATACCTAAAGTATTAGTGTTTATTGATAATAAATATATAGTAAGTATAGTAAATGCGACATGTATAGAATATACTATCATCGTCTTCAATCGTTAAACAGTTATATGAAGTGTAGAATAAGAGCCTATAATCGATGTCTAGGTAATAGGCTCTAGGTATACTTAACTCTACTAAGAGATTAGGTTTTTTTGTAAGAATAGAGTAGTAGAATGAAGAGTTATCTTAATATTGAATAGATCTATCCGCTGCTGGCGTTCCAGACCTTAAAACCTTGTCATGTAACACTGATGCATCTTTCCCATATCTTGCTCATGAACAGTTCTCCATATCAGCGTTCGTGTAATCTACATTTTCTATGAAGTCGATATGGTGCAGAGCACTTTTAAGCCGGATGATATCTCGCCCACAATCGATGTATATCGCCGCACACAAGGCCATCATGGATTGTGTTATCATCTTGATTGAAGGTGGTGTTCCTTGCTGACTGAGGTTGGTGCTGATACATTCGCTGAGATTTATGCGATTTGCGCATGTCAAAGCTCTTTGCGTAACACTTTGTGATTCGAAACTGACTGTCGCTAATAGAAAATCAGATTTTGACGGTGCCACACTTGGACTACCTACCTCGCTGATGGCCTTTGATATAACCTTCGTCAGCAATGACCAGATGAATGACACTTTCTCCGAGCTGGCTTAGGCGTCTGTATCCATCTGGATCTTGGAAATTGTTTTGCGTATTGCACCCAGCGCCTGGTGCTCGAAGTGCCTCAACAAGAAGTCTTATGTTCGCGAAGTGATAATCCAAATCGTTTTGAAGGGAAGTTATATACTCCGGGGGCCCAGCTGCCATGTTGTCTAAGACTATCAACTACAGAAAACTACAGCCTAGAAGTGGTAAGCAATATGAGTGAGGCAAGGTAAGAAAGACTGAAATAAAAAAGAATGTGGGACGGATTCGTAGGCATGCTCTTGCGTCTCATGGAGTTGCTTTTTCTGCACTCACACGTCAGACACATTGCTTATCTTTTTATGCAATAGTTTCTATCATTTGTGTATCTGTTACACATGAAAAGGCTATCAGCGATACTATTCTTAACTGCTAATCGTGCTTGTCACTCGAATTATCGATAGTGCGCTTATCGCCTGCAAATTAGCGAGTGTTTGCTTATCTCCCTGCAGATCAGCGAGTACATGCGTATCTCATTCCTTCTGTCAATTAAGGCTTGCTTATCTCTCCTCCAGATTAGCGAATACGCGCGATCGGTGAGCGAGCTCTTATCCGTATCTCCACATGGACTTTGCTTTCAACTCCGAGGAATGTCTATACTCTACAACTGGCTCGATGAGATTGTCATACAGAGTGTTTTTGAGTTAGTTATCTGTATAGTTCTACATATTCTTCACAGGGACAACCTCATCTAAGAGACGTCCCAACATATAAATTCGAAAAGCATTCCATTCATCCTCAAATGGATGTATCACTACTACAATGGAGAATCTTCACTTGAATGTCTTAATGACCACACCTGTGCGGAAGCGTCATGCTCTTCTATTGGCCGACAACAACAACAGTGAGAATTCAACCCCGATCGATTGCTTGACCAACTCTCCACTATTTACAACTAAAGCCCTAGCCCGAGATGTGCCAGCTACACCGCAGGCGAGACCATCTCAGTGTGGACTGTTAGCAGCTCTGTCCCTGGAACGTCATGATGCTTTAGACACACCACCTCTCCGCCAAGACGATGCGGACAGACGATTATTCTTTAATGTCACAACTCCTTCAAGCATCTTTATTTGTGGCTCGCAGGGGTCAGGAAAGAGCCATACGTTGTCTTGTTTGCTGGAGAACTGTTTGGCAGACTCGAATGCGACAATACTACCAAGGCCTCTTTCAGCATTGTTGTTTCATTATGACACCTTCATATCTGATGACGGCGGATCACCTTGTGAGGCAGCATTCCTAGCGTCGTTGTCTGGAGTTCAAGTGAGGGTTGTATGTGCTCCAACCAACATACGCACGATCCAGGTCAGTCCAGTTCTGTACCTGATACATGGTCATAGCATTGACAGAAGTGAAAGAAAACATATCAGCATCTGAATGTCAATGTAGAACCACTTCAAATCGACAGCTATGATCTCAACACAAAACGCATCTTGGATCTCATGGCTGTCAAACCAGAGGAAGGAAGTATTCCTCTTTATGTTCACACAGTCAGTCGCATATTGAGAGAGATGCGTATGTCTCAACAAGCGACTGGCGCACGATTCGACTACCAGACATTCAAAACAGAGATTTTGGCGGCAGACCTTTCGCCAGCTCAACTTGCACCCCTTAACCAACGCCTTGCCATGCTTGAGAGCTTCATGCCACCCATGGGAGACATGAGAAAGGGGGAAAATAAAAAAAGCCACAGAGGTACAACATGGAAAAATCAGGTAAGAGAGCCATTCATCGTATTATATGACAAAATTGACGAAGACACAGCCTGGCTTACTGACAATAGTCGATCTCTCCTGCCCTTGTGTTTCGCCAGAGACTGCTTGCTCGTTGTTCAACATATGCCTAAGTTTGTTTCTTGAACAGAAAATAGTCTGCGGTCGTGTTGTTGCTCTCGATGAAGCCCACAAAGTCAGTATGAAAAGCTATAGGGAGCTTGATAACTCAGAAAATGACCATGATATTAGTACATGACCAGTTCTCCAGAATCATCGGTACTCACAAACTCCCTCTTATCGACCGTGAGGCTTCAAAGACATCTTGGAGCACGGATATTTGTGTCTACTCAAGAACCGACGATAGCACCAGCCTTTTTGGATCTCTGCACTGTAACCATCATACATCGGTTTTCCTCGCCTGCTTGGCTGCATGCCCTCGACGCTCACATTGCACTCATGCAACAGCACGAATCTGACTCGATCGCTCAGCGAGACAACCATTCCAATAGTCGGAAAGAAACCGCGAGGGAAATCTTCAAAAAAATCATCCAGCTCAAACCTGGCGAAGCACTTGTGTTTGCGCCTAGCGCGATGACAGCTATAGGTAATGTGGATGGTTCCTCCGTGGATGGCTCAACGAAATTTTACATGCAGGTCAGGATCAGATCGAGACTATCAGATGACGGCGGATGTAGCGTACTTGCTGGTTAATTACGAGTCGTCATATCCTTAGCTCATACGCCATGAGTGATAGGTGGGTGCCTACGATCGCTTTATTGCTTTCATCACGGATGAAGACGTCAAGACGTATCACCATGACCTATCAAGGGTCTCCGCAATGTAGTCCACAGAATCAGAGTGCTCTGTTCAATTGAGACAGAGTTTTTGCAGTTGTAGCATCCGTAGGCACCATCCGTATCCAAGTTGAATCTGATTTTCCCATTGTACCTAGCCTGTGGAATGCTGTGAAATATGATCAAATAGAGCTAGGGAATGCGGTCCACTACACCTTGGCTACAGGCACTCTCGAAGCGGACACGGTGGACCAGACTCACGACAGGAACAATGACGTACTCTAGTAAAACTAAACTTTTAGTGAGCTTAATAACAATAATAAAAGTATATAATAATACATATATACCTGTATCTAGTTTTGAAAAGCGTTTACATCTATATAATTGTAAATAAATAGTCTACCAGTAGTATATCAGCTATACACAGCGCCTATATTAGTCTTAGTAAGGTTATTGCATAAGTTAGTGTAGTAGGGTTATGCGGCGCTCGGGCGTGTATCACTTTTGTGTTGAGGGGGTGCCTGGCGGAGCATGACGTCGTATAGACACTAAGCGACGGCTAGATTTCACCGCGCTCGGGTGCTATCGACTGCATGCTTCTCGGTAGTATGCAGAGTGAAGTCACGAACCAATCAGAACACAGACACCACATTTAGATCGGTCAAAATTCACCGACCTACTCAGCTATTGTTAAAAGGACACGATGTAAGGTGTCGTACTCAATTACGAGGTGGCAACACTTGCCTCATATCTACGCAAAATTGCCTTGTAGTCATTATACCATTCCTCCAACCACCCCGTCGCGTCAATCATGCGTGTCGTGTAGCAGCTCAGCGTTGGATCGAGAACCTTCATAGGCGCTACCAAGTTCCGCAGTCTAAGGCCACATTCTTCGATACGGAAACAGTCTTTCGGCAAGCATTGGCCATATGTGTTCTCTGGGTCGTTGGCCGCTACCAGGGTAGTGACGAGCACGAAAAGAGCATGCAAGACGGCTGGTGCAAAGCAAAATGAAGGTAGACCGATAACCAGGGTAGGGTCCATTTCGGCTGCCGTTTCTATTACACTGTGGCAGTTTTGCACAAGGATTTGCAGCGCTTCCCGCAGCGGAGGGATGATCATGGTAGGCTTTGGAAAGTCCTTGACTGGAATGCGTCCGGGGATAAACGGCGATGCAAAGGATGCCTTGTTGGTGGGAGTGTGTAGCACAAGCTCATACAGGTGTATCATGGACACGTGCCAGTATACTCTGAGTATCTTGGAATGTGTGAGACTCGGTGGGATCTGAGCTGCCCATGCATCGAGTTTGAGCTTGAGTGCGTCAATGACTGCGTAGACGTTGTAGTCGTTTCCATTAACAAAAGTAGATATCTGGCAGAGACACAGGTGGTTGGAGATTTGCTGATCCAGCTGAGTGATACGGGCAATCTGACAAAACAGCAGGTCGGACGCATCGCCGTTGCTCTCCAGGTACCCGGCACATTCATCCAGGTAAGCATCCCAAGGAACAGGACTGGGTCGGCGGGTGCTCATGGAAGAAGTAGAGGTTGCGATGTAGCATGCTATCCAGGTACGGCGTGCCTCTAGTGATGCCGTGTCCTGGAGTCTGCAAAAGAATGCCGGAGGCGTCGGCTGCAGCGAGCCTCCAGCGATTCCGAGATCAATAGCCATGTCGGTGGCTAGTTGGAGGATCTGATAACAGCTTCCTTGCTGGCCGTTGCGCGTGCTCTTGGTGTAGAAAGCGGGTAGCAGCAGAGCTTGCACAAGCTCAAGGGACCGCTGCCCTCGGGCAATCACCTCATCGCCAAGGATGCGCATGGCTTCTCGAACAAGCTCATCGTGCAGATCCAGATCAACACCTTGGGCCTCTTGCGTGACCGTGAAAACTAGCGCAGCCACCAGCAAGACGGGGGATTTTGCTCGATGGAACTCGAGATTGGTAGTCAGGCGGACTGCCGGCCACGCGGTCTCGGCTTGAAGTGCATAGTGGTGGAGTAGCTGTTGCTGCTTATAGAGCGGGATACGCGCATCCAGGGACGACAGGATGGCGTCGTGGTGGCTTTCGGGGAGGCTTGCGGGCGAACGGCTTAGCGTTGACAGACTACCCGGCGAACAGCTTGGGGGAGTGGAGATGTTTTGATGGGACTGTCTCTGTAGGGCATTCTGAAGTTCCTGGACCTGGGCTTCGAGCTCACTAATGCGGTCGCGTTGTAGGCGTGGTGCTGCCGGTACACACTCAAGATTGTTGCGATGGCACCGCTCGCAAATGCCTGGTTGTGGGGAGGTGCCCACGTCGCATTTGATTTTGAGACGATGACATTCTTCACAGGCGCGGTAGCGTTTTCGCATGGTGCTACCAAAGGCCCGGGCTATGGTGAGGTTCGATTTCACTTGTTTGGCGGTTCTTAAAGTCTATGACAACTTGATTTGACCTGCAGGCAGTCATTCTGGGAGGCCTGGGGCTGGGCTTGGGCTGGGCTTGGGCTGTGGCTGTGTCGGCCCGGGGCACCCCCACCCTGGTGAAGCTCGCCACCTTGCATATGTACACTACACTACACGCACACAATTTATTTACGCCCAACGGCCGAGCCGGAAGAGCTACTAACGCCATTCTAACTTTACACTTGTTACAAAGCCCCGAGGTCACTAGAATATAATCGAATAATAGTAATGATAATAATTTGAAAACGGATCAAAGGATGCAACGCGTATAGCACGTTCCATAATTGAACTTTAACAGTCGATATTCTATTCCGTCTGAGTCAGTATTGAAAGTCTTGAGAGTTATTGCAATAGGTGTACATACGCAGCAGGCTGATGAACGAGCAATAACCTGATTCACGTTGCAGAAGGTCGTGCAATACTTCGGATCTGAGGTACCATCACCGCAATAGTAGAGGATTTGTTTGTTGCCGTACTGCTCACACTTCAACACCATTAGCAAAGATTTGTCTGATACTAGCGCATGTTGTACTGGTGCACAGGGATACTAGTGTATTTTCCTATCTTCACCTTAGGAATTAAGACTTACAGTGCCGCAATACAAGTCTGCTTGAATAGTAGGGATCCATGCTAGCAAAGCGAAAAACGTAATAGAGGAAGATCTTATCTTTTGCGAATCGTCTGTAATATTGGAAATATAATTGAATGTTTATTATGTAGTGGATAATAAATAGAGAGACGTCTCTAGTTTATATAGTTCTCTTCAGTCTACTAAAAAAACACTGACGTAGAACATTAGCCCAGCTCTGTGTTAGATGTGATTGTTAGTGTTACGGAAAGTGACGGAATATTTTTGTCTCTTCTAAGAAACCTTATAAGCCAATACCAAAAGTTAAACCCCGCTTCTATCTTGTCGTTTGATTCCACGACTTCCGTAGGGCGGATATCATTGAGCATCTCTATCAAGGATATTCTTTGTTTCTCTTTCTTTTTACACATCTTTTTTTTCTTTTTCTTTAACTTTTATCTCTTGAAGCGATGATAAAAGAAAAGAGAAAAGAGAAGAGAAAAGAAGGCCTAAGCTACAGTGCTAGATAGAATATTACAGATAGCGTCACACTAACATAGACCCCTGTTTTTGTGGGGTGATGAATATCTTCTATACGAGTACTCAATAACCTTCGCCCTTCCGCAGCTGTCCGGGCATCTTACATCATACGTAACGCCTAATTTGCTCAGCAATAGTCTATATCAATAGAGTAGCTTGTTCGCATCAGTGCAGATGGAGGTGAAAAAATGCTCCACGACAATAGCGTGGGCTGTTAGAGAAGATAGAGTCTCGTATAAACTGTATAGATCATGAGAAGCTGCTTTAGATAAATCGTTTCAACTATTTATACGTACGAATAGGCGGATTTTTTAGCCCCAGAATAGGCCGGGGTCCTGTCAACGGCACAGATGTTCGTGAATTTCGGGATCGGAAAAGAAGGGGACGTGAGATTTTAGTGCTTTTTCGGCTTGGGTTTCCCGTCCTCTCGTATTTATTTGGACTTGTCGCACGGCCCCCAAACATTATTTATGGACCTCGTTGTGATGTGTACTGCAGTCTGGCACACATACACACGAGACGAAACATGTAGGGATCAGTGTAGGGATCACAGCCAGGTTGTAGTAGGGCTATTTTGCAACCAGCTCGGAATATACTAATCTAAATTTACTGGAATTTTACCAATAAAAGAAGATAAGTGCCGCTTTCTTATTTCCTCTTATACCCTTGATAGATGTTGATAAAATAGTTCAAGCATCTCAAAGATTTCTTTAATAGTGTATAACTCTGTATCAGAAAGTCAAAATCTCTTATAGAAAAATTCAAGTAGAAGAGGTTCTAAATAGTTATCGAATATTACAATGTGGGAAGGGCGTTTTTGGTATATAAAACTAAGTAATCTAGCATCTGTTACTTCGCAAGGGACCCATACATATTCCGTTGTAAGTAACAACAAGTAGTATTCTCGGCCCTATAACGTCTCGTGACTTCTCCTATCAGTCTTCGGCCAGCCCTATCAAGCTCAATGCGACGCTCTACACAATCACGATAATGACATTACAACGAAGATTTCAAGAGACTTCTCGTCAAGGTAGGCTAAGTCTTGCTATGTTATCTTAATAGAATGAACCTTCTCAAGTAGCCCGCACGTTTGCAATAGCATATGACGTGCCAGAGCCAGCTCCACAAAAGTGCCTTCGCGGTACCCATTCAGTGTTGTTATCTACTTGCACACAGTATGCGCCTCTTCATCACCGGTCCATTTAAGTAGCAGGCTTCTCCAAAAAAACTAATCTCTATTCATACCATTCGACTCTCCCGCAAGCTTATAACTAGGCTTTCTCTTGTGCTTCTTCAATTTGGCTGCTCCAGGCCTGGGCTTGCCGGTGCCCATCTAAAGAAAGGCATAGCATCCGGCTTTGTAGTACTTCTGATTTCCGAGTCCCTATCATCCAAAGTATCAATAGGAAGGAGTGTTGCTTCAGGTGAAGCTAGTGGGGGAGGAGGCGAGGATGGAGGAGGGTATCGAAGTGGATCCGGAGGTCCAGGCGGAGTTGCGTGCTGAGAGGGCTCGGGCATAGGCCACATGTGCATGGTCACATTCCAACCCGGCTGTACTAGGGATTGCCAAACCTGTGGAAGAATGACTTGGCCGTTGGGCCCGACAAGATCGTAATGGCCTTCGTGGACATGAGGCCCAATTACATCGACATGGAGGAAAGCTTGTTTGATGAGTTCTTCCATACCCTATAGTGGTGGATTAGTTGCGAAGGAACGAGTACATGTATGAGGGGTGCGTGGTGACAGCTTACCTTCCATGACTTGACTAGATGATACGGAAAAGTGAATTTCCTTCCCACAGCATCTTTGAAGTTTATTGGCTCCTTCGGCTCGTTTGGAATAGCCTCTTTCTCCATAAAGAGCGTCTCGATGTCAACAGGCCCTTCTCTCCTTTCCATTGAAGATGTAATCCAAACCAAAGTCACAATTTCGAGCTGACCAAAAACGGTAGGCACACTTTCTTTGTGCCACTCATCTACATGCAGCAGCTTAGATCCTCTAGAATCAATATGGGCGAGGATGAGATGTCGTTGGTAGCTATTAAGGTTGTGTAAAGTTTTCAATGGACTGCTGTTTTGTGCCTCTTGCTTCTGTAGAAGGGCGCGAATCTCTACTTCCAGCAAAGTGAGTTCTACGATGCTTAGAGAAGCGCCAAAGCCGGAGCTTAGGCCAGGAAGTACGCTGAACGTCCATGCTTGTAGAAATCCAGGAATATGATTCGCTTCTGTACTAATAGAGCTTGGTTTCGGTTCTTCGGCATTGATGGCCTCGCTTTTTTTGGGAGCTGCTTCTTCTGGTGGTCCCTGTTGGTGTTGCGTGCTCTTGTTGAGTAGACTGGGGTTCCCATCCTCGATATCCTCCTGGGCGTTTTCGGAATTTGGTGCTGAAGATTGGCCGGCGTCTACCTTGATTGAAACTTCACTACTCCGAGCTGATGCCTTCCCTAGGGGAGCTTCCGTAGGCAGACTGCTGGAAACCGGAGAGTATTTTGTCTGAGATGGAGTAGGTACTCGCGAGGCTAACCGGTTTTGGGGAGCCGAATGAGTGTCTGCAGCTGGTGGCTGGTTTGGTTTCCTTTGCTCTTGCATTGCTTCATTTGATGCGACTTGCCCCGCCCCTACGGTGGTGTCCGTGTGTTTCTCTTTACTCTTATCCTTGTTGTCATGGACATCGCCTTCCAAATCCTTCTTACGCCCACCATTTTTAAAGCTGATCTTTTGAAATAATCTCTTGCCTCCACTCTCCTTTGCTTCTTTAGACCTATCGTTTGAGCTGCTTTCTTTGAGAGTTCCCGCCCTCTGCAGCCTCAAAATCGTTGTTTTCATTTCTGTCTGCTCCCGTTCATCAACCCGTCTGCCAGAACTCTGTTTTTGCGCAATGGCTAAATTAGCCACTACCACCAACAACAGGAGATTGGTCTTTGAGTCTCGAAGATCGTTACGTAGATCATGAAATGATGACTGCAAGAAGGGCCATTTAGCCTTTTCAGAGCGAGAGAGCTTGATCCTAGAGTCGGGTCGTGGTGTTATTCCTTTGACTTATCTGGTCGCTCGTTTAAGGTACTTCTTAATCTAGCTGAAGAGATGTCTGAGAGCGCGTTGGAGGTGAAAATGGAAGTATGGGTCTCATCGAGCTGGGATTGAGGTTTTATGAGATCCTGCAGTTAGTTTCTCTATAGCGGTGTAAACACCACTGAGTGAGGCTGTGACTTAGAGATTTTTTAGCAGGCGTAAGAAGAAAAAAGAGACTAACAGGATCCCGCCGGTACTACTGATATCATTCGCAATACTCTCGACCCCCTTGCTTGCAGTGCTGACTGTCTCTACAAGAGCAAAAGGCCCTCCGCAAATAATAGCAAGATTAAATGTTGGAAAAGTATCTCGCGGCCATCAAGAACGCTGAAATAGTAGCTAGATATGGCAGTGGACAGGTGCATTTGATTGTTGCTGTACCGGTGTATTCGCTGGCAACTGAACACTACCCCTGCAAGGCGCTAGTACCGTGCGATAAGTACGTGTACAAAGCTGACGGGAGAAGAAGAAACCGATTGTACGCGCTATTGTAACCACAACCATGTCTTGTTTTATGTCAGCCATGCATCCATATTTTTGTCTTTTCAATGTTCTTCTTACATATCGCGTCATCATCAACCCGACTAAAATGCGAACTTTCAATGCCGCGTTGCCGAATAGAGCGACAGAATGCGAGACATGTCTATTGCCTGCCATTCGCCAAAACAACGTGGGGCATCCTCCACAACACCTCAATTCCCACGTTATAAAGGTACATGGAAATCTCAACATTTCGCTTTCTCTTTCATGTTAGCCTCGCAGAGAATTTAGCATTAAACACCACTCGCACCCCACCCGCTCCATCCAAGCTCCACCCCCGCAACCTTCCATCCGGAGCTTGTTCGAAACAAGCAACGCGGCCCATACATCCCCTCCCCCACTGGTGACCCGGGGGAACCACTCCATCACCATTTTGTGGCCCGCCTTGAAACCACCCCCGGAATCTCACCTGCATGCTGGCGCCTGGGCTGACGCAAGGAAAGTATACCATGTCATACCACTCTCTTTAATCATACCTCGCCTTATACCCGTGGAACTCCCTCTCCGTCACTTCCGCACGCGACACACCCCCTCTATCCACAATGAAGCTCAAAGCCACCCTACGCGCCCGCATACCAGGGATCTACTGGAGTCCGCACGACGTCGCATCTCCAGAAGCCTCCTCATCATCCTCAAAACCCAAATCGCGAATGCCCTTTTCGCTAAAGTCATCCGCACCCGATCCTGCAACTACTATCCGCACCCGCAAATCCAGACTGATGAGCTCGACGACCCCCGAACCCAACGTCGAACTTGACGCGCGCACATTAGCACAGGGCCAATCGTTGTTTTTCGCCCGCTTGCCAATTGAGCTGCGCAGAATGGTGTACGAGTTTGTCATGGGCGAGGAAGTAGTGCACCTGACGCTGAGCCAGAAGCGGCGGTTCGGACATTGCATCTGCCATAGCGAAGCCGACAACCCAAAAAGAGGGAATCAACAATGTAGCTGTCGAGTCCTTGTCGGGGGCAAAAAGGGAGCGAGACTAGATGGCGGCGCTGCAGCGCTAGTGCGAACATGTAGACGCATGTATGTCCTCACCCTATTTAGCAGTACCGCTTGGATATGAAGGAGAGAAGGCTAATAGCGATGACACAGGTACTCAGAAGCAATCCCGCATCTCTACCGTACACATACGTTTTCCCTCCTACACATCACGCACCTACTCTACCTCCCTTCTTCCGTCCCGCAACTCCGCCTCAACACGATCCGCACCTTGCATCTCCGCTGGGCCATTCGTGCACTGCCCTACCTCCGGCGCGGCCCCTCGAGTCGCGTTGCGTATCGCGAGGACACGGCGAATTGGGAGAGGGGGTGGGCCATTATAGCGGGGATGCAGGGGTTAAGGGAACTGCATGTTGTGCTGATTGATCCGAGTCCGCAGGGGCTGTGGGAGAGGAATTGGTTGCAGCTTGAGGATATGCTGCTACAGAGTGTGAGGGGTGTTACGAGACCGAGGGATGCGGTGGTCGTGATGCCGTATCAGAGTTGTGGTGTGAATTGGGATATGGGGGACGGGTGTGTGAGGTTGGTGAGACCGGAGGATGAGGGAGATGTGTAGAATTGCTCTTAAAGAGTGAGCCTAGTACGCTGTATATAATACACCCATAATAAACGTATAAGCGATTTATATCGTCAGTTCAGTTCATGTTCATTACCTTCATTCAACAACATTATCTAATCATCCCATCATTTCCCTCTTTCTTCCACCCCTCACAGTCCAAAGCAATTAGCATAATACGTCACCGTAGCCGGCCAATCCGTAAACATGCCTAGAATCCCCACCTCCTGAGCCAAAACATCCAGCACAGTATACATATCCCCATCATTATTCGTAGCATTCAGCACATACTGATAGTAGTAACCCCCACCATCAATCTGCAGCCAACCCGAGCGCTCAAACGACCACGCAATCATATCAAGCCCGTGTTCCTTGCATGCTAGCGCATACTCCGACGGCACGATCTTGCCGTCGTCGTCGAGCTTGGTGAGCGCAAACATGGCGGGCGCCATGATCTTGACGCCGCGGGCCGCGAGGTCGGGGATGCTAGCTGTAGCGTTTGCGTAGCCGGCGAGAGTATCGACGCGCTCGTCGAGGTAGACGGCCTGGGCGCCAAAATCCGGTTCGTTGTCGATCCAGTAAAAGATGTCGTCAGGCAAGAAAGACTGCAGCCAGACGCGGCTGGGGTCGATGTCGTACTCGCGGAACTTGTCGACGAGGTCCTGGGCGTATTGCTCTTGGGTATAGCCGTTGAATGGCATTGCAACTTCGGGCGTTTTGAGTTCGGGTGTGAATTTGAGACCCCAGCTGTCTACGAGGGGGATGTACTCGTCGACCGTCATGAGTTTAGGGCAGTGCTGAGCGTAGAGGTCTGTACGGAAGTATTGGGTTCCGTCCATGTATTGTTTGGCGGTTGTGGCGTTGGGGTTGAAGCCGTCCATTTTTCCGCAGAGAGTGCCAAACTCCTCGAGTGTGACGTCTGAGGTGCAGCACTTGGCCGACGCAGCAGTGCCATTGGCAGCGGGAGAAAAGGGCTTGGTGCACTTTGCGGCGAGTGGGGTGTCGAGGATGTTAGTGGTCGTGTGCAAGTCGCATTGGGCGTGTCGGCAGACGAGCTGCTTGTCCTTGGTGAAGGCAACATCGCATTCAATGATGCCAGCGCCCATACGATGCGCCGCTTTGTAACTCGCGAGGGTATGCTCGGGGAATTGGAGGGGTGCTCCACGATGCGCCAGGACAAAGTCTGACGTCTCGAATTCTTGCTCCGAGCAGCTCTCTAGCTTCTCCTTCAATGGCCCGTCGTCCATGTCATCGACGAGGTAGTATGGCCGAGGCCCAACCTGGACATTGAACTTTTTTCCGTGTCCATGGTGGTGGCCTCCGGTACGAGGCGCAACCGCAGGTACAGCGGCAGCAGATGCAAGTCCAAGAAGGACAGAGGCGGCGATGAGAGAGCGCATCGTGAGCAATTGTCAACCCAGCGAGGCCCGGGAAGCTGCAAAAAAACGAACGGTCCCTGCAGAACAGACATGACTGCGGCTGTGCGGCTTCTTATCTACATGGGGCAGAAGCAATCTCTACTCAATGCCTCGGATGGTCCAAAGACGCCGACGAGCTGCACGGCTGGGGGACGTCGACGTCAGCTCCATAGCTTCTGCACGTGGGTGAGCTACCCCGGCTCAAAGTTCTTGGTGCTGCGGCGCAGAACAGGACGATGGAGTAAAACTACCTCAGCCCGGTTAGCCTGCCGAGCCTGCCAAGCACATGTAGCTGTTCACGTTTCTCAATGCCGCGATAAGATACGTGAACAGGCCCTACCAAAGTAGTCGGAGCAACAATACTGACGGCTGAGAGGTACGCCTCATGCATCATCTCCTCCCCGTCTTGGCCGCATCTTGCTTCTTTTGCCTTGTGGTCCGGTGTGGCGGGAATCCATCGGCCTTTCGGCGGGCCGGCAGCATCTGGTGGCTGGCAAAGTGGATACAAATGGAAGGTGGACAGCGGTGCCGGTCTCTATGAGCCACGGTCTTGCAGTACGTTGCCAACGGTAGTATTCAACTTGATGCCTGTTTAGACAAAAGCCGTGGGACACTGCATGTCTGCTTGAGCCCCTATACTAAAGTTGTCAATTCTCTTCATACATGGTAGAAGGCCTTAAAGCAATAAGTCAAACATCCGTCCCTTCAGCCTAAGCGGCCGCCTCCACTTGACCGTCTATTCATCTCCAAAGGCGATGTCACGTGAGGATGCATGAATTCCATGTCTGAGACTGCCGGTTTATGGTGCGCTGTCCTCAGTCCGTTCTGGCAGCTGGAAGACGCATCTGGACTTCCCAACATCAAGATCTGTAGAACATCTCCAATCTGGAAGAGTGACAACAAAGTCTTTTGGTGCAGTCATGGTCGTGATAGGTTCGAGGAGTTCTTTTCCGTTCTGTTCCCAAAAGTCGCCGTAGCATTGCAGCCAGAGATCCAGAAAGAAGAAGAGTCGTATGTGCAACGTCCGGAGACCGCTCATCCTACCCAGCACATCCCACGTTCTGTACCACTCGTCTCGATGCACTTGAGGCATGAGATCGGCTTGAAAGAAACCGTGGCGATCGAGGTCCCAGTCGATGCGGAGGTTGGTGATTTGATTCATCCGTTGGGGTAGGATGAAATATGGCAGGTAACCCGTAGTAGGGTAGTCTTCCACGTCTGTAGAAATGAAGAATTTGTTGGAACTGTAGAGATATTCGACGGCCTCTGAGTAACTGATGATTCGTCAATTAGCTATGATACTGCGCCGTTGACCTAACAAACTCATCCTCGTATCGGTTCTGCCCTCCACCCTTTTGGTAGGATCGTTGTGTAAAATGTCTACTCTGTGTAATGAAGTGTCACGTGGGTAATACTCACATGCGGCGACATGTCCTCAACAACGGAAGTACAATGTGAAGTTTGTGTTTAGTTGAAAGAGGCTGAAGGTAACAGGCACAATCTTGAATAGAGCACCGTCGGGCCTTCAACTGCCCATCGACAAGTGAAAGATGTATTGGCACCTCGCCAAGTGCTTTTTCATAGATAATTCGCCTTATCTCCAAGGGAAGTTTGGTCATAAAGGCGGATCGAAATTGCGAAAACGTATTTTGATGTTGCTGTAAGCTTGTCGATGTAACACTGAGAGCGCGTCTGCGAGGGCAAGGAACCATGGGCTTTGGAGCCTCGGCAGATACTCCGAAACTTCGTCTACTCTGGTTAGGCATTACCAGTACAATGCAACAAACACAGGGTGAGCAGACTGTCCAAAGGAGACATTTGCACGTGTACCAAACTGCTTTTCGTACAAAATGGTCAGTCCTAGTCCCGATATTCTTGAGGCGGTTGCGAAAGCGGGTTCCGGGCATGTTTGCGCGACAGGGGCATGAAGCTTTGTTGGTTCAGCCGAGCACCGCAAAGAGTTGCGGCTCGGAGCAAGCCTGGATGATGCGAACACCCTCTTTACCGCTTGAAAATGATTGGAAGGTCGGTATTCCGAGTGTATTCTTGATTCTCTGGGGTGATATCGGATTCGACTCCTTGTTTACGTGGGGGAGGTGAGGAAAGAACAGTTGGTGTTGGAACCCATTTTGTGGCGCAATTCCGGCCCCACTTTGTGAGACTAAAATGACGACGGCACTCAAACTTAACGTTACTACCCAATACTCACATTTAATTCGTTACTTACGCCTTCAGCTCGTATTCAACAACCGACCATAGTTCAGCTTTGATGGGTTGTGACTATATTTACCACTTTGTCCCGCAGATCGTATTACGGGTTTCATCGGATATTGGTTGGTGGCGAAAGCGTTGCTCATCCAAAAGAAAACGTACGGAAGCTGCCGCCGGCAACAAAACAGATAGGCGGCACTAGTGGGTGCGGTTATGGAATATGATGTATCGTATTATCCATTTATGTATCTTCCCGTTAGCAAGAAAGTTGTAACAGCATTATTACATCATGTCTCTATTCTTGTTAGCTGCCTTGGTTCCAGTTGACTATCGCACATCTACGAGATCTCGCCATAACCAACATAATGTGTTAATCAAATCGGTTAATTCTCAATTCAACCGCCTAGCCTAGCCCAAACCCGCCTCCATTTTCTAGTCCGGGATCTTAATGTGGTTGCCGATGCGAATAACCTTGCTGATAAGATTTTGCAAACCCTTTTGTCTACGTCGATGGTTTGTGATGGGAGGCAACAGTCGTCCTCGACTCCCATAAGTAGATGCATCTCACGCTTCGCTCTGTTGTGATCAACAGTGTCAAAAACTCTCTTTGATTATCCCAATGAACTAAGCCCAGATATTCTACAGTGACGGAACGCTTCCGAATGATCAGTACTTACATAGCAGAGTTGTGCATGATTTCTCTAGACAGCCCTGATCTTTGACACGTGATTTGAAGTGTTTGGAAATTAAGATTCAAAAGCCCACTCATAGATTTGAGTAATGCAAATGGGAGGGTTGGTTTTGGCATGAGTTGACAGCAGCTATACAGTGTAGTGGTCATGCAATGCTTCTTTTCTAAAAATCTGTAATATATCTCGATTATTCGAAGATGGGCAAGAATAGGCATATTAATCGGAAGATCTTATGGCTACTATTCTCAACCGTACATATTCAACAACGACATTAATGTTATGTAAAGGAATGGAGCATTCCATCATCAGGGTCTCGGGACTTGTTCACCGAGACTCAAAACAACCAACAACCATATTTACTAACAAATAGGTATCGAAAATTAATAACAAAGATATCTTTATTTGAGGTTTTTATTCTCGTTGAGAAATTAAGTAATAGTGGAATTTAGTCATTATCAAACATTGTAATACTTCGCTCGTGGTCAAAAAATATATCGATCATTTTCATATACTGTGAGTAAAGCTAAGCTGGGTTAGCGCTTATATGATAACCGAATGAAGTGTGCCGGAGCACATGATCACTCGTGAGCCTGGGTGGAACTGTTGTCGGCTAAGTTTAAATACAAGAGCTGGGTTTCTTGTACTGTAGATCAGGCATCCAATTTCATATGTTCTCAATCATTTGAGTACATCTTTCGAGCACATCTCTCGATCCTCGAATACCTTTCTGCACTTCTGATACCGATGTTGAGAAAGTGAAGGTAGCTCGTCTCCTCCATAGTAGGACCCATGGTCCAATACTATCTACACCCGTTCAGTAGAACATGAGGTCCATCCCACCTCAAGTTCGGAACAAGCAGCGTATTAAGTATTCGGCCAGCATATTCAGCGTCCCATCTCCAACGCAAACTACACAAAACATACCATACCTCCTCTGAATCACTTATCCCCCAGCACCTAAATCGCTCTAATCCAGTGCTCCTTCACCGTCCTCACAGAATGCATGTACAGAAACTCCAGCTCCGACAGATGAAATATGCATCGCAGCTCTTTGTATCGCCCAAATCGCTAGGGGAGAACCAAAAGCCTCTCCAATATCCTTCGTTTTTACTCCCACAATGAGCAGGAAAAGCACTACTGCAGTGTCCAAGTCATTGGAAGACGGACTCCTCATTTGCCCGCGTTGGTGGTTCGGGCGACAGAAGTTTGTTTCTTGACATGTCGTGTCCCAAGCCATGACTTTGCCGATGTCAATCTGAGTGCACTGGTTTTCGAGATGGTGTGGCTCGGGCGCGTTAGAATGTTCGGTTGTCCCACATGTTTCGGGGTAGAGTAGGTAATATAGAATCCCACATAGAGTAGGACGGGGCCATGGGCTGTGCCATCCTCTGCTATAGAGAGAAAATCTCCTTTATAGGCTGATGGCGCGAAGGGTTTTAAACCCGCTATAAAGTTGATTGAAAACGTACCGAGGACCATGTTCGTCTTACCAAGTCTTATGTCATCAGCGAGTAGGCAACCACCAAGGGGTCCGAAAGCCCTCTTCAGCAACTGAGCAGTACTGGGGACCTGGTGTGGGAACATACCATATTCCGGATTAAGCTTGAATGCCTCTGGTACCTTCAGAAGCCGCTTCCCACCGGGGGGCGGGGGGGGGGGGGGTCACGGAAATCTCCCAAATTCATACCCCAAACTTGGGAGGCTTTTGTCCACTCCTCCAGATCGACCCTTTCCGCAATGCGTCTCGCTAATAGCGTATTGCAGCGTGTTTGGGCGCAGCCTATTGCAGCTTGCAACGTCCTCCTCTTCGTCCATCTCTTCGTCATTGATGGAGGCCTCTGCTAGTGACTGCGATGTCTTTATATTCAATATAGTATGCGAGAATGGTTCTTTGCTGTGCAGACTCATTCAAATTTGTTGGATGTACAGGTTATGTAAGCAATTTGATTAACTATGCAAAACTCCTGTTATATACGGGCGACAGATGTTTGAAGAAGGGGAGCATAGGTGTGGGCTGAGGAATTCAGATGAATATCTTGTATTGGGACCGTGGGGTATAAATACATAATGATGTTGTTCCAGAACACCCACGCAGACTCAAACGTTGTTCCAGCTGCCAGTATCAAACAGTAGACTCCAGATGACTATTCCCAAGGGCTGGCTTGGTTTGATCACTGGTAGTCAAAATATGTGTGATACAAACATGTTTGGGGATTGATACTGCGATTACAACAAACGTAAGGTGTCCATGACTTTCTCACAATTGAGAGATTTCTAGGATCGAAATCAACAAACATCTTCATGATTCCATACGTATAATTTTAGTAAATATTGCAAGCAACTGTGGCCGTGCAGGGAGTTGGGCAATCTCCGAACTTGCTTGAAATTGAACAATCAGTCTTGAACAACCTAAAAAAGTCGCTTTTCTATAGCAATCAGAATATGATCCAAAACAATCACAATTGATGTTCAAGAATGCTCATGACTGGAGAGTGCTCAACCTAATGCGGTTAGACCCTAGAGGCTTAATCATCATCGAATCTTCGCAAGTCGAACTCCACCAACACTCCGGGACGCCAATTGCCAACAAACAGTCATGCCACCACGGGTGCGAGCTGTCCGACTCGCCTCGTCGCTGATATTGTCGCCCTCACGTTCATGTACCACACCGCTAGCCAGCGCCTTCGTGCTGCCCGCCCAGCAGCGCTGCGCCTCGATTCTTTCTTCGCTGTCCGACAACGCCGGGGCCTACAATAAAAAGATCCGCCGAGGTCGGGGTCCTGCCTCAGGAAAAGGAAAGACGGCAGGACGAGGTCAGAAGGGACAACACGCACACGGCAAAGTGCCCGCTGGATTTGAGGGAGGTCAGACACCACAATGGATCACGAATCCCGAGCGAGGGCGGGGGAAGCACAATCCGTTCAAGGTGGAGATGTCGCCAATTAATCTGGACCGGATACAAAGCTGGATTGACCAGGGACGGCTGGATCCGAAGAAGCCCATTACTATGAAGGAATTGGCAAAGTCACGGTGTTTGCATGGCGTAAAGAGACACGGCGTGAAGCTGTTGGCAAGGGTATGAAGATCGGGAAGAAGGAGCATGCGGTGCACATGCTAATTGACTTGTTTAGAATCCCGAGCAACTCACCACGCCCATCCACATCGTCGTCTCTCGGGCATCCAGCGAAGCCATTGAGCGCATCGAAGCCCTCGGCGGTAGCGTAACTACCCGCTTCTACTCGCCCACAGCCATCAAGCGCGTGCTACGCGGGGAATCGCACCCGACAATTTCGCTGCAAGCTTCGCCCACCCTCGTTGCGCTGACCAGCCGCTCCTCCGCCGTCAAAATCCCATCTCCCATTCTCTCGGCGCTGCAAACCGCCGCCGACGAAAAGAAGACCGAGGCCATGGCCGCAGTCATGAAGCAAGTCGGCGCAAAATATAAGTACAGATTGCCTGATGCAACGGCAAGAAAGGATATCGAGTACTACCGTGACCCAGCGCATAGAGGGTACCTGAACTACACACTCAAGCAAGGCGAGAGCCCCAGTCTGTTCTTCAAGCCACCAGGTGAGGCGAAAGATAAGAAGAAGCAGACCGCAAGACGCGATGCCGCCAAGGCTAGTGCCGACAATAGGTTATTCTAGTCTAAGGCAGATATCGCTGCGGGTTGTAGAATATAATGTACATGATATGCACTTTGCTCGACCGCCATTATCGAAAGAAAAAAACAAGACAAGTGACGTTTAGTACCCCTTTTGCCACCAGGAGATATACATCTTACCTTACCCAGCTTTCTTCATACTGTGTACATTTACTCCCAACCCATCCATATTTCAAAGATTCAAACCGTTGAATCAGCTGAATCAGCTGAATACTCTCTCTCTCTCCCTTACTTACACTTTTACCCCTTTTATTTACCCCCAATCTATCCCAGCAAATTAAAAATATTGGAAATAAAAATAGTCACCCCTTTTCGGCCAATTCTTTCCCCCCCCCAAATCTTGTAAGCAACGTGAAACCTCGTATCCTCAGCGTGAAACACTTTCCCCCCTCCCCCTTCTTTCTCTACCTCTTTCTCTCAGGGCGAAGGGGCGAGGGGGGGGGTGGAGCATAAAGCGCGTGCACGTAAGTACGGAGTCATCGTTTTGTTCGGTGATTTAGTTGTGGGGGATGGATGACGAGATTGGGTTAGGGGTTATTTGTAGCCTGTTTTGGTAATGGGGGATGAGGATACGAGGAGATTGCACTATTGACTATGGGTTGTGGGATTACGAGGTATAGGTTATGGAAGGGGAAACGGGAATGGAATAGTAGTTGACAAGTGTTTTTTTGGGAGAGGAAGGGGGGGGGGATGCTTAGGGATACGATACACGTGAGATGGTGGGAAAGGGAACGGTTGTTGGATGGCGTGAGGTGCACGTATGGAGCGGGGGACAGTATGGTTTGGTGATGTGGGTGAGTAGGGATACGAGAAGGCGATTCTACACGAGGGAAAGAAAAAAAAATCTTGGAGTACAGGTGGTGTGGAGGAAAGACCGAGGTACATCGTTGTTCTTTTTTCAGGTAATGGTATCCCGATACTCCGTGTGAATGTGAATGTAGACCTGAGTTCCGCCCAGATGCACGTCAGATTCCCCATTCTGTACATCCAAGCGTCTCATTGGCTTATTTTCTTGCTGGGCAACTATACTCAGAGTGTGCACCCTACATATACGAACAATGTACCTCGTAAGCCCATTTGTTCGGAGTCAGAAAAAACCAGAATCAGAGCGACATGGGCTATGTGGCTTATTGTGCCGTGAAAAATGCGGATCAGATGCCCAGCCACCGTTTTTTACTATCTCACTTGCGGACCGTCGGCAATGCAGGATTTTTTTTAACATGTGCAAGAGGAAGGTAAGCGCAAAGTGCCGTTTGCGATGTTGGCGGACGGACGAACGAAAAAAAAAGAAAAAAAAGGGTAGGTTAGTTCCCACTGACGGAGCGAGGGAAAAGCGGGTATAGCGTCCGGAAACAAGAAAGAGAAAGATAACGAAGTGTATTACTCACGTGAGACGGGGCGAGAAAGGAATAATGGAGCAACCAAAAAAGAGAGAGAGCTAAGCTGAGAATGGTCTTTCGCCAAGGTGGATCAGAGATGAATTTCTTTGACGACGGCTGTCCGGTCGGTCAGTTCGGTGGCGAAAGGGCCAAGCTAGAACTTGTCTAACATATTGCATATGTCCAGGTGACCAAAAGCGAAAACGTTTGTACATGAATAGGTGCACCTGCAAAGAAAAAAAGAGAGAGAGAGCAGACGTTGGACCGACTGGCGGCGGCACGCGTAAGCGCGTTGTGTGTAGTATGTAAGGTGGGTCTAGGCATATTTGTTCCCTTGTCACAAAAAACGTATACGTGTAATGGACAAAAGGAGGAAGGAGAGTTGAACATGTGGTTGGGCGCCCCGGCGGAGCGGGCATACATGAGCCGGAAGTGGGTGAGACAGGGCTGCGCGTCTTACAAGATGCTTTGATTCAAAAAAAAAACGGGCTGGCTGGCTGCGCGGATCTGGGGCCTTGCCTGCGGTTTTTTTTTTGCTTCCCTGTTGTTTGTACGAGGCTGAGCATATATTGTGTCTGTGGCGACGGGTCGTTTTCTTTTAGGGCGATGCATATGACCCAAACTGGTACACTTTTGGACGGCAGGGAACCATGGTATCCCGGACTATTTTGATGACATGCAAGGTGGCGCAGGGGCCAGGACTCGTGTTGACGTGAGAAAGTACACATTCATCATTTCAGATCCTTGGGGAAAGTTGAAGTGTAATGTATGTGTGCCAAAGTAAAGGTGCTGCGGCGCCTTTCCAGGGATGGGTTAAAACTGCCGTCACACGTGCAATCCCTGGTAGTGTGCGCCTGTCTGTAGTGAACAAAGCACTCATGTTGGCGATGACAATCGGACTTGCGATGCATCAGAAAGAAACAAAGCACGGACATGCATCATGAAAAGTGGTGTTGCGATATCTACTAGGCACAAGGGTTATTTTGTTGGTTGCTATGGACTGGTGACATGGTGGCTGAAGGTATCAAGAGCACCGCCTGATTTCAAGGTGCTGCTAGTAAGATCATCGTTGGCTCATAACTAACGCTAGGCGACCAACGGAACTTGGATCATGTGCTGTGTAGCCGGCGAAAGCATATTGCCCATGACAAAGTAAGGAAGGGTGCAGTATTAGCGAGCTAGCCTGGCATAATTTGGATGGTGGCGGTGATGGTGGTATGTGTGTAAGTAGTAGGAGGAATAGTAGTAATCAGTAGTAGTGATTATTGGCAAGGTCCTGGCCGACGTCGGGACCGTTATCGTAGGCGCAAATAGAAGGAACATGCTGCATGTCCTTGGAAGCAAGGGGTGTGATGAGGTGTACGGTATGTAACCCGGTCACACAGATATGGGGGTCCTTCGCTAAATGGCCCATGTGGCGTAACGCATCCACCCACGACCATGATGCGTCGTGACCGAAGCAGGAGCGGAAATGGGTGCTTTGGGTCATATGTGCGAATGTGAGTAAGGAAGTGTATGTGCACCAGACACATACACACGCACACAACTGCGCAGATCGATACACCTACCCCTTGTACATATACATTGCTATTCAATTTCCGGTGCAAAGCAAGCAGTGGTAACCCCTTGATGAAGGCTATTGCTCCCGCCAGGTGGCCTGACCAGTCAGCATGCTGTGACACTGTGCGACAATCAAGAGCTTGAGGTCGGATGGTTGCATCTCACTATAGCTTTGATACAACGGCATATGTACAAAGTCGAGCAAGGAATCTGTCGAGCCGGACACGGACACGGATGCCTTGGGTTTGGGTTGTTGTTGGATAGAGGCGTAATTGCGTGGGGTTACGCTGTGCTTATTCGCCAGGGGTCGTCTTACCTACCTGTTTGAGCGCGCCAGAGAGCGGGGATGAGTGTAAGATGGATGTGAAGGACGCGGTGTGAAGAAACTAACGTCAAGGCTGTGGGTTTTGCGTGTGTGTGGCAAAGGAGTACACACGGTGCTGAGTCGGCATGAGGCGTTTGGCTTGCACCAGACTGTGCGTCCATGGGCGTGTGTGCTTTTGCAGGGCCGCGGCAAAGGCCAGACTCGTTGTGGTAGTCCGGATTGAAGAAGCCGTAGCGGCGTAGTGGTTTTTGACAAGCCAAGGCGAGGAGTGGCCAGCAGCCAGCGGATTTGCGGACAGGGCGTGATGGGTCGTTTCTGACTGCATCTGGAGCCGACCAGGCAACAAGGGATCTTCGTGTTTTGCGCGTGCTGTCAAAGGCTCGCACTTTGTCGGTCAGTCAGTCGCACTGGGTCTGGGTGTGTTTTTTTGATTCCTTTTCCTTGTCTCATCCCAGTAGCAGCGGATATCTTGTCGCCGGATTGCGGCGCACAATCAGGTCGCACTAGACGAGCTACCATGGTGCGGCTCGGCAGACTTGATTGCAGCGAAACAGACGGCGGGTTTTCTATTGACAATGGATGACATATCCCCATGTGTACGCGTCGTATAGAAGCACGGTACGTCTCAGCGCGCCATATGAGCAAGCTAATACATGTGCCGCAATTGGCATAGGCGGGTCATACACCAGGCAGCGCAAATACCCATGGCTGGGCACGTCGGGTAACGACTCGCGCTAATCCTCATCATCGTGTACATAGTTTAATCGGGGAGGAGGGGAAGGGGGGCGCGGAGGGGGTGGCAGTGGTGGGAAAGGCAATGAAATGGCAAGTGGTGCAATCAATGAATGGCGAAGGAAAGCGGAGCCGAGCGTCGCCCGTGAGGACCGCCGAGCTCCTCTAGGCGGCTTCGTCTCCACTGCGTCGCTGGTCAGGCGATGGGCGTCGACGATGTCCTTGTGCCTATGTATGTACACCGACCGTATGACTTGACTTGGACTTGGGCGAGTGCTCAACGCTGAGCGCGCCCGGGCTAGCTAGCCTCGATAGATGCATCACCATTGCAACATGGCGAGCGGGCTTCCACGGTTGGAGGGCGCTTGGCAGTGATTCGCCGCCACAACCAGCTAGACAGCCATCCCGAGCATCCCGTTTGCCTGTAGCGAAGGTGGACGGACGTGTTTGAGATCTCGACCCCCTCCCCCCCAACACCGACATGGAACCGATACATGATGGCACGCCGTATTCTATTACCCACTTGATCTTCGCCGGACAAGACTTTTGGGCTAAACAGGCATGTGCAATGCAATCATGCCTCTGCTTCCTTGCTGCCAAAGCCTTTGCTCATTGTTCGTGTCGTGTCGTGTCATGGAGGGCTACCGTTGATTACGCGGGCATCGATTTTTTTTTCACCGGCACCCCTGCAAGTATTTGCGCATGACGAGCGCTCGCAACGATGCTCCACCATTGCACAGCAACATCTTCATTGCATTGCGAAGCTGCGCTTCACCGGCGCCACAGATGGTGCTATGGATAGATTACGGGGCTGGAGCGAATCCCTTGCAACTTGCCTGCCAAAGCAATATCTCGGTCACGGTCACGGTCACGGTCACGGTTCCACGGTTAGCGTAGCAGGCCCTCAGCAGAGGCGTCGGATGCAGACATGGCCGGCTTTGCTTGCTTGCTTGCTGGCTGGCTGGCTGTGGGCCAGACGAGACAGGCAAAGGGCAGTTAGTCGAGAGAAAGCAAACATGGCTCGCTCGCAAGGACGGGTGGTGTGGAGGTGCTAGGAGCAGTCAACAGGTCAGCATCCGCGAACCACCGCGTGTGGGCTTGCTGCGGCTGCTATTGCTACTACTGCACGCAGGTAGCGACTCATCAACCCGCCAACCCGCCAACCCGCCAGCCCGCCAGCCCTCGGCAGGTCAGGTCTGGATGAGGGAGGGAGGGATGGATGGAGAGGCCATGGCATGGCAGGCAGGACTTGTTGGCAAGGCAGAGGACCGAGATGAGTGGATGCCCCCAGGCCGTGTGTGCACACCAACTAATTCGGGCATCTTGGAACCATGTACCGGGGGGCTTGAGTGGACGCGTGCAAAGAGCCAGAATGCAGTAACTGAGGCGCGCGCAACAGAACCCCCAAGGCAAGGCAAGGCAATATGCGTTTGGTCAGGGGCGGTTGTGCAGTGCAGATTGCCTTGCCTTGCCCTGTCCTCGCCTTGCCCGGAGGGCTCAGCAGGCAAGCGGACATGCTTCAATAACAAGCTGCTGTCTAGCGTCGGGGAAGGGTGGGCAGCGGCTATTGGGCCGACAGCGACAAGGCAGGCCGAGCCCTCGACACAGACAGGGCGTGGTGGATCCACTTGATGATGATGGCAAGTCACACCAAAGCAAGACGGAGGGCAGAGAGAAAAAAACAGAGGATTGACGATCACCAGCACCCGCTCAAACTTCAGCCTGCAAAGCGTCGCGTTGGACAGGGTTCGGGCTCGGATTTAGGGCATGCTTAGGGTAAAGTAAGACCGCAAGTCCGCTAGTCCGCGGCCTGGCTGGGCGGCCTGGTTCGTATCGCTTCTGAGTGTGGTGGTAGCACGGCAGTCTTTGCATCGGCATCGCAGGGTGCTTTTTTGGCATGGCCGGCGACGAGTGGTGCAGCACGGCCAGTGACAAGCGCTGCAGGTCAAACACGGCAGGGCCGGAAATGAGGGCGCAAGTGATATGAGCGATAGATGGAGGGGTGTGTGTAAGAGAGAGAGAGAGTGTGTGTGAGTGTGTGTATGTGTGTGTGAGAGTGCATGTGTGTGTAGTAGATGCGAGTGTGTGGGTGGTGGTGGTGGTGGTGGTGGTGGTGGAAGAGGCGTGCGTGAGTGAGATGATGATTGTTGTTATTGTTGCTGGATGGACCACGAATGCGCAGCTGCACGGCCTCGCACGACGCTATCCGCAAACCCGCCCAAGCTGCACTCAGCGCCTCCGCTTCCGGCAATTCCTGCTGCTGCAAAAGTCACGGTGCATGTGCGAGTGGGAGCCGGTTCGAGGGTGCCGTTGTCGCATGTGCAGCCAGGTTGTGCATGTGTGGGTGGGAGTGGGTGTGTGGTATGTATTACGGCGAGCGAGGCAGGCTGAGACTGAGTACTAGAGTACTTACATCTGCTTGGATACTACGTGGGTAGATTGAGGGCTGGTGCAAGGGACAGGGTGGGTAACGGTAATAATAATAATAATAATAACAATAATTAACGGCAATCACGATGATGATGATTGGGATGGCGCTGATGATGATGGGATTGATGATGATGACACTGATGGGCGGTGCAGCTGGGCCCTTTTTCCCCTAGAGGCTTGGGCGTATGCGTCGGCGTCGTGGATGTAAGTAGGCATAGTCGTGTGTACACAATTGCCGTAGTAGCCGTAGTAGGTAGTGGTCGTCGTCGTCTTGGCTGGTCGTGGTTGTGGTTGGCAGCCGGGTTGGGTGAGGGAGCGAGTGGTTCTTTGACGCCATCTGACCCGGGCCTGGTCTGGCCTCTTCCTATGCCTCTCCTCTCACACACCTCTCCTCAGCGGGAACCAGTCAGTCAGTCAGTCAGTCAGTCAGTCAATCGGCCAGCCAGCCAACCCAGCTATTAGCCCAGCTAGCCCAGCCCAGCAAGTCAGTCAGTCAGTCGCTCAATCAGTCAATCAGGCAGGCAGGCAGTCGCAATCGGTCGGCCGGGCAGTCGCTTGTGCTTGTGCTTGTGCTTGTGCTTGCGCAGTCGGTCGCTCCTGCCCTCTTACTACTCACTACACTTACTCACTACCACCACAACCGACCACTCACCTTGCAGGCGATAGCAGCCAGCAGCTAAGCAGGCAGGCACTAATCAGCTAATCAGCTAATCCGCCCGCGCGGCTTGGCGGGTCGCCGCTGCCCTGGCGGCGTGCCCCCGGTTGCTTTGTGCCCCCCGGGCCCGTGCGCGGCTAGCAACACGCAGGCGCGGTTGATGTCAGAGCGCGGCTTTGGATCAGCCTCTTGGGGCGTTCCTTCTACCCTGCTCGCGCTCCTGCCTGGAACCTTCCGAGCCCTTCACGACTCCGTGTGTGTGAATTACCTATGTTTTATTCAGATCCAACGGCCCCAAGCCATGTCTGCCCTGCCTGGGTGCGGGCCCCCGACTGTCCGCCTCCCTACACCTCCTACGTAGTACATACGCCTACCACCTAATACATACATGCTTGTCCGCTCTCTCTCACATCCTCTACTACTCCCCATGCCCTCCGACAGTCACCCTTACTCCCACCACCTCCACCACCTCCTCCTCCACCTCGCCTCGCCTCGCCCTTGTTCTCCACCACCCTCCGCCGCCGCCCAAGCGTCGCTTCCCGCTGTCCCCAACAAAGGCTGCCTTCATTGGCCTAGCACCTAAACATTGACCCCCGGTGGCTGTCATCCACAATAGTTGCCATCGTGCTCCTTGCTTCCATCTATACCTGGCCCACCCGCTTCTCTTCTTTCTCTTTTTAGTCGGCCTCTACTCCACCTACCTCTTTTGCTGGATATGCCATCAAGTCAGACATTCTGCAAACAATAGCTGTCTGCCGTTTCCATGACCGCCCCCTCACCTTGATATTGCGCTAGCCCCCAACCCAACCCCCATTCACCTCTCGTCGTCCGCATGCTCGAGCTACAGCTCCCTCGCCCAATGCCTCACGCCATCCCGCGGGAGCATTCCTTCACCTTCTACGCCCCCGGCCCTCAGCCATCTTCCAAGCTGGACACCACCATGCAGCTACCATATCCAAGGATGGCCAACGCCTACGATCACGATCCCCTCCGCACTGCCTCTCGAGCTCCTCTCACGCCTCCAGACCTTCCTGGCTCAGCACTACGGGTCGTCTCGCTCCCATCCAACCAGGGCTCCGGCAATCAATATGGCTACCAACTACCCGCAATCGGCAACTCGAGATCAGCTGCTGCTCCAAGAAGCCCCAGCCCGCAACGGCAGCAACAGCAACAGCAACAGGCACACGAGACGTCACAAACACCAAAGAAGAAGTGGTCAATATCTCCAAATCTACGGATCCCACCAACCATCAACACACCACAAGAAGGCCTTCCCCAACTGGCAGCAGAGGTGAGTGGCATATCCTTTTTCGAGTAAAGCGTCCTATCTAACTTTGCAGATTACCTGTCTTTTCTGGTTCGAGAGTTCGGCAACCCTGAAACAAGTTGTTGACACAACCTCACCTCGCCAGCCCATGCAGCCTCTGGTCTCAGATGCACACCCTACAACTGGCTTCAGGAAATGGGTAGCCACCATTCTGACGACAACTCAGGTAGCACAGAATGTGATTCTTCTTGCACTCCTCTTCATATACAGGCTGAAGCAGACCAACCCAACTGTCAAGGGAAAGCCCGGCAGCGAATACCGTCTTCTTACTGTAGCGCTTATGCTTGGAAACAAGTTTCTCGATGACAACACGTATACGAACAAGACATGGGCCGAGGTATCGGGTATCTCAGTACAAGAGGTTCACATCATGGAAGTCGAATTCCTCAGCAATATGCGCTACAGCCTTTTCACCTCAAAGGAAAAGTGGACCGAGTGGCACGGTATTTTGGGCAAGTTTGGCACCTTCTTTGACCAGGCCTCCAAGATACCCGCATCCGGCGCCGTGAGCCCAGTCGGTCCCCAAAACATGCTTGGCGTCCCTTCAAACGTGGTCCCCTCACCACCAACTCAGCAACAAGCGTCTCCGCAAACCTCGATGTACTCCCCGAGCCACATTGCACTCTCCAAGACACCGCTGTTGCAACCACAGGTTACCTCTACTAACGTTTCTCCGATTGGTGCTCTTCCGGAGCTGGGTTCGATCCAACGCAAGCGCAGTGCAGACTACACCAATGAACCACCAACGAAGCGACAGGCTCACGGATTCGCCCCTGGACCCTACAGCAACGCTCCTCCAATCCCCACGCTCCAGACGCCCATCAACAGATCGTTTGAACCGCCGCCATCTGTAAACCGCCTGCCGCCTCTGCCGAGCCTCTCGATCCCTCAACCTCAGCAAGTACCACCTACCCAAGTAAAGACCTGGTCTGAGCTCCCCTTGCCTGTACCTGGAGGCCGGTCTATGGCCATGGTATACCCACCACCGGTTCAATGGCCACAGCCCAGTAGCACTCCTACAAGCTCGGCCCCTCCTGCTTTCCCTCATAGCTACACACCCTCTGCCGAGCAGCCTCGTCAGGTGAGCCCATATTCACAGTCTGCGGGGTCGTCACCTGTGAGTACATCGTATGCTGCAACGGGTTCTCGTCAACTGTCGCCCTCGCACTTCCTCAACCAGCGACAGTCACCTTATCGACCAGTCCGTGGTGTACATACCCTGCTTGTCCCACCTCCCCAAACATCGATCCACAACCCCGCGCGTAATATTGCATATGAACAGATGCAGTATCAGCCATTGGGTCGACCCATGACTGACCGTCGGTCGGGCTTGTTGCCCTACATGGACCGTAGTGCTTGGCCCGAGACGAACCAGTTCAACCAACTCCCTATCCCCCAACAACCTATTTTCAGGTAAATGGGTCATTACATCATTTTCGTGTATCAACTCTGGACTAGCCTCCTTTCGGCTACATTTGCATTGCTTTTTGGTCCGGTGGACAATGATATTTATTGCGTTCAAGCGTGCATTATACTACTGGGAGGCTTTTTGTTGGCCATTTGATTTGGTCAAAGTTTTTCTCTTACTGCATCATAGCATTCGTAGGCGTTATTGGTTGCATTCTACCAAACCTGTCGTAGCCTGACGGGTTGTAGACGATGAAATTTTCATGACTGGCGTTTTGTGGCTGGCAACAGTGCTGGGCTGGATTATGATCATCCAAGGCGGAATACCTGCTATCAAAAAACAGTAGTGTATTGTCAACGATGAGCAGATAATTGCAAAAATTCCTTTACTTCGAAGATCCAAAATGTCGGGTGACGTGAAGAAGCTTATTTCTCGTGTTTTTCCTGGATTCCTCTTTTCCACAGTCATAAGGAAAGTTTTTGTCGATTGGTATGAACCGATGATGTCGTATTGTCTATTTCCAAACACGTGATTGGTGGCAGCCTTCGTACTATTCTGACGAATCACAGTTGTAGATCTACTTTGTATAGCGTAACTGGGATCTGTCTTGTTCAATCCACTTAACTGAGGGCAAGCTTAATCATTCTTTCAAATAATTTACTCTATCTTGAAGAAAGAAAGTGTGGATATAGTTTTTCAATTCTGGGATAGATTTTTGAAATCTCAAAGGCAAAATATAAGCAAAAATATAGTATAGCGTCATACATGGGATATAGACTTTGAAAACATCCAGACGACCAGGTTTTTATTACCAGAATCTGTCCTAGAGAAGCGGATCTAGTCAAGTGTTCAGGATAACAATTGTGGTTGTGATGAATGCAGCGGGTTGGTCTAAGCCTTACACGCGCCAAGCCACTTGTAGCCGCGGTATCGCGTTCGCGCTCCAACTGGTCTGCCTGTTTCTACACTCGATTTGCACGCCACACAAACATCCCTCAACCATGCCACCGCCAAAGTCCAAAAAGCTCACCGCGCAGCCTGTCCGCACGCGCCAATTTGCTGGAAAGCCAGCAATCGCAGAACCCGAAGAGCACTCCAGCTCAGAATCTGAATCAGAGGACGAGCAAAAGCCCCAGTCAAAACCTTTTGCGAAACCAAAACCGGCACCTATTGCATCATCGGCACTCAAGTCGAGACTTGCATCGCGGCAAAAAAGCGAGGATGCGCGTAAAGCGCTAGAAGAGGAGTTCGAAACTGAGAGTGAGGATGACGAAGGAAAAGATGGCAATGGTAGTGGAAGTGGAAGTGGGAGTAGTAGTGGAAGCGGCAGCGATGAGGACGAGTCCTCAGAAGAGGAGTCAAGTAGTGAAGACGAGGCACCAAAGAAACTACTGCGACCAGTCTTTCTGAAGAAGAGCGAGCGAAACAAGATTGCGGCGCCTGTTAAGTCAGCAGACGAGTTAGCGGCAGAGGAAGAGGCACGGCGACAAGAACAGGCAAGAGCACTTGTGCAGGAACAGGTCGAACAGCGAATAGCCGAAAAGGCAGCAGGCAAAAAGGACTGGGACGACGACATCGAAGACACCGACATCAACGCCATCGACGACACCGACGGGGTCGATCCCGACGCCGAATATGCAGCCTGGAAACTCCGTGAACTCAAGCGCATCAAGCGTGAACGTCTCGCTATAGAAGAAGCCGAAGCTGAGCGCGCCGAGATTGAACGTCGGCGCAACCTATCAGCCGCCGAGCGCGAGGCCGAAGACCGCGAATTCATCGAGAAACAGAAGGAAGAAAAAGGCGACCGCGGCCAAATGCAGTACATGCAAAAGTACTTCCACAAGGGTGCCTTCTTCACCGACGAACTCAAGGAACTCGGTGTCGACCGACGCAATCTCATGAATGCCCGCTTCGAAGACGACACCAACCGCGAGATTCTGCCAGAATACATGCAGATTAGGGATATGACGAAGCTCGGCAAAAAGGGTCGCACACGGTACAGAGATATGAAGACAGAGGACACGGGTAAATGGGGTGACTTTGGGGATGACCGCCCGCGAAGGGATAAGGGCGAGTACGGTGTGGATGAGCGGTTCAGACCAGATGGACATGGTGCAAGAGACAGGGACAGAGACGGTGCCACGGGTGCAAACGCAAAGCCTCTCGGAGAAAGAAAGCGATTCGGCGAGAGCAACGACAGGGATAGTAAGCGCCCGAAGATACAAGATCAGGCATAAAAATGGCCACTTTTATCGTTTGCCGGTGCCCTTCACTGGGGAGGGCCCGAGCCAAACTATCTAGGGAAAAAAAAGCCACTTGAGGCGTACAAAATTCATATCATATAACCCCCCTTTCGCCGAAGGCCCTCGAACCTTTCGGCTCAGATCACTCATTCCGGACTCTCTCGTACCTCCCGCGTCCCTTGGCGTCTCCCTCCGCCATAGCCCTCGCATCCTCCCGCCCCTTCTCAACATCCAGCCGCCACAATAACGGCGCAGGCAGCATAACCAGGACAGCCAAGAAGATGAACGCGGGACGAATTGTCCCCGCATTATCCGTAATACGACCCACGAGCGTCGGCCCGACAGCACTACTCCCCTTATCCGTGACGGCATAGAGTGCGAAAAACGCCGCTTCGCTACCCTCAGGGATCAGCGGCGCAAATACGGACCGCGCGTACGACGATATCCCGCCCATGACGATGCCGTGTAAGACCGCTATGGGATAAATCTCCCACGCCTGCTGCAAGCCTATGAAGCCTAGCCGCTGGAATAAGGGGATGTAGCCGAGCAGGCCGTACAAAGGGATGATTTCCATACCCGCTACGCAGCACAACAGCACGGTTTTCGGCTGTAGGGAGTAGTGGCGCTGGATGCGTGGCCAGGCGAAGGCGCCGATGATGCCGGAGCCGATGGAGGTGATGGATAAGAGGGCAATGGCAATAGTACTCATGTGCAGTTCTGTTTTCGCAAAGAGCACGGCGGTGCCCGAGATTGTGGCTACGGCGTCGGAGAGGAGGAACCAGGAGATGAGGAAGATGAGGGTTTGGCGGAGGCGGACTGCTTTTTTGAGGGTGGCCCAGAAGCTTTTGAGGGAGAAGGATGTGTAGAAGATGAAGGTGCGGAGTTTGGATGACGAGGCGGAGATGCTGGAGTGCTGCTGTGTGGGTAAAGGGGGTCCCGGGCGTTCGCGCAGCCAGAGTAGGGTCGGGATGGAGAAGATGGCCCACCAGAGGCCGACCATGAAGAGCACGACGCGGATGGAGAGGGTAGGCGAGGTTTTCGACAATGACGTCTTGCTGAAGATGAAGATGATGAGGATAGCTAGTATCTCGACGAAGACAGCAGCCATGTATCCGTATCCCACTCCTTTCGAACTTATCTGCGCAGAGCGCTCCAGGTCGCGTGCCAGCTTCTCTGCATCCTCCCTGCGTGACGCCGCTGCTTCGTGATCTGCATTCAGACTGTCAAGTTCAACGGCTGAATCATCGTCTTCTGACAATGGCTTTCCAGCAGCAGCGTTATTATTATCTGGATAATTTGCTACTAGTAACGGTAAAAACGCGTTGAGCAGCACAAACGAACACCCCAAACACGCCACGCCAATGATCACCAGGATAGGAGCGAGTTGGTACAACGCCGGGGAGATGAAAATGAATAGGCAACTCGCTACTGAGCCGGTATAGGATGTTATCATGAGCATCTTCTTGCGATATGGACCTAGAATCTCTTACTTAGCCCATCTGTCCCCCCAGCTCAAAGCACATAATAATTTAATGGGGAGGAGGAAACATACCATAATCCGCAAAACTGCTCAAACACACCAACACCAGCGCCTGCAGCAGCACCGCCGCACTCGACGTGTACAGCGCGAGGCTACTCGTTGACATTTGCATGCCGAGGTAGGTTACCATGCACTGCTCTGAGGAAGCTGGTGCTGCGGCTTTCTCGCCCTCGCTGGAGCGGCGAGAAGAGGTGGAATGAGAGACGCATGGCCGTGAGGGGTCGGAGAAGAAGACGCCGTTTTCGCGGGCGAGTTGCTCGAGGAGGACGGGGAGGAAGGCACCTGTGTGCTCTTATAAGCCCATTTCTTTTAAGGTTGCGACTGGGATTGGGAAGGGAAGATTGCGGATGTTCGTGGATATGGGGGGGAGGGGTGACGTACCGACTGCTACTACAGCGAAAACCTAAGGACAATTGTTAGCTTTTTCTGTTCGTCCCAGAGGTGTTGAAGAAATGGTTTACTTCAGCAGCGATAGGATACGCGTACCAGCCCTTTAATTCACGGGGTGTGGTTGGACTGGTGTCTTCGCCTTCGTAGCGCTTTTGCGTAGACGATTGGTCTGCCCACTCTTCCATGTCGTTGCCATCATCTGAGAAAGACATTTTCTCTTTTCCTTCACTTTGGCCCAACTCTTTTTGTTTGTTGTTTATTTGTTTGGGCTAGGGATGCAATTGGTAAACAGATCACATTTGGGCGTGTTTTTTTTGCACGATAGCAATGATGATGGCGATCCGAGAGGTTCCGATGACGGGTTAAGTGGGCAAGGCGGGCTCTATGCTTTTTGCGGGTGGAGCTAAACGGTGAGGTGGGGCAGCTGCGTGGATAGCATAGTCCTGGCCTTGTCCTTTGTGTTCAAGCGAGTTTGGGGAGCATGGTGCCCGGTTTACTAGGCCATGTCGCGATGAAGGAACTTGAGGATTTTTTGACGAAGTGCGACGTGAAGGTGTGATGGAAGAAGTGCACTAGGATGAAGCTTCATCGTGGCGGTGCTAATCTGGGGAATAGCACCGAGACCCAATCCCTGGTTTCTGGGTGCTTATGAAGAAACTCTAGTGTGGAATACGTTGCGCGATGTGTTACGAATTGGTGCTATAGCTTTCTTTGGGTCTCACCATCTCGCCTGAACAATTTCTAGCTGGACGGTGTGTTTCGATCGACAGGACACCAGAGGCGTTTCGATGACGTAGGGATTCTAGCTGTTAGCGCCGCGGGAGTGGAGTTGTTGTTTCCGGATGACAAGATTCAGCTACCCATGATCCTGTCTTACTGCATGAAATCAAGTGTTTTGGCTATCTTTGGCTATACAGCAATGCCAGTTATTACACGAAGTCGTCGAATTAGACCCTCTGATCAAACACACGGGCAGGGCGCCTCGCAACATGTCCCATTTCCTCAAAAGAAGAAGCGTTCTGCTCCAACCAAGACTAGAGTCGATAAACAAGACCACCCTCGTATGATACCTCAGCCCTCAGGACTTAGCTTGACCCTTCAACCTGCCAAGTACGGTCTAATCCAAGAACGAATCTGTGATAGTCTGTATGCCTTAGTAGTCCAGGCCATTCTATGGAACCAAACCCGTGGCCAAATGGCCCGACCAGTGCTGTTCGAGCTGCTCTCAGCCTATCCATCTCCAAACGAACTATCTGTAGCACCGCTCCACGACCTAATCAACATGCTACAACCCATAGGTCTGCATAGAATCCGGGCCATGCGGCTTATAGCCCTAGCAGACGCCTGGCTTGCTGCGCCTCCATGCAGCCAACGAAGATACCGGAGGTTGCACTACCCAGACCGTGGATGTGGAACAAATGTCAGGCCCGGAGAGGTATTAGGACCCGACGACGAACGAGAGGGCTGGGAAATTGCTCATCTGCCGGGAATGGGGGCGTATGCACTTGATAGCTACCGTATCTTCTATCGGGATAGACTACGCGGCACGGAGGGCGTGGTTGGGATTGAACCAGAGTGGAAAAGGGTAGTACCAACAGACAAGGAACTCAAGCTGTACTTGAAATGGCGATGGGAGCAGGAGGGGGAGAAACCCCTCACCTCGGTTCAAGCCTAGTCGAGCATCGGTAGTGGATTTTCCGTGATATGCTGCAGTCAGTCTGCATACTCCCCTGGCCAAAGTCATCACAGGGCCAATGGGGACAGCTGTACTACACCACCACCACCAACCACACACAGCCACAGTTTCTAGGATTTCGCCCCCAAGGCTGAGCCATCCTCCCCTGCCCAGATATGTAGAAGCGACCGTTATTAAACGGTTGTAGGGGTACCGGCCAGCTGTCTTGACAATCGTCACCAATTGACAATGGATGAGAAACAGTCACCAGCCGGTACCTGGAACGAGAGATCGACAACGTTTTGCGATAAGGATGCACGCGAAGCATACCACGACCTCATCGACTTACAGCTCCACTGGCTATTTCCAAATTTCCTGCGCAACCTAAAATCCCAGACAACCTTGGAAAGAGAAAGAGGCAGAGTAGCAGTGATAGAGTACCGTGACGATGAAATCTTTGAACCGGAGATATTCAAGAATTCGCAAGGCCTCCAAGCCCACTTTGACGACCCATTGGCCGCAGACGAACTAGGCCCGCGAAAGAGATTGTTCATATTGGAAGATTTGGGTTTCAACTATCTCGAGGTACTCGGTGCGCAGCTACGGATTCCCCCCACCTTCTTCGCTGCCCACTGGGCCGATCCAGCAACACCGGAATTCAACTACAGCAACCCCTTCCGCCGGTACTCGGAAAAGAACTTCAGCATCAGATATGCTGTCACACAGCCGTTACATATAGACGCGGACCGAGAAGTGCATGGCAATATTTTCCGCTGCGACTTCAACATCCAGCGCCATGTATACTGCTACGACCCCAAAGCTCCGATTCTCGACCAGCCAAAAAGCTATCACGCCTTATCCTTTTGGACTTCAGGTGTTAGACATGACGGCTCGTGGGATTGTATGGCGCCGCTTTCTCTAGCTAGACTGTACACACTCAGACATTGCTGACGGACCTTGTAGCAGTACTGATAGTCGACCCGCCAGTCCGCGAGACCGTAACATCCCTCGCAAACGGGTGCAAATTCGCTGTAGACCACTGCTCAGAAGAACACGCATACACCCGTATGCACAGTCTCGACCCCGACTTCACTGACCTGGACATCCTACCGCTCAACCCCTCCGACTGGGCCGGTACCTGGCAACGCCCCAAGTACGAGTCTATCTTCGACGACATACTATCTCTCTCCTCAGACGAGCCCGCACACCCCATCGGTCCCCGCAGCTGCACAAACGTAGCCCGCAGACTAGCTGTATGCTACTTCCTCAGTTTCCTGCGCCGCCGCATTCTCAACATGCTGCGACTCCAGCAAAACCCGCGCACCGCCATCTTGCACACGAACCGCTGCGACTACCTGCGTGAGTTTGGCGAAGGGCTAATAAGTAGCTGGCACCACGAAGTCTTCGGCTTCATCGTAAACATCAAGTACATCATGGGTCTCGTCAACTCAGAAGTAAAAGAGCAATTCGAAGTCCTCGGTTTACACCGACCCGATGCTCTGGAGTGGGAACGTGACGGCTGGCTTACTGTGCAGGATTATTGTGGCAGAGTGATTACCATGGCCGAAGCGTTTTTGCAGTCTTACCTCCAGTTTACGACGATGCAGGAGGCCCAGGCGGCGAATCGGAATGCGTTGAGTTTGGCGCAGATTACGAATGTGACAATGGTGTTTGTGCCGCTTTCGACTATTGCGGCGATTTTCTCCATGACGGATGATTTTTTGCCGGGCGAGAGTAAGGGGTGGGTGTTTTGGGTTACGGCTGTGCCGGTGCTGTTGCTCACGTTTGCGATTACCACTGAGGCGAGGACGTCGCTGCGATGGTATTGGAAGATGTGTACTGAGAGACAAGTGAGGGAGAAGGTGAAGGGGAAAAATATCGTGTAGGCGATTGTTGAGCTGATGCCAGATGTGCTTCGTTGATTCCATGCTGGCGCGAAAGAAGTGGGAAGATAACAACACCTACCTTCTCAGGTATGTCGCTGATCTTTGCGACTGGCGTAAAATTCTCGCCAGTTGTTCTACTAGATGATTCTTGAACAGCTCGTGGTCGTTCCTGTTGCAAAAATTTGTCATGAAGGGACTGCTCCTGAAAGCTCTTTTCGATCGCTGATCTACAACTGTAATAGGAGGTGTTCAACTATTTCATCGGGGTTGTTTTCAAGATGATCTTCATAGGTTTCCTTGCTTAAGTGGCCAAATGCCATATTGCTATACTATATACCAGACTGATTTCTGAGTCTTGAGCGATTGCTCCATTCGAACAGTTACATGGAACTATGTCGCTATCCTTCAATCGAGCAATAGCGCAAGCCATCACGTATTTTGCATATTGTGGCAGAACAAGACATCCCATTCAAAAGATTAAGTGCAACCCATAATCGGGGGAAATAACCGCTGAGAAGCAGTCGCTAGAGTGTAATCGATCGAAGAAGGTAAACTATCTGTGCTGAATAAAAATCCTATTTTGTACCCGCAAATCGATCACGTGCTAATGCAGCACGATATGTAGTCTTTCGTGGCGGAGATAAGGCTTTCAATTTCTGTACAAGAACCTCTCTTTCGGCCCAATATTGGCTCTCCTCTTGGTTAAATCGCTCGGTTTCAGCCACTTCAGGTGTCGTTTTCCGGAATTCTGCGCGCTTCTGAAGCCGTTTCTCATCCAAAGCTTGTATATCTCTTTTGAGTTCCGTTTGTTCTCTAGAGGATGTGAATTGACCACTGAGGACGTGAGGAGCTGAGATGGCTAGTACATGTCAATGGTGTTTGAGGAAGGCGAAAATGTAGCTTACTATCGGTCTCTGGTTGAGAAAATCGCGATGAAGACACTCATCTTTTTAATTTCTCCTTCGTATTCACAGCCAACTGCTCTATAGTCCGAAGATATGCAATCAGCGCCAAGCTAGCAGCCATGTTCGTGGCCAATGGTAGCACCGAGCTAATGTCCCGTTGAAAGATGTTAAAATTCTTAATAATGGCCTCGTCGAGAAAAACCTCAAAGCGAAGAGACTTGATACACTGCGTCCATTAAGACGCAAGTGACTTTGTTGGCTGCATTCCCAACGGCACATAAGCACAGCGATTGTTTCCATCCTATAGGAAGAGTAGCGGAAATAGGTTGTTGATTGCAAATACAGGAGCATTTTGATTCCGAAGATCGCAGTATAGAATTTGGAGACGTTGATACACAGGAATGCGCTAGGAGCTGGGAGCTGTTTCATGAGGCTGCAGAGGGTGGAAGCAGTCCGCGGCAGAAGGCTCGGATGGATCTTGTGCTCGAAGTACGACAGAAACTAAAAGAATATAGTAAGTTTGAGGCCGTGATGCTATAGAGATCGTATGACTAATGTGTTGGTAGGAGAGGCATTGATGTTTGAAAGAACACTTGCATCTCTCGGGCCACCACCAGTGCGCACATTCGATGCTATCAACCATGCTGCGATCAGATACGATAAGGCTCTAGAACAGCGAGAGCCCATTATGATCGGCTCCAGCGCAAAGCTCTACACCACGAACGAGGATCTCGTGGTCCTAAAGCAGTCAGAATTTGAGGATAGGCTGACGAGTTTTGTCCAGCGATATCTCCCAGTGTTCTTCATGGTAATATAAGTGCATCTCATTTGCAACCAAGGCTCATATCTTCTAGGCGGAGAGACGTGACGACAATATGGCATATATCCCAGAGAAGCGAATAGCTCGATTCGTGACCGTTCTCGGCATCTTGATCACAGTAATTCTACTGTTCGTCGCTATCCTGGCTCTTTATTTTATCTTGAATCCAACTGTCAAGCTCATCATGGTTGGAGTTTTTATGCTGCTCTTCGCTGGTAGCGTGGGCCTATTCACAACTGCGAAACGATCTGAGGTGTTTGCAGCTACTGCCGCGTGAGCTACTAGTGATAGTATTTGTGAGCACCAGCTGATGTTTACGCAGCTACACAGCAGTCCTTGTTGTTTTCGTAAGTGGTAATCTGGGATCTGACCCATGGCTGTCTGGTTTGTGGAGTGGTGGCAATTGCACGTGTACAGGTTCGAGCTAAGTGCTTTTTTGAAGTAGTAGTAGCGGTTTTACATATCCAAAAAACATAGGGTGAAGGGTAGAACAATGCCTAAAACTCACCACAACACCAAAATAAACACCAGCGACGTAATATCGTACTTTACTGCCTCCGAAAACAGACCAACAATCTCCCTCGACACTCAACTGCATGCTGTGTCGCACTCCTGGACTATCTATGACGGTAAAAAAATGTAAATGTAAAAAAAAAACATACAACAGCGGGGATTCGCCAGTGGTCACCCACCTGACTACTAGTCCGCCGATTTCAAGCTTGAGTACCGCTGAGCGAACGGGAAGCGCTAAGGTCTTGAATCTGTGGTCGTATGTGAAAGAATAGAAAGCTGCCAAAAGTTACATAACAAGGTGTTGAGGTTGCGCATGTAAAAGCTATTACATACGCAAGGGAGGCACGTGATTTTGCCGACGCAATGGGACTGGAAGCAATGACGAGCATCAAATCGGGAGCCGTATGATAAGTAGAAAAGCATTCTAGAAACTTTGAACAGTTGATTGACTTGGTATAAACAAGCTTCATACATATCAATCGCTTGTGTACAAAGGAGCTCCAATCCCTGGTAATGCAGTTATCGTCGTCGCTCCTATATGAATTAGCATCTAATAAATATTACTCTAGAAGTAGACAATTTGCCTCAAAATCCCGTCTCTCATTAGAGAAATATACATGCCGGCCCCTTCTAGCCCCCGAGTTCGTTCTTGCTTCCTCTTGCCCTGAGAATTTATCGCCTCTCCGCGAGCTGTCGTTTATATATCGTGTGCGTTCATCGGGTGAAAAACTCGTAGACTCGAAATGTGGATGTCTCGCATTTGTCAATTGCTTCTCTTCACGCTCTTGTGAACGCTCAAGATCCGCTATGCGTCGTTGACCAGCTAGCTCAATCATTCTTTCCGCCTCGCGCGCTGGTATAGGAACGCTGGAGCCCCATTCGCCGGCTGCATCGCAAAAATTGATGATATTCAGTCTTTTGACTGGCTTAAGTAAGGTGATGAACACGTTATCAGGTGTATTGATTCACTTACCATCCGTCATCTCCCCTGGCTGCTCCGCAACGCCGCGCTGTCGGGACTGGTACATGGGCTGATCTGGATTCATCTGCATAAATCTGATAGGATACTGGGGTTGCTTCTTCATCCGAGATACTACTGCTGGATATATCTGAAGGTAGTCGTCTTTCTGACGGCCTGATATCTTCGCCAGTGGGTAGTCATTACTGAAGGGCGCTAAGAAGTTGACAAGCCAAATGATGTCTGCATCGCGGCCTGGGTAATATTCAAGTCCTTCAAGCAGTCGCTTTGCTAGATGTAGCGCGAAGAGACCGACGATGATGAAATTTGGAGCTGGCGGCGGAGATGAGGGTCGAGCGGGAAAGCGTGGTGGTGCTGATGGCACGCGCCCAACATCGGGGACTGGTGATAGGTTAGGTCGATGTTGCTGCATGGTCTGTAATTGTTGTGTGAGGCAAAACGAAGAGGCACGGAGTGTGAAATTCAGTAAGGGAAGTCGCTCGTATGGTCTTGGCAGCAAACGGTGGCAGCGGCATGTGCACTGAGGTAGATGCGAGCTCGAGTCGTGAAAGCATTGAAGTCAAGGAAAGCGGCCCTTAGGTATGGTGAAAATCAACTCTTTGTCTGCTCGATTTTTATTTGTATTCTATAGCATAATGTCCCGTCTAGACTGTGTGATTATCATATACGTGTCTAGTACTGAACTTCTCTGTGAAGACTTAGATTGCTGGTACTTCAAACCCTATCCTAGTCACATTCGCACTTATCACTCACAACTAATTTGACCCGTGAAACTGCCTCAGGGAACCACGTCGTATTAACCCCACCAAGCCATTGCCGTCAAGAGCTATAAATCTGGGTATCAGTGATTTCTATCCCCAGAATCGCATCAAGATAAGGAATCGTTGCAAGCACATGAGCATAAAAAAGCCGATGAACCCCAGTCCAATGTCCACAACCAAGCAGGACGTGTATATGTGTGTGCTGGGGAAAAGAAGAAAATAACCCATCATCGTTCCCGGCAACGCCAAAACCATGCATGTCATCAGGTCGTGTCAACGCAGTGTTTCTACTGAGTCGCGCACTGAGGACCGCCCTCGCCCTCCTCATCGTCTTCCCACTCGGCGCCACCAGCTCGTGGGTCACCACTGCCAGCTCCAAACTCTTCCATGTCAGCGTCCCACTCGACTTCGACTTCCTCGACGTCTTCATGCTTTTCCTCGGGCTTCTCATCCTTGGGCAGAGCATCGCGGACCTTTTGCACGGCGGCTTCGCTCTTGAGCCATCCATCTTGAGGGAATTCGACATCCACTACAAGGTATAGGTCGCCCCTAATGTCACTCTTCTTATTTGGCATACCCTCGCCCTGAATCTTGAGTACCTGCCCTGGTCGGAGAACATTTCCGTTGGGTTGTTGGACGTTCATCTTGATACCTCTTCCATCAAGGTGAGTGACAACAACTCTGTTGAAGCCTGTAAGAGCTTCGGCCAAAGTGACCTTGAGTTCACAACGGAGATCAGCGCCTGCACGCTCAAATACATCGTGAGGTGTCTCAGTAAGAGTGAAGATGATGTCGCCGGGCTCCTGATCAGGCAGTTGGTCCGCCTCTCCTGCTAGCACGATCCTCTCGCCTTCTCGGGCACCGCGAGGAATGTAAAGCTCAAGAACATTCTTAGTCTCGACGACCTTGTTGCCCTTGCACTTCTTGCAGCGCTGCTTCTCGGGAATGACTTGTCCAGAACCTTGGCAGTTGCCGCAAGGAACAGTCTCTTGAGTGACCAGACCAGGACCGACTTGGCGGAGTACCTGTTTGGCACCTGCAAGGGTTAGTTAATAGTCCCGAGTGAAATGTAAGAGTAGCATACCCCTTCCGTTACACACAGCACAAGAGTTGCTCTTGGCACCCTGCTTGCCGCCACTGCCTTTGCACAGGTTGCAGACAATGTTCTTGGTGTTTGTGAACTTGGTCGTCTTGCCCTTGTATAGTTCCTCCAGCGAAACCTCGTACTCTTGCTCTACTGACCGTCCCTTACGAGGTACGTGGCGCCCGCCAGGCATTCCTCCCATACCGCCCATACCACCCATTCCAGGCATGCCTCCGAAGCCGCCCATGCCACCAAACATTTGCGCAAAAATGTCATCAATGTCTGGGCCTTCGCCGCCCATTCCTCCCTTGGACGGGTCAAAGGCGGCCATGCCGTGGGTGTCGTACATTTGGCGCTTGTCATCATCGGAGAGAATCTCGTAGGCTTGCTTTGCAGCCTTAAAGCGGATCTCGGCTTCTGCACGATCTTCCTCTGCGACCTTATCGGGATGATGTGCGAGTGCAGCCTGGGTATGTTAGATGCGTCGCTTTATGCGTCGCCCGCCTCTGCCTACGCACTTTGTGATAGGCCTTTTTGATTTCGACCTTGGTTGCGCCCTTTTCGATCTCAAGGATCTCTGTCTCTGTTAGTTTGTATACACCTCAGGCAAGCATGTAGGCGCACCGTAGAGATCGATTTCTTCGTCCACTGCGCTTCAGTCAGCATGTAATCATAGCGTAATGAACAGAAGATACGTACTCTTGTGAGGAGTCTATGAACGGGAAGGTTAGGGTAGAGGGCAAAAAAGTTTGCTTCAAAGGTATATGTACAAGAAGAAAGGGTGCAACGTGCAAGGCTGCCAACCAGGAGTCGAGTAAAGGTAAGGGCAACAAAGTTTCTCCAGAGAGGCCGATCAGTCTGCAATGCGGGCAAAAGTTCAGACGCGCCCGCACTAAGGTCAAGATAGAAGAGATCCCTGTCTGACATTTTGCACACGCGGACCGGCAGCTTCTGGTCGCCGTCGCATTACCACCGCCATGTCTGTTTCGCTTCTTCTTCGCCCGCAATTCCCTGCTTATACATGCCGCTCATGTCTCCTGCGAATATCACGGGGCTCACGGCGCCAGATCAGCTCAAAGGCACCGAAGGACCAGAAAAGTAAAACAGCCTTGCCATCGTTTCCTGCACGGACGCGCTTCGCACCATCACCGACTGGCTACCTGCACCTGGGATCACTACGGACAGCGCTATTCAATTACCTCCTTGCCAAGCGTACAGGCGGACAATTTCTCCTCCGGATAGAAGATACGGATCAGAAGCGCACAGTGCCCGACGCTGAGCAGCGACTCTTTGACGATTTGCGATGGGCGGGGCTACAGTGGGATGAGGGGCCACAAGTGGGAGGGCCATACGGGCCATACAAACAGTCAGAGAGGAGCGAACTGTATAGGAAGCATGCGCACGACTTACTGGAGTCGGGCAATGCGTACCGCTGTTTCTGTTCAGCAGAGCGCTTGAATGCGCTGGCCCAACACAGGCATAAGCTTGGGATAGCCACAGACTACGACCGCACATGCGCCCCGATATCCAAAGAAGAGAGCGACGACAGAGCCTCAAAGGGAGAAGCGCATACCATCCGTCTCAAAGTGCCCGAGCAATATCCAACCTACAAGGACCTCATATACGGCACTTTTCACCCCCTCAAGCGACGCGGCCATGTCACCGAAACCGCCTACGAAGACCCCATCCTCCTCAAGTCAGACGGCCTACCTACATACCACCTCGCCAATGTCGTCGACGACCACCTCATGAAAATTACGCACGTCATCCGCGGCAGCGAGTGGATGCCCAGCACCCCCAAACACATTGCCATGTACCAAGCCTTTGGCTGGGACCCCCCAGAATTCGCCCACGTAGGCCTCCTCGTCGACGAGCACGGCAACAAGCTCAGCAAGCGCAACTTCGACACCGACATCGCCGCGTTCAAGGAAATGCAAATCTTCCCCGAAACCCTAACAAACTTCGCCGCCTTGCTGGGCTGGAGCCACAAAGAAAAGACCGATGTAATGGACCTCGAAGCACTAATCAAGAACTTCTCCTTGAAATTTACAAAGGGAAACACAACAGTTACATTCGGTAAACTGCACTTCCTCCAACGCAAACACGCCCTCCTTCGCGCCCAAAACGGCGGTCCCGCCTTGGATGAAATCATCGACAACATCGCCACCTTACTCACCAGCCCCGATTCCCCTTACAGCAACTGGAAAGCCGTCGTCAACTCCTCCTTCCCCCACGAGTACATAAAACGCATCGTGCAAGTCGACGCCGAAAACTACACAAACGCAAACGAATTCCTCTACCGCAACTCCTTCTTCTTCATACCGCTACGTCCATTCCGTAATGCGCCGCCCGTAGCTACATCGTCGGATATCCCTATGCGCGCGCAGATGCTGGCGCAGGTGGAGGGGAAGGACTGGGATAAGGAGCATTTGATGCAAAAGGTGCGGGAGATCATCGATGCGAGGGAGGAAGGCAAGAAGGGGGGTAAGGATGTGTATCATTATTTGAGGAAGACGATTACGGGACAGGAGGAGGGAATGCGGATCTTTGATGTCATGTTGATTTTGGGGCGTAAAGAGACGCTGGCGAGGTTGGGGTGCTAAAAGATGGGAATATGATGCAGACAGATTATGTCTGCTTCGCTGAATTGTATGATACCAGTGAGCAGATTTCGTGTCATGATACTATGACAGGTTTGTATTGAATTTAATACACTACCCTCTGTAATTCTATAATTCGATCAGAATAATCCCCTTTGCAACGCCGTAAACGCCTTGCCATGCTGTCCAGTCATTGAATATGTTCGCACACCTCTTCGACCTGCAACATCACGAAGTCTCCATTTCAACAACGTCTGGACTCTTGACCTCGCCTTCACTCGGCAAGCTGAATACCTTGTCTTTGACCTGTGCTGCCAGCAGACCCATATCTTCTTCACGCGCAATCTTCGATCCTACCGCACCGAGCTTGGTCAATTGGTTTTTGACTTCGAGGCTATTCGAGTAGCCTTGGCCGCCCTTGAAGCGTGAGCTATTGTGTGACTCTTGCTGCATCTTGCGTGCCAGATCGGAAATTTGCTTGGTGCCGTATTCGCGGTTTGAGATTAGGGGCGATGACGAGAGCGTCTGTACCCAGTACTTGTTCCAGAGGGCCTCGAGCAGTTTGGCGTCCAGAGAAGACTTGTAGTGCGAAACCTCCAAAGAATAGTAGTGACTGGCGTGAGCACCAAAGTCCTCAATCTTGCCCAGCGGAATCGTTTCGAAGCCATCGCTATCTGTACCTCCTGATACCTTTGAACCGCCTGACTTTTGCTGATTCTCGACATATTCGGTCGAATATGTGCGGAAAGCGCCAATCTCGACCTTGCCTGCAGAGATGGTTCGATCGGGGTCGATGACGATGGCACAGAAGGGATCTTGGAATTGCTGCTGCGTTTTCTGCGTGTTGACATCGATACCAGATAGCCAACATCCATAACCAGGATGCGAGTGGTACCAGCCCACTGCATTCTCCATTTGCCCTTGTTCGCGTGCTCGCTGCAAGAACTCGACCATGTACTCGTTTGCCTCATCCTGTGCATTGACTCGTGTCTCTGTTCCTTCGACAGGTAGCCGGAAGGCGTCTGTGACGACAAAAGTGTGTGCTTCAATCTTGCCCAGCATCAAGCCCATGACCTCAAGTGAGCCACCTGAACGCGCGTGCATAACCATCTTGAGGAGGGCGATGGCGGAGATACGGACCGAAGTAAAGTAGTTAGGGTCGGTTCGCCATGGGTGCGCCTCGTTGATTGCTTTCTGAGCAACAGGAGAGTAGTTGTATAGTGCATCTTTGCTGGGATCCACGAGCTTTATCGAGTTCTCGAGCTCTGGGAGATGTATATTAGTGACCTGGTCGAGTGGCGGGGCATGCGGGGCGCACATGACGCTGTGCTATAGAAGAATCACGCTTACTCACCCCAGGTCTTGAGTGCGGTACCCATTGTGCAGTGATTCCAGAAATGGTACCGCAGAGACGTGTTGTTTGGTTTGCTGGTGGTTGGAGGTGGGGAACTATAGAGGAGTGGGATTGCGGGGAGCTCGGGAACGCCAAGACATGACCAGGCACCAGCATATGTCAGTGTATGTTCATTGTCAAAAAGCAAAACCCAAATGTAAGTCGAAATCCTATACAGTTGAATTTCCTCATTTTTATAGTAAATTCAATTGAACATCGAGTCTGACCTACTCAAACACTACACTCTAGACCTCCAAACTCTCTCATCTTGCTATTGTCTACTTGATCCTCCGCGACTGATCCCCCCACCCGGACCGCTCGTTCATCTTCTTAGCTTCTTCCTCCATTTTCTTAACCCACCTCTTGGTCAATTCGTCATTCTCCTTGCGCAGCTTCTCCTTCTCCTGCTCTGCCATGTTCAGCTGCAAGTTGAGCGCCACCATTTCGTCGTGCACGTCCTCTACAAGTCTTCCTTTGCCCTTGAGTTCCTCAGCCGTATCCCTGGCTCGCCTTTCCAATGCCATGCGCGTCTTTTCCAGATGTTCTATGCGCCGTCTCTGTTCCGTCTCTGTGGTTTTGAGGGCAGAGAGTTCAGCAGAGGTGGCACTGAGCCGTGCTTCGAGGTCACCGCGGGTGCGCTGAGTGGCCGCAAGTTCGGCGCGGAGTTGCGCAACTGTAGAAGACGGTGCGGCATCTGTTGTAGCGGAGCTTTTGCCTTTGTTTTTGCCTCTGTGCGTCAGAGCCTTGAGAGAAGCGCTGGCAGATAAAGGTTCTTCGGCGGGGACTGCTGGGGGTGCCAGGCTTGCTGTGTCATCGGCGAGCTTCGTATCTGCATATCATGAGCTCCACTCGACGCTTCAGCTCAGCGCAGCGCAGGCAAAAGGCCTCTTACAGGCGTTGACGTAGACCTCGTGCGCCTTCTCCCTAGCATCACGCGCGTCCAGTGCAGCTAGATAGTCCTCGAGCGGATTACTCATGGCGGCAGGCCAAGTTGGTTGTAGCGAAAGTAACAGTACGCCAGGCCTGTCGTTACCATGGTGGTTGGCTACATGGGGTGGGCTGGAGATAGTCACGGAGGTGTGAGTTGGCGGGGGATGCGGCCTTCTCGGAGGTCGTCGCTGCTCCGATTCGATCTCTACCGGTACTAGCGTCAATCGGAAAACATTGAAGCTCCTACAATCATTCTCACACCACTATTAGCTATTTTTCTTTTTCTTTCTCATCTGTTGCTGCATCCGTCTTCAAAAACTACATCCGAAATGCCGCCCACACACATCTCTGGAACCTCGCGTGCACTGTACCGCGTCTTCATCGCCCCATCTCTGCGCACCACAACTTCAATCCCACTGTTGTACGCCCCAGCATTTGCGCCTTCAGTATCAGGACCTACATCTTTCGCCTCCTCAACACCCAGCCTCACCTCGCGGACCTCAATCCGCACAAAGAAGTACACCAAAGACACCCGTCGCCATGCAATATCAGACTACTACATCATCGACAACGCCATTGAAGCCGAGCGTATAAACCTCGTAGACGAAAATGGCACATTCCATAATGACGTCCCGACTGAGGAGGCACTGGCCTGCGTCAACAAAATCACGCACCACCTGGTACAAATGACACCAGGAAAAGTCGATGAATACGGACAGCTCGATCCCGAGAACCTGCCTACCTGCAGAGTCATTTCCAAAATGGATCTTCGCGCTCAACATGAACGCAAACTTGAGACGCTGCGCCGCCAGGCAAAAGGTCAGGGTGCTGGTCCTATTCCAAAGTCTCTTGAACTCAATTGGGCTATTGCGCCCGGTGATTTGAAACACCGATTGGAGTCTCTGAAGAGGTTTCTCAAGGAGGGGAGGAAGGTCGAGGTTTTGATGGGGCCGAAGAAGAAGGGGAGGAAGGCGACGCCTGAAGAGGCGGATGCGGTTATCAACGCTGTTAGGGATGCTGTGGGAGAATGCAAGGGGGCTCGCGAGGGCAAGAGCGAGGGGCAGGTTGGAGGGGTAATGACAGTGATCTTTGAAGGGAGGAAGGTGGAGAAAAAGGTGGAAGAGAAGGCGGAGGATGACGCGGCGTGAGGTTTCTGGGTCACCGAATTCGATAACAAGCATCGGCTGTGCTTCTCAAAGCTAAACGCCGAGTCGCGGTCAGTATGAGAGAAGAAAGGAAGCATCAGCGCATGCAACATGTAACACCATCACCTGCCATCTCGCATGGTATGTAAATGATCAAGCCACGACTCAGGAGCATCTATAGATACAATTGTACAATAACACATACACTTCTGAACAAGAAGCCTATATCCTCTTTTCTTCCTTCGCTGCTTCAACTGCTGAAGTCTCAACTGCATCCACATCTTCAACACCCTCTGCACTCTCAGCCTCGATCTCAGCCCTCTTCGTCGCAAGCGCCTCATCACACGCCCGAATATCCTCTTGCGCCTTTTGCTTTGCCGCAAAGTTACCGTTCAGATTTGCGACAACAGATTTCTGCTTTGCAACCTCGAGTTGCGCTTCGAGCAACGCCACCTCCACGTCATCGACGTGCGTCCTCTCGATGCTAGCTGCTTCAAGTAGCTCCTCTGCCTTTTCCAGCTCGCCACTGAGACGAAGAGCCTCGACGCGGTGCTCATGGACTTGTGCAGCGAGCAGCGCAGCCTCGTACTGAACTTCTAATTTCTCAACTTCCAGCTGGCGCATTTCGATCATGAGTTCCTCTGCTTTTTGGCGGGACGTCTCAGCAGCGGTGTTAACGACGTCATCCTTGATGTTGATTTGGTAGTTCAGGGTTTGGATGCGGGGGAAGCGCTCGGGTTCACTGTGGTTGAGGTAGTCGCTAAACGACTGGCCTGTCTTCTCTGCGAATTGGATTTCCTTGGCTTCAGCGAGGAGGTTGTAGGCTGAGATGGTGAGCTCGGTGCGCTTAGAGCCTGAGGGGAGGGATTCGGCTTCAGCGTAACGTCTTGTTGCTGTGTCTTCATATGCTTCAGCGCGGAGAGCTTCTTTTTCATTGGGATCAGCGAGGGAGAGGTTGCGGAATTCTTCCCAGCCGATGACGGATTCGAGTTCTGAAGGGGGTGATGACCGGATGAGGCTCTTGTGCCATGGCTGGAGCGCCTTGTGTGTGAGGTCTTCTTCGTGGGAAAGAAGAATGTTGTGCAAAGCGTCACGCTCAATAATGACGCGAGAGAGCTCTAGCAAGTTCTTGACGTCGACCTCCTCCCATGTGAGAGTTTGCTCGCCGCGGTCCATCTCAACGAGCGCTTGTTCCAACAACGGTCGCTCCTCCAAAGTCACCATCAAGCTGCGGCCTTTACCCCGCAGCTTCTCGTGGTGCTTGAAGATATCGCTCAGTAATCTTGTCGATGGGCTTTCAATCTCCATGGCATTGTCAACGATAATGAGTTCGCCCTTTCTAAAACGATATGACAGTGCCGTCCGCCATGCAAGGTCATATACCTTCTTCGGCAACTCTGACGAAAAATCGCGGGGCTTAGGACCGAATGCGACTCCACCTCCTCTCAACATGGGCGACTTCTTGTCTCCTAGACGAGCGCGACCTGTACCCTTTTGTGGCCGGATCTTTCTTGCTGAACCGCGGATCTCATGTCTGGTTTTCGTAGAGGCAGTTCCCAACCGAGTCATGTCACCCTCATAAACGACAGCACGATGTAGTATGTCTCGTCGGGTAGGCAGGTAGAGGTGATTTGCAGGATATTGTTCGAACCGTAGTGGCTCCAATGAGGGGAATTGGTGGATAGTCGCCAAGACGGTCTGCTCCTCAAACGGTTTGACAGGGACATAGTCGGCGCCTGGTTGTCTGATTGTTGATATCGTGGCATTGGCTGGCGCAGACGTAGTTATGGAGCGGGCAGAGGGTGTGCATAGAGATTTCTGTAAGGCGTTAGCAAGTCGCATGCCACGAATATGAGACTACTCACAGCGCAACGAGTACACAGCGCATTCTGCCGTATCGGTAGTCTTCTCAATTGCAATGTGGCGCCCCGTATCGGCGCGGATAACCTCGAGGAAGCCATGCCGGGTCGGGTATCCAAAAAAAAGCCCCAAGGTTGAAGTCGCGGAGTTGAGGGCGGAGGTTTCGGAGCACGGGCCGTCGCCCATCACCACATTTTCTAGCACCACCATCACTCGGCACATCGACACCAGGCCATCGCCCGCCATGGCCTCCACGCCGTCCGTACGCCAGTTCAACGCATGCCTGAGATGCGTGCGACAGCTGTCTGGCGCCATTGGTGCGCGCCGTCTGCTTTCGACCTCCGCTGTGGCCCATGAAGAGGTGCAGACGAAATCTGCGAATGCGACTCGGCCTCCCCCGCCCTCGAACCCCCCCGAAGGTGCTGCCCAGAATGCATCTTCCCAAGCAGTACCCGAGTTCATGCAAAAATGGGGCACACTAGACCCTCAGATGGTGGAGAACAAGAAACAGGAGCGCCGCCTGCTACGGAGAGAACATGTGCAGCCAGTTGGATCTCGCCGTCGTCGTGCTGCTCTTCGCCGTTCTGCGATACAGAAGGCGACAGAGATTCCCTTTGAACAATTGCCTTATCAATGTTTCCAAGAGGCTCGCAAGTTTTTGTTAGAAGACAGACAAGAGAAGATCAAAGAGATTGAGACGCAACAGCTGCGAATTAAGAACTTAATGGACCAGGACCCCAGTGTCAGTGGTGGGCCCGCGGCCAAGGAGCATAGGTTACGGAGTATGCGAAAGCATTTGAACGAATTGATCATTCTGGCCGATATCAATGACCCAGTGGTCAAGCGAAAGTTTGAGGATGGACAGGGTAGGTTACATGTCTGGTTTTCTGGGCTTGACTGACCACTGTGAAGGTGACATGAACAAGCCCATATATCGATACCTTGCCGACAAGAAGTGGCGGCAGTACAAGCGCCTCGTTCTTGAACAGCGTGTCACACAGTTGGCCATTATTCCAGATATTCTTCCCTCCTTGGACCTTGTAGCAGATATCGATCTCGGTTTCGGTAGGAAGTCGGTTGCACCAGGCGACTTTGTCGACTCTGCCATCAGTGAGAAGATGCCTCGACTTAACGTTCAGATGTTCACCCCGGGTGAGAAACTCGTCACAGTTGTGGTGGTGGATGCGGATGTGCCTGTCCCAGAGACTGACAGCTTCACCTACCGATGCCACTTGATTGCCTCCAACATACCCCTCTCCCCCAACAACACATCTATACCTCTTCAACGCATCGCCCAAGAAGACCAAAAGGTCGAGGATCCTAGCGCAAAGAAGATTGCGCTGCCCTGGATTGCGCCCTGGGCTCACAAGGGTGCGCCATACCATCGTCTAGGAATCTTTGTCTTTGAGCAGAATGCTGGTCAGGCGCTTGATGTTACCAAATTCAACGACGTCAAGCGCATAGGGTTCAACCTGCGCAGTTTCACCGACTCGAACAAGCTCCACCCTATCACGGCTACGCTTTTCAGAACCAAATGGGACGACAGCATGGCAGGTGTCATGGAGCGAGCTGGAATGAAGAGTCAGATCAATGTCGAATTTAAGAGGAAGAAGGTCGAGCCTCTTCCATACAAGAGAAGGACAGAACGCATGCGATGAGCGACCTGTAAGAGCCAAGCCGGAAGAGCGGGTGCACGATGTAGATTTATGTACATTATATAGTACCTTGACGCACTGTACTATTACAATTCAAGTGAGACATATGTGTTATGGTCCGAAGAGTGAAATCCATGAGGGTGCATGGGCCCAAAGGTTGAGCACACGGAGGTCGCTCCTTCCATTTTAAGTGTGTCAATGTCTCTCACTCACCCGCCCTAGTATATCAGCGTCGCCTACCGCCCGCTACCTTCTTTTCTCACGTATCGTGAAATGCCTTCTGCAACTGGATAATCGTTTTTACCATCATCTTTCATCTACATCATCATCATATCGTAATCGTCTCTATCCCATATCGCGTTTTTATCACAGCTTCGATACACGACACAGTAATGGACCCGATTGCCACTAAAAATCCTTCAAACTTTCTACCATCTCAGCAACAGATGGCCCTTGCTATTGCCATCATCAGATGTAAACCCGCCGGAGTGCCATTACGAGGTTGGTAGATGTCACTGAAACGCACTGCAAATCAACTAACAAGACAAGAACACATTCTCCACCTACGATCCCAGATAAAGCTTGGCCAAGACCCAAGAGAAAGAGCGAACCCGGGATGTTACGTTGATCAAGTTGCCTACTGGAAGGAACGATGCAAACGAGCAGAAGATGAATGTAACCGACTTCGCAATGTCAACATCAAGCTTGAGAGATCGAACCAACTGCTGTCGAATCAACCAAGCAAGAATTCAGACCTCGAAGCAGACGCCAACATTCGGCCGCCATCAGCAACGAGAAATTTAAAGCGACCAAAGCAGACGCAAAAGCGGGCCCATGACCCAGTTGCTGCTGCACAAGGAATCATCGATCAGGATTTGGATTTCCTGGAGGTTCTTGGAAAAGACGGTAGCACTCTCATGGAATCACTGTTCAGCGTTCATTCGCTATGCAGAAATAGCGATCCTGATGCCAGCACATTCTGTTCACATCTGATAAGCAGTGCTTCAGCCATGGGGAAAATCATAATGTTCATTGCCCAAAATCACGGCTCTCTAGCTCAACAGGGACACAAGAACTCTGGTGGAGCAACTTCCCTAGACAAAGATAGATCAGATTTTGCTAATGCACTCTCGGTGTGCGCCAGAACTTTCATGTCTATATTAGTCGGGTTAAACAAGCTCACAAAGTCAGAAGCTGACAAGAGACTAGCAAATTTGGTTGTTTGTGAGCTGGCAGACATGTTCAAAGTGGCACTCAGGGCTATCGAGATATCCGCTCGGCTCACTGCACAAAGCTTTCTCTTGCAGCCACCTGCCCAGAAGAAAAGCAAAACAAAGACATCTTCAAATACCGTCAAAGAGTCTAGTCCAGCCAGAGCAGTCGCACATCTCCTCATCGGTTTTCTGGGACTTCTCGAAAAGAATGACGACGTTCATCAACGGGTCTTCGACGGCTTCATCTTCGTTCTTTTCGAACGCGTCGGCAGGAGACTCTATTACTCAACCTTCGGCCAGCACCGCTCTTCCTGTATCGAAATGAACATCCTACCGATACCTGAAGTAAAAGATGTAGTTGAGGCCTCCAAGAGAGATTGTGATGCACTCGCCATGCGTTTGGAGGCCAAAGCACTCATTCTGATCCTTGAGCGAGCCATGGGTCTGGCCCCAAACCACATGAACTCACAGAGCCTTCGAGCACAGCAGAATCCAAATCGAGTCACTCGTACAATGAGTATCAAGAATATCGCTACTACCTCGAGGGCCCGTCTAAGTCCTCTTGCGAAAGATCGACTGCAGCGCACGCTTGTTGCTTGCATGTATGGACATAGTACTGATGATGAATTTTTGGACATTCTTACGAAGCCGATGCCTCAAATGCGTCTAGGTTCGTTGCAGAATGTTGCCAGGGTGGAGGATGCAGACGTTGAGACATGGTACAAGGAGGAAGTCTGGCGGCTTGTTGGCTGGGATATTCTTGCGCGGGAGAGTGGATGGTGAGGTGTGCGTCACTTCGGAAGAAACTCTCTATATAGCTTCTTCAAATAGTGGGGATACGGTGGTCTCAAGTGTGAGCTTTTAATGCTTCAAAAGAACATATTGTATGTACGTAGTTACTACTATTTACTCAAGCAAGACAAAAGCGCTGCCACGATATACCATACACCCTATACTATCAAAAACAACACACCCTTAACAACCCCTCTGGATCTCATAAATGTTCCCTGCCCTCATTCAACCTCTTTTCCTCTGCATACGCCGAAACCTCATCAAAATTCCGACAAACATGAATCGCCCCCGTCCCATCTGTGCCCGGCACATGCTCGAGTCCGGGCGTCCTGGTCTGTCCCTCCAGCGTCGTATCTCCAAAGCACATGATAGCATTCCGTATATAATCGAAGCAATGGTCGTTGTGTAACAGGAAACTTTCATCGAGCTCGAAATCTTTTCTGCGGATCTGCATGACGAGGTCATCCATGGAGGCGGCGATGTGCATTAAACAGTGCAGCTCGTGGAAGACGGCGAGGGAGAAGACTTCTTTGCCGGGGGCTTCAGGGAAGTGCATTGGAGGGGGGAGCGTGTGCGAGGTGTACTCCGAGACTTCCATGAAGCCGGCACCGACTGTTATGGTCAGAATGGAGGATTGTTTCCGTGGGAAAAGGGGTAATTGCTTACGGGGGAGGAGATTGGTCCATTCTTTTTTTGTTTTGTTGACAGATTCCATTGTCTTGTGGTCGGATCTGAATCTCTTGTCGCTGCGAAAGATCTTCTTCTCGGTCGAAACTGGAGATGCATTAGAGGACTTTGTACTGGGGGTTGAATAGCTAACTTACAAACAGGAACAATGCTATTGAAATCCGTTCCTACTAGTACTGCTTTTGGTCGATTTTGAAGCATGGACAGTTCGCATAACAATATGGTGAATAACAAGAAGAATGTGACAGGCCAACGGAGAAATTCCAACTTTTCAAAGATTGAACAGCACCTATTTCGCCGAGGAGGTATGCGTTGATTCTCAAGAGAACTGTCTTGGGAGCTTTCGCTGCTCACTTTGGAATACCGGAAGGGCGACATGGTACAGCGGAGTGATAATTAGGTAAAACCAGAGGAACAGAATTAGAAAAGTACACTCGCGGGTGTTGGATTCAAGATCACGCGACTGTGACAACCGCAGTGCCGACCATCTGAAAGCTATTGGGCTGAAACCAGCTCTTATGTGGGGAGCCTATCAACATATCCAGCTTGCGTAGGTGTGTCTGTGTCAAGAGGGCTAAGCCTCTTCCTTTTGCCTTGAGCGTTATTCAATTCCCAATCGGGTAATCCCACCCCAAACCCCTAAAAGGGCTATTGAAACTCCTGTATTTGCGTCTGTCCTTAGTTATCAGCTTAGAAACTATCCATGAGATTCGCTGCTGAGTATGCAAGGGGCGACGGTGGCATTTTGAGTTTGTGAGTCCATTGCGCCACCGTGATCCTTCAGTAGCTTAATCTTACTCCAAGTTCTTCTCATCCGGAAAGCTCTCCAGGTAGCTCTCTAGAACATCAACCACATCGGCCTGGGCAGCTTTTACAGCTTTCTTTAACCCGCCCTGTGTGTTCTCTTGCTTCTTCTTTGCTCCCACTGCTCGACGGTGTGCACGGCTCTTGACATGTAATGTCCAGTCGTTTTCGGTAACAGCAACTGTTCCACACGTCTCGCAAACTTTCTTTTGCCAAAGATCTGGTCTTTGCCCGAGATCGTATTCCCGTTTTGGTGTAAGCATCTCTGCCGCAGTAGGCGAAAGTGATGATGGCGCCGGAAGAACCTCACCCGCAAGGAACTGCTTGGTGATGGTGGTTGCAGGCTGCGCAACATCAGTATCCCACTTCGAGATGTCGGATCCATCGACCAAGAAGGTATTGCTCTTCTGTCCCGAGCCGAGCAGTGCGTTGAGCAACTTGATGCGAACCCATTTGATCTGACGATTGGCATATTGGCGTGTAGCTGCTTGTGTCTTCTCGATGGCGGCTACTTTTAGTTTCTCAAGCTCTTGTGGTGGCATTGATTGATCTTCCAACGCATGCTGATATTCCAAGAACTCCTTGTAGCCTATTGATACCCATATACCACGAGTTTGATCCACGCTAATACCGGTCTTGGCTTCATACTGCTGGCCAAAACTACTTAACTCCTGAACTTCTGAGAGTAGACCTTTGTTTAACATCTTATCGACACGTCCATTAAGGCGACGGTGTAGAACGTCTTTATCAGCATGTACCCAAAACACCAAAGTCTCAAAGCGAAGACTTGGGCTACTAATGGATTGTGGAGCATCCAGCGAAGATGGGGAAGACTGGCGTTTAAGTCGCTGTTCATTGTACAGCTCAGACGCTGGTCGTCCTGTCCTTAGATATATCTCGAGCGAGCGTTGGATCTTACGCCGTTCGTTTGGGTGCCAACGCTCTGCCATGATAGGATCAACTTCCTTCAACTTTTCAAGGAGGACTTCAGTAGGCTCTTCCAATATTGGTAGCTTTTCACTGTTTTCGTTTAAATTTAATGCAGGCTCATCAGCAAGCGCATCTTGAAACAAAAGCGACTGCGTGTAATAATGGGTTCCGCCGACCAGGACAGGTAATTTGCCGCGGCTTCGGATCTCTTCAATCTGATATAGTCAGTGTCACGCCCTTTACGTGAGCTTGATTCATACTATGTTCATAGCCTCGCCAACAAACTTTCCTACAGTCCATGTCTCTTCTTCCAGACCGATGGAGCCCAGGAGGTGATGAGGCACGCCTTTCGCTTCATCTGGAGTAATCTTGTTGGTGATAATTGGCAAGCCCCGGTACAACTGCATTGCATCTCCATTGATAATCTCGCCATTGAATTTCCGTGCAATCTCCACCGCTAGCTGTCTACTGTGATCAGTTCTCGCTCAGCATGACTCAAGTTATTTTCGTTACATCTGATTTGCCTGTGCCAGTCGCACCCACAACGGCAATCAAAGGCTTTAACGGCGCTTGCGCCATCTTGCATGAACTAAACGATCTGATAAAACGAAACATGCATGGATCAAATGACGATGTAGAGGGGGGGGTCTGGAAGCTGAAAATGCTGGCCAGATTCGTGCGGGGATACGCTTTCCCGAATAGACACTAGCGCAGCCGATCGTGCCCCAGTTAGTTTTACCAATCGGCTGGAAGGGATGAACACGGTAACAAGTCGATTGGAGACGTAAAAGTCATACGACAACTACTCAGATGGCTGATACCCCTCACTCATTCACTTCTGCACCACACGATAATGCAAAGAAACGTGATAATCACGAGATAATCTGACACATGTTGGAGCCCCAACATATCCTGCTCGAACCAAGTGAGATATAAAGCAAGCAAGACACCCTCCTAACATCATAGTCCTTCAATATTAATATTATGTCTCATCAAACACCAAAAACGAACTTCTTACCTCTACTGCCACTAGAGATTCACTCACAAACCAAGAAAATCTCGCCTTCAACCAACAAAATGACACAACATGGCAGCGAACCACGCACAGAGACCACCCCCTCTTCTGGGCACCAAGACCGGAATAAAACAAGCCCAGGTCTTAGTCATGGAGCTGTAGACCAAGGAAAGTAAGACTGCCCCTCCCTAAAAGCCAGTGTGCTTTTCTCACAAAGCAGCGAACACCCAACCGCAACGACGGCAAAAGAAACGACTTCTGGTATAACCACAGAAGTCAATGAACTACTGAAGACTAGTTCCTGGCCTATTCCTCATGCTCGGGAGTATCAGAAGCATGCTTGGCATAGTTCTGTGCTAGGAATGGAGGCCAAGGTCAAGGACGAGTGGGGATTTTCCAGCGCAAATGTATCGCGTTCGCACACACCAAACCCAGTTTGCTAAGATGATTATTGTTAACGAAAAGTGTTTGTAAATTATTTGTGGCAATATGTAGTTTAGTGTAGCATTTCTTCTTGTCAGCGCTAGTGACTGTTTCCCCGCTTCTATGTAGTTAATCAAATAAGTTCGTGAGATATCGTAGCGATCGATCAAATCAAAACGGCTGAGTCTTCAACTAAGATGCATATGTATTTTACATGGAATTCTAACAAGTATCTAAGACTGCAGCATATTTCCAGGTCTATGTTTTGCTCATCCAGCACCCTAGTATCTGCTAGCATTTAGGGCCTGGATCTCCATGTCGAGTTCCTTGATATCATGTAATCTTTACTTTGTATCGACTTCCAAATGCCCCACAGACCTCCCAATGGCCAGATACCTCTCAACTTGAGACCCCAGTCCTTGTTGACCATTTCCGTGTACTTTTCAACATCTACATGTACCTTGTCATACACTTCTGGAAGCATCTCAGCATTGTATTTCTTTCTCAGTCCTTGATGCCATTTGTGGTCGAATTGGGTCCAGAATTCTTCTCTGCTATAGTACGTTTGCGCGTACAACCACTTCATACCACCCATCTCGCCAAGCATCTTCTCAAGGGCTCGGTTCTTCTGGAGGTAGGTCGCGGGATCGCTAGGTCCAAAGCCCCACAATCCAATATTGAGCATCTGGTCTGATTTGAAAGAGCCCTTCGTATGCGGGTGCATAGTCGGCTGGGGGCTTTGCTTAAGGGGGCAGAGCCACAGTGGCCAGATGTTGAATGTCTTGTCTGTGTACTCGATGAATTTCTCCGCATTCGGGTATGGCAGAGCCATGTCTTGTACAATGTAGCGTGTTGCGATTCCGGATGCATGCAAAGCTCGGTAGAGCATGCGCGTGTGCAAGAAGTCGTCGAGAAACCATCGGGTGTATTTGTTGAAGGGAAAGCGCATGTAGCTGAAGGCAGATCGTCCAACCCAGAATCCACCGCGATCGTAGCGGAACATGTACTCAGCCAATGGTATGTATTCTACAACCGGCTCGCTGGAATTTTGCGTTGCTTCTTCAACATGAAGATAAAACCACGGATCCCAGGGATTGCTAAATGTTTGCGGCTTGGTATCCGGTGGGAGTTCGTTGGTCATTTCGCCTGTGACTATAGCACCGTGATCTTTACTGAACAGCACACCATCCACATAGTCATTTTTAGCTCCCTTTTCGCCTTCAGTATGCTCCTTGACCTCTTTGATAGCCTGTGCCACATCGCGCGTAGGGTAGTATGTGGTCTTGACATACTTTTTGGCCTCGACAAGATTCAGATCTATCAGAGTGGTGACACCGAGAGTGCCGACTGCACCAGCAGCGCCCCGAAACAGATCTTCATTCTCTTTTTCGCTTGCCTTCATTACTCTGCCATCAGCCATCACCATCTCGACTTCATTGATTGTCCGGTCAAAAAAGCCAAACTTGAAGCTACTGCTCTCTCCTGCTGTCCCTGCATATCCTCCTCCTACAGTGATACCAGGGAACTCCATGACAACAGGCGGTACTAGACCATGTGGCAAAGTCGCTTCCACGAGTCGATCCATAGGAACATTGGGCTCAACAAGCGCTCTCTTGCTTTGAGTGTCGACTTTGATAACATTCCTCAGAGCACTTATGTCAACGACATGCTTCTTGAGGTTCGGCCGCGTGCTATTTGTTGAGCCGTGTGAGATCCGGAATGGTTCTTTTCGTGTAAAGTAGTCCTTGACTTTAGACGCGACTTGCGCGACTACGCGCTGGTGACGGTCCATATCAAGGATTTTCGTGAATTGGGATATCTAGCAATGCCGATGTCATTGATACATGATGATCAAGACCTCGTCGTGTGATTGGAGATGATGTTTTGGTAGACTTTATCGGCGAGGTACAGATTTTCTCCGATGCGCTAGTAGTAAGCTTCGCTCGTCTAGCTCCAGTGTTCCTGGTTTCGCAGACCTGATACTTTTACGTCTTCCAGGTTTTTTGTTCTTTGTTCGTTATGCCCACATCGCAAAGATCGCGTACCAACCATGTTCTGCTCTGTGAAGACGGTTCACGTTGGCAAGAATAAGCCCTGTACGAGACTTGCCGGGGCTGAAGTAGCACCTCTCCACCTCCACACCGTTTATTCCGTTTCTCGTCCTCACTGAACCGTGCCTGGCCATACCCCTTTTGCCATTACCCAAAGCTTGTTATCGTGACCTCCAACGGCCAGCCGCTCTAAGGTTACATCGGCTTTGCAGATTGCGGGGCGAAGCGACTTGACAGCATCTGCCAAGATACCTTGGCTATTCAATACAATAGAGTAGTTTACCTGGGTCACCGCGCTCACTATTACTCCAATGATTTCGCGTCAATGATGGTTTTTGTCGCGTCGTTGCTCCTACTACCTCAATTGGTTGTTGCGCTACAGCCCTTACCACCAATTCCACCAGCAGATAGTAAGGGCAACAACGACCTCGGCTTCTCAGTCATCAAGCAAGGGACAAAAGTATACATCCAAGATACTTTTGCTGATAATAGAGACTCTGGTGGCCTTACGCTGATACCTCCGAGTGCTGAAGAGTTTGCGGAAACATTCCGCGCGGATTTGTCGTCGTTGTTTGGTAGTCAATGGACCTTGGAGCGCGTCGACGAGCTTCCCACAACTGGCATCCTCCTCGGTCCATTTCGGGGTAATGCTGACCAACTAACCTATGAGAACGGCATCGCGACAGAAGAAGGATACGAGCTCGATGTTACCAATAGCAGCATTTACATTGGCGGAACTGGTGCACGAGGCATGTTTTGGGGTACTCGGACTGTACTACAGGAACTGCTGATCGGAAATGGATCTTTACCATCTGGAAACGTCATTGACGCGCCTGCATATGCCACTCGTGGATTCATGCTAGATGCAGGCCGAAAATGGTACGATAAGCATTTTCTTAAAGAGCTTTGCTCGTATGCGTCGTTCTTCAAGATCTCGGAATTTCACTACCACTCGAGTGATAACTATCCCTTGAACCGTGGCCGCAACGAGACCTGGCAAGATGTGTTTTCACACTTCTCGCTATACCCGGAGAAGAATACAGAACTTAGAGGACTGATTCAACGTCCCAACGAAACACTGTCGCGTGCCGATTTCGAGGAATTCCAAAGCCATTGCGCACAGCGAGGTATTACCGTTATTCCTGAGATTGAGGCTCCAGGCCATGCACTAGCAATCACTAAGTGGAAACCTGAGCTTGCCTTGAGTAAGAAGGATCTGCTAAACCTAAGCCATCCGGATGCAATTCCTACTGTAAAGGCCATCTGGTCAGAGTTTTTGCCATGGTTTCAAACAAAAGAAATACACATTGGTGCGGATGAGTATGATGCAGATCTAGCTGATGACTACATCAATTTTGTCAACGAGATGGCCGATTTCGTCAAAAATAATTCCGGTAAAGAGATCCGTATTTGGGGCACACATGAGCCATCAGAAAACTTCACCATTTCAAAAGATGTCATCATACAGCACTGGCAATATGGCCAGTCAGACCCAGTGTTACTACAAAGAGATGGCTATCAAATCATCAACTCTGAAGATTGGTGGGCTTACATGAGTCTCAAGAACGACCACATGCCCATATTGCCAGCCCCATACCCGCAATTTTACAATGTCACGCGCACGCTCAACTTCGCGGACGTGCCAGGGTGGCAGTGGGAGCCGACACTATACAACCCTTTCAACAAGACGGAACAGCTGCAGCCCGGAGCTCAAGGCAACAAGGGCGCTATTCTGGCAGCTTGGAACGATAATGGACCGGATGCAACGACGCAATTGGAGGCTTACTATGCAATGAGAGAGGGTATCCCAGTTGCGGCAGCGCGCGCTTGGGCGGGCGATCGAGGTGCAAAGATCAACGTAGAAGAGATATCAGACAGCTTAGCCTTTCTAGTAAGTATAAGCAAAAAGTAGTCGTGAATGCGTATGCTAACACATAAATCCACAGGCACCTTTGGCTCCAGGACAAAACCTCGATCGCCGACTACCAGGCTCACAAACTCTTTCTACCCAAAACTCCTCACCACTAGTATCCTGGACGCAGAAAGCATCTCAGCCCGCAAATTCTTCCTTAGGCCTAGGCTCTTATGGCCCGCCATATACGCTCACACTGGATGTCTCGTCGCCCTTTGCGCTGTCTGGACCCGATACCTCACTCTCCACCAATACAAGTGGCAACATCACCATGCTCGTCTTCACGACATCGGACGGCTTCCCATACCCCTTACGTCGTGTGTCCCTCAACGATGGCCATGAACCCGGTCATCCAGGCCGCGTATGGACAAACCAGTCGACGTCTTCACACGAGCCTGTTCCCGTCACGCTGCCTGCAAAGTTACGTATCGAGACTGATGTTGTTAATGGCAGTCGCATATGGATTAACGGTACATTTGCAGGTCGCTTTGAGGTGTTTGTGTTTGGTGGACGGAATACCTTGTTTAGCTGGAGCCAGATGGCGCTTGTGGCGCCGCTGGAAAGTGTACAAGGGGGGGTTGATAAGTTGGTACTGGAGGCTGGGGTTGGAAACGGTGTGGCTCAGCAAGGTAATGGAAGTCAGACAGGGCCGCCGTTTACGGGTGGTGCGGAGCGAAAGACTGTGACTGGTGGAGGGGTTTTGGTTACGGTGATTGGTATAATGCTGGCGCTAATCGTCCTGTGAAGATAGCCATACGAGGCCAAAGGCGGGGAGTGCATTGGTCACAAGAGCACCTTAGAATGATCTTTCTTAATTAGCAAATATATTAGAGGTACGAAGGGGACGAATATGAGATTCTTTGAAGTTTGGAAGGATAAATCACAAGCTTGAAGGAACATTTTGCTCTCTCAATCATGCGATTAGGACAAAGCTGTGGCATTTAACATCGTTTCTTCATCTGTAATTCAAGCGAGATGTGACAAATCTACAATGGCCCTAACGTTAGAATTCCGCCTCAGTACGTCGCAGTCAGTCGTTGCACCAAGTAATCTCCACTCAGGACATCCCCATATTTTCTTCCGTCCTTTTCATACGTTCCAGGAATAGCCTCAATCTTGCGGTCATAGTTTGGATTGCAAAAGTAAGCTATCGAGTATCGTGGTGGATACTCATCCTTGTCGGCATCCTCTGGCTTTGGTGGCGGCTCTACAACACGGTGCTTGGTTGACTTGATGGTGTCGTTGGACCAGCGGGCAAGTAGGTCACCAGCATTGACTACGATGGTTCCTTCGATGGGTGTCGCATTGACAAACGTACCCTTTGGTGAGCGGACTTGGAGACCACCGCGAGAGTCTTGGAAAAGAAGGGTTACTGAGCCTGTGTTTTTGTCAGCAGCTGTTTTGGTGGATTTTGAAGTAGGTGTTCTTACCGTAGTCGCTGTGTTCACCTGCACGAACCTGTAGCTGTCCGTCATTTCTCTTGAAGACACTCTTGGACACGCCCGGGTAATGAAGTAATCTCAACGTATTGTCTCCGGCATCTGTGAAGCCGTCGAACCACTTTTCGTCGATACCAATACCCAGTGCAATTGCGCGCATGACATGCATGTGCAGGTTTTTGCAGGTTTCAAAGAAACCCATCATCTGTTCCTTGAATTCTTTTGCTTCCTCGTCCCCGCTCGGCCACATGTTGGGAGTCTCTGGCTGATCATCACGCCCGATCTCCATGCTTTCTTTCAAATCTGGCACCAGAGCACGCATCTGCGCCTCTGTTCCCGTCTCTTCAAGAACAACGAGCTTTTCGCGCCCCTGTGTTACGTAGCCACGATTGGCGGCCGCCGAATACCATGCCAAGGCATCTTTCTGTTCTTTTGGCCTAGCGAAGAACTTGGCCGATTGTGAGAAGACTGTTGAAACTGTAGATTGGGATATGCCATGGTTCTTGAGATAGATGAAGCCAGCGTTCTGGAAGCCTTTCAGGACAGCGTCGGCAGTCTGCTTCTTGGCATTGGCGTCGCCAGAGAGGAATGCGGAGAAGTCGATGAGCTGTATGATGTTAGACGAAGCAACAAGTCAGTCTTGTGTGAAAAGAAATACTGGAATCTCCAAGTCATCCTGCGAGACTGCAGAGTCAACAGTAATGCTCGCCATTGTGGTCGCTTCGTATGGTCTGTCTATTGGGCGGCTTGCTTGGGTGTATGTGAGGCTACAGCAGCACCTTCAGTATATAGCTAGACCTGTGTTTTAAAGGATTTGTGAGACGAAATTATCTATGAAGCGGCCGTCTCCGCTGTGTCATGTGCATCGTGAAATACTTGGGAGTTGTAGGTGGGGTTGTTGCCACACAAGGAAGGTGCAGACGAGATGCGATAAGGCTAATGGTGGGGTTAGTGGGACGACGACAAGACGCTCAACGTTACATCTTCCTGTGTCGTAAGTCTAGTTTTCACAGATTCCTTGACCAAGTCGTTCAAAGTCGGAGAGATTATGAGCAGAGATCCATTTTGGATGCCTGGTCGCGTTCTCACAACCTCAAGACGTGCTACAAGGACAAGAATCCTTGCTCTTCGTCCGCCTTACACTTACTAAGTGACATTTTGTAAACGACTCAGAATAGTAACACGCCCTTCATTAGATTTGCGAAAAGAGAATGAGAGTCTTCTTATTGAAAAAATGCAACACCAGATAATCTCAACCAGTAACAACGCTGCTATGGACGTAATACTGATAGCTATTTCGAGAGACTGGGAAAGTATCAGATTATCAATCGCCAAGCAACCTTTTCTTGTTTGCAAGATTTCCGGGGAACTCCGTACTTCACAATTCCCCTCCCTCCTTTATCATAAAAGCTAGTCAATATGCATCTATTTCTTCCTCAACACTATGCACAAGGCAACGGTCATTGATGAAAAATGGGGCGGTGAGTAAGTACAGAATTGACTGCCATTAACTGTCCTTTTATTCCTAAACACATCGCGAACGACAGTGCCGAAAAAGGTTAACAATCAAGCTCATCCAACACACCCCCGTCTAGATAGAGCTTCAGGCCCAAAGGCGAGCCAACCTTGCCAAGAAGATTGTTCAAATGCTCTAACACTGACAAAGTGTGGACCCGTTGAGCGATAATTGTGTTCAGCACATAGACTCAGAGGACTCATGGTCTACCCCCTAGCGCGAGTGATTCTAGAATGAGGCGACGGCTCTCAAAAAAAAAGAGCAGAGAGAATGTGGAGTTAAGGCTTTGTACAGGGATCTACAGGCGTGCTGCATGCAAGTGATGTGCGAAGTATGTCTGTGCACCAGAGTCTAGCCCATGCGTTATAGTGAAGGTGAAGGTGATAGACAGACTCTCGCCACGTTCGTTTGCACGAGCATCCCGTAGTGACTCACTCTTACCAGACCACAATATGAAGTCGCCGAGCCAACAATTGCCAGTTTCTATATACTCAGACTGTCCCACTTGATCCAGCGTCTATTCGATACCAACTCCCTTCAAAGTACTACTACGGATTCTCCTTCCTCACCTCATTTTACGAGATCGTGGCCACCATGTTCGAATACGAAGCACCAATCAAGGAAGTCGAACGCACCGAGATTACCGCACTGACTACTTCAAAGGACAAAATAAATCTGGAGCTTTTCACTGGGAGAAGCGAGAACGCAGTACTTCAAGAGAAGATTGAGGAAAAAGAGAAACACAGAGATATCCTGCTCCACATGGTCAAGAGGCTTACTGAGGCTTTGTCGCTACCCAAAGCCAACACCGAGGGTGCTGGAGAACATGCGGGCGCAGAAACAAACCCCAATAACGCGAATCACCTACATGGCCTCCCTAATGCTAGTGCTCTGAGCTATCTTCCAGCAAATCCGGATCAGCCTAGCTTCTCCAAGTAAGTACCCCAAACAAGCACTCAGTATACCTTCTCACCATACTCAGCCCACCACCCACCCAGCACACCCACTGGACACAGCAACTCTACACTCCCAAGGAAGAACGAGGTGTCCTAACCGCAAAGTTGCGCATCGTGGAAAGGGAGCGAGAGCAGTACCTACGCCAGTACAAGATGTTACGCGCGCAAAACCATGAGAGACGCACCGAGGAGCAGCTGCGCCAGTACAGAAGCTTCATGTCGCACAAGCATAAAGAATGCAACAAGCAGTCCGGCGATGGCGTGCAGGAGGGTAAAGTCAAGAAGGAAAAGGGAGACCTGAAGCTTAAGCGTCGTAAGCACAAGGAAAAGGATAGGCTCAATCGAGAGGTCACCGAGGCTTTTCTCAAGAGGCTTGAGTTTAATCTGGTCATCTGCGAGAAGTCGAATGGCAAGTCTGAGTAGGGATGTGTGAGTTGATAGGACCGGGAGGACATACGAGGCAATTGACGCTGGTCCTTGGGTGTTCTACGAGTATTCGAGGAGTAATTGGGCATTTGTGGGGATAACGGAGAGATAGCCATGTACTGCAGGATCACGCATGCGTCGAGTGAGCATGAATCGAATCCAATGATGGATTCCTAACTAGAATTCCGAATGTAGGATAGGTAGCATGGCATGACGAGCATGAATTCATATAAGATACTGATAGCGCATCACTGGTGTTGAATAGAGATGTAGCTTAAGCTTTATTATCCCAACTTGCTCATTACTGTGGCTGCCCTGTTTGATATGTCGTGGTTGTCGTGTGAGATAGCGCTAGCTGACGACGGAACCACTAACTACCATCTTCGTGTACCATGTAAATCGGATAGCTAGAGCAGACGTTCTTAAAAAAACCCCAAATCCAATCGCCTTATTTCTCGTACCCAACACTACTCAGTCCAATCGATATATGCAACCGAAGCTGGCATAACTGTTGAATCGGAGTTCGGTCCAACACCATCGGTACATAGTGCCGTACCAAAAAACACATACATTCTCAACATGCGATCAACCGGGCCCTCGCACTCTCAGAGCCCCGAGCCCCGAGCCCCGACACCATAAAAAAATCACGGGTAGTTCGGCCACTCTATGGATACGAACACCCGGTTCCGCGAACGATTGCGATGATGGCGAAGACATTGGCGCTGCATCGGGTGCTGGACCCTGAGATCGTGCAAACGTGAGCAAAATGACGTCTTTGATGCGCCGGACGCATGCGGCTCTGACACAATTCGCATAATATCTACTACTGCGTTTCCCCATCTGCAATAAGGGATTTCTTGTATCGCATTTACATACGAACAAAAGATACAATTCCCCGGAATACATACACATTTGTTAGGCTGGCTCACGTGACGCAAGACACGATACAGCATACACCCACAATCTTGAGGACTACATTCGTGAGCATGGGCAACACGCAATCGACGGTGCGCTATCTCGCGCCCGCATCTTTCATCTACGACTTTGCAGCGCAGCAATATGGCATTTTCTCTACGCCCAACATGTTGGATATCCATAACCGGAATCTGGCTGCTTTCTCACCATACCCATATTTCATCGGCGCCTTCTTTTTCCCCCAGCAAATCTTCCAGCTGGTGTGGTTGTGGAAGCTGTGGAAGCAGGATGGAAACGAGCAGGAGCGTGCCATGATGAACAAGTTTGCGTGGTGTTATAGTCTTGGAAACTTTTGCATCGGAAGTAAGTGTTTACTTTTAAGCCAAAAAGGGATTATGAAATAGGGGATTTTGCTAATACGGTTGGATAGCTTGGATGTTCTTCTGGAATGCGAATGACCTGGCGACGTCGAATATCTTTGTGATTATCAATACGTTGGTGCAGGTGACGTACATCTCGACGATGCTCGAGCCGCTGGATACACGATCAACGCCCAACTTTCTCACACACATTGTTGCAAAGACGTTTGCTGGTATTGGCGTGCTGGACCTCTTGCACAACACATCAGCCGCATACTATGTTGGTGTCGAGCCGAGCTCCCTCGTGCAGGTCGCGACGGGCATTGGTTTCGCCGCTGCAGCAAGCGTGAGCGACTGGATCTTTGGCGGCTGTCTGGTATATGATCTCGTTGCACTGTCTGTAGGACAAGAGGGCAGCTGGTCGAGGTTGCTGGGCGGATACGCAGCCATGACAGCGGGTATCGTGGGGTTCAAGAACTTCTTCTAGTAAGTATGCTGGTGCTGATGCTGATGCTGATGCTGATTTGGACGAATCGCATGCAGGGTCACGCTGACCGAGTGCAGTCCTCGATGGAAGGGCCAGACGCAAGGCGGATATTCGAAGATCGGAAATGGCGGTGATGATGCTTAGACATGGCATAGTCACGCGGATGCAGGGGAGATGCAGTACTTGACGATTCAATCCGATCCGATGCTAGGACATGTCATGTGTAGATTAGTTCCTGTAATAATATAAGCAAATGCCTGAACGTGTTGCTGTCGCGTGTTGAGGTTCATCGCGGGCTTCCTGATGCCACATGTCCCCCAATCCATGGCGACATGACTTCCACTTTGGGTAGAGGGTGGTATTCTTGTTACGTTTCGGAGGGGGGATCTTAGTGGTGTTTATTAGTAGACGGACGCGCCATGGGGCCGATGACGGAGGAGCCGCAGCGCATCTACGCGCTATTGCGGCCATGGACCCCGTCGATCGTCGTTGATATCTCTGTGCGATGCGACGATCCAGCTCAAAGTCGCAAAGTCGCGGAGTGGGAGCCATTCAGCATGTCGCGGGGCTGAAGTGGGCCGGGGATCAGATCCATGACCAAGCCCCCCCCCCCGCGAGCGGCGGCAAGCGGCAACAGGCAAGCCCAAGCGAGCTGAGATCGCGTGCCCACCCCCAGCCGCCTCGAGGACCCCGAGGTGGGTGGAGATAAGGCTTATCTTTCACTCATGACACTGCACCCGTTCAAGTCACGCCTCTCCTGGGGCGTCCGTCGTATCCCTTCCGCATGGCCTAGCCGCAGCTAACGACGCTTGTCCTATTCTTACCCCCGGCATCAGTCATGCGAGCCCGCCGGGGATGCGCAGTTGGAGGCAAAGAGCTCTCTATGAGCCCGAGTGGGCCATGGATGACTGTTACAGTCTCCCCTTGTCCTCGACGTTGACCTCTCTTATCTTTCTGTCCTCGTGCTCTCTATTCCTTTCCACGTTTTGCAACAATTGCTGTGCTTCGTTTTGCTACCGTAAAGCACCTCTCGCGTCTTATCAGCAGCCCATCGGATCTAACAACGTCACCGCGCCGAGCACTGGAACGCCGACTTGTAACGGACGACTTCATTAGGCGAGTCGCGAGAGTTTAGAGTTGCATGTTCTCCTGGGCCTTTGTGATTACTCGTCGCTGGTTGCCTCTGCGCTGAATCCAGCCTCTGACCATTTCTCCCCCACTGCCGAGGCGCGAACAAGAGCGCGAAGAAGAAGCAAGTACGAGAGGAAGAACAGGCCGGGAAACGCGTTCCAAACCCTAAATACAGGACCTACAGCCCAAGAAATATACACTGCGCCCTTCGTCGACTTCTACCATACTTCTATGGCACCATGCCACCCTACCTATCCCCCTTGCATATAGCGAAGCCCTCGTTACCGCCGAGCTGCGAACCTGCCAACGCGTTCCTCTACCACCTCTCAGCCACATTCCATACATGCATACCTACGAACCTCGCACTTATCTCGACGCTCCTCGGCACGTGCAGTATCATATCGTGGCTATTCGCACAGCTACCGCAAATATATAAGAACCACAAGCTCAAGTCAACTTCGGGGTTGAGTGCCTTTTTCCTAACGGAATGGCTGTTGGGTGACTTGACAAATCTTCTAGGGTGCCTGTTTACAGGGCAGGCGTCTTGGCAGATCATCATTGCAGCGTACTATGTTTTCGTAGACTGCTGCCTGTGCGGGCAGTGGGTGTGGTATGAGATGCTACACCACGGACGGCCCCTACGCCCCATCTGGGGCCGATGGAGCAGTTCTCCAAGTAGCAATCCAGGAGCAGGTGGTTCTATGCACCAAGTTTTGGAAGGCATGGGCATAGGCAAGCCAGCGAATACGGTGGATAAAAAGGACAGCACCAAGGGGAGCACGCCGCAGGACGTACCACAATCAGGCCAAAAGGACGTATTCAGGATCCCCAACTTTGCGCGGTCTCCGAACCCAGCCAAAGAATCATGGCAAGGCACTCCTCCATCCAGCGCATCTCCAAACCCACATGTCCGCCGCGTAGCAGCCTCAAGCCCACCCATGCCCTCTCCAAAAACAATCATCTACATAACCCTCCTCATCGCCGTCCTCACAAACCCCACAATCGCAAAGCCAATCTCCCCTTTTGCTCCCGGTCTCGCCCGCCCCCGCAGCATCTCCCACACAACCACCACCACCACCACCATCACCACCATGACATCCACCGACAGCGCCGCCCTCGCCGGCAAAATTTTCTCATGGATGAGCACCTTCCTCTACCTCGGCTCCCGCCTCCCCCAACTCTACATGAACCAAGTCCGCAAATCCACCGCTGGCCTGTCCCCCGCCCTCTTCGCCGCCGCCTTCTTCGGCAACCTCTTCTACTCCTCCTCCCTCGCCACAAACCCCTGCGCCTGGCACGATTTCGCACCCGGTCAAGGCGCCGGCTGGGTCGGCCCCGAAGGCAGCGTGCGTGAAAACTGGATTCTACGCGCCTCTCCCTTTTTTCTAGGTGCCGCAGGCGTACTCCTCATGGATGCGGCTGTAGGCCTCCAGTTCTGGTTCTTCGACGATGCGGTTCCCCCACGCGGTAGATCGCAGTTTCCGCGCGACGACGAGGTTGTGATTACGGTTGATGAGAATGGGAAGCTTGTTCGTAAGAGTCTGCACTGGCGGAGGGTTAGTGGGTGGATGAGGGGTTGGGCGCCTGCTGTTAGTGTCGCGGCGACTCCGAATGTGAGTCGTGCGGTTACGCCGATGGATTCGCCGCGCGATGCTAGTCCTGCAAGTAGTGTGGGGAGTGCGGCGAGTAGTAGTCAGAGCATTCCGATTAAGGGGCGCGGCAATGCGTTGGATGAGGCGAGGGCGTTGCTGGGAACGAGTAGGCATGCTAGTCCGAGGAGTTATGGGGCCGTGGGGAGTCCCAGGTAGATGAGTATATGCTTGATATATTGGAGTACTAAGCAATTTTTCTGGCTGCTTTGTTTTTTTTTGCGTATAGCATTATATATGATGCTAGACGTGCGGGTTTCCTTTTATCTTCAGAGGCATATTGTTATCGTGCATACAATCCATCTACTAGTAGGCGTTTTTTTGGACGGTTATCATTTACACGGGAAATGACTTGGCATGATATTCTGGTGGATCGATAGAAGAGTAGCATCTACATTATGCATTTACATCAAATTGTACCTTCTTCATCACTTCCAAACAGCAGCTCTCGTCTAGCGAAAAGATACTCTATCATTCAGACAACGACCACATCTAAAACTACAACTACAAAGACCCTAATCAGAAAGAAAGAAAGAATCCGAAAAAAAGAATCTTAGACGGAATAGAGTTAAGAATAGGAAAGGGAAAACGCCGAGATCAAGCAAAACATGAGAGATGATGAAGAAGAAAAACGGTAATTTGTATAAGCAGCCAGAACCCAGAGAGACACCCCGGAAAGCCCGCCACTACTACCTAGGTATCACACCCTTATACAAAGACATGACTAGTTGTAATCGTACAGAGAAAGCCGGGAGGGGGATATATGTGTGTATGTGTGAATGTGTCTATACAGCATGGCAATCCTGCCTTTTTTGTGCGAGAGAGAGAAGAAAGAGAAAACAACAACGTTTCGATGTTAGACCGCTCAGCAGCTCTAAACACGCGAGACGTCACGGCCGAAGATTTTGGCCTTTGCCCAGTCAAGCATGACCAATATCCTGTTGCGGGTGCTGAAGCACATGCTGAGGTAGGCAGAGCGCCAGAAAATGTAGGTAATGGTACCGCCGGATGCGATGTTGCCCGCGAACCATGAGATATCAGCAACAGCCTTCTCGGAGCCAATGTAGGCGAGCGAACCCTGATGAGAGTACTCAAATGGACCAATCGACTTGATTCTCCTCAGCCTTTGCTGCAGAGCCTTGATCTCACCAAAGACCTTGTCGCGGGCCTCCTTGCCGGGAGCCTTTTCTTGGGCAACAGACAACTCGGCAAGCTGACTCTCGATTTCGGCAGTCTTGGCCATGTTGTTGAACATACGGGCAAGGAAAGCACCCTCTTGAGCAGCAACCTGAGCAGTGGGGGCGTAGTTGGCGACGGCGCAGTCACCAACAGCCCAGACGTTCTCGGCACCCTTGACAACGAGGTACTCGTTTACGGCAAGACCACGGCGCGAATCTTTTTGAGCGGGGATCTGGTTGATCAAGTCCTTGACAATGGGGCGGAGAGCATTACCGGTGGCCCAAACAAGGAGACCGTAGGGAATCCTCTCAAGCTGCTTCTTGCCATCAGGGCCAGTCGACTCGGCCTCAATGTACTTGTCCGTTACGTTCTTGACCATGGTCTTTGTGCGGATATCGATGGTCTCCTCCTTGAAGGTCTTCTCCGTATAGTCGATGAGCTGCTTGGAGAACATGGGAAGGACGTTGGGCAGCGCCTCGACGAGGGTAACCTTGAAGTTATCCTGGATCTCGGGCAACCACTTCTTCAGATCCGAGTGGAAGAAGTCCTGGAGCTCTCCGGCAAACTCGACACCAGTAGGACCGCCACCGACAACAACCATGTGAAGCAGGCGCTTCTTCTCCTCCTCAGACTGGTCCTTGAATGTAGCCGTCTCGCAGCAATCCATGATACGGTTTCGGATGCGCTGAGCATCGCCAACCTCCTTCAAGAAAAGACCGTTCTCCTTGACACCGGGGATACCTAAGTCAATTGTTAGCCAATAGTCGGACTTGACACAACAACCAGCGTACCAAAAGTGGCGTTCTCAGCACCGACACCAACAACCAGCATGTCAAAGGGAACCTCGGTCTTGGAGACATCACCCTTGATATCCGAGTCGTCACTGATGTAGATGACCTTCTTCTCGTAGTCAATCTTGGTGGCTTCTGCCTCGTAGTACTTAACCTGGGCCTTCTTGTGGCGCAGGAAGTTGCGGATGGGCTCCATGATGGAGCGGTGCTCAATGGTGCCGACGGTGCAGGAAGGGAGGAGCGGGGTGAAGAGGAAGTAGTTTCGGGGCGAGACGACAACGACATTGTAGTTTTCCGTGTCGAGTTTCTTGAGCAGGGAGACAGAGCCCCAGCCGGTACCTGTTCCGCATAGTTAGTCAGGTGCTCGCTGCACAAATGGTGTGGCACTAGCAGGCTACTTACCAAGGACGACAAGAGTCTTCTTGCTGGGGTCGGGCGGCGGCTGGTCAGCGGGGTTGCGAGTCTCATAGATGCCGTATCCGATGTATGCTAGGCCGGCAATGGCGGAGAGCTGGGTGAGGCGATACGACCAACGCAGGAGGCGGAACCGCTTGGGCTTGGGGGCGCTTCCAGTTGACTGCTGGCGGACAGACTGGCGCAAGACAATCTGATTCTGCGTAGGGCGGGGAGTCCATCGCGCTCTGCTGGCGATGAGTGACGGGCGGTTGGTGGTGAAGGTCCTGCGTCCGGCCTGCTGGACCTGCGACAGCACATTGGCAGCGGCGAGGGGCCTCATTGCGGGTGCCATTGGGAAGAGCAGAGAGACTGTGGCAGGGGACCACAAAGTCAATTGCAGAATGAGAAGAGGATTAAAGATGTGAAAAGGGCGGCGGAGGGCGAGAGAGGCGGGCAAGGCGCTGATGATAATGACTTGTGGTGCCCTGGGAGGGAGTCAACTTTTTCTTAGCGATGACGAACGACCGGCGTACCGAGTCGCCTCGCACTGGCCCTTTGCTTGTGCGCCAAAAGATAAGCCTGTCGTCCCAATCACATCATTTGCTGCCCGCGCCCACGCATTCACACGCCCACTCTCCCGCGCAAGCAATTGCTGCCTCTAGGCCCTGGAGATTATTTTCGTCCCTCATCCCATCCCATCCCATCCCATCCTTAATCCCGCGTTCTTTGCAGTCGAATCGAGCCTGCGGATCCGGTCTCGCTTGCGTTCCGCCGCCGGCCCTCTCCCCTCTCCCCTCTCCCCTCCTGCGCGCCTCAGAGGCAACTTTGATCAACCCGAAATCTTCCATGGCGAAAAGCCGCCCAGCATTTCCTTTTCACCTGTTTTATTCAGCGCGCCATGTTCTGCAACTCCGCTGGCCCGGTGGCAGATTGCCGAGCAGCATTTCCCACCGGGAAGGGTAGGGTTGGACTGTGTCCTCGGCGGCTGCGCTGTCTGTCAGCCTCAACGCCCTGCATTTCGTCGGGTGGGCCAAAACGAAGCAAGAATTTTGTGGGCTACGGCCATTGTCCCCTGGCCGCCAGTGGGGTCTGCCGTTCCTTTTCAATGCGATCCCATTCAATAAATTTACCGGTGGTACATTTGCAACGCGTTCAAGACGCGGTACTTAAGTACAAGTGCATCGCTCTTGGCACTACTAGCTAACACAAGCAATACATGTACCATGGTAAACATGCTTAATGGATTCTACCTTAAATCACATCTCAACAAACTAACATGTATGCACATGTATGTAACTATAAGCTGGAAGACGCCAAGCAAGGATGCTGGAAATGATGACGATGACCATCCCTCTACCCCCGCTCGCAGAATACTCGATACAGTTTAGGCCCCAGATTCATAATACAACACATGTAGCGGACGCTGCGGATGTCAAGCAAAAGCAATAGGTCCCAGTGCATATAAATTCAGATCTATCTTACTTCGGAAATATCTCCCCTCACCAGCTCTTCTTGAACCTCTCAAGTCCAAATACCTCACCATGCCTCACGCAACAGCAACCGTAAACGGCGTCCTAGTCGCCGAAACAGACTCGTACGAAGTCGTTGACGGAAACATCTATGTCTGTCCCCCTCTTCCTTCTCACCACTAGTCTTTCTTTCTGCTTCATCAACCGAAACTAACAAATTACCCGCAAATAGTTCCCACCAACCGCCATCAAGCAATCTCACTTCAGCCCTACAAGCACAAAAACGCACTGTCCCTACAAGGGAGAAGCAAGCTACTACACCATCACGACCAACAAGACCGAAGTCAAGGACGCAGCATGGTACTACCCGGAGCCGCTCGAGAGCATGAATAAGATCAAGGGGTATGTCGCTTTTTACAAGCGCATGGCGGATATCAAGACAGAATAAGGCAACACGTATATAAGAAGAAATATCCATTGTTCATAAGAACCTTTCCTCCCTAGGAAAAGGGAGATAGTAACATGTCAAGCTTCCGCAGAGGCCCTTTTCCCTTGAACCCCATAAAACGCCGTAAAATGCTCATGAAATCGTCGTTAAACCCTCCAAGAAACAGCAGAAAGAACATGCGAGATATTTACGCATCAACCCCCATCATAGTATCATCCCCATCGACCCCCACACTCGGCTGCTCAATCATCACACCCCTCCCCCTCCCCTGCAGCAACTCCCTCCTTACCTCCGCACTAATACTCCTATGACCCCTCGTAAGCAACAAGTCCAGCAACGCCTCCCTCTGATCCTCAGTGATATCGTTCCTATATCTCTGCGCAAACGCCAGCAAACACTGATGCCAAATCACTGGCAGTTTCCCCGTGTTACCCAAGTCGCCAGCTACGGATTCCGTATCCATGGCATCAGCGCTGCTAGCGCCTACGCCACGGAAGCGCAAGAAGTGGAAGACGAGGGCGTCGATGACTTTGTAGGGGAGCGCGTATTTCTTTTCGAGCAGTGTTTTGATGAAGATGTTGCAGGGGCCTGCGGCATCGGGGTCCGATGACATTTGCTCGGCGGCGATTTCGCAGAGGCGGTGGAGAGCGGCTGCGGAATGGAGGACGGGGACGGAGATTTTGGCGACGACAGAGGCGACGATGACGGCGTCGCGTTGTGTGCAGGAAATATCGGTGAGCATGGGGAAGACGATGCCCTTGAAGAAGGCGGAGGGCTTGTATAGGGCTTTCTTCAGGGCGTTATACAGGTGCACGTTTAGCTTGTGGGTTTCGCGGATGTTTTGTTGGACGAGCGGGAGGAGGATGGTGTTGAGGAAGATTTGGGCGGTTTGAGGCTTTGCAGATATGAAAATGCGGGTTGCTGCGTAGGTTGCGTTGGGGGTCCAGTCGTCGGGACGAGTGATGGCAACGAGGGTTTCCCAGGCGGGGATTGTGGGGAGGATCTTGAATGGCTTGGGTAGCTTGCCGCTCTTGTAGCGGCTCAGGATGAGGCCAATTTTGGAGTATACTGTATATGCTTAGCAGTGTAGCGGAAGGTATAGAGTGTGCATCGTACCTTCAACAACCTTGGCGGGTAGTTCAATGGCATCTTCTGGAGCACCGCCGCCTTGAATTTCTGGGTGCTGCACTTCGCCTCCGGCCTCGTGTGCGGCGATCTTCTCGAGAATGAGTGCAGCTAGATCTGTGCCTGGTCCTGAAGGTTGCGCTTCTTCGCCAGGCCATACAATTGGGTTGTCGTCAGTTGGGATGAATTTGTTCCATGCCGCCAAGTCATTCGCATCAATCTCAACTTCCTCGACCTCTTCGTCATCGTCGCCCCACGCTTCGTCGTCATCCTCTGCGTGCACTACGTCTTCCTCGATCATGTCATCTTCTCCCATGCGTGTCTCAAAGTCAAACGCAGGGTTGGCCTCTCGTGGTCTCTTAGCCTTGGTTTCTCGTGCATCCTCCTCTTCCAGCTCTCGGCCAATCTCCAAGATTTTGCGCGAGCTCTTAGAGTCTACATATTTCTGCTCCTCTTCGTCGTCCTTGTCGCCCTTGCTGCGCTTTTGTCGCTTTTGCGCCTTGTTCTTCCACGGGTCTGAGGGCGCATATTCTTCGGCTAGAGGGTTGTGTCGCTGGTCGCGCACGCCGGGCGACTTAGGTGCTTTCGGCATGATGGGTCGATTCTAGGGATTCTCAAAGGAGGGCACTTTAAGAGAGACTGGAGCCTTTGCAGAGTTGCGGAATATTACTCGGCGTGCTATTGGCAAGTCGGCTCGTGGAAATTTAGAAAAGTTGCAGCGGCGGCGGAACCAAAAATTTGGTGGGGGTTCGACTTTTGCGTCTAAACGGCCCGCCGTAGGAGCTGCACGTCTCCACTCGCCCATGGTCGCGACTTGGATTAACGACACCGCAATTGCAATTCTACATTGTTTCCACCATGGCCGACTCACACCCTCCCTCACGCTCAAACACTCCCACAATCGTGCCCCCAATGCGGCGCCCGATTGAGGGAGACAATGCGCCCGCCGTCTCGTCTCCCCTCAACCCCAACCCCGATGCTGCGGCGCGTCCAAGACCAAAGGCGCCGGCACGCGAGCAGCGAGAGAAGCGCGAGACGATCAAGAAGCGTGAGGCTTCGGCTTCAGCGCGCCAGAGCACCCCAAATGCCAATACTAGCACAAAGTCGAAGAAAGAGCGGTCGACAGCCGATTCACCTATGAGGTATTCGATTCCCGAGCCCAGGCCGTCCGACTATGAAGCCCCCAAGGACAGCACCCTGCTCTCCCACGAGCCGAATCCCATGTACGCGCCAGACGGAGTGACGGAGCTCAAAAAACCGCACGATATTGCCTGGAACAAGAGGGGTTACAAGTATACGCATTGCGTTGCCGATCCGCTCTTTCGTCACAAGCAGTACTACCGCCAGAGCGACTCCAGGCCGTACGGGCCGAGGATGAGCCACGAGGACTGTGACCGGTGGTTTCACTTCGACAACAGCGCTACCATTGTTTCCCAAGAGAAAGGCTGGCGCATGGGCAGAGGCAATGTAGTTGCAAGAGAAGGCAGAATATACTACGAGGTCAAGGTCTTGCGTGGCATACCTGAGCATGGCCCCAAAGATCCCGTTGACCCAAACACCGGTGAGACTAAGCCTGGCCCACATGTGCGTATGGGTTGGGCACGGAGAGAGGCGCCTCTAGACGCACCTGTTGGTTTCGACGGCTACAGCTATGGCATCACTGACGCACGCTTCGAAGCCCAACACCGATCGCGTGCCTCCAAGATCTTCAAGCCGCTGCCAAAGAATGCCAAGAGCAAGCACATGAAGGCCAGGCCACCCCACGGCAAACCTATGCCTGTCGAGTATGTTGTAGATCAGCATGTTCAAGAAGGCGACGTCATTGGCCTCGAGATTCAACTACCCTCTATATCCATGCACCGCAAAGTTGTCGAGGGCATCTATAACCCGGCCGTAGATCTAGGAGACGGCTTCGATACTGTCAGCAATCAAGACCCATTCGACCGGCCTATCGACATCATCCGTGACCGTATACCAGTCCCCTACAAAGGCAACTTTTACTTCGAGCAACTAGACTACCAAGTCACTAAGATGGTTGAGGCCTATCACGACCGCGGCCCCGTTCCCAAGATACACCCTTCGCCAAACCATGAAGATGTCAGTGTGCGATCATTGCCACATTCGCACATCAAAGTCTACAAGAACGGGCAAGAAGTAGGTATTGCATTTGAAAATCTTCTAGCTTTCCTTCCCCCAGCAAGTATGCCATCAGTCGAGGCAATCAAGGCTGGCGCGCGTCCCGGCTTCGACGACGGCATGGTAGGCTACTTCCCAGCTATTTCGCTGTTCAATGGGGGTGTCGCTCAGGTCAACTTCGGTCCGGACTTTTGGTGTCCACCCGAGGAGATGGTCAAGCAACGAGAGCAAGACACACAGATGGCGAATGGGGAGACAGTCGAGCAACGTGTCCCAGAGGGTCGCAGACTCCGTGCTATTGGTGAACGCTACAAGGAGCAGATTGCTGAAGACATTGTCTGGGATGTCATTGACGAGGTCGACTTCTTCACCCAAGACGGCGGATGGGACTACAAGGGCGAGGCTCCTCAAGACGTGACCGGCAAGTCTACGCCTCGGGCACGTGGCTTTGCGAATCCGGATGAAAACCTTGGTGTTGAGGTTGGCAAACGGTATTAATGGTGTAATGATAAAGAATGCTGGGAGCAGTTGCAAAATGTTAGTTTCAGCAAGGCGCATAGGTATACCCAAATATCATTTCCTGATACTTGCGAAAATCAGCATGCGGTTATGCAGAGCAGCTACGTATTTCACGCCATCTTGCCATTGTCTCGAGGAGATTTTCCTCAAAATACAAACTGGCGCTAATCGCCACGTCATTCAATTGGTACAATAACTGGAGCCTAGAGCATGAACTCACACGCATAGCCTAGTCATACGCCCTACGCTCATCTCGTATGTGGCAATAATTCCGTCTTTCGAGGGTTTAACCTCTTGTGGTAATCAGCGCGGAATTACCGACATCGGCATTTGAGTACTTAACATCACTAATTGACTGATATCCACATGCTAGACGGATCCCACTACAGTTCTAGCCCTTTTTTGATAGACACTTATAGATATAAGAAGCGGTGGTCGTATCTGTTTTTTTGTTGTTGGCTATCTGATCTTTCTGGTATATCTTATTACAACGTCCAATCTACCCCACGATGGATTCTTCACAGTTCCGAAAGGCGGCAAAAGGAGCCATTGACGAAAGTACGCATATCAGTCTTCATCTATAACCCTGGCTGACATCAATTAGTTGCACAATACTATGACACACTAGAGGAACGACCAGTCCTGCCCGCTGTCAAACCCGGCTATCTCCGCCCTCTCATCCCATCCTCAACCCCAGAAGAAGGCGAGCCATGGGAAGCCATTCAAGCAGACATCGACCGCGTAATCATGCCGGGCCTTACGCACTGGCAATCCCCCAAATTTATGGCCTTCTTCCCCTGCAACTCATCCTTCGAAGGCATGTTGGGTGAAATGTACAGCGGAGCCTTCAATGCTGCGGCCTTCAACTGGGTCTGCTCGCCCGCCATCACTGAACTCGAAACCGTCGTTATGGACTGGGTCGCCAAGCTCATCGCCCTACCCAGTGACTTCCTTAGCGACGGCGAAGGTGGAGGCATCATCCAAGGCACCGCCAGCGAAGTCATCCTCACCGCGCTCGTCGCCGCCCGTGAACGCATCATCCGCCGCAAACTCGGCGACATGCCCGAGGGCGAAGAAAGAATCGACGCCGCAGCAGATATTCGCAGCAAACTCGTAGCTCTCGGCTCTGAACACGCGCATTCTTCAACCCAGAAAGCAGCAGTCATAGCAGGCACGCGGTTCCGCACTGTTCCCGCACCTAAAGAATCAAACTACAGTGTCACCGCCGCCGCCCTCCGCAGCACAATCGAAGCCTGCCGCGCCAAAGGCCTCGAGCCGTTCTACTTCACCATCACCCTCGGCAGCACGGGTACCTGCGCCATCGACGATCTCGCAGGCGTCGCGCAGCTCGCACAGGAGTACCCCGATCTCTGGATCCACGTCGACGCTGCATACGCCGGTTCGGCGCTCGTCTGCCCCGAATACCAGTATCTGTGCCCCCCAATCGCATCGTTTGACTCGTTCAATTTCAATCTGCACAAGTGGCTTCTTGTGAACTTTGACTGCTCTGCTTTCTTCATTAAGAAGAGGAGGGATCTCATGGATACGTATTCCATCACCCCGAGTTACCTGCGGAATCCGCACTCGGACCAGGGTCTTGTGACTGATTATCGCGACTGGCAGATTCCGCTTGGTCGCCGGTTTCGCAGCTTGAAGGTGTGGTTTGTACTCCGGAGCTACGGAGTATCGGGTCTGAGGGCGTTCATACGCAAGCATGTCGAGTTGGGTGTGTATTTTCAGAACCTGCTCGAGCAACGGAAGGATCTTTTTAGAGTGGAGACTGAGGCGGCGTTTGGACTGGTGACTTTTCAAGTTAAGCCCAAGGCCGTAGCTGAGCAAGACGGCAATGCGGGTGTGGCGGCGAATCGACCTGACCCCAGCCATGGGACGCTGCAGAATGGGTTCCAGGGCGATGCTGAGGCGCAGTATGCTGAGATGGTGAATCAGCGGACAAAGGAGGTGTATGAGAGCGTTAATAGTAAGGGGGATTTCTTTCTTACGAGTACGGTGATTGGGGGGAGGTATGTAATTCGTGTTGTTAGTGCAACGACTAAGAGTGAGGAGAAGTGGATGAAGATGTTATTTGAGGAGTTGATGGAGGTTGCTGAGGGGAAGACGACATGAGGGTAGTCGGATGTGTTATGATTAAGCTAGTAGTAGAAGTATAGATATACGCTTTCTCTTGTCTATCGCAGTGTATATGCAGTCAACCAGGTTCGAAAATAGCTGGGACCACTATAAGACGAGCTCCGTATATTGATCAGGGTTCAAATTTTTATTTGTCTGCAATAGTTGAATAAATTTGTAGACCAGGTATCTCATAACTCTCGCGCGGAAAATTCCACTGTAGATCATTGTAAATAGTGAAATTATCAGTCAAGCCGCAGTATCCTCACTGCGTTGCCACCAAGTACATCTTGAGCTTTCTTGTCATCCTTCTCAAACGCCTTCGATATAGCGCCATAATTCGCATTGACGCTATGCCACTCCTTTGCATCTTCTTCAAGCGGTGGGAAGAATGGGTGATCAGTACCTAGTCACTATTAATCTCGCGCCCAAGCAACATCGTGATATATTCACTTACCAAACAGCAGCCTGTCTGACCCCGATGCATCTAGTGCCGCCTTCAATCCTACTTCCGAGTAGATGACTGCGTCAAGGTAGATGTTCGTCTTCAGTATGTCCCACACGTCTCTCCTGTTCTGCGTCTTGCCATGCTTCTTCAAATGTCCATCATGCAAAATACACGACTCAATCCTTCCAGCCAAAAACGGCAGTGTACCTCCAGAATGCGCAAGCAATACGCTGAGCTTTGTGAACCGGTCCCAGACTCCGCTCAAGAGCATTCTACTCACTGCAATAGTGGTTTCAAGGGGGAACCCAAGTGCCAATGGTAGCACATGGCCGTATTCGCTCGCACGGGGACCGTAGACCGAAGAAGGAAGACCGTAGTGGGGGTGTAGGAAGATAAGTTGCTGGTGCTTCTCGAGCGCTGCATAGACGGGGTCAAGCTTCGCATCGTCTAGTCCCTGTCCCAGACCCGATGTGCCCATGATAACACCCCTAGCATACTTGAGGGTGCTCAGTCTCTCAATCTCAGCGGTTATAACCTCGGGTGAGGCAGATAAAGGAAGTGTGCCAAAGAAGTACAATCGTCCGGGATATTGCGAGCATTGGTCGTTGACGTCGTCATTGATCTTCTTGGCCGCCTCTCCCGCCTCTTCAGCAGGTAGAAAGTCAAGCCATGGGTTCGCTAGTGAAATGACTGACTTGTCAATCTTGTGGAGGTCCATAAATGCTATCTTCTCCTTGATCTCGTAGTACTCTTGGCCAATTGGGCGACCGCGCGAGGTGGACGGCATCGAGGGGTCATCTTCGCCTGGTAGGATGATCAGACGGGCAGAGTCCGGGGCGTCTGGGAATGTGCGAACATATGGAACGGTTGAGCGTGAGCGCAAAAGTTCCATGTATTTAGGGGGGTAAACATGAGTGTGAATGTCGACAATCGGCATGATTGCGATTGAAAACGCGTTTGTGCGCGTCAATTGCTGGGAAGGCGATAACTGAGCAATGGATTTTTTTCGCGTAGAATGTGACGAAGAGAACAAATGAAGTTTTGGACTAATTAATCATCTTGCATTCGAGATAGCGCTGGACAATTGACCCTGGCGGGGTAGCTTTGGGTTGCCCCACTACATAGCGCCGAGCATCCCACCTTCCCCAAGAGGCAAGGAACGATGGAGTCACCTTTTATGCTGTTGACGGAGATGGCCGCAGGAGAATTGGTCATTTCAGGGTGTCGTGATAAGCCAAAATGTGTACGTGTCTACAAAGGGGGTTTCCAGTCTTTCTTTCAGGGCAGCACTCAACAGCATGCAGTCATCCTATCAAGCGCGAGTCCTCAAGAAGAGGTTCGCTGGCTTGTCCCATGTTTTGAACTCTTCATCCACCTCATATTGGATGTCGCCAGTCCCTTCGTCCTTGAATCCTAGTCTCTGATACACTACTCTTCCCATAGCACTACCCTCTGTCGTACACTCCAGATCGCCTCTCTTCTTCGCTTCAGCAAGACCGACTTCAACAAGCTTAGCTGCAATGCCACGGCGTTGGTAGGCTGGATCGACTGCACATATATCCAGGGTAAAAATTGCAGGCGGGTTGCGTCCTGACTCCTTGACTTCGTGCATGTACGCAATGCGGCGCTTCCAAAGCGAGCGGAACACTTGAGTTGCAAAGCGTCGTTTCGTTTCGTCAAAGTTGGTAAGGGAAGCACTCATGTCGTCTGAGAAAGGATCACCGTAGCCTTCTACAAACGATAGTTGCCTCCAGATAGCCATACCAACAACTCGTCTCTCTCCAGGCCCATCTGGGTCGGGAAGAGTAGCCTTTAGATAGATGGCATTAGGCTGTCCATCCTTGTTGGTGGTGATAGACTGCCATTTCTCCATTAATCCTTTGGCGTGTTTTGCTCGTCCTTCTTCTGTATCCCACCCGGGGTTCATCAGCATCCAGACGGAGTCTTTTGCTTGACGCCCAAAAGCTTCGGACAAGCAATGTTGTGCCTGCTTGAAATCCCTTTCGGTCTCGAAAGGAGATATGACAACGTCATTGGTGTTGGAAGTCATGTTGAAGGTAGTGCAGAGGTTGTGTCTGTCGTATCGCGTTTGATCCAGCGTGTTAAAAACAGAGGTAAAATTTTACGTGTTTTCAAGTCGGCAGATGGAGTAGCCAAAATCAAGCTGCGATCTAATGACATAACTTAAAGCCGCGGGTCACGCCCGCACCCGGTGGGGAAGCTTGGCGGGGTATCTTGACGTCCAGAATATGCCGAATGAATGCTGTGGACGTAGAGATACACGATCAATCTGCTGTGAACATGGTTGGAAGCATCGAAGGTTCAGCCATACAAACCCACTACTATCAGACGTCCATAGTCATGATTAGCAGCTCAATTAGATATATGAAAAACGAGTATAGAAAACACCAAAATATCAGTACGAGTGTTATGATACGCTTGCTACATCTGCCAATCAACCTGTAGGGTGCTGAAGTATCGATTGAGAAGTGTAACGATAAGAGGACTCTCATCACGTGCAGACGGTGGGAGGAAATGACTAGCGTGGCGGCAATCAATTAGCAGGGATGACGCGCTCGCGCCTCGTACACGGTTCGCGTTCCCCTAGGCACTTTGTGCAACTACTCGACCCGACCCAACCCAACAACAAACACACCCTCTTTTTCCAACTGCCATATACCACTCTTTCGGGTTTTGTGTCTGTTGTTCATATATAAAGATGCCGGGTACAGTAACAAGAGCGCCGGCGAAACGCGCTCTCGCCGAGACGTCTAATACGCGCACCAATGTACAGACATCGCCCCGCTCCGCAAAGAAGTTGAAGTTCCAGGATGGCAAGAACAAGAGCAAGGCACCCGGGAAGATAGCCAACGGCTCGTTTAACCCGAGCCAGCCAGGCCCCAGTCAGTTCGAGGAGACATTAGAGAAAATGACACAGGACATGGAGACCCTCAAGAAGGAAAACACCGAAAAGGACCAGCAATGGGGACGGCCGCCATTGCCTCATGACTTCAGCGAGGTAACCAACAACCTCGTGTTCCAGCAAATTGAGGCTGAAGAGGGCGTGCTCCATGGGGGCAAAGCGACCGTTAAATTGTTTGGTGTGACAGAGGTAAGAAGCCACTAAATGCATACATCAAGCAATGCTAACAAGTATATTACAGACTGGTCACTCCGTCCTCCTCCACGTAACTGGCTTCCAACACTACTTCTACATCGCCGCGCCCGTCAACTTCCAACAGGCCGACTGTGAGCCCTACAAGATCTTCCTTGAAGCCGAATGCCAAAAGAGCTTCAACCAACACTCGGCCGTCATAGCGTCAGTGAAAATGTGCATGAGAGAGAACATTTTGCGCTTCCAGGGTAACCAAAAGAGCCCATACCTCAAGATCACCGTCACCGACCCCAAGTTGATCAACCGCGTACGCACGATGGTACAAAAGGGCAATACCAACTACAAGCGACTTTGGCCAGCTGGAATAGATGGTATCCTCACATTTGACAACATCGCTTACGTTTTACGATTCATGATTGACACAAAGGTCACTGGCATGTGCTGGGTTGAAGCCCCTGCCGCCAAGTGGAAGATGATCAATGCACGAGACCGGCACTCCAACTGCCAGATTGAAGGTCAGGTGCATTACGAAGACCTTATCGCCCACTCAACTGAAGGCGAGTGGGCAAAGATTGCCCCTCTTCGCATCCTCTCTTTCGATATCGAGTGCGCTGGCCGTAAAGGTGTCTTCCCAGAGGCAAATGTGGACCCTGTGATTCAGATTGCGAACGTTGTTACAAAATATGGAGACGACAAGCCCTTTGTCAGGAATGTCTTCTGTCTAGACACAGTCAGCCCTATCGTTGCGACGCAGATTCTGTCCTTCCAAGATGAGGGTGAAATGCTGATGAAGTGGCGCGACTTTCTCGACGAGGTCGACCCGGATGTCATCATCGGTTACAACACCAGTAACTTCGATTTCCCATATTTGCTCGATCGTGCCAAGCATCTGAAGCTCCAAAGGTTTCCATATTGGTCCCGTCTCAAGACGGTCCAGTCCAAGGTGGAGATATCCAACTTCTCCAGCAAGCAGATGGGGTCTAGGGATACCAAAACCACCAACACCAACGGTCGCCTACAACTAGACTTACTTCAGCTGGTCCAAAGAGACCATCAGCTTCGAAGTTACACACTCAACTCTGTATGCGCTCATTTCCTGAAAGAACAAAAGGAAGATGTACACCACAGCATGATTACAGAACTGTTCAACGGTGATTCCAACTCGCGAAGACGTCTGGCTGTATACTGTCTCAAGGATGCCTATCTCCCTCAACGTCTTCTCGACAAGCTTATGTGTCTGGTCAACTACACGGAAATGGCTAGGGCTACAGGTGTTCCGTTTAATTATATTCTCTCCAGAGGACAACAAGTGCGCTTCATCAGTCAGCTGTTCCGTAAGGCTCTCGAGCATCAGCTCGTTATCCCGGACCTTCCAAACCAAGGTGACACCGGCGACCAATACGAAGGTGCGACTGTCATTGAGCCTAAGCGTGGTTACTACAAAGAGCCCGTTGCTACTCTCGATTTTGCTTCACTATACCCTAGTATCATGCAAGCCCACAACCTATGTTACACGACGTGGCTGGACCGACAGACGGTGGAGAAGCTCAAGATGAAGAAGGATGAGGACTACATCGTGACTCCTAATGGAGACATGTTCTGTACCGCCAAAACGCGGAAGGGACTCTTGACGGAAATTTTAGAAGAACTGCTGAGCGCACGTAAGAAAGCAAAGAAGGAATTGGCGGTTGAGACGGACCCTTTCAAGAAGGCTGTGCTCAACGGTCGTCAGTTGGCTATGAAGGTCACCGCCAACTCCGTCTATGGTCTGACTGGTGCCACCAACGGAAAGCTACCCTGTCTTGCGATTGCCAGTAGTACAACCAGTTTCGGTCGTCAAATGATTGAAAGAGCCAAAGCCGAAGTCGAAGCCAAGTACAATATCGCAAATGGATACTCGCACGATGCAGAGGTCATCTACGGTGATACCGATTCGGTCATGGTCAAGTTCGGTACCACGGAATTGGCAGAAGCGATGAAACTAGGCGAAGAGGCGGCGAACTACGTGACATCGAAGTTTCTCAAACCCATCAAGCTGGAGTTCGAAAAAGTCTACTTCCCCTATCTCCTCATCAACAAGAAGCGATATGCTGGTCTTTACTGGACGAACCCCAACAAATGGGACAAGATGGACACCAAGGGTATCGAGACGGTCCGTCGTGACAATTGTCGACTTGTTCAAACCGTCATCGAGACCTCTCTCCGCATGTTGTTGATTGACCAAGATCCCGAGGGCGCACAAGAGTAAGTCAGCCAGCTTTGGAAAACATATTCCACGCTAACATGAAGCAGGTTCGTCAAGGAGACCATTGCAGACCTTTTGCAAAACAAAATCGATATGTCCAATCTAGTCATCACCAAAGCCCTTACGAAACAGGAAGACAAGGACGGCAAAGGTGGTTACGCCAACAAGCAGGCACACGTGGAACTTGCGGAGCGTATGAAGAAACGTGACGCTGGTTCAGCACCCGCTCTTGGTGACCGTGTCGCATATGTCATGGTCAGGGCTGCCACTGGCGCAAAGAATTTCGAAAAATCTGAAGACCCAATTTATGTTCTTGAGAACAACCTACCCATCGATACGCGTTACTATCTCGACAACCAACTCGCAAAACCGCTTGGCAGAATTTTCGAGCCTATTCTAGGCGAAAAGAAAGCAGCCTCACTCCTCACAGGTGAACATACACGATCTATCTCCGTCGCTGCACCCACCATGGGTGGTCTCATGAAGTTTGCAAAGAAGACACAAACATGCATGGGCTGCAAGAAGCCTCTTACCGCCGCATACGAAAAGGACGGTGCAGTTTGTGAGAACTGTCGACCTCGTATTCCTGAACTATACACCAAGACCCTGACCAAGGTCAGTGAGCTCGAGGTGCGTTTCTCTCGTCTTTGGACGCAATGTCAGCGCTGCCAGGGAAGTGTTCACTGTGAAGTCATCTGTGCGTCAAGAGATTGCCCAATCTTCTACATGCGCATGAAGGCGAGGAAAGATGTCGAAGATGCAGGCAAGGAGCTGGTGCGGTTCGACAAAGATGCCGCACTCTGGTGATGGCATGTTGTTCGCTCTCTATAGGAGCGAGGCGTTTTGGTGTTTTATAATGTATATCCACCTATATATTAATGGCGGTATACGGTTAAGGTTCAAAAAACATAGCGATATCCGTATGATCATGTTTAGTAATTACTGTTGTCATCAATCTACCTCGTACAGAATCATGGGAGTGGCGCTGCTGTCATCGATTTGTTCTCGGCATCCGGTAATTTGCTCCAACGTCGTGGTGACTATCGTTCTCTTGCTCTCTGCGGTTGCGTTCTACTCAGCGCGAGTATATTTGGTACAATGATGGTGCGGCACAAAGAGAGTAATCTTGAGATCTCATTGCCTGTTGAATCCAGATTTAGACTCTGATTCGTGCGGTTATGGAGAGCGAGGCTAGGATGACGATGGTGTAAGCGCGTGGGATTGTAAATCAATGCTTGCATTTCAGTGGTTAGAGTCCAGGACGTTATCGTCTGGGTCGTTTTGGCACATGGGTCCTGGGGGATTGAAGCACAGTAAGTTCATGCGTTCCTCTCACGGGTAACAAATACGGCTCGGCGTAGTATCGAAAGGAAGAAAGCCCGTAATGCTCTTGAGACATGACTTGGGCAGGACTGTAATCTTACATTGATGCACTCAATTGATAGTGGTTTTCAGGACCTAGACGAGAGATTTCCAACGAGCATGCCTTATATAACAGCAACTTGGTACTAGTTCTTGCATAGAAGATTTTAGTCGGCCTAGAAGGTGAAAAAAATCGTATACACAACGGTATGTGCATTATCCTATACACCAGGAACCCCTCGATAAGATGTGAATACTTACATGTCGAGTGGATCTTGTATGCCGCCAGAAACACAAGGTTTAGAAAGTGACCGCGATGCATAAGTATTAATGGTGCTCCGAGCGTTGCGCCGCGGATTCCGGAGGATGGGTGTTAATAATAGGGCCGTGCCGCGATTCCGCTGTGGGAGTTTGTTGAACCCACACCAGGAAGCTACGTACGTCCTACTACTACTTCTTTGGCTCGGCTTGTACTAGTCAAGTCAACGAAGCTCCTACGGCACTAACTCCATTTACCACCTGTTACAATTCCATCACAGCGCCGATATATTCGCATCTCCGAGTTCTCTTTCAGCTTACGTTATAGTAGGCCCGATACTCAATCCTTATTCGTCCGTCATCACTTGAATATTGTCGCGTTAGGGCTGACTATGCGGGTCTAATTTTGAACCACTCAAGATCAGAGAGTGAACAGTACGAGTCTCACCGATTTCTAGTAGAATGGGTCCGGATCAGCACGGAAATATACACAAGCTTTCAAGCTCGCAGCAACGTATGGATGTAAACTTCGAATCAGATGCTTGTTGGCGTTCCTTGCTACCAGATACGAAGAGACTACCAGGTCGGCGGGCACCTTAAACCCTGTAGCATGACGGCAGAACAACCGGCTACCTACCTCCCCTTGCCTTGGATCACACAGGTGTACCTATCTAGGGATAGCTAAACGTGAGACTGGACGGTTTAATTTACCCAATCAAACAACGCCCTCCGAGCATCTACAAAAGCTCGTTTCCGAGGTTTGCAGTCAGGTGATCTTACTAAAGTTATAACTACTCTAAAAAGAATGAAAGGGTGGTAATATTCCAATATTTCAAGGACGTTGCGGAATCTCCCTTGTCACCCCATAGTTTCCTGTGCCATCCTGCACGCTATTCGACCTTGTCATATTGTTGTCGTTTTGTTTACTCGGCAGGGTTAGCTTTGGCGCGCGTGTTACAAGTATGAAGTTGATCGTTTCAGTTGCCGCTCTGGCGGCACTGGTGTTGGCCGATGACAAGTTTATAACGGTATCAACCAATGGTGATAATACTGATGTTTCCGGTACACTGAAGATTGGAGCCAACACATTTAATCCCTGCTATCTAGCAGTAAGTAGCACTAACCAGCTGTTCTTGGGCTACGCTAACTACTCACAAGTGCGGTACGCTGAGGGGAGACTGCGGCAAAGACAAGGTCCTGTACCCGCTTGACGATGCTTACAAGAGCTTCATCCAATCGTACTGGGCTGCTCAGCAGAGGAGCTTCTCACCGGGATGTGTCTTCAAGCCTGAGACAGCCCATGATGTATCCGCTGCTCTCCTCATCGCCAGGCGTTCGGGCTGTCCAATTTCTACTAAGAGCGGTGGACACTCGGTAGTTCCAGGAGCATCCAACATTCAAAACGGCATCACCATCAGCCTTGAGAGGTTGAACAAGACAACAGTCTCCGCTGATAAGAAGAGTGTCGTATTGGAGCCCGGCCAGACATGGGGTCAAGTGTACTCTAAGCTGGAAAAGGACAACATTCAAGTCCTTGGTGCCCGTGTAAGACATGCTCCATAAAGGTGAACTATGCTCTGCTAACTATCATGTAGTTTGGTGCCGTTGGTGCTGGAGGATTTACTGTCGGTGGAGGTAGGGATTTACAGTACAGTATCACAATTTTCACCATGAGCTAACATGCAACCTCAGGCCTCTCCTACTACTCGAGCCAGTATGGCCTTGCGTGCGACAATGTCATTTCGTATGAAGTGGTTATAGCTAGCGGTGATATCATCAACGTCAGCAAGACTTCGTATCCCGACCTCTTCTGGGCTCTTCGAGGCGGCGGCAGCAACTTTGGTATCGTGACCAAGTTCACTGTAGCCGCTTTCGAGGCGAATCCACTCCTGTTTGGAGGCTCACGAATCTACACCAAGGAAGCTTTCCCTGCCCTCATCAAAGCGTTCTACAGCGTTAGCACCAACTTGGCAAAAGACCCAAAAGCCTTTCAAGGCCTATCATTTGGTTATGGCGGAGCTCAGCTTGGCAACGCAGCACAGCTTGATTTGGCCTACACTGAACCAAACCCCAACGCCCCTATCCTCGCCGAGTACAACGCAATCGACAGCAAGACCATTATTCAGAGCAGCGGAGAAAACGCGACGCTTGCCGCGCTCTCAACAAAAAACAGCGATCCGGACGGGCTCCGTCAAGGATCCCTAACCTGGACCTTCAAGCTGGACCAAAACCTCATCAGCACCATCAAGGACATTTTCTTCGAAGAGGTCTCCAGCATCGCCAACTCCAGTGCCAACCTCCCGTCCATATCCTTCCAGGACCTCTCCGCCACACTCATCCAAAAGACGACTTCCAACGGCGGAAACCCGCTCGGCCTAGACCCGGCCGATGGCCCTCTTACCGTTGCCCTTATGAACTTACGCTGGTCCGATGCCGCCGACGACGAGCGCATTCAAGCGTTTGCACTGAGGATCAAGCGTCATGCCTCTGCTGCTGCGCTCGACGCTGGAAAAGCTACAGACTACATTTACATGAACTACGCTGGCCCCACGCAAGATGTTATTGCTAGCTATGGCGCAGAGAATAAGGCGAGATTGCTGAAGATTGCGAGTAAGTATGATCCGACTGGTGTGTTTCAAACGAGGGAGCCTGGGGGTTTCAAGCTCGAGGGGGCCCCGAGTGATAGGAATAAGCAGATTAATTAGGTCTAATGGACGCGATACATAAGATGTGTGGTGACCAAGGACGTCACGTGAGAGGGCAAGGGTAAGGGTAAGGGTAGGGCACTCTAAACAAAATATAAGTCAATCATCAAATGACTCGTCTTCACTCCACATCCCCACCTCTTTGTTCCAATATTCGTATCATTCCATGCCCTCCGCTAAATCTGCACGACACATATCCTCGTTCTCTCGCTGTTTTATTATCACTAAGCTACACGCTCATAACTCGGTACAGCTTTGTGTATTCAGCCTCTTGCTTCTCTTCTCCGGAAGCACAAACATATTGATTCCATGAGCTACAAACTCCGTTTATGTGTGCAGGGTACACGTACTTTATATGTACCCTACCAGCAAATACAAAATATGTAAAGTTCCCTCATTCCACATGCCACTCGACTATCCATTTCCTTCACACTCCCCCCCCTTGGTATCATATCATTCTCCACAAGCCTGACCATCTAGCGCAGACACAACTTCCTATCTCATCAGTCAGCCAACAACGAAATAGTGGTTAAAGAAGGATGGAAGTACGGTTACATGACCGCACATCCCGGTCCTATCATGGGATTGCGCTGCAGTGTCTGCACACTAACGTGCTTGTCTTGAGCACCTTTGCGCGGTGTTGAAGTGGGGAAGGCGCGGGTGAGGGGTTTGATGGCGGTGTGTAGGGTGGCGATCATGGTGGTGAGGTGGAGGGGTGGGGTGGACAAGGAGGTAGAGAGGTAATGGGGTAGAAAAGGGAGGAGGAGGGTGGGCATTTTGAGGGATGATTGTGTGGGTTTACTGGATGGGTTGATTATGAAGTGGTAACGTTGGGTTGTTGAAAAGGTTGATGGTGAAGTGGTAAGGTGAGTTTTTGGAGAGGTTGATCGTGATGCGACCAAGTTGAGTATTTTGTAAAGATTGAAGTGGAATTTCGGGCCAGCCGATGGTTGATTAGTATGAATTTTTTTAGAGTTGATTTAGTTGAGGGAGGAAGAGGGAGAGGGGGGATGGGGTTTGGGGGGGTTAGATATAGGTATGGCGGTTGTATGCCTGTGCTAGGTATTGTTCTGCTTACCATTGTTGTATCTGTGGGTGACGTTGTGGTAGAAGTGAGTGTGTTTTTTCTAGATGGATGGACAGGGGTACTGGTAGTAGTATTGTTCCTACTAACGGACTACAAGTCAACCGTCTTCGAACCTGCTTAGCTTGGCAGGGCAAAAAGTCAATGGTCACGCTGTTCACTGCAGAAAATGCATGTGTCTAGTTATTTTTTTAACGAGAGTGTGTGTATCATTACTACCTTTTTCTTTTACCTAAGAATTATATATTATCTTATGTGTGTTAAACGTCCGGCGCATACAACCTAATCCAGTAGCCCAGCCATTGTACTCAAATATTACCCACCTCAAAATCATACATCATAGCCCTTTTTATTATATCTATCAACGTTCATTAAGCACACTAGTTTCCTCCAAGACCTCCGAGGAGTCCCGCAAGTCCACCAGCAGCAGCACCACCGGCCTTCTTGCCCTTGCCCTTTGCCGCATCACCAGCCTTGGCACCGAGGACATTCTTGGGGTTGGTTCCAGCATTGCTGTTGATCATCTGGCCGCCGTTGACACCACCGTTGGGAGGGATGTTGTTGTTTGCCTGTGCGGCGGCGTTTTGGTATTGGGTAACGGCAGCAGCATTGGGAGGGTTGATAACCATGACCATGCCTTGCTGGCAGTGCTGGGCTTGGGGGCAGTAGACGTAGATGGGCTGGTTGTCGGTAATGGGGACCATGAACATGGGGTTGTTGCCAGCCTGGCGGCGACCGTTGGCGGGGTTGGGGCTACCCTTGGGGTTACCTGGGATGGGCTGGAAGTCGGAGAAGAGGGCGTTGGGTCCGGGTTGGCAGGGCTGGTTTGCTGTCGAGGAGGCCACACTGTGGTTCTGTAAGGGTAAAAGTTAGCGTTTGATAAGATGGGGATTAAAGCGCTGATAGGCATACCTGAGCGACAAAGTTGAATGCGACCGTGTCTCCGGGTTGAGCAGTGACGGAGTTTGGTGTGAACTGAAACTTGTTGTTGGCAGCAACCGTGACCATCATTGTCGCAGCGGAGGCTGTCAAGCTCTGAGCAAGAGCTGCATATAGGATGGTAGAGAAGAGCATGATGAAGGTATTTGTTTGGAGGATTAGACAAATTATGGTTTAGGGTGTGTGGTGAAGAGTATATCTGGTAATGGTAGTATGTAAGGAATTGAGAAGAAGTGGCCTGCAAATCTGACTGAATCATGTCATGGCATCAGGAAGATAAATACTCAGGATTTTGGATATGCCTAAGGGCCTGGCTTTGTATGTTTTCCCCGTATACCTCAGGAGAAACGGAACATGAAGCGATTTTAAACATGCTTCTGACCTTGGTGACGAAGTTGTTGGCTATAGACCACTCAGAATTGCGTGGTGTTGGTGCTGTCAGATGTTTCGTTCCGAGTCTCATGCCAAGTCCCAAACATGAAGAAACGCTTCGTGGGGTGAGATGACAAAAACGGATCGACGACTTTGTGAGAGAGTATAGGCAAACAGTGAGAGAATCGAGGCAAACAAATGCATCTCTTGTTTTGTGCGTTGCAGATGAGATGGGCTGATAGGTTAGCAAACATTGTTGGGCTGCAGGTCATAGATTCGAGGCAGGTAGTGAGCAAGCTGACGATTTTGGTCTTGTGGGTACATATCATGAGCTCGAGGCATGGAGACAGTGTAGATGCATGTCAAGATGATGATGATGATGATGATGATGATGATGATGTACGCAGGGCATAGGCAAGGGCAAGCGGAAGAAGAAAAACGAAAGTCACGTGAAATGCTTTGCAAACCACATGCTCAGTGCACGCCATAGCAGGGATGCAGGCTTGCAGGACAAAGTATCCGAGAAGCTTGGAGGGGGTTCGAAACAAGTAGCTCTGTGGCACCAGAGCGTCAGCAATCTGGACCATCAATCTGGGTGAAACAGACTTGGAGACGTGGGAGCGAGGTGAAGCATGAGGTGTTTATGAGATGGGGACGGGAAGGTCATGCAGCGAGGACGGAGCCAGCGGTGGTGGTGGTGGTGGTGTTGTGTATATATGAATCCGCCAGTGCCTTGTGCCTTGGAGGGGGGAGCAAGCCTCACGAGAGCACATGGGCGGTGCCGGAATTGGTAGCTCGGCCCCACTGTGCGTGGCCGTGCTGGCCCGATTGAGGCGACGGAGCAAAGGGAGCATGATTTCTTTTTATCGACAAGCCAAGTCAGATGGCAGCAAAGCACTTTAGTGTTTGTTTTAGGCGGCTCGGGGTCCAGTAGCGCTTAGCGCAGCTTACCGGACGGAAGAGGCGTGGTGGGCAGCAGGTGAGATAAGATTTACTGCGCTGATCAAGGCCGTTGGACAGGTCTTGTCGCCTATGGAGGAACCGCCGCCGCCCGCCCGGCAGCCGCGTAGAAGCCACGAGGAGAAGGCCTCGAGCGGCAGGCTATGCAGCGGCGGAGGAGGATGGGAGGGCGTTTGTAGGGATGGGAGGGGGGGGCTTGGCAGGTCCGTCTGCAGTCTGCAGGGTAGCGCAGGCAGTACCGAGATGAGGGAGCGGTGCACGGGCCGCGGGAGTTGAGACGGAGCGACAGTTTCAGGCCCGCTTGAGCACCAGGCGGCTCGAGAAAAGGACCGCCAGTGTGAGGAAGCGAGAGTTTGTTGGCGAGGCACGAGCAAAAGGGAACTGAACGCGAACAAGGCACATGCAGCGGCAGGCGGGTGGGCAGATCTGCGCTGGCGGTGCATGGCGATGGAGTGAGATGCGCTGGAGAGAGATGCATGCGCTGGAGGGAGGGGAGGTGGAGTGGTCAGTGGTCAGTGGTCAGTGGTCAGTGGTTAGTGGTCAGTGGTGAATGGTGAATGGTGAATGGCAGAGTATATTTAGACGGGGGGGTTGCTTGGTGGCTGAGGTGTGGCCGTCGTGGCCTCGGAGCTGACCAGTAGCGGCGCGACTTGGCGTGGCCGCCGTTGGCGACTGCTGCCACGCTACCAATGACTGGCCCAGAGCCCGTCAATAGACGCTGTCCGGTGCAGCGGTGCAGCGGTGCGCGCGTTGCGGTGAGGGCTGTGGCCATGCTATTGATGTATTGATCATCATGGTCATGGGTAGTATACACTACACTACACTACACTACTCTACTCGATGGGTGGTCATCATGGCGACGGGCGATGGATGGGCAATGGATGGCGACAACGGCCGCCGCCGCCGCGTGCGCCTGAAACCTCGCCCGCACTCGAGACGGCCGGGCATAGCAAGCATAATACCTACCTACCCAACACGGACACGAGCAAAAGGGCGCAGTAGGAAGCATACGCACACGCACGCAGGAACGGTGGCTCCTCCGTGATTGCGCATCAGAACCCAGCGTTTCAAAGTCTGCAGTCTGCATCCAGCGTCTGGCTTGTTGGCCAGGGCCTGCTTTGGGCCTAGCCCGATGCAGGGTCGCTGCTGGGTCGCTGCTGAGCTGCTAACCCGCCCTGTCGGCCACCCACGCCCCGTCACCTTATAGCGCCGCCCACAGTCCCCACCGCCCGTCTCGCTCTCTCTCTTCTCCCTCCTCTCGCTGTGCCCGTCACTTTTCTCTTCCTCGCCCCCTCCTCCATTCCTCCATCTCGCCCTTTCCTCTTCCATCTCTCTCTTCCTCTTCCGCTTCCGCTCTCTTCCACCATCCTCCCCTCGCTCTCTTCTGCCACCCATCCGCTGCTTCTGCATCTTCTACCTGTTCCGCTTCTTTGGACCAGCTTACCCTCCGCCTAATCTGCCTTTGTGTGTGAGAGCGCGCCAGTCCCGTCGCTCCCCACCATCCTCCAAAAAAAAAAAAGAACCCGCCCGTCGACGCATCATCCTCAGCTTGCCTGCCCACTGATCCCGTCACGGCTTGTTCGTGTATTCACCTTCATCTACAAAAAACAAGAGAGCTCCCGTCGCCGCATACCTTGCAGCTTTTGTGTCCTAGGCCCACCCCGCCTGCCCGCTACCACATCTGCTCCTGCCTCCCCAACCCTGCGCATTCCGCCGCAACTCGCAGCGACCACAGCCTTTGTTAATAGCTCCAACTGCATTGCCCATCGGCCGGTTTTCGATTCCAACCTCTACCTTACACACTTCTGATCAGTACGATCCTTAATCCCGTAATCGCCAGCCCCTTCGCACGTCTGCCCACCGTCGACTGTCGAGCTCGTCCGCATCATCTTCGATTCTGTATCCTTTCTCGTGTGCTCCCTGCATACGCTTCAACCCCCCAACTTGCAGCCTTACCCTTTGTTCGAACCTCTTTTTAGACTACCAAAATGAGCATGGACGCTGGCGGTCTTGCTCAAATGACGTACAACAACCAAAACAACAACTTCCAATCCCAGGCCGGATTCGGCGGCCCTACCGCCAGCTTTGCCTCGCGCGGAAAGGGCGCTCAGCTTAAGCGTCTCAGCGTTGCTTCGCCTCCAAAGGTTGCCTCCATTGCCGAGGACTCGATTGCCACCCCCCGCACCAGCCGTTCGCACCTTTTGGCCGGCCTTCGCACTGCGCCTAAGACGCCTACATCTGCCCAGCCTCCTGCTTCTGCGCCCTATTCCCAGGCACAGCACAACGTTGGTGCCAACACTGCTGCTAACAACAACAACCGCATGCCCAGGCAGCAGTACAACGGCGCCAACCAGGGTGTTCCCCAGACGGCCATCGGCTCCGGCTTCCGCGGCGTCAACCAGTTCCAGCAGCAGCAGCAACAGCAGCCAGACTACTATAACCAGGTCCTGGCTCCTCCTTCTTTCGAGTTTGACGATGGCGAGATGGACCCCAACGTTGCTGCCCAACTCTTGGCTACTGAAATGTACCTTGCCCAGAGGCAGCAGCAGCTCCAGCAGCAATTGCTTGCTCTGACCACGCAGCAGTTTGGCAGCATGAACATGTCGGGAGGACACGGCTACCCCAACACGCCATACACTCCCCAGATGAACGCCTATGGCCAGCAGTTTGGCAACACTGCTGCTATTCAGGAGACGAACCAGCCTGGTGTCTATCTGGTCTTCAACCAGATGACCGGCCAGTACCAGTATGTCGTCGACCCGAGCTACCAGCAGGACAATGGTGCCATCCAGGTTCTCAACGCCATGGCGGGTATGTCCAATTCCCCGCCTCCGCCAACCCCGCGCTTTGCCGGATCGCCGCCCAAGGTTGACACCCCTGTCCTTCATGTGTCGCCTCCCAACGAGAGCAACCCCAGCCCCTGGGCTACCCGCAGCACCTCGCCTCCCAAGAAGTCCAACACCCCTCCCCAGGACGTGGTTCCTCTTCCGCCGCCATCCGCCAATGCCTTCCGTCGCGGACACAAGAAGAACCCTTCTACTCTTGCTGTTGACGCAAAGACCGAGGCTGCCGAGGGTCCCCGCTCTGCACTCGCCCGTTCCGCTGGCTTCCCTGCTACCCCAATGACTGGCACTTTCGGTCCTGGTCAGGCACGTGCTGGAGAGCACCCTGTCCGCCAGCCCCGCAACCCTCCTTCGATTGAGGAACTCAAGGAGCGTCCCACTACCAAGCACGAGGGCAGCAAGAACTTTGCCACCCGTCAGCGCCGCCAGGCTGTGGGCAACCTTGTCCGCGCTGGCATTGGACGCCGTGCTCACCGCACCAGCAGTGGAAGTGCCTCTCCTGACAGCGAGCATTTTCCTTCGTCTGACAACGACTCGGACAGTGTCCGCAGCGGAGGCAGTGGCAGCCTTTCCGGCAGGCCCAGCATTGGTAGCCTTCGCGCTGTAGCCAATGGCGCTATTGGCTCTGAGCGCAAGGCTTCCAAGGAGCGCTCTCGCGACAACTCCATCAACCGCACCTACACTGCCAACAGCGTTAGCAGTGATGACGGTGCCTCTATTGGTGGCGGCCTTGTTGACATCCGCCCAGAGGAGCGCCGCGGTACGCCCAAGCTCATTCTCACTGGCACTGAGAAGCGCAAGAGCCCCGTCTACTAGGCAGTTGACAAGAATCATTCCGGGACTCTGCTCCCCTGTGCATATTACTGTGGCGCTTTACCAAACGTGCTTCTTCACGGCCCATGACGACTTTTTTTATCATCTTGCCTATTTGTTCTTACTGATTCCGTATTCCGGCCAAGGTCGAGCTTTTTTCATCGTTCCAACATCACGATTACCCTTCGTCTCTTCCTTATGGGAAGATCTTCTTTTCCTAACCCTTTTTTCTTCTCTCCTTTCGTGTTTATCGGACTGTTATGCGAATTGCTTTTACGAGCATGGTGGGCTCTGGCTTTTTGGGATCGGCGACTTGGTTTTTTATGCTTCACGGACAACGAACTCTATTGCCTGCGGCTAGAGATCATTGCACTCCTTGGGCACCCTTTTTTCTTTTTCTTGTGTTATCAGTTTACTTTAGCAACTTTGTCCGTTTTTTTTGATCGACTCGGTCCCTACTTTGTGGCTATGGGTGGCAAGGCGGAAAAAACCAGAGATGAGTGAATTCAATGTAGAATGAGATTGTTCAATGCAAATAATCACTCGCTTACCAAGGAGTTTGTTGTCATTGCTTTGTGATGTGATACTGGGACTGCACGTTCTTTCCGGTCGTGCTTTCCATCTGTGCCCCAGCGATCATGAAGTGCTGATCCCCGGGTACACCCTTTTACCTGTGCACTTGGGTTTGCCGAGTTGTGGGTTGACATGTCAGTCTAATTTCGGCACCCCAGGGGAGGGGGGGCGTTTAAACGGTTGATCGACGGTGTCAACTTCGCTTGGTGGTTTGCCAATTGCAAGGGGTGGAGATGAATCGAGCGATCGTGCAGGGCTGAGGCTGGGGCTGAGGCCGAGGCTGAGTGTGGTGTGGTTTGGTTTGGTTTCGGTTTGTCGCCAACGCGGGGCAGTTCGCGCGCGACCTGCGACATTTCCTCCAAAAAAATACAACACCAACTCAGCGACACACGAGAATTCCTACACACACATATAAACGAACGATATCAACCCCGAAATCCGACACGCGCATACAATCACAACCACCAACCCTTAACAATGGCCGAACCCCCCCTCGCACCCCCAATCTCCCCTCCACCCGCACCTCCGACCTCCCTCCCCCTCCATAACCCCCCACCACCCTTCCACCTCTCAACCCTCACCCCCGTAACCCAAGGCGCCGAAGCCCTCCTCTACACAACCCCCTTCCTCCTCCCCTCTAGTCCCGCAATCCTCAAATACCGGCCCCCAAAACCATACCGGCACCCAACCCTCGACCGGCGCCTTACACGCCAACGCCTCTTGGCCGAAGCACGGAGTTTACTGCGCGTGAAGAAGGAAGGGGTGAATGTGCCTGGTGTGCTAGGTGTGGATCCCGATGAGGGGTGGCTAGTGCTTGAGTTTGTGGGGGGCGCGACGGTGAGGGGGGTGCTTGATGGGTGGGCGAGGCGAGCTCACGTTGCTCCGCAAGATATACGAATGAAGGAGCAGGAAGCACAGGGTGAAGCGAAGGAAGAGGAACAAGATATGATAAATCTCATGGCACGGATAGGCAGGGAAATCGGTAAATTACACGCCGTCGGTGTTTGTCATGGGGATTTGACGACGAGTAATATCATGGTTCGGTCACCATTGTCCCCTTCCTCATCACCATCGTCGTCGTTGTCGGAAAAAGAGAAAGGAGAAGAAGAGGAGGAGGAGGAGGAGGAGGCAAAGAGGTTAATACGCCACGGCACCATCTACCTCATCGACTTCGGCCTCACCAGCGCGTCAATAGCAGACGAGGACAAAGCAGTGGATTTGTACGTGTTAGAGCGTGCATTTAGTGCTACGCATCCTGCTGCGGAGCCCTTGTTCAAGGAGGTGCTTAGGGCATATGGCGAGACGGGAAAAGGAGCAAAGAGTGTGTTGAAGAGGCTAGAGGGAGTAAGGTTGAGGGGGCGGAAGAGGAGTATGCTTGGGTGAATGAATGCCATGTCCTAGTCCGTAAACCAAAGTGATACTTTCGAATCAAATATAAATAAATATGATAAAGGTACTAACACTACCACTTCGAGCCAAAGAGCAAAAAAAAACATTTGAAAAAAATAAATAAATAACGTAGCAGATTCAAAATAGCTATCTAGGATGACGACAAATACACTGTCAATCGACTGTAAATGAACAAACGAAATCGTGACCATTGGGCCGAGGCCGCTCCCACATGGTATAGAAATGTATGCAACCTGTTACAAACGCCATTTGGGGGACAAGATACATATCCCTTCTCGTACAACACTGGTCGGCCCAAAACGCCCGGTTTTACCCTATCCCTATCGCAAACAAGAAAAAAAAGAGAAAAAAAAAAGACCATTCAAGCCCTAGTCGTCCTTGACGCTAGCACTCGCATATCCATCATCCACATCAGACTCCTCCTTCTTCTTCTTCGTCCCCTCCTGCTCCACTTTCTTCTGCTCGAGTCCAACAAGACTCTTGCTTGCGTCAAGACAGCTGTTGACAATCTTTGCCCTGACCTTGTTCGACACACCGCTCCTCTTGCCAGTCTCATGACCAATCCACATGCGGAGAGAACTAGCAATCCTTTCTAGGCCCCGGCTAGTGTCAGCCTTGAGACCGTCGTCGGCCATGAACTGTGTGAGAACCTTGTGGGCTGCAACAAAACTAAGGAGTGTGGTGGTGGGCTCGGGTAGGTAGGTATTGTTGACGACGAAAACAGCGCGACGACGTGCCTCGGGGGTTGAAAACGTAGATAGCGAAATACATTTAGCGAGCGTGAGAGCCTTGCGCACGTCGGGTGCTACAAAGCCGTTGCCGACAATGTTGATGAATCCGGAATCGGCGGGCTTGGGTGTGGATGGAAGGGCCTCGAGAGCTGCTGCAATGCGTTCATTGCGACCCTCGTCAAGCACGACTGCTTGAGCAACAAGGGCACGAAGCTGAGCTTGCGAGTTGGGAGGTGCAGCTCGGTAAGCAAGATCAAGGTCTGCGACAACGTTGGCCTTTGGAGTGCAGTTCTTGGTGGCAAGTGTCGTGGCCAGTCCTTTGTTTAATACGAGGCTCGAGTACCAGGCGGCAAGCGCATCCAAAGGCGAGCAGATGGCAAAGTCTTCTACAACAGTATCCATGGAAGTATCCACAGTTGTTTGCTCGGCGCTGGGCTTGTTCCAGGCAATGTTGTATGCGCGCTGTACGACTGCAGGAACGAGGACATCGTCACACTCCTTCTCAATGAGCGCAGCAAGATGATCCGGCAATGGCTCGATACCGCTGTTCTTCTTGGATGCATTTGCAGCAATGCGGTGCTCGCTTCGTGCCATGTTCCAGTAGCTGCGTGCCAATTTCGCGCTCAAGTCGTTCAGTGTCCACAGGGAGCTGTGTCCGATGTTGCCAATCTCCCAGAGGACAATTCGGATATGCAAAGCCTTGAGCATGAGTCTCGCGGGAGTATCGGGAAGGGTTCCAGAGGCGATGAGTGTGAGGAGAAGTCGGCTCTTGCTAATCTCTGCGTCGCCGCCGGTGAGTTGAGCATCTAGAGCAATCTCCCAAGCCTTGAGACGTGCAGCTTCTTGTTCCCGGGTGGTTCCGGTGAGATATGCGTAGCCTTCCCAACCGATGATTCTGCGCATGCTGAGCTTCAGCGTCTTCAAGCCGAGTGCAGCGATTTCAAGAACAAAGTTGTGTTGCGGTACCCAGACTGTCTGGATGGCAGTGAGCCAGGCCTTTCGGCGTACCTCGACAGGTGAAGCGAGTGACGGTGCAGGTGACAAAAGAATGGATGGAGACTTCTTCTTGGGCTTCGACTTGAAGTCGAGTAAGGGAGCGACGAGGTAGAAGAAGGCACCGAATACCAAGAGAAGCTTAGCCAGAGGAATCTGGGCTGACGAAGCACCGAGAGAGACGCGAGGAGCGAGAATGCTGACCAGGTTGGGTAGAGCGAACAAGCCCCGGCCCTCTGGCTCTTCTCGTGACTGTTCGCGCTCGACGAGTCCTTCGAGTATCATCAGGCCGGCGAGAGATCCGACCATGAGCTTACCCATCATGGCACTGCTGCGTCGTCCGTTGACCATGGGTGGGCCGACGGCTGGACGGCCGCCGTATCCTGTAGGGTAGGCGTGTGCGTAATGTTGCTGTGGTGGCAATCCGCGTTGAAGAGCGGCAATGTTGTCGGGGACAGGAATCATGCCTTGGGGCGGTCCAGACATGGATAGACCATGTGTAGGCGTGAAGGGGTCATCGTGATACCTATCAGATACGCCACCTGGACCGTGTAATGTTATGGGGCCGGATATGGCCATCTTCTCATAACTCTCCACCCGACCTTTCATGGTATTCAGCTCATCCTGTAGACGCTTGTTGCGCTTCTCCAGATGGCGAATATACTCAGTCGCTTTTGATAGGACGGTGGCCTTGTTGAGCTTATGTGCAGGAGTGAGTCCTTCGAGATCCTCGGGGTCGTCGTCCTCTTCGGTGCCATTTGGCCGTGACATGACACGCAGACTCGGGACACCTGACGGGAAAATTAGCAAGTGCTTGGCTGGATGCGCTGGATGATGACCTACTATCGCGGAGCGCAGCAATCTTGTCGTTGAGGTTTGTCCGATATCGCTTCTCGATCATGTTGTGTGCAGTCTTCTTGGGTGGCGCGCCGCCCTTTTTGCTCGACGGCGCATCATCGTCCGGCTCTTCAGAATCGGCCGATGACTTGCGCTTTCTCGAGTTTGATGGGGCGGGTTCTGGTGATGAATGCGATGATGTTGAACTTGATCGGCCGTTGTTCAGCGAGTTTGGGCTGTGGTGCAGACTCGGCGTGGAGTCAGGGGGCGGTGGTGCAGCATAGTTGGACTGTTGGTATTGCGAAGGCGAGAAGAGGTTGTTGTCTGGTAATTGCTGTTGTTGTGATTGTTGCTGCTGCTGTTGTTGTTGTTGCCATTGTTGGGCCGAGTAGTATGCGTTTTGTTGTTGCATGTCGCCTGTCAGCGGCGAGCTGAGGTCAGAGCCATTAAAGTCAAACGATAGCGGCACGTCAGCGCTCTGACCAAAGGTAAAAGGAACGGCGTGGGATTGGGCAAACATGGGAGCGGTGGTGGGAGTGAGGGTGGATGGCAGTGGTAGCGGCTGTGACTGAGGAAGGTGGGTGATATGGGGTGATGTTTGCTGGCGGGTCCTAGGGTATGCGGCGGGCCCCTGTGGGTTGACGGGCTTGGTGTCCACGCTCTGGGAGTCCTGAGACGGCTGGGCGGGGTTGTAGTGCATCCACTCGTTCCAGTCGGTCGTGTCGTCGGCAGAGGCCGTGAGCGTCATGTCGTCGGCGGCAGTGGTGAGCCAAGGACCGCGCATGGTGCCAAAGGGAAAGTCAGTGGAGAGCATGGGATCCTCCATGGTGGTGGTGGTGGCCGCCGACGTCGTCGTCGTGGGCGGGCTTGGGTCCTGGGAGGTTGGGGCAGAAACAGTCGGCTCGGGCTTCGGGTGCAGTCTGAAGTTGTCAAAGACGCAGTAAGGACCGACCTGGCAGCGCAGCACATGTTAGCACAAAGGTTAGGAGTGGCTGCGCCCACGGCGTCACGCACGGCGATTCGCTCCAACTCCAGCCCATCATCGGGGCTGCCATAGGGGTCAGAAGCCATTTGGGGGGAGACTAAGGGCTATCTGCTGCGAAACTAAGGGAGCGCGGGCGAGGACGACAGCAGGACACGAAAAGAGCAAAAAACGAGGGAGATAATACACGACGGCGTATGCAACAACCCAGCGGGTAGGAAAGAGCTCGGTCTTACCAGCAGCTACTTGGACGATCTCAAATCATGCCACTCTCTCTTTACTCTCTCCCAGATGATGCACAAGGCGAATGCGGGCGGCGGCAGATCCGGCAGAGTGCGCTCGCTCTGCGACAGGTAAGGCAGGCTACGCACAAGCTGCACTCAGCTGCAGAGGCTATGGGCTCCTAGGCGAATGGCGAATGGCACTCTTGCGTGGAAATGGCATGCAGCAAAGGTGCTATGGCTCCGGGAGGGTCCAGATGGCTTTCGCGTAAGGGAAGGATGTTGGAGTGGTTCGACAAGTCGTACGATGATGGACAGGCGACTAGGGGGGGGAACGCCCCACGCCAATCGGCAATGCAGTACGTACCAATACCTCACCACCACCAAGCAGCTGTGTTGCCGTTCAATATCGTCCGCTCCAGCGAATGCGCATGTGTATACAGTGTGGATGCGTGGGTGATTGTGCGTGTGTATATATATTATCGACGGGCAGGGCAATGGCAACGGCAAAACAAGGGTTGCATCTATTTCTCAGGCCGGATCAGGGGAACCGGTCCTTAAGTCTGTCGCTGGCTGTGGTCGGCGGCGTGGTCAGAGTTGAGGCTGGCGCTGTGTGAGCAAATCCCTGTCTCGGCGGCATGGCTCTCATCTAACCGGACACGACCGCCACTGAGATGAAGCATCATGCTTGTCACGTCCATCTCGATAACCGAGTCCTCTACCGCTACGCCCACGGACTCGCCGCTGTCAACACCTATCCATATCCACACAAACAAGTCCATCATCATGGTCGTGGCTGTGGTGACGTGTGGCTGATGATCCAGCCCAGTCGATGCCTCAGCCATGGTTCGCCTCAATGCGCTTTCTCCGCCCCGGCCCCAGACTACAACACGCGCCTGCTCGATTGCTCGCCTCCTATAAGCCCAGCACTCACAAGTACCCCGCGCCCTATCCCCTCCAACCACGCCCTAATCACTCGACTGCTTTCTCGCGTTTCACCATCTACACCATGGCCCTCTTACTAACTCTCTTGTCCACCAAACACGCCTGTGCAGAGCGGAATACGACACTCGAACCCTGCGTTTGCTGACATGTCAACTCTGCCTTCGTCACCACCCACCATCCCCGCGCACTACAACACGACGGTCCTATCTCCAACCCACTTTTGCTAGGAACATGCCTCTACGCAACCCTCCGGCACAATCCCAATCTGACTTTCCATTAATCACACGTCAAAATCTTGCGTCATCCCGTCTGGGCACCCACCCGTTCTCGCCGTAGTGAGACCACCAACTGGTCTTTTTTTAGCCCCCCACACGAATCACCACCCATCCCATACGATTCTCTCAAGTAACACTTTGAACGAAAAAACTTCGGCATCAACGAACCAGACTGGGCATCGAGGCCAGGCCGTCAAAGACGCAATCAAGCGGCCAAATGACATGCCAAATTACAAAGCAAACCCACATGAAACCACGACACAAACACCAAACCCGCCAGGTCTGCACCCTGTGCCCAGCACAAAGCACCACGCTTCGTTTCGACTCCTTGCTCTCCGCTCGACCCTTATGCTCCCATTGTGCTTCAATGCTAGCACGGTGCCGAACTGTGAACAAGGACAAAATTTGGCCTTTGTAACAAGAGATGAGTGAACTAGGAACAACATGGCAGAACCAGGTGCCAATGCGCATAGCCTCTATTATAGAGACACCAGGCTTGTCTGCTGTTCGGGCAGGACGCACATCCTACCACTGGAAACTATCTTCCTGTCGTGGTAACAGTGCATCTGTCACTGCTGTGTCTTGGTGAAAATCTCGTGCAACACCCTCTAGTCTCCTGTGTGACCGCAGTCTTTCCTGTTTATTCGAGGGAATGAGAAAGGTAAGGCGGACGAATGATGTAGACTCCATCCCAATTATGCCTGCGGAGAAAAATTGTGATCGCTATTTTTGTGGAAAGAGAATCGCGTCTGCCCCTTATCCAACCAAGAATCACTCAATTCACAACAACACATATACAAAGAACACCCACGCATCACTTAAGAGCACAGTGGAAGTGGTGCTCTGAATAAACTGTAAAGGATAGCGTCACTGGTGTTGGTGATGACGCTATTGTCCTTGCTGTTGCTGCTGTAAAGACTCACCTGCCGAATGAACTGGTCTTGAAAATGGATGGCGCTCAAGCGTCTTCTTCCGATGCAATTGCCTCTTCATCATCGAGCTCCATGCTGCTTTGCGTGCCGGTCGGAGTCTACTTCCTGTCATCAAACACACTGTTTATTCAGGTTCAACGTCCTATCTAAAGGCCTCACGTGGGGCATGCGGACGGGCGAGGCCCAGGACTTACGGTGTTGCAGCACCGCCTGGTTTTGCCTATTCTTGGGGAGTGTCTTCTAAGTACTTTGTTTCTTGTGGCAGCCGCTCCGCCGGTTGAGAGGCCATTACAATTCCTGCATGCTGGGCAAGAGCCCAGATCAAACACATCGTGCCCTGTCCTATGGCAGTCTTGAACTCATACAGTTGCAAGTCCTGCATCTGAGCCGACACTTCACTACTGCTCATTGTAACCTTTTCCGAGCTCAAGAAACACACGAAACTAAGGTCAGACTACCATCATCTCTTCATTTTCATTCCTTTTCTCCTTCTCTCTCTCTTAGCCCAGAAAAGAAATAGCCAGAGACGCTCCATGCTATACTTCGTGCCTGAAACTGTGAAACTGTGAAACCGCAGGACCCTAAAACCCCCCAAAAAAGCAACCACGAGAAAACGTTCCTTCCCTGAATCCACTGTTTGTCCATTCGCCACACCCTCTCTGTCATCAAGACAAACGATTCCATCCCCAGACTTGACACCTACAAAACCAGAACACAAAATCAGGGAAATCCGTGTTCGAACCATGCCCCCCGAGTTGCTCTGCATACGTAAGAGAAGGATTCCCACATGTCAACCGCGCAGTATCCCATAAAAAACACGAGGTCATCACTCTTCACACCCTGTATGCCACGTGCTCTCGCCCTATGTGAACAGTGTGCGAGTCCCCTTGACAGCAGTATTTTCTTTCCCTTGCTCACTCCCCCAAAAGGGCTCACCGAAGAGAGAAGGGGGGTGTAATTCATGACAGCAGAACACGAAGCAACCCAGTTTCTGCCCTCGTGTCCCTGCCTCCCCTCTTTACCTACCCTCACACTTCCCTCTTTGTCATGCTTGTCTCCCCCTCCTCTCCCTTCGCTTCCTCGCTCGCCCTCGCTTCTTCGCTCTCCAGTCACCGCTGCCGCATCCGGATGCCTAAAGTAAGTGGAGCCTAAAGGAAACGAGTGACATTCCCAGCCAACCCCTAGTACCCACGCACTGCCGCACAACACGTAGTTTCGACGGTCCTCCGGTCCCAGGCTAAATTGGCTAAAAAATGAGAGATATGAACGCCCGGCAGGCACCGGTCTTTTGCTAGTCCACGATAAGGGAAACAACAGAACACACGGGAAGAACGGCAAGAACGGGACGATGTAACTACATGTACGTAGACGGGGTCGTCTGCACACACTGATACAGATAGTAGATACAGCCCGCCTATTCAATAGTCCAAGCAGCAACAAGGTACTTAGTTAGGTAACTAACTCGTTCTCTCACCGACTAAAAAGAATTAAAGTGAGGCTTACTCTTCATCCATCCCAACAAAGCAAGCAAGCAGGCCAAAAAAACGGCCCTACTATGTGCTTACAAGCGTCAACCCTACACAACGCACACTTACCCTGCGTCACTCTCGTACGTTAATCTCACATCTACCTAGCTTCCCTTGAACCCTTCCAAAGCTTCTTAACCCTGGAGCGCAAAGAAAAAAATTGCTTTTTCACGAAAAGAAGCGCCCAGACGGAATAATTTCTAACCCCCCCCCCCCCAAAGATTCCCGAGTCAAGGGAACCAAAAAGCAAACACATATACAGAATGCAGAAAACGGGATGGGCGAACCGGGGGAACGGGACAAAGACGCATGGATCACCCATGAACTTTTTCTCGCAAAAAAATCAAAAAACAGCAGTCAGTGTGTTGTTCTAGTGCAGCCTGGGAGGGTCTGTGTTTCTCTTCCTTCTCAAATCATATCAAATCGAATCATGTTTTGTCCTTGAAAAATTCCACATTGGGTAAAGTCTACAGTTAAACCAGATAAGAGACTTGCATAGAAGGGGAAGGGGAAGGGGAAGGGGGGGGGTGACCATAAAAGTACGATTTCCGTCTCCAAATTCTCCTTAGCGCCGATCGATCGAAACCGAACTTTTGTACTACCTTCGTTTACCTTTTCTTTTCTTTTTTTACCCACGAGTTTTTCCAAACCACATGTGTCAGAACTTTACATGCGCCACATTACCACACTTTTTTCTTTCCTTTTCTCTCTTTCGTTCTCTCTAGCGTAGAACTTGTTACTATAGTTTTAAAGTTTAGTTTGTAGATCGGGGGTTGGAAGAAGAAAAGTCGGACGGAGATGCGCGGGAGTTGCCGGAAAGAGCGCCGCGCTTCCGTACTGTCTCTATATACGAGATCTAAATCTGTTTCCAGATTTTGAGTTTGGAACCGTCGTGTCGTTTTTTTTGCTTTTTTTTGCTTCTTTTCCCTTCTGGCGCGACCGGCGATCAGCGACCAGCGAGCATGCATGTGCACAGCGGGTCAGATACCTAATCGATAAACCAAACCAAACCAAACAGGGGAGGGAGTGCGAGACCAAAAAAACTTAACCAATTACCACAAACATTTTGCACCATTATCTCTATAGTGACAAAGAAATCCTCGTACTTGGTTTTTTGTTCTAGTTTTCTTGGCCGCCCCCCCCATGCCCGCATGTCCACGGGGAGTTGCTGATCAATGATCTTCAAGAGGGATCTACCCTTTGGCTTTGCGGCGAAAAGAGGCTTCACCCGTCCAACCCCCCATCCACTTCCCTCGTGATCCCCTCCGAGGAGGGCTAGATTTTTGCAGATGCAGATGCAGGTGCAGACGCGGCTACCGCTGCATCTGGCATTCCCGTTTTAAACGTGGGATAAAAGAAAATCTGATCGTACAGAGAACCGGGGGGGGGAGGGCTGATTTTGGGGCTCTGGAGAGGGGACGAATTTCCTGCGGGCAGTTGAGTATACATAGTGTGAGGGGATGGGAAGAAAGGGTAGTAGGTAGCTATACAGGACAGCCTTCTCGTTGTACAATTCCATGAATTCTCATTACACACACAGAGAGAGAGAGACAGGGAGAGATAGAGATCGGCTCGTCTCCACCTCGCCCATCGTACTTCCACGCGTATGCATCTGCATCTACGATGCGTTTTACCCAAAATACTAGAGTAGCTCAGAAAAGTTAATCAGATTCCACCTCACCCTGTGGGTCATAACCACTCTACATACTTTTTGCTGGCAAGCAAGGGACCGAACCAGGCCCCCCTTCCCTTCACGCTCTACTACTGCAGGGCAAATCTAAATGGTCCTGATAACCCTGATACATCTAGCCCTGATAGACCTTTCCGGGGTCTCATACGACGTGGCGTTGGAGAACCTGCTTCGATAGGAGATTAAACAGAAAAAAAGCAGACATGACCTACAGACAGAACGAGGCACACACACCTGTTGGCCAACAGAAGTCTAGCTTGGGCGGCACACGGGCCAGGGTGCTTCAGACAAGCCTGGGATACAAGGTGTTTGCAAGTCTCAACCTACGAGGTCATAGGGGGGAATGAGTGTGTGTGTATGTGTGTGTGTGCCTAGTAAGTAATGCCGTTGGTTTGATGACGGTAGTAGTCATTGCACACTTCAGGAAAGACCGAAGGGCAATTGATGCCGAGAGTGAGATCTGGCGATGGGTATTTTGCGTCTGTTCTTTCTCGGCAAAAAGAGCCGACCAATCGGCGAGCGGCACGGGGTCGGGCTTGCCGCTTTAACACGGCACGGCAGCCGGCTGACTTAGCAAAGCGTTCAAGCGCCAGAACCAGCCACATGGTACTTAGCGTGACCATGTTGAGAATCAATTGATGACGAGTATGGTGGGGGGTTGCCTCATGATGAGCCAGCAAAAAAGGGACAATCATTCATACCAGCACTTGTGTACGCAATGTGCCTATGTATATCCATGTACATAGTGTATGCATCCGCTTTACATACTATGAGATCTTGATGGACATCACCTTGTGTCGAGATTTGCCGCGTGCGAATGGGCTGACCCATGAGAATTTGGTCTAGAGGGGGGCGAAGTCCGATGTGGGGTAAGCTCCGCCATCAACCGAAAGCGGGACGATCCAGAAAACTGCATGTCAGCCTCGACTTCGAGAAAATAAGCGAAGAAAAGAAGCAAAGAAGAAGGGCAAAAAACCACACCGTACGCATGCAAGCACTGTGACAAAACACCCACGGGCGGAGAATTGAAACGCAACGAAAATATCTTGGCGACGATCGTTGCAAGCATAACTACTAGGTTTTTGCTTCGATGCCTGTGTCTGAACATGGACATAATATTCATGCATAACTCGCGTTTGATGTTGGGAGGCAAGATCAGTGGCGTTATGGATCTCCAAAGGCTCGAGTGTTTGCAATTACAGTTGCACCGCCACGGCCTCTCTGTTAATGCGTTTCACTTGTCAGGTCCTGTTAGCCTGTAGATCTACCCTCAAGACAAATCTCACGATAGCCGGTACACTAGAGATACGCTGCGTTGACTAGCAGCGCATGGCCTTCTGACCCATGTACGCGCTCCCTTGTATTGTCGCAGGTAGACAGCTTGTAGGCATCCTGTAATCTTTCTGAGTAATCTGCCTTGCGAATTTTCACTGCTTTTTTCACATGCGTGTGTAATCAAGCAGAGATACTCTTGCGTGGCTTTCGCATATGCAAGTGTTATGCCAATAAAGGAACACTACACAGTCGACGACAATGGCCATCTGGTAAGGCTATGTAGCTGTTTTGTTCACCCAAGCTACTGCCTAGGGATGGGCATGAGTGCAGCAGACCACAAAGTACTTGTGGCGATGACATACCATGCTCCAGGGGCAATTGCGCTATTTGTTTTGAAGCAGAGATTCCAACAAAGGCCACCGCACAAGTCTGTTTCCTCCGCCTTTGCATAACGTAAAATGCAGTCAGATTTCATGCCGTGGAGTGAGTGCAGCACGGGACGACGACCAAAAAGGGTGTCAGGGCTGCCCCATATTTTGCCATAGGTGCCTCCGGTCCTGGCACGTCGTCCCCCAGCACGACCGGAACGCGTGTGCCGATGACAGTCAGGTAAGTAGGGTCCTCCCGAAACGGACGACTCTAAACATTCCTTCGGACATGCAGACAGCGATAAGCCGGTCATTTCTGCGACGACCCATGTTTCCCTCACCCAAGAAAGGTCACTGTATTTTTTTTGATCAACAGACTGCGACTGCACGTCGCTAGAAGGGGTCGTGGGGAAAATGCGAATATACAGTGGAGCTTGTTGGAGCGTTGTCCAACGTTGCTTTTTCTTCCTGCCGCGCTGTGCCATGCGAAAATCGTCACGATGCAAGCTCACGGCGCCTCCACGAAGCTGAGTGCGGGTGAGACGATCATAAACCAATTTGAGTAAACGGCCGAGGAGGATCATCAAGCAGGCCCAAAGTGGACAGGCGGATATTCTCGAAACACAACTCGCAGAAGGGCAAGGGGCGCACCGAGAGTCGTACGATACAATATCTTTATTGCATCCATGTCGCTTAAGCAAGAAACCGAATCGGGAGCAATGCATTAAACCTTTTTCGGGATGCCGTCCACTAAAACTGGGTATCAGATACGTGTGAGATGAAAAGGGTGTGACCAGCGTTAGATCGAGATCGCCGCCAAGCGAGCGAAGTAACTGGAGATCCTGAGTCAGATTGAGAAACTATTACCGGGGTCTTCTTAACATCATATTCCTATGGTGTGCTGACAGGGTTCATCTGTCAACTAGTATCAAGTTTCCTCGGCTGTGACAGGTTCTCGGCATATGTGCTTTTGGTAGGGATTCGCCTCATCTGGCGGCACACGTGAAGCATGCATGGACCTCGCAACTCATTGTCAATAGGGTTTGAGGACCCCTTGCGGCGGGTCGACAATGACCCTTTTGGTCAGCTACATGATGCCTGGATGGTGGCAAGATGCACATTAGGATTTTCTGGCCGAGAAACGATGCGAGTTGGAAGGGACACGTTTACAGCTCCCGGAACCGTGGCCGCCGAGCGGTGTCGTAAAAAGTCAGCAAACGTGGAGCCCAACCTGTCAAAGACGGCAACGCGGAGGAGGTAAGGCACCGGTAAAATTGCATCTAGTTTCCTCATGCTGCCAATCTTGTCCGAGGGCGGGTTGCAATTGCATTCCAGTGTCGTGTATGCAGGTTGTTAACACCATCGTGATTGCGACGAGATCTGTATTCTTGGTCATGGTTGAGCTGAAAGTTAGCATAATTTTCTGGCGTATCACCTCATTCACATGAAGCCAGCGAGCCGGATTCCACGCAGGTATCGATGCACGCAAGGTATGTCCAGACTAGACAAGTCGACTCAGAGAATTAGCAGATCAGGTCATGGGCTGTGCTTTTCGATGCACATGATTGGGGTGTTGATGTGCGTGCGCGACAGGCCAATAGTTGAAGGCGGGTTTGTCCGAGGCACTCCTGCAGGGCGAACAAGATCTTGTCGACTTGTGCAATGACAAACGCGGGCCATTTGAGTGTTTTGCGAGTCTCATAGATATGCGTTTCGAAACGCTTTGATTCCCACCATAACCGGCATTGAATGACAGCGGTCAAACGCTTACGCATAAATGGGGTTGACATAATGTAATAGTCCGGGAGGCGTTTGTCAAGGGGCCAATTGGTACAAAAAAAAGTACCGACACGACAACGAATCGGACAGGCAAATCGGGTTGCGCGGTGCCGAGTGCAAAGAAGCAGCACTATTTAGCCATAGGGACCGAGGACGGGCATGTGTCCATAAGTCCATATGTACGCACACATAAGCATGTGGGATATATGTGTACTTATTACATATGTCGCCTGAGAGATATGGTTGGTAATACATAATGGCGTAAGCGGGTATTCTGCGCCGGTTCGACGTTGCAAGCCACCGACGGGTGCGCGATGAAGCTTGTCGGGGGGGGGCACTATGGCACGGGCAATTGCGGAGCTGTAATTGTCATGACCGAGAGCACTGTTTGATAAGTGGAAGTAGCAGGATAGCAGAGTTGTGAGACACGTGTGACGGACAGTTTGATGCATACTGTAACGATCTGTGAAGACGCGTTGCACTGGAATATTTCGGCACCCTGGTCATTGTCCAAGGCAAAGGGGGGGGGGGGGCGGGACGATGGCACCGAGCGATATGTCTCCTCGGCCTGCAGTGATGGCTGTCAGCGCATGTGAGGCAGCTGGCGGGGTGGTTGGCTCAACTGACTCTGCCGCGGAGAGTTGGTGTGACGGCGATTGGGTGTATGCGGGCATTATCGTCAGCGCGCGGGCAGAGCTCAGCCTTCGAGTAAGTGTAGCATGTTTACATACATACAGACTATAAAGATAGAACATGCGAGGCAGAGGCAGAGAGTCGAGGGGGTGGTGAAGGCAGATCGGTCGTGGTTCCGCTAATGCAGCTAAATCGCAACGGAGACTTGTGGGTAGCGTGGTGTGGATGTCTGGGTCGGGTGCCGTTTTGCCTCACGGGCGTGCTACTGTAGGGCACGAGGGAGCGCACAGGCAGCAGCACGGGCTACTGTGTTATGGCAGATGCAAGTCGAGCCGGGGTGGCGTGGTGCGACCAGCCCAGCGATTTCGCAGACACGTGCAGACGTCAACGGGCAAGTGCTTTAGTGCATGGTGGATCCATAGTTCGGAACGAGACCAGGGAGGCGTGCTGCGTGGGTGCGCTGAGAGAGGCGTTAGCGACGACTGACGTAGCGGCACAGGCCAGAGGTATCACCAGGCGCGACAAAGTGGCCTCATTGTGTACGGACAAGCGTAAGAGCCATCGAGTAGCAGATGCCCTGTGCGCCGTAGCGATAATGCGGACGATAATGCAATAGCAGCGAGCGGCATTGGGTGTTGCGTACAGGCGGCTCTTGAGTCAAAGTTTCTTGCATCCGGGCCGATGAGATCTCGAGGCAAGACGATGGTTCGTCGGCACGCGCTGCCTTGTCTGTCACGGCGATGCATGATGGCCGCCGCCCCGCTGCACTAATCGCGTTGCCACCGATTCAGATGCGTCGTGTGGGCATCACCCCTGGGCTGGCTGGAGATTCCCGAGAGAGGGCCATTGACGGTGGCGATTACTGATTTGCGTGCCTGGGGGTGTACATATCGAGGTACATGATTATTGTGTGTAGTATGTATGGAGATGGGCTGACGGCGACGAGGAGGACCCAGGATGCTGCCCTGATGGCGCACGGCGGACAGCAGGTTGAAAGAAGAAGAAAATAAAAAGAGAAGAAGAGCAGCAGACCAAACCCACCCGGCAGGCCCGGCACAGCGATCATGTACACATACAGGCGCGGGCTGCTGTGCGAGGCATTCGGCGGCGTGGCGCACACTCTTTTTTGTGGGTATGGAGTGGTGAGAGTGTATGAGTAGTCGTGTGTGTGGCTGTCACTGTCTGCTGTCGCAGCCAAGGCGTAGCGAGGGGCATCAGCGGCATCAGTGGCATTAGTGGGTAGGCCGGCTGCATCTCGATTGCATGACTGCATGCCACGGCGATAATTTGGCCCGTGGCCGCGGGGGCCTCCATTCGCGCAGATGCTGGTCGCGATGCTGGTCCCTGGTCACAACGGCTGCGGATCGAGCAGAAGAAAGTTGAGGGTGTGGAAGGCGAGGGGGGGCCTGTGGCGCTGATCGATGCACCCACTGCCCACGCTCCATGCCTGGCCGGCCGGCCGGCTGCTGCTTTTACATGCACTACTCGACAGCACGGTGTAGTAGTGGTAGGGGGCAGCAGATTCCATCCGGCCAAGCGTGGCCAGGATAGCCATTGCTCGCCGATGCTTTGGGAGCGTGCTTGGGCGCTGGGGTGCCGCCTTCAGTGTTGCAGCTTGAACACCCACCCATCGCCTTCTCCACCCGCATCCTTGTTGTGGCAAACAGACGTGCCGTAACCCATCCATCCCTGCCTGCTCACTGCACTCTCGCGTCACGTCCTAGACGACTCGCTGCCGCCGCGCTTCATCTCCGATCGTATCTGCTTTAGCCCGCTGCACCTGGTCTTAGTTCTTGTTTCCGCTCACCCCATGCCCATGCCTGCAACCATCGACAAGACGCGGCATTGCGACCAGTAGCCCACTGTGAGATCACGGCTTGGCCATCTGCTCCGCTCCAAACCCCATGCTACACTTGCTCACCTTCTCCCACACATCATCCACCTCCGCCGCCAGAACCACAGCACAGAGAAAGTCCCTGACGCCGCCCTGGCAACTGTGCTGAGACTCGCCTCGATTCGCCCCATCCAGTTCACCTACGTCAGCCACGTCGCTGACACTATCGCCTGCACCTGCAGTCTTGACTCTGCCTTTCCTCTCGCTAACAACGCTCCTTGCCCGTGACCAAAAGGTGCCAGCCTCCCAAGCCGTGTACGGTTGATTAGAAAAAACAAAAGACGACAAAAGAGAAAAACCGTCACAACAAGCAAAACTTTGCCCCAGCATCAGTAATTGGAGAGAGACAGAGAGAAAAAGAGAGAGAGAGAAGTGGTCAACGTAAAGAGCGTAGCAATCGCACAAAAAAAGACTGTCGTCGACGATTCCGCCAGTAGTACCGTGTGGTTTGCTTGGCTGCGCTTGTCGAGGAAGGAACGACTCCAGGTTCTGGCGCCTCCCAACCTTGTGCAGCAAGGCACATGAACGTCGCCGGTCTGCCATTCCCCACCATCGCTCCTTTGCAACATCTACCTGTCGCATCTCCCAACTAAACCTTACCATCACCCACGGAAAGTGCCGCTCATGATGGAAATCTTAGACGCTGGCAGCAGACAAGCGTACGTCACCGTCGTTCCCCTGGCCTCGCCATACAAATGCTAACTACAGACTGCAGTGTCGGCCTCCCCTCAATCAACCACATGGATGCTGAGAGAGTCAAGCGCGAGGAGGCCGAGTACCAAAGAAAACACTCGGCCCCAGCTATGCCCAGCCCGCTGCATCCTTACACTGGGCCATCGCATGCACACAGCAACCCCCAGTCTTCTGTCCCCAGCACAGTGCCTGGCTCGCTCGGAGGCTTGCTGTCTCCTCCCGAATCGCGCAGGATGTCTGGCGATGACAAGGACTCACAGCGAGCGCCCGCCCGCCAGTCATTGCCATCCATCCACGAAGCTCTGGGATCGGAGCAGCCGCTCTCATATCCAGCTACAGTGCCCCCGCCCTCTTCGATAACATCAGCCCCCCAGCATTACCATTCATCCTCTGCAGCTCCTTCACCGGCCGAGCAACGTCCACGAAACTACCCACCAGATCTCCAGCACCCCAGCCAAGGGCCACCTAGCTCTCTGACCCACCCAAGGAGTCCATACATCGCCTCCTCAGCGTCACAAACAGGCCCTCCACCACCCGCACCAGCTCCAACAGACTCCCTTCCTCGCCCGCCCTTCTCGGATCCAAGGCCGCCGTATCCAAATCCTCAACACAATCCGAAGCTACCTTCGCTTCATCCTCTCAAAACTGCACCTGCCTCGCCTCCAAGCGCCCCACATCCCAGCATCTCTTATTCTTCGTATCCTCCACCAGTTTCGAAACCCTACGAGAGCCCGGCTCCTCGGTCAGCACCGCCAATCAGCCAGCATCACCCATACTCGCAATATCCCCCCAGCTATGCCGTGTCAGCTTCGTCTACCAGCGCACCAAATCCTACATATCCCCCAGCAACATCCACCTACTCTGCCCCGCCTCGCTATGTGCATCAAGCATGGCAAGATAGCGCTGAAATGGCTCGTCTGGAAGAAAAGAAGATTGGTCGTTCGAGTCTGGCTCCGTACGGCGAGTCCGTCAAGCGTCATTTGGAGAGCTTCGATATCGAGGCCTCACTCAACGAGATGGCTGACGGATCAGGACGCATTGCAGAGTTCTCAAAAATCTACCGCCAACGGGCACACGATAACCAACGCATTGGCATGACACCACAGTCAATGCCGAGGTTGGAAGAAGTTGACGAGATGCTAAAGCAAAGCGAAAGGATTCAGATGTCTCTTCAACGCATGCGAGATGTTGTTTTCAACCACCACCAAGCAAGCCTTGTGGAAACCCCACAAGATCCCCGGTATAGGCCCATCAACGGCTACGACGACGGTGGAAGCGGTTATGGCGATGACAACAAGGGCATGGGTGGCTTTACTGGTGGCGACAACAAGACCAGGAAACGAGGTGTAAGTAGCTCTCTTGCGTATTCTCTTAACATGTGTACTGATTCAATGAGTAGCGTGCTGCTCCACCCGGGCGATGCCATAGCTGCAATCGTGCTGAGACACCCGAGTGGCGGAGAGGGCCAGACGGTGCCCGAACCTTGTGCAATGCTTGTGGCCTGCGTAAGTTCAAGACCGTGATGCAGCTACTTGTCATCAGCTAACACTACTCGTAGACTACGCCAAGTTGACTCGCAAAATGGGCGGAAAGCAAGCTATGACTAGCTCCAACCTACGACCTAAGCCCATAGAGCATAGTTCACCGACGATATGATCAACGCCTTGTCCTGGACACACGAAGCACAATCTTCACTAATTCTATACCCATGGTCGTCCATCACCGACCAGCATCTGTCTATATTGACGCTCTCCAGCGACTCAACGATAGTAGCACATATTTGCCATATTTTGATGACATCCGACTACCTGCATAAAAAGGGGATCTTTATATCATTATTTTTTTCATTTCGCATTTGCACCAGCGGCATTCATTTGATGAGTCTGTCTTTCTAGAGACGAGACGCCTGTATCACTTTCAAGGGGTTGCGGTATCCTTGTGCGGATTTCATGACGGAGTTTGGCATCGAGACGTCATCACCGACTACCACTAGGATGGAGTAACGAGCCACCAGCCAAAGGTTGTTGCACTCAAAGCTACAGACGGGGCCCATTCGTCGGGGCTGACACATGTTAGCCATTTCATGTTTGTCTTTTAATAGCAGCGGTTGCATTTTGGCACAGACAGGGGCTTTCAGGCCTGTGTACTGGTGGACGGCGTTTTCTGTACATGACCATCTATTAGGATGGCTCCATCATAGGACGGGAGTTTTGTTGCGCAAGTAAGCGCTTATCGTCGGAGGACAGGATTGTTCTTCTAAGCATTTTTTGCACGACACGCGCTTTGCTAGAAGTGCACGAAGCCTCTGGACAGTTTTGACTAGCGTTTGCAAAGAGATACCACAGGCTCTTAGGCCCACTCCAACTAAAAGCTTTCTACCTATTCACAGACCATGTTTGTCTCGTGTTCTGTTTGCACATCAACGCAGCCAGTCATGTCATCATGGCTTCGATTGATGGGCAAGGGGGGGGGGTGTGGGCCGACAGATATTGATGCGTCCATCCATCCCTCGCACGACGGCAGTTGTCTCTCTTTCCATCTATGATGCTGACGCAGGCCCATCCCAATGCAAGCATTGCACGTTGCGACAATCAGGTAATGGTCTCCACTTATTTCCATCCTATGTCAAATAACCGTCCCTCGGGGTAGCCCCTTGCAATCTACGTATGAAGCCGCAAAAGACGTGAACGCAGGGACAAGGCCCTAAGCTGACGAGGTGGTGCCCAAGTCAGCACAACGAGTAGGGAAAAGATCCGCTTGCAGAAATCATGCCACTGTGGCCCGTGGTAGCTACTACATATGTGCATGTATCGACGAGATCTTTTCTCAATATGGGCGACGAGTGTGCACGTGGGTGCAGACCAACAGCAGGCGATACGACGCATCTGGTCGGGTAGGACAAAACGACACGCCATGCCCTTGTCGTGCTCCTAGGCTCGCTGTCAGTACACCCGAGTAACGTTGCGCAGTCCAAGATCGATTGCGTGCACAGCAGCAGCAGCGAGTCTTACAGTGGTGAGGTCGGTCTATCTACATAGTACTAGTAGTCAATGTTCTGCTCAGCCTCCCAAAACCGGCAAGCGCCATTCGGTATTAGATCCTTCTTCTTCCGAAGTGGCATGGACCTGCTGCACTACACCATGCATTATTAATCCATTCGTTTTCCAAACCCTAGTCTCGTACTGCAGTTCTACACTGGCCATCTGTACGGGAGGGAAAGAAAAATTACACTCTCCTCTCCATTGTCGGTCAGCGACGTTTCTTCGATAACGCAGGAAACCGAGGGGTCTGCAGCCGGTGAAAAACTGCAGCAACCCTGGCTTGTGCTAACCCCCACTTAAAAGACCCAAGTCCTGCAGTGCTCGCCGAAGACCTCCCCGCAATCGCCGTTTAAGAGCCACAAGCCACCCATTCATACGCCTACTCTGTCTGCCCGTGCACCATCCCAGATTAAACCACCTCTTACGACGTGTTACGAAACTCGGGATGGGTCTGCTGTAAGATCCGTGCTACGCCACTCACCATCCTCGCTAATGTCATGTCAAGGGCCCTTGGAACGCCTCTCGACTGGCCAGAGGCCAAAAAGGCCGCTGATCAGGTCAGGTCATGGGGGATCGAAGTACGCATGCCTTGAGACCCTGAAACGGACAAGTAGTAATGTCATAAACAGCAACTGCTTGCCGTATGGCGCAACGCCAAAGCAAAGGAGAGGGACGCACTCCTCTGGGGCGATGAGGTGACTACCGTATTTTCGTCCGTCACAGCATATGAGACTGATTTGCGTGCAGATTGAATATCTCGTGGTTTGCTACGATCAAGATAACCACAAGGTTCGATTGTCGCTCCGCCAGGCCGATATTCTAGCTGCTTTGGCCAACGACGAGAAGCTCTTGCAACAAGGTGGCGGAGTGCCTGACCTGCAGACTGGTAATGCCGAGTGAGCCAAAATATCCCTCACCTCACCTGTTTGCGCTGACTAGGACAGCACAAAAGACAATCCCGCTCCCGTGTTCCACCCCGAATTTGGGCGGTTCATGCTGGAAGCCACCCCAGGAAAGCCATGGGGAATTGGCTTCAAGGACCTGCTTGATGTCGAGCCAAACATGAAGTGGAGGTAGACGAGCTTGTTTTGATTATCCAATAGTCGTGTGCTTACAGTTCCGCAGACGAGCGATAGCCAAGGATCACATGGCCGAGACTGAGTTCCCAATCACATTGACAACATTCCCTCGGCTTGGATCGACCGATTGTATCGTACCATCGTATCCTGTTTCAGGCCCAAAGCTGCGATCTCAGTTTGTCCCTGATGAGATTGCCAATCCTCATATCCGATTCCCAACTTTGGCAGCAAATATTCGCTGGCGGAGAGGCAGAAAGGTACAGGTCAACGTGCCCGTATTTCGAGACGAGAAGACTGCATGGCCTTGGAAGGATCCAACCGTCAACTATGACTTGCACAACTGGCCCGAGGACGATGATGTCCGCAATGGTGCTGCCAAAGACAACTACATCCACATGGATGCAATGGCCTTTGGTATGGGAAGTTGCTGCTTGCAAATCACCTTCCAAGCAAAAAACATTGAAGAGGGCAGGACTATGTATGATCAGCTCAGCCCGATAGCTCCGATCTTGCTGGCACTGACAGCAGCCACTCCAATCTACAAGGGCTTTCTCGCCGATACAGATGTTCGCTGGAATCAGATCAGTAGAGCGGTCGACGACCGTACCCCAGAAGAACTGGGAGAAAAAGTTAGTCAATCTCCTCTAGTGTCTCTGACGAGTTTCTGACTTTCGGCAGCCTCTTAAGAACGATAGGTGGCGGCTCCCCAAGTCTCGCTATGCATCCAACTCAACCTACATCGCTCAGGACCCCCGCTTACGGCCAGAATATCTCGACCCAAATCTCATCATAGACCCCGACCTCAAGAAGCGCCTGGTCGAAGGGGGCATGGATGATTTGCTAGCGACCCACTTTGCTCATCTCTTCATCCGTGACCCCATTGTTGTTTTTGCAGAAGATCTCGAAGATCTCGATCTCACCAAAGCCGACCATTTTGAGAATCTGCAATCAACAAACTGGCAGCACATGCGCTTCAAGCCTCCGCCAGCTGGCTCAGACATGGGGTGGCGTGTCGAGTTCCGGCCTATGGAGATCCAGATTACAGATTTTGAAAACGCAGCCTTCTCAATCTTTATCGTCCTCCTTACCCGTGCAATACTGTCGTTTAATCTCAACTTCTACATTCCCATTACACTGGTATCGGAAAATATGGAGACAGCACACATCCGTGACGCCGTGTCAACGCAGAAGTTCTGGTTTCGCAAAGACCCTTTTCCGATGCACAAAGCCAGTAATGGCACAGGTACTTCGACGCCTGCCGAGAATCCAAGTCGGCCAGCAACACCCACTGGGCCAGTTGAAGATGAGTACGAGAAGATGACTATCAACGAAGTTATCAATGGGCAGCAAACCTCGTCTGGCGAAGCTGGCTTCCCTGGTCTCATTCCTCTCGTGGAATCGTACCTCAACAGTATGAACGTCGACGTAGAGACTCGCTGTGATCTTGCCACATATCTCGACTTGATCCGCAAACGCGCCAACGGAACGTACTGGACAGCGGCTAAGTGGATCAGACATTTTGTCCAGTCGCACCCATCGTATAACAAGGACAGTGTGGTGAATGACGAAATCACATATGATCTTGTCAAAGCTGCTGAGCAGATCACAAAGGAAGAAGGTAGGGACGGACTGGGAAAGGAGATGTTGGGCAAAAGGCGTTGATCATGGTGAGACAAATAAACACATGAACTTGTAGTCATGAATGTTAAAAGTTAGCGCAGCAAATCCATCGTGTACATGGGTTTGTGTGCTTCTAGAAAGCGCATAGATACATAGAAGTTTTGGTTGCTCTCAAGAGCACTTTTGTGTCTTAGTTTTGTTCAACAAGAAGCTTCGAATGTTCGAAAAATACACCCGTTGATTAGACATTTAGAGGTAGACTATTGTTGGAGCGGTGCAGCAGCGAGTGGGTAGAGAAGTGGGGCGAAAATTAATGTGTGGTACCTGGAATGTGTTTGATAGGGTTCTTGGAGGAAGGTGCTACTAGCTGTCTCTGAGGCAGATTAAGAGGCAGATTGTGGTGTGCTGGCGCTGCGTCACATCTCAGCCTTGTGCGGGGAAGCAAACACAGCCACACATCAGGCATCCTTTAATCTTCTGTATTACATCGAGTATGATTCCTTCTGGAAACCGCTGATTCATAGCAAAGATGGTACTCGAGGCGTTTGCTGCGTTGTCACTGGCAACCAACATTATCCAGTTTGTCAACTTTAGCGGTAGGCTGTTCACAAAAGCGCGACAGGCACATCGTTCTGGGAATGGAGCAACTCAAGAGTACACAGACCTTGAGTCTACCCTGGAGAGACTAAAAAGCCTCAAAGACCACCTATTTTCCTCGGCATCTACTGTTTCTTGATCCCCGGATACTACTGGTGGGGAAAGGGAGCTGGCTGTTCTCGCAAAAGATTGCACAGAGCTTGCTGATGAGTTTCCCACTCTGCTCAAGAGGCTCAAAGGCAGTGAGAGAGTGGGAAATTGGGGAGTCTATTTCAGGCGGTGCGAATCATGCGGAAAGATAACGAGATCAATCTTGCGAAATTTTGTTTGAAGGATTTCCAGGCACGCGTCACTGTTTGCTTGTTGACAGTACTGAGGTACACTCCGACGACATTCGTGATTTATACACGATTATGCTAATCCCAGCATCTAGGAACAACCAATCAAACGTAACCCTCTGATCTATCCAAATTGGCGGATCGCCACTCAACATCGCATCTTAAAAGGCTTACGTTTCGAAGCCATGAATGCGCGGCACGATCAAATCTCAAAGGCCCATAATGAGACATTCGAATGGGCATATACATCGCAATCAACAGCGGATCACTCTTGCAAACAGTTCAAGTTCGCTGAGTGGTTACGGTCTGGAGACGGTCATTACTGGATTGCCGGCAAACCGGGCTCTGGGAAATCAACGCTTGTCAAGTTTCTGTACGACAATCCCCGCACACTCTTGGAGCTGGAAGATTGGCGTGGGCAGAAAGAATTAGTCATCGCAAGCTTCTTCTTCTGGAACTCTGGTACAGAAGGGCAAAGATCCGTAGAAGGCCTGCTCCAGTCACTTTTGTACGAAATCCTAAGAAAATGCCCAAATCTGATTCCCATAGTAGCACCACAAAGATGGCAAGAATGGTCTTTGAACCACTCGGAATCTGTACCCTGGTTTCAGAGGGAGATGAAGGATGCGTTTCGACGAATTCAAGGGCAAGGCGCTATATTTGCAAAGTCCTGTTTTTTTATTGATGGCCTTGATGAGTACGACGGAGACCAATTAGATCTCATCAGCATACTTCAAGACCTTACATTATCACCTGATATCAAGCTACGTGTCTCAAGTCGACCCTGGAACGTCTTCCAAGATGCTTTCGGTCAGAACACTGAACGCAGACTCCTTTTTAAAGATCTTACAAAGCCTGATATTGAGCGGTTCGTTCGCGACAAGCTGGAGTCTAGCCCGCAGTTTAAATCACTAACAGCCATGGATAATCGATACGACGAAATTGTCGAAGAGATTGTGCAAAACGCTGATGGCGTATTCTTATGGGTGTTTCTCATTGTTCGATCGCTCTTGCAAGGTCTGGTGAATTGCGACCGACTCTCTGAATTACAGCGTAGGATACACATGCTCCCTTCAACACTTGGAAAGTACTTCCTGCATATCATTTCTACTACGGACGAGACCTATTCGGAACGTGCAGCTGAGACTTTCGAAATTGCTCTCAAAGCTATCCGCCCCCTAGACCTGTTGATATACTCATACCTCGATGAAGAAGACCCATATTATGGAATCAACGCAGAGATCAAGGATCTGTCGCTTCAAGAGACGATGCACCGATTGCAAGCTATGAAAAGACGCCTCAATGTACACTGCAATGGATTGCTCGAGATTACGATCAAGTCTTCATGTAAATATGAATGTGAATTTTTCAGGACGATTATCGATGACCCCGGAGACTCATCAGTTGCAGTTAGTCGTGTTAATAGGTTCAATCTCATCAAAGTATATAGAGTTGATTTTCTCCACCGAACAATTCGGGACTTTCTCAAAACTGAAGACATTCAGAAAATGATTAGGCTAAACATAACAGACGATTTCCAACCGCTATCCGCAATCTGCCGAGTATTCCTAGCTCAAGTCAAAGCACTACCAGCCTCTCGCCGCCTCATCAGTGATCCAAGACATAACCGTATTTTCCAAGATACGGTCAGGGATCTTCTTTACTATGTACGAGTATCTGATGAAGAGTTTCAAAAACCAGAAACAGAGACGCTCGACTAACTGGAATGGACGCTCTCAGCTCTGTCACTTGTTCAGGAGGTCAAAGAAGCATCTTTGTCCTTGTCTGGTCTTCGAGCTTTAGGGTTCGATTATGAATCCTTTCTCGAACTTGTAGTTCAGGTAAGGCTTTATAGCTACGTATCTGGCAGGCTGCTTCCATCTTTGGAAAAGCGCCCACAACAGAGCCTCACAAAGCTACTAGCCGCTGCATTGGATTTCACGATGTCAAATCGTTCAATTCCATCCGTATGTCAGCTCTTGGTAAATGTATTAGAGGAGTAGAGGACAAAGGAATGGACTAGAGTCGAGCTACCGTCTCTTTGGGTCCGTTTTCTGATACTCATCCCAGCGAAGCGGGATGCAGTGCTCGAGATGGTAAATGAGGACGATTTGCAAATAGTTCGTCTTTTCCTTGATATCGGCGCCGATCCTAAGGAGCAACAACAAGCATGCGTGGCGTGGGAGATTACACTTCAGAGGCTTGAGAATCTGGCCAAAAGGGATGATATTGTCCACTCCCGAAGAGATGAAATGCTGAAATGCATTGAGCAGTACCGAAGCATATTCCTAGCTTACGGCGTAGAACTGACTCCTACAAAGCCTTCCGTGGATTTGAATGCACATGAGGATGCTTGGGGTACGATGCATTCTCCGGATTAAGAATAAGTTTCCTTTCTTTACCACTGTTCTTCTTAATCATGTACTACAATTCATCGTTGAAATCGGTTATGTTTTTATTCATCGTAACGATAAAGTCTCTACTCCGCTATCTCTCTGTTAACCCAACTAGCCCAATTCAATGAAGACTCGCAAACTCAAAGTTAAATATACTTATACACGAAAGATCTAGGTCATCAACAGATATCTAGTAAGCTACCCTTTCTAGGAATAGTCGTCCAGCTGCGCATGCATCTATCCGCCAGCATTAGGACCGAAGCTAAGCAAGTCACCGTGACTAGGGTCTAGATCTGCCGTTGATTCCTTCGTTACCCCCTCGTAAACAGTAGTGGGGTAACTATGAAGTCTACAGATCGCTCATACTAACTTTATAACACACCGATTGCGACTATACCAGTAGTTTTCTTAGGGGCAGGGGGTGCTGCTACTATTCCTATTTCTGGTGGAGATTGCACCTCCACGATCTAGACACATAAACTACGAGCCGTCCCAACGCCACGCGGGGGCGAAGATGGCGATAACCAATCGGGGGATCATGAGTTCGATAGAAGAGAGCACGAGGCTGTATGGTACGTAGCTGAACGATGCGCTAATACAAGGCTTAAGGTGTGCAGAAAGATGAACAGAGCGATAGCGCATTTGCCCAAGTAGTCCAGCCCAAGTCCAATATATATAAAGGCTATATTATTCAGGCAATGACTATGAACAAAGATTGCTTTTCATATTGTTTCTGCCCACCATGCGCATCACTCATCTCGGTACCCTCTTCTCACTTGCCCTCAGTGCGAACAGTATACCAACGGCGTCCCCGCCTCCAAAATCCCACTATTATCTCCCCAAGCGCCTCATCGCACTCGAAGAACATGCCGTCTCCCCCTCGCTCGAAGCCGAGATCATCGCCAGCGGCCTAGCCCAGCGCAATCCCGGCATACTCGACAAGCTCAAAGACGTCGGAGCAGGCAGAATCGCCGCCATGGACGCCGGCCACGTCTCCCTACAAGTCCTCGCACAGCAATCAGCTTCAGGCTCCGAAGACCCAGCCGGCTGCCGCGCAGCCAACGACGCCATCCGCTCCGCCATCAAAGCAAACCCCAAACGCTTCGCCGGCTTCGCAGTCCTGCCCATGGCGCTCCCTGACGAAGCAGCCGCAGAATTAAACCGCAGCGTAACCGACCTCGGCTTCAAAGGCGCAATGATATGGAACCACCTCAAAGACGGCACTTACTACGACGCCGCACGCTTCGACCCTATATTCGCCATGGCGCAAGCCCTCAATGTCCCACTGTACCTGCACCCTGCATCCCCCACCGCAGACGTCGCCTCCAAGCTCTTCGTCGGCAACTATCCCGCAGCCCTTGCCGGCCGCCTTGGCTCCAGTTCCTGGGGCTGGCACGTCGACGTAGGAACGCACGTGTTACGTCTCTACGGCTCCGGCCTCTTCGACCGCTTTCCCCGTCTCAAACTCATCATCGGGCATAACGGCGAAGGCCTACCCATGTTCATCGATCGCATCGACTCAACGGGGTTGCGCAACGATACATCCTTCGAGCGTGTGTGGACCACGAATATCTGGAGCACCACCAGTGCGTTTTTTACGGTCCGCCAGTTTGAGCAGTTGCGCCAGGTTAGTCCTGTGGAGAGGATTATGTATTCGGTGGATTATCCGTTTAGTGAGATGACGGATGGGTGGGCGTTTGTGGAGAGGTTGGCGCAGGCGAAGGTGTTGAGGGATGAGGAGATGGATTTGTTTGCATATGGGAATGCGGAGAGGCTTTTGGGGTTGTGAGAGGCGGGTTTGGGGCTAAGAATGCGGGTTAGGGGGAAGAAGCTTTTGAATAAGCATTGGACTACTGGAATTAATCGAGGCTTGTGTGGGTGGCGTTGGTATGGCGTCCAAATTACGACATGAGAATACGATTTTGATTTCTGACTCTTTTTTTTTCCCTGAGTAAGAGAAAATATGTAATGGAATCTTTTCTTGCACAATACTGGGAAATTGTGGGATTAGTAGAATTACTGATATGCTGTAAACACCTTTTCATACAAGTAAACTAGAGCACTTGAACCCGCAACTCTCGAGTTTCTTTACGAACCGTCAGTCGTACCCTACAGATACAGTGATGAGGGAGGTAGGTATAGGGGCAAGGGAGCTGTGGCGGTTGTTTATGACAAGAAGCATATATATAGGCTTTTTCTTTAGGTTGCTGCCGTAAAGGATAATGGGTATGCTGAGCTCTGCGAGAACACGAATCGTCGAGATATGTTTGAAATTTAGGTAATTCTTGATTCCATCTAGATATTTGGTCACTTTGGGGCTATTGTGAATATTATTTCGAGAACTTTAATTTGTTTTGCTTTTGATTTGTATTTATAGCACAGAGTCTCTTGTGGGCTGAGGGAATCTATTGGAGAAACGGCCTAGCATTCTAGATTTGATACGGATACAGACTTGCTAGAATGCAAGAACGCTGATGTACTGTTAGAGACGGCAGTAAGAAGTAGTGAAAACAGCACCTATATTCATTATCACCGGACAGAGATAGTTGAATCAAAGAAAGGTGTGTGGATACCGTCGTTATTTCGTTGACTCACGGAATTGACAACTCGCACATCATCCATTGCCAGCTGAAATATCCTATAATTTGGCTAGCCTTTTGCAATCCAAAAAAATACATCACTATTGTGTTCTCCAAGCCACGGATCAATTGAACGTCCAAAAATAGGGACACCGCCTAAAGCATAAATGGTCAAACTCCTTCCATAATGAGTATAAGCTAAACAGAAACTTTATCTTGTGCATAAGGGTTACTAAGCTTAGATACGTTACCTCGACCAAATAACTTGCAACAAAAAAACATACGACAGCGGGGATTCGCCAGTGGTCACCCACCTGACTACTGATCCGCCGGTCAAAGGTTTATCATGTGGGGAGCGAAACGAGACCCAGAGCAACTCTTTGTCTGCGGTCGTATGTACGAGATATTGAAACAAAGTTGTACATTGCAGAGTCTAGATATCAGGGAGGATACCGAGTGGTACCTTGCTAAAGCCTGGCGATAGAAGAAATCAAACCAGAATACTATGTTCATGATGTACTCATCTGTTTATGCAGATGCAATCCATAAAAATTGTCTCTGGTTAGAAATGATTTATACGGTTAGATTGCATGTCGCGTGCTGAAGGTATAGTCGCTAGCTATTTGTTACAACGATGGTAGACTAAGAGCCGCACAATTGTTCCACACGCAGGGTAACCGCCTGCGTGCATACGAACGGCCTATTTTAACACAATGCTTAGCATGCAGATTTGAATCGCATGAACCAGTATGAGCAGAAAATCGTCATCACCCGACTCCATGGTTGAAGTCGTTCGGTAGACCCCCGCCCCGCCCCCCGTCTAGCGCAAGGTCATATGGTCCGTGCACTAAAAGTTCATCATCGCAATCATCGTCACAAGCGACAAAGCTCGAGGCCCGACACCACCACCACCCATCGCCAACTCCACCCCCACATCCATCCAGCCGCCACTTTTTATTCTCTATCTCACCAATTACACAAACAGAAACCCGTCAAAATGGTTCAACTCACAGAAGTCACCGATGAGGAGTTCATGCGCGAGCAGGAAGGTCCCGTTGACGACGAGGACTGGGACACGGACTCGGGTACGATACCACAATCCTGCCTCGTCACAAATCCAATTGCCCACTTCGCGCCTATACCCAGCAATTGCTAACCATGACGAAACTGCAGATTCCGATACTTCGTCCGTCCACTCGGTGCAGCCCGATGAGACGTTTTTCGAGCGCCTTTCTGCGCTGCAAGATATGATTCCCGCCAGCACACGGCGCTCCGTCTCTTCAAAAGCAAACACAATCTCGTCGTGGTTCAAGAGCGGCCTGAGCATGGGCGGCAAGACGCTGTGGGTCGTGAGCACCAGTGCGCTGCTGTTGGGCGTGCCGTGGGCTTTGGCGTACAGCGAGGAGCAGATGATTGTTGAGCAAGAAAGGGCTGAGTTGCAGGCGCAGCGCGCGCAGAATGAGGTACGTTTCTATTTGTTGAAAGAGGCAATTCTTCTTCTCATCCAACATACCGCTTGCGTCTTATCAACATAATATCTTGATATGCTAACTTTTTCTTAATAGTTCATGGCTCCTGGTGCGCCACTCCCAGGCCAGCCGCAGGGCGCAAAGCCGGCTTTGTAAAACCGTGAAAATAAAAACGTTTGTCATCTCCCCTCATTTGTCGCATTTTCGACTGATGGGCTCTCGCCGGGCACAAGCACCGACATTTTCTTACTTGGCTTGTTACGATAGTGGGACTGGTGCATGGACGGGAATGATCATGTACATGTAGCGGAAACCGGCAATTCTTTTTCCCAGCCGTTAACGATCTGTATTATATTTCTCGACTCCACGATAATTTATTGCGTAACACACGAATGGCTGCCATTGAAACTCGAGTGTTAAGAGTGTAGCTGCTTACAGTATTTTTGATTTTCGTTTTTGCATGCCCCACGGCCACTATATTTACAAATACATTCACCTCGATTTCCGAAATCATCTGGCGCACAAACATAAACCGCCACGGTCCGGTCTACCAAGCGCTCGTAGCCCATTCCATGTGAACATTGCGCCGTTTTACATTCGTAAGATGCTGTAGCAAAAAATGGTCACTCTATCGGCGCGCATGCAGTACCGTAACCAATCCGCAGATGGTGGGGTAGAGGTTCTACCCAGACTGCGCTCGCTCCAAGAAAGGTGGTAATACAGCAAAGAGAAGAGTCATGGTATTATAGTCGATACATGGGTGTGAGTGGGGAGGCGTTTAAAAGGGGATCGCACCGGCTGACATTGCGGCACCCTGTTGTTCTTGCTGCTCCATGACAGCCTCGTCGGCTGCTTCTATCGCGACGGCCAAACCGAGCTTGGCAGCATTCTGCGTCTCGTTAGCATTGCTCGTTGAAACTTGAATTTTGCCATGACGTACCTGCTTGTGGTCGATCTCGCCTGAAAAGGTCACGCGGATTGGTGGCGCAATCATCTTCTCCAGCAGACAAGCTACCTTGCCTTGGTTGTCGATCTGTGCCCTGAATGAAGACTGACGGAAGTCGTACTTGGCACCGATTGTGACATTTCCCTCCTTCTGTGGGCCAGCCATGGGGCCTCCAGGGCCAATACCAGCAAACGCCAGGTTGCAGTTGATACCCGTTTCGACCTTGTCTGTAAGCTTGCGCCAGTATGAGGCTTCCAATACACCACGGTCAGGGATAATCTGGCCGCAGGCCATCCAGTCTTCAGTCCTGTAGCGCGCTGCATACGAAACATTGAGTTCTGGTGGGTATGCCATGGCGGGGCGTGTCCAGAAAGCGTCAATGCCGAGTGCGAGTCTTGAGGTAACGGACTGAAGGTAGCTCGCCATAAGCATACCAGTGACACCACCATCAAGTATCGAGGGGTTGACGGCCTTGAGGGAAGCGGAAAAATCGGCACCCGTGTAGTCGTTCTCAAGCGAGACCATGTTTCCCTGCGAGGTGAGTTGGACAGCGGCCTTGGAAACGAATGCTGACGTCCAGCGCCAATTGAAGCGGCCGGAGAAGGCGAGTTCATTGTCAATGTTTCCTTGCATGAATACCTGCAAAATGTCAGCGTGCTAAAAACAGCCCAGCAAGCGAGCGACGCACCCTTGGTGATCCGTAAAGAACCATGTATGAGTATGGGGGCATGACCTGCGACCCCATAGACAGTGAGTGGGCAACCTGGAAGAGCGGGGCAGCGCTGAATGCCTTTGTGAGTTCGGCGCGCAGGCCGGAAAAGCTGGAATTGTTCAGAAAAACATCGCGCTGGACCTCGCGGGCAATGTTTTCCACTGTGCCGGGGTTGCTGAGACTCAATGCCTCTCTCCGTTCTTGAAAGGCATCGTATACGTTGAGGAATTGTGCGAATGGGCCGGTATTGACTGCGCGAGGCCGTGAAAGGATGTCAGCGACAGCCTGTTCCTGCGCCGGGTTGCTGAGCTGCAGCGGGGTAGCCATGACGAAAGTGTGCGTCGAGGTCCAAGTAGAAGCTCCCGATGAATATGGGAGGGCCGGCACAGGGGGGGTTGGAAATGGCAGCAGGTGGGTGAGGGGATGCTGTGATGCGTCGCGGGCACTGGGCAGTGATGATATCGTGAACATTTTCTCAAGTTACTGATGACATAATAGGCGCTAGCCCACCCAGCGCCCCGAATCCGTTATCTTCGAGGGCTGGCTCCCCAACATGACGGCAGCGGACATTTGCGCCTTGAGTCCTTCGACTACCAAATCCTCCAAAAGAAAACGCACTGACTAGTTCTTCTCAGACAGTCCTGCGACGTGGCCTGGTAGAATCGCTACATTGAACTGTCGCGGGTTGTCGCGCCTTGCTCGCTGACGTCGCTCGGCACACCTTTGGACTACCGGGGAACCGTGACCTTCTTGAAGCATCCATACCTTACTCACATTGCTTAACGAGTGGCTGTTTCCCTTTTATCTCACAATCCGCAGTCTTCTCCTTGCTTCAATTCTTCTCTCTGTAGACTTTACCTATTTGCAACTATGGACACCTTACTGTGAGTGCCATGACCCCACTTTCCGCGGCCATACTCGAGCAGCAGCGCTGCACATGGCTCCAAGAGAACATTAACTCACCATGCATAGCACCGCTGAGATATACGCAAACTCACCCCGCTTCCGGCGGCGGTCGAGTACAGCCGTCGATGCAATCCACGACCTGCCTGCCAGGGAAGAAATGGCGCCTGCCCAACTCTATAGCACAGAATCGGGCCGCCTCTTCCATTCAGGCAGGATAGTCATCGCCACCTGCGGACTTCCGGCTCGAGGAAAGACGCACACCTCTGTTGCTCTGGCCCGCTACCTGCGCTGGCTCGGGGTCAAGACTCACGTGTTTCATCTTGGCGACTACCGTCGCGCTACGCTAAGTCCCGGCATGGATGTGCCTGAAGACTACTTCTTCCTCAACGCAGCACCACAGTCCGTCTTGCTTCGCAACAAGATTTTGAAAAAATGCCGCGACGACATCTATCACTTTCTGGAGAACGACAAAGGTCAAGTGGCCATTTACGATGCCGTCAACGCCATTAGCCAGGGCCGTCGGTCGTTAGCCAAGGAGTTTGCAAAGAATGGGATCCAAACAATCTTCATCGAATCACACTGCACAGACGAACGTATCATCCAGGAAAACGTGCGTCGCGTTAAGATTTCCTCACCAGATTACAAGGGTTGGAAGGACGAGGATGCAGTTCAAGACTACCTGGCACGTATCAATGCACGGATACCTCATTTCGAGACTATGGAGGAGACCGACCTACATTGGATCAAGATGATCAATGCCGGCGAGCGGGTTGTTGTAAACAACTGCGCATTTGGATACCTCTCACAGCGTATTGTCTTTTACCTGCTCAATCTCCACATCAAGTCACGGCAAACATACTTTGCACGTGCCGGAACGACACGAGAGGAGGATTCATACAAAGCCGATGCCAATCTCTCACCAGAAGGCCACGAATACGCAAGAAAGATGAGCGAAGTGTTGTTGAAGTACCGTGAAGAAGAAAAGCAGAAGTTAATCGAGTCTGGAGCGACAGATGCGTCTCTGAAACCACTGACCATCTGGACCTCGACACGTCGAAGGACTGTCCAGACTTCAGAGGTTCTAGCTTCCATGGGCTATCGCGTAAGGCAGCGATCGCAGATGAGCCAGATGAACCCCGGTGTATGCGAGAAGATGTCCGAAGCCAAGATTCGAGAAGAGTTCCCCGAGGAAGTCAAAAAGCACGAGGTAGATCCATACCATCACCGATACCCCCGTGCAGAATCTTACCACGACCTTGCCGTACGCATGGAGCCCATCATTCTCGAGCTTGAGCGCGAAGAAAACGATCTCCTGATCATCGCCCACGAATCCGTGCTTCGTGTGCTTTACGGGTACCTCATGGCATGCAATGCAGCAGACATTCCCAAACTCGAGTTTCCCCGTGATGAGATTATCGAGGTAAGTCCGCGCTTCATAATTTACGCACATTCTCATTTACTGTGCTTACTATTTTCTAGATCATACCCTCATCCTACAACAACGTCGCAAAGCGCATCAAGATCCCCGGCCTCCCCGAATCAATGGTACCCGGTAGTCCCGAAGATATTCAAATTCCCGTGCCACCAAGTGGCACTGTAAGTCCGCTGTCTGGAGTGGGAACTCCTCCTTCCAACGGCTCTGGCACTGCGACGCCCTCGCAGCCGCAATAGCAGTATAGTCTTTAACTCTTGAATCCAAAGTCACATGTCAATTCTTCGTGGTTCAAGATCCGGCACCGGTGGTAGGCGGCGTTTGGCAATGAAAGAATGAGCCAGGAGAGTGACTTTGACTTCGTTTGAGAGGAGGAAACCGAGAAAAAAATGGATGTGAGGCAGGCCTTGATTCGTGGAGGTGGGCTATATTCTGACAATGATGACATGAATGGGTACTTGGCTATGGTGGCGTTGGGGATACTTGTGTAGACCTCGTTAGACCTATACACATTTTTGGGCATTCATGTTTAATAGTATTCTTATTGATTCCTATTCTTCCACTGGCCACTTGTAGTCATATAGTCCATCTCAAAAGAGTCTGCAGATAAGATTCTTCGGGCCTGCACATTTTGACCCTCCTATTCCATTGCAATTATTTCCCCAGCACCAATCCCATCATACCGATTCTGTCAGCTGCATTGACAGCAAGCAAATAGATCCCAGGGCATATAACCCAAATAATACCAAGCATACTAGCAATCCCAACCTCACGACGGATCTATCCCAGTGCCCAACTCGCACCAAATCACCACCGAACCTGGATGTTCGGATCACGACTCAAATCCGGACCCATCCACCTATCCCCCAGCCCAATACCATGAAACCGCATTCCATACCGCGACCCATCAATCTGGCCCGGCGTCAATGGGTGCGGATCCCACTCCAGCTCCGGCACATCGAGGTCCAAGAGGTGCGGGATAGCCTTGAGCAAAGCATCGATTTCCGTGTCGGGGTCATGGATATCGGCGTCAGTAGGGTAACAGTGGTCTTTGAAGAGATTGAATTCCGGTTCTGTGTCCTCTTTCGCGGAGGAGCTGGGGTGAGTAGGGCCTTGAACGGGTTTTTCGGAGTAGACTTCTGCGGGGGTGGGCCAGGATTTGGTGTCTTGGGGTTTAAAGCCGCGGTTGTGCGAGGAGTAGTCGTGAAATACGAGGGTGGGGTCTGGCACGTAGGAAGGGCGGGGGATAGATGGGTAGGGTGCGTCGTCTGGGTAGATATCGGCGGATGAGGGCTCGGGACCTTGGTCAGAACGCTTGGTGCGGGTGGCGGCTCGCGGGCGGGTGACTCTCTTAGGTGGCAGGCGGTTTGCGTGGCTCCTCTGTTGTAGAGCTTGGACGGCGGACTGGAGGTCGCTGAATCGGCGGGGGTGTCTAAACGCTGAAGGACCTGCAGGCACGGCTTGAGGCTCAAGTATATCCGCAAAGTTGGTGCCGCACCTTTCAGCAAAGATCTCGCGGGAACTTTCTCCGGTAAATCCAGGAGGTGGCTGTACAGTTCTAGTAGGTTGATCTTCTTCAAGAATCTCGCGGGGACGCTCTCTAGCAAATTCGGGAGGTGGCTGTATGGTTCTAGTAGGCGGATCTTCTCCGATCTCCCGCTCATTTTGCACGCCAAATCCATAGTTGTGAAGATTCTGAGGTCCTATAGCCGTATGATCTGAGACACCCTGCGCGTTAAGAAAGCGGGCTAGAGCGTTAGCAGTAAACGGCTTACCGAGAGCTCGACCCATGAGCTTACCATGAAGATTAGTGCTAGCAGGACTTTTGAAGTTGGAGAGATTGCTGGGGCATGCCGCTGGGTCGTCAGTGCGCGCCTTTCCCTTCCTCACTATGCCGGGGAGTCCAAGACTGGTGCTAAGCTCTTCGACTTCCGGGGCACTGAAGCTGGGCTCGTAACGTTGCGTAGGCCAAACCCATCGTGACTGATAGGGCATCGCGGTGTGGATGGATTCCATCCGAGTACCGGGGTTCTGTGCTGCTTGGTTTCCAGCTTGGCTTAGGGCTACGCAGTGTTTGTATTAGCACTGCATGTTTGAGCAGTGCTGGGCATAGTCTTACCATGCAGCATATCATGAAAATCGGGAAATGACATATCCGGCTGGTCCGATTCAGCGCCTACGAGTTGTGGGACACTCGGTCCACTGTACGCCTGGTAGTCGGGGCGCATCTCTCTGGAAGGCCGAAAAGGAGAATCTTCTATATTCAAGTCACAGGCTGATAGCATGAACCGTGCGATGGAAGATAATCACCTTCGTACATTTCCGGGACGCTCAACCCCTGCGGAGAGTTCATGCAGGAAGTTAGCTTAGTATTAATATCTGCCGCTCCAATTTTGGCCGGCGTCGGACTGAAGGTTGCTGCTTCGGGATTGAACGAGGCACGCCTGCACGGGAATTCTGGTCGCTTCTCTTCCATACTCGCAGTATTGTTGATGGGTGCCGGTTGAGGGTAAGAAGAGGGACACTCAAACAGTTGTATCTAAACTATTATTTTTAAGTCCATCGTGCTGCAGTGAATGCGGCAACCAATTAGATGGTCAATCACCATTCACTCTTGTTTCCAGATTGCACAGACAGAACTTGTGTGTTTGCTGCATATTGGCAGCAATTGGATAAGTTTGCACCGAGCAACCGGAAAAGGATATTTCTTTGTGTTCGAGGCCATACCGTGATGATGGTAGCTTTTACGCCGGATTGACTGGATTTTGTACATGGGATCATGTGGGGCTTGACGCAGAGTCTCGTGGTGAAGGTGAGTGTGAGGGTGATGTTGGAGGAAGGGTAGTTCTGCGAGGGCTAGTGCCGATGAGTGTGGCAAGGTTGGGCTTCGTAGTGGTGCCGGGAGGATGCCCAAGAGCATGGTGTCGGTGCCAAGTCAGAGGCGATGTGTTGTAGTAAGTCGATCTGCCCCCCACGATATCCAGTCGGGCGGGTGGGCAGCCCACAGCCAATAGGCGCACGGGCAGGTGGCCATGACCGACACGCGTGCGACTTTTTGTAGTAACGGGCCAATAAGGGGCCAGCACGATGACGCGCTTGCGCGCCTCGTTCAACAGGGCTGAAGGTCCATCTCACAGTTTAAAAAGTGCCGCAGTACGCTCCTCCTCTGCCCTGGTCTCGATCTGGATCGCTGTTGCTGTTGTCAAGTCTTTTCCTCTCTTGGTGGCTCCAATCCTTTCTTACTGCTCAGTTTTTTTCCGAGTTCCCCTCGCCTGGCTGTGGTCCACCACATCACGCGACCCATACCTTAACCCACCAGCAATAATGCACATACGCTCCTTTACGACCCTCAACCACCAAATTCACCAACCAAACTATTGTCTTCATCATGCCGATGATGCTCACCCTAGAATACATGCCCGCCACCCTGGACAAAAAACAAACGCTTCCCGGCTCCTTTTACGGTCACCCAATACGGACAGCTAGTAAATGTGGCCATACAATTCACCCTTCGAATTCGACACATGTGCCCTGGTGCCCTCGATGCGCTCTCTCCCGGGCCCGTGCAAGGTCTGACGCTGCGTTGAAGAAGCTGGCCAGCCAAGGAGGCTTGAAACCCCCAGAGCCCATGCGCAACCAGCGGTGGAACAAGGCCAGAAAGGGGTATTTCATTGCAAAGCAGCGCTTTGAGAAAACGAGGAGGGTCGATCAACTCCGCTGGGAGCGGGAACAATTGTGGGACGACGCACACAGACGATCAGACCCACGGTCAGCCCAGGCAGCAGTCCTATCCCAGAGCCCCTCGCTCTGCACCATCTGTGACTCCATGTCAGCCTCGTATCCAGCCAGTGTGCCCGAGGCGCAGGCTGCAGCGTACAATGTGGCTTGGTGGGAGAAGGCAGTCGCTGCCCCTATCACGCCACGGCCCCTCGAGTCTAGCACACCGCCACAGCCTCCGCCTCGGCCAGCAGCATGTACCACGCAGCACTGGCGGCCGCCAGCAGAACCACAACAAGGCAACCCCGAATTGCTCCAAATTATCAACCACCACCGCCACCAAATGCTGCAGCAAAACGCCCTTCGCGAGGCCTGGAACGCCCGAAACAAGACAGAAGCAGCGGTGCGCCGCAAGCATGGCTTGGGCCCCGATTTTGAGATTGCCGCCGCCTTCTGGGACTGGCCCATACCCGGCTTCTTCAGTTGGCGCAACTACCGCAGCATACAGGAACAGGGCCGCATGGCGGAGCGCCGAGCTCGCGGAAACACGACGCGGCCTCGTCCTCCGCGTAGCTCTCTATCCTACTCGGAGTCGTCGGAGCAAGTGCAGGTCGAGCCGGAATTCATCGAGACGCTGAAACAGCGTGAGGAGCGCGAAGAACTGGAGCGCCAGACGGCAAAAGTCGCGGGGCAAGTCGGCTACTTGTACTTTGTTGGCGGTGGTAGTAGTGTCAATGGTTTGGGAATATGGCACGATGACGTCGAGCGCAGCGACAAGAACCTCGTTGTGCGCATGCGGCGGTCCCCTTCTGATACGTCGGGTAGTGAAGATTCGCAGGACACAGATGACGACGATGATGACCCGGATTGGATGGATATTGATGTCCCATAGTTAAACTACCTCTTTTTTCTTACATTAGAAAAGTCCTTGGGTATCAAAGAAAGATAAGAAGAAGAAGAAGAAGAAGAAGAAGAAGAAGAAATAGCAGATAGGCTGTTCCACCACCCCAAGGGTCAACCAGTTTCCAACTGGACACAAAGAGAAAACATTGCAAATTTTTCGTGTTAATGATAAAGTGATGTCTCCCGCTCCCACACCCCTCCCGCCTAACCCCCCCCCCCCCCCTCCGCATTTTTCCTGTCCAAAATACCCGCGCATTAGCCCCGGACAACGGCAAATCTCCCGCTGCCGCTAACCCTCATTGCCGTACAAGGCCGTGATCAGCGATAAGGATGTAGCCTGTAAATGGGGCTACAAACTAAAATAAAACCCTTGCCAGATTATGCCTTATTTATCTTCCAAGACAACAAAGTTGGGTGTTGAGGAATCTAAGTATAGCAATTTTGCATTCAAGTTTCGAATGCCATAGATAGGTAAGAGGCTAAAGGGATAGTGGGCATTGAATTTATATAGTATAGAGACTACTAGGTTAAAGAAGCAGGACGGGTCGAACAGGCCTTAACTATGTGGGTACTTACTTACAGACTTGATAGCAAGCAAAGGGGGGTATACCACGAAAACGCGACTTCAACCATCACAACTCCGTCCTCTTTCTCGCCTCATCCTCCCACTCCGCAGCCTCAGCCCCCTGTTTGAGATGCACAAACCCTCCTTCCTCCTCCAGCCCATCCCCATCCCCTTTACTCTTCGCCTTCTCTGCTTCCTTCGCATCCGCCTCTTTTTGCATCTGCTCATCCACCTCCTGACGCTCCACAATCTCTGCTTCTTCACCTACTTCACCTATCAGCGGTCCCTCGCTTTCTCCATACCACTCCGTGTTCTCGGTCCACTCGATAATCTTTTCCTTGGCTGTCTCGCTGAGCGTGTAGTAGCCCGGGTTATTGCGGGGATCGAACATGGACGTGTGCGCCCATGTCTCAGCCGTAGCTTTATCGTTTACAGCAGGAATGAAGAAATTTTTTAGCGGGCCCTTGGGTAGATTGCAAAAAGTGCGGTCTTTGCCTGCGACTTTGCCTGTCCAGCCGTGCTCTTTGTTCTCACTGTTGATAGCGTGGCCCAAAGTAGTATACATGTTGCAGAAGCCAAGCTCATGTGTTGTAGTAAACTTTGCAATCTTCTCTAATCGCTTACGCAGTTCCTCGGGCCGTGCAAGGACGCCGACGAATTCTAGGTGCGACGTTGCCCACGTTACGCCCTGGCTGATCTGGTCTTTCTTCATGTATGCTGCGGCACCGCCGGCTGCAATGGCTCCTGCGGCTCCTGCAAACATAGCCATTTTGCCGTAGCGCTGCCATAAAGGCGCTGATGCCGCATCCGCGCTTGGAGAGGTCGCGGGCGCAGGGAGCATCTTGCTTGTATCGACCGTGCTGGAGGCCGTGTCTTTGGCACCCCATCCAAATGCACCGGCGAGGTTTGTGTACGCAGAGTATGCCGAGCTCGCCGTATTCCAATGCTTTTCAGCGCCATGGGCTACCACGCCCGGCGCAATGCCTAGATATGGCGTGTCGAAGGCGAGGATACCTTGTATGTACGGGAACATGAGCGTCGAGTGTTCCGACAGCGACTCGGCGCCCGTTTGCGAATTCGACTGTGAGTGGATCGGCTGTTCCGAGAGAATGGAGAGCAGTGTTTCTGCCGCTACAATGCCACCCATGGAGTGGCCCACCAAGATGGTCCGCACCGAGGGGTCGACTGTGGGCGAGGGCGTCGAGTTAGCCACCTCGAGATCAATGATCTTGTCCTGTAGCCATTCCTTGAATCTCCCTACACACTCGTGCAAGTCGCCTCTTGTCTCAAATTGGGGATACGTGATGGTGAGGATGGTGACCTTGGGCAGGGCATGCTGGAGCAGCGCCTTCACGTGGCTCGGAAACGTTCTGAACGTCTCATCCCCGCCCTATCACTCGATTTGTCAGTACATGTTTTCAGTGCCCAGTCTCACTGCCTTCAAACCGCCTAGTGCTGTAATGGCGCTGCTGGTTGTTTATGCTGAGACTGGGCCTGGCCGCCACCTGACAATGACGTATTGCACTGGTCCCACATGGGTCCGCGACGGAGAGAAGCTAACGTACCTTGAAGCCGTGGATAAAGCATAGCAATAAAGTCTTCCTCATCTTCCACGGCTGTGCTCCTGCATGGTGGGTCCAGAGTCAGCGGAAAGGCAGCCGACAATACGGCGAGCGGAGCGGAAATGGGCCATTACGTCTAGGGCGCAGGTGGTGGCCACCCCCACTCGCTTACTTACTACCTCGCATGGGTCGCCTGCGTTGGCCGGAGCATTCCATTGCCGCGGCTTAGAGTAGGACCGCAACGCATGAGCCAAGACGTCACAAATATACAAAATATGGCCTACAGTATACGGAAAAGGATGGAAACTAAAGCACACAAGAGTATCAGCTGTCAACCGACGAGTCATGAGCTGGTGTGCTTCTGTTTGATTCATTGTTGCGTATAGTACTATGTCACCATAGCACGAGACCAGCTGCCTCTGTCTCTGTCTAGGTCTGTGGCGCTGCTCTACAGCCCATTCTGCTTTGCATCATCGTACACATGTCCGTTGCTTCCAATCTGCTGACATTCCCAGCTAGCTGTAGTACCAATCGATCTTTTAATCCATCGGTACGGGTATATGGTACAAATCAAACATGCTAATGCCCCAAACGCCGTGTCGTGAGCCGTATATACAACGCTAGGAAATAAGAGAACAAAAAAAGAGTGATATGCAACTATGCACAGATGATCAGAAGGGAGGCTGTCGCCAGGAGAGCTGCCGCGGTACCACTAATTATGCCTTTGTGACTTGATGAGCCTGTCGCGACAACATCAAATGGTGATCCACCACCTGAAAAGGCATTGGATAACTGCGTGCCTGGCGCGAGCGATGGGTCGGGAGCGTTTGTGTCTTCGGGCGGGACGGCTACTGTTGTAGTTGGGGTTGATCCCGTAGCATTCGGGTCCAGAACCAGGCCGTTTGTTGAAGAAATTGAGCTAGTGGTTTGTTCGTTTTGCGTGTCGGTCGATGAGCTTGACGGTGTCGGTCTTGCATCAACAGTCGAGCTGGCTAAGGTTGTCTCCGATGATGATGATGATGATGATGATGATGATGATGATGATGATGACGACGACGATGACGATGCTGCCCTTGTGCTTGTGGATGACCTAGACGACTGTGTGCTCGTTGTCGGAGAGTCTGACTTGATAGTCGTTACAGTAACGCCAGGACACAGACTCGCGATACCCAGTCCGTTCTGGAAGACACCAATGAGACTAAGCTCGCCCACGTCAACGTTGGCGCATCTCTTCTTCACACTGTCTCCGATTTGGCTGAGACCCCGTACGCAGGCAGCGCTACATGTTGCGCCTGGCTGGAAGTCTCCCGGTACGCACCCGGAAATGGCTGAATAGTAGACAGTGTTGCAGGCCGAGGGGAGGTTGTCGATCCGTGGGATAAAGGCCGAGAGCGAGACGGTCTGAGCAAGAGCAGTAGATGCGCAGAGCAACGCCAGTGCGGTTGTACGTAATGATATCGATAGCATCGTGAGGTTTGTTGTTGTAGGTGGAGGGACGGTGTGTAGACTGGCAGGTCTGGTGTGAGGAAGCAAACGTATAGGAGCGACGATATCTGGGCACACGTTCAGGCGTCGTTTACCGAACGCAAAATGCCGATGGAAGAACGTCTTCCGGAGAGGATCTGAGACGACTGCCGTTTGAATATGGGCTATGACGTTCTTGAGACGGTGGCGCCTGTTCCTAGCCTAGTAGATAGTTTTGAAATATGCTACCAGTCCACTAGAACCTGAGCGTTGGCGCAATGATCTGGCAACTACGTTTTGCTGTAGACAAACTCTGTTCGATTTTCTTGTTGGCGAACACGTCAGGGAGATAACGATGCCAGGGATTCGAGTGCTCGAACAAAGTTGGACTTGGCACGGAGCAGACGATAGCCACTCTTGTTCTTGCGAAAAGATGACAGTAAAGAATGTAGAAAGCAGCAAACCAGAATGCACAAATGAATGAACAAAGTCAAAGTTTGACCCCAGGCCTGCAAAGAGTGACTTTGTTCCCTAAATGGACTGATCAACATTGACGACGCACAGCGTCAATCAGGAATAGAAAGGAACCCGGGAAGAACAAGAAGAGGAAGAAGAAGGAGGAGGAGGAAAAAAGGCAGCCAGTGGCGCGGGACGAGAACAAGAAAGGAAACCGAGGAGAGCCGCGATCTTCGTGATGTTCAGTCGCTCAATAACTCAGCGCAGGTCGCAGCTGACCTGAGCCCGGACCGGCCAACAACTTAAGGCAGATCTACAATGGCCCGTCGACATGGCCCTCTTCACCCCAACCCCAGGTCCACCTACGCGTCTTGCATAGCAATTGGCGGAGCAGCCCCCTGGAGGAGAGGCAGCAGACCCTGCAGGATTGTCGTGTACCTGAGTTGGTGTTGCAAGTGGCCAAAACCCAGTCTTCTGAAACAACGGAGTTAGCGCATGTCGTTAATGGCCAGGGCAGCGCGGCCCCTAATAGGCCGACGTAAGCACTGCAGGCGTTACAAGTCGCGAGCGCGCTTCAGGTGCAGGTACCCGCAAGCACAAAAAGAACCGTTGGTGGGAAGCTTGTGTCGAGGCCAGTCTTGATTAAATGCTCGGCGGCTGCTGAAGTGGCGAGCGGCCCGCACTCATCCGTGGATTGCGCCGCTTCTGGCGCTTGCAGTCAGTCAAGGCAAAGGGAGAGATGGAGAAAGATAAGCCACTCAAGCTATACTTGGCCTCAAGTGACAGAGAGACGGAATTAGACACTACTACTAAGTAATAGTACTAGTCTAGTTACTATGCACTGGTGTGTCATCAAGGAAACGGAGCCCAGCGACATTCAGCTTAGCACCTACTAGTAACCCAGAACTTAGCTCTCTGCCTCACACCTGCCTACCACCGGTGAGCGGCCTCGATCATCCCAGAATGCCAACCGCCAAACAAACAACGACAGAGGGAGAAGATTCGACCAAAATGTTTCGACGTTTCCATATAGCCTCAACTATAGTTCTCGAGCGCATTGCGCGATCCTCAATTTCGCAACACATGCCAGCTTGATCCCGGTGGAACGACTTTTAGTCCATGACAATGACGCTCCGGAAGCGCACCTTGCCACTTTCCATGTGCTTAACTGCGTCCTCCGCCTTATCAAATGGAAATTTCTCAATCATGCACTTGACCCCTTGACGTTCCGCAAAGTCAATCGCTTCCTCGCTGTCCAGTGCGTGTCCCGATGGCCAGCCGTGGACAGAGCGGCCCCCCAGAACCAGGCTCACAGTATTAATCGGCACGTCGCCCACAGGCGCAAGGACAAGCATCTTACCCAGCGGTCCGAGTCCGTCAACCAAAGGCCCTATGATCTGTGGGTTTGGTGCTGTAACGACAATGAGGGATGCGCCTCCCATCTTCTGGAGTCCCTCTGCCGCAGACTCTTTCGACGTGTCGATGTAATCTGTGGCTCCCAGTTGGAACGCAAAGTCCTTCTTGTCACTCGACGACGACAGCGCTACCGTCCTGTATCCCATCTTGCGAGCGTACTGTAGAGCAAGGTGCCCCAGACCCCCCAAGCCCTGAATAACCACCGTATCTCCCTGCTGGATATTCATCTTGCGTATCCCATTGAATACTGTAACACCAGCGCAGAGCAAGGGAGCATACTCAGCGGCATCCGCGTCAGCCGGAATGCGTACTGCGGCTTCGCTGCGGAGAGTACAATACTCGGCATCTAGTAACACCCTCTTGTGTCAGTTCCAAAACTCTTACTCAAATAAATATGCAGATGTACTGTTACATCACGTAGGGAAAACTCACATCCCCCATCCTTACTAACCCCATTTATATCCTGCTTCTCACATATCTGGAACAACCCCCGACTACACGCCTTGCACACGCTGTCATGCCCCCCATGCCATCCTCCCCCAATCCGATCCCCTACCTTCCACTTCTTCTCTCCTTCGCCAACCGCAACCACCGTGCCAATCACTTCGTGACCTGGGATACGCGGAAAAACGTGGTCGCCGAGGTGGCCTTGCTGTAGAAAGACATCAGAGTGGCATATACCGCAAGCCTGTACTTTGATGAGGACTTCACCCGGATTCGGGGAGGAGACAGGCACGCTTTTGATGGACCAGGGTGCGCCAACTTTGTCGATGACGACAGCGCGGCAGGATGTGGGGATGTCTGATGGCATTATGTAGACCTCTTCTTTAAACTTTTTTTCTTTGACTATGAATGAGTCTGAAATGGGAGTCTGTACTGTAGGGAAAAGACGTATCCACCAGTGCAAAAAGCAACGGGGCGACCAACATCGAGCATACCACGCCCTTTATCTACGCCTCCAACCGCGCATCCCCACATCATGATTACATCGCTTCCTTCCCTTGTACTAATCATAAGTGCAGCCACCAGCCCCCGCCAACCTCGATACCGTAGAATTCCGCAATCAAGCATCGTAGGGCGCGCTATCAAGCTGCACTCGAACATTCCTGTCTTGCATGCCCCCTCTCTACCAATGCAGGGCGTAAACTTGCACGCCTGACCCCACGATCGCCCGACGTACGTACTCGCTTGCACATGCATATCCCAATCAACAGTTCACCCAACTGAGCGAGTTTTCTTCCCCCGCGCCCAGCATGCAAAGTCAGCAGGTGGTATAACAGGTAGTTCGGGTAGTCAGCGGCGTGCAGCAGGCGTAGTGCGCAATCATGCATACATACATGCATACATACATGCATAGTACTTCCAGCTATGACATAATGTATGCGGAGTTTGCGGACTTAGAATTGGGAGTGGGTGCTGGATAAGAAGCTTGTGTTTTTTTTGGAAGAAGGGTGGGGTATCATATGGTGTTATCAGTCAATCATGATGCATGAAGAGAAAAAAAGACTCGAGTTCCCTTTTTGTGGTCTCTTTTACCAGGCATCAAAGTTGCCAAAGCCAGTCTTCGCTTTCTTCTTAACAGGCGCCATGACCTCCTCTTCCTCTACGAAGCCTACAATCTCGTCTTCGTCTTGATTCTGCATTTCTTGCTTTGCGGCTTGGAGGTACTTGCCTACGCTCATACCCTGACCGCTGACGTTGTCTACAGTACCATCAGCACGTATGCGCTTTCCGGTCCAGGTAGTCTTGTCGTCGACGGTTCCACCTTGCCGTTTGATTTCCTCAGCCTCGAGTTCCTTGTTTTCCTTGTCTTTGCGCTCTTTTTGCCACTCTTCAAAGGGGTCGACGAAGACGACTACGTCTAGTATTTCAATATCGTCTACGGGCTTGTCTTTCTCGCCTACTTCAGCGGTCTCCATGGATCGTAGTGTCGTGTCCAGTCCTCCGACTACACGCGCGAAGATGGTGTGTTTCCGATCGAGATGCGGGACTGCTCGGTAGGTGATGAAGAACTGGCTTGTGTTTGTGTTTTTGCCCTTATTTGCCATGCTTAACACGCCTCTGGTACTATGCCTTTCGGGTCCCTCAAACTCATCCTCAAACGGCTTGCCCCATATACTCTGTCCACCTCTTCCTGTACCTGTAGGATCTCCACCTTGTATCATGAAGCCCTTGATATTTCGGTGGAAAATCGTATGGTTGTAGTACCCCTTCTGCGCGAGCTTGACAAAGTTCCATACTGCACGTGGAGCAAACTCTGGCAAGAGCTCGATATTCAGCTCACCCAGCGTAGTCGATATCCGCGCATAGCCCTTTTGTTTTACACGCTTCGGCTTGAGCATGTAATCTTCGTCGGAGAGGAGGGCGCGTTCGCCAGACGTGTGCGGTGTGACGCCGGTCGATGTAAAGGATGCTGCAGCTTTACCAGAAGTGTATACTGCAGCGTTGTAGGCTGGCTTTTTGGGCTCTGCGTTTGTTGCGGCTGCCGAGCCATTTCGTGGGAGGTTGGCAATAGCCTTGGATGTTGTCCCACCTTGCTCCTTGATCTTCCTGTTTTCGCGCGCTTTCGCAACGGCTTCTTTTGCCTTGAGGATCTTTGCTGCATTGCCTAATGCATCCCTGTTCACGCTACTCTCATTCTCTGCCACTACCGTATCTCCATCCTTGACATGTTTATATGAACTGAAATCTCTCGACTCGATGCTCTGTGGATCCTGTAGTGTGATAATGTCCTTGCGCGTGAATTCTTCGTCGCTGACTAGGTCCCGCCAATTCTTTGCCTTAATGTTCAACCGCTCCACAGTATCCCAAGCAAACACATTACCGCTCTTCTTCAGCGCAACAACGTGCGTGTTGTCTGTCAAGACCTTGTATGTGACCGGGTCTACGTATTCGCCATCTTCGTTTTTCGTAAAGTGTAGCGTAATAAGATCAGCGCGCTTCAAAGGCGTTCCGTCGATGGGGTTTGTGTTGGGGTGTTTCGACAACCAGGTGAGGATGTGTGTGAGGTCGAAGATTGTACCCGATGAAGTACAGACGGGATCAGTAAAGGGCTGAAGCGAGACGGCGCAGTAGTTGAACGGAAGGCGCTTGAATGTGGAAGATAGGCCGGCAGCAGACGCTCGACTTGCGCTGTTCGCGCCGCGCGCGTTTCCAAACGAGTCGGCCGATGACCACTCCGAGTGGGTAATGTAAAGCTTGTCGGTTCCCTTTCCCATGTCGAAGATAAGTTATCTACAGGATTAAGAATCGAGTGGTGTTGAATGGGGTGCAAAACATGGAAGCGTTGGAGAGGCGACGCGCTGCTAACTTTTGGCCGATCAATCGTCGTTAGCGCGACTCCACATTTCCAGGGCTCTGACTTGCCATGGGATAACGTCATTCCCTGGCTTTGCCAACCTCAACTTCAAATGTCAACATCAATGTGCCATAGCATTCTCCCTTTTCGCACGATAACATGTAATCGATCCACTGGGAGCATGAAGCGCGGCATATAATATAGCGAGGCAAGTAGTACCTGCTCAAGCTTGGTCCCTGATGTTGAGCGAGCATGAACACATACAAGGTATGTTGACAAATTGGAAATATCATTCATCGTAACCTTGTGGCCTCGCAACCTGTATGCTGAGATTACCTCCATATCTGACAAAATTTCATCTCTACGTCTGCTTTATTCATTATTCATCATCACAAATAGGGATAACGATATACCTCCTCATGTCGATATGATCTGTTCTTGTCATATATTATATGAAGTATGCGGATCCACACAGCCGTAGGGTCTAGCTTCTCTTTATATCCAATCTCTTCGGCCTCTTACGCTTTTCGTCTAGAGGTCCTTGGTCGATTGGTGTATATGATAATATCAGAAGTGGCTGCTGTGGGTATTATGGCTAGCTCGTAGGCTACGGCAACTGTCAGATAGCAGGACGTTATTTAGCGGCCAGAATAACCTAGTACCGTATGAACCACGCTTTGTACATATTTTGGAGGATTTAGCAGACCTCTGTAGCCTCAAGTAACAAACACGGCCAGGATTGGTGCTATTTGATGTTAATTAGTATAGCGGTAGACAGCATAGCACGCGGTGTTTACAGAATAAGAAAAAATAGGGATGCAACAGGCTTGTAAACATGGAAACAAAGATGACAGGGGAGCCTCAGAGAACACCAGGTTCTGGTTAATACTAAAGTGTTGGGGGCTGAGACCTGTTGGATGTTGTCTTGGACATGGCCAACTTGGTTGGGATGGAAGATGCATCCTTGCATGTTTTGTGACATGGGATTCTAGCACCGGTCGCCACAACTCGGTGTTGTGCGTCTAAGACGATTACAGTATATGTGGCAAAATGCATGTCAAACATATAATAGGGATCGACTAAGCTGCTAAGCTGTGCGCTGAAATGATCGGTCAAAGCAGAAGTGTTGGACGGTGAGCCTCGTCACGGGCTTCTTGTCGCTAGTTGGGCATTGGGCTTGCTTAACAAGCATCCGGCCGTCGGTAGGACGGAACCGTAGCTTTCGTAGTTAAGAATAACAACACAAACGGTTTGGGTTACCCGAGAGATGTACCCATGCACATCGATGATGCAATCTTGATTTCCCATAATTGATCATCATCAACAAAGGTCGCAGCGACACGTGTAGATAACGTGTATCTGGCGCGCCATCATATGCCCATGACCCATGCCGTGCGACTGCACAAAACACAGTGTCTGAGGGCGTAGTACCTGGTGTGGTAGCGAGCGCCATCGCGTGAGGGCGGCAACAATGCCATGATGAAGGATGCAGATATCCGGAGAGTGGTTTATTTTTATCGCCTTGCTAGCGTCCGAACGGGGCGTTCGAAAGGAATCCTGTATGCTTTCCTTCTTTCTTCAGCAACGGAACGCACAGCCCCTTGCCATGTCGCCTATCTGGTGGGGTTCGTTGGTTTGTTTTTGGGGAATAGGGCAGGCTGCGGGTCAGGAACACAATGATAAGCTTTGTGGTCTTCAGCCACGTCAAGATTGCGTACGAAAAGGCCGTGTTAGTGTATTGCACTGATGATGAGTGTGGTTACAACAAGAGGTGAGTGGAAAAACGAACAAGGCGAGGCCAAAGGAAGCGCTAGTGCGTACGCTTGGGGTCTAATGAATACATGTCCACTAGGCAGGAAGGGTCCACGGGTCTGCGCAGCTTCCAGTTCACCACAGCTACACTACAGCCACAGTGCAATTAAACACATGCCCTCTTCCATTACGCTCTTCCAGATGAGTTCCATTGAACGCACAATAACATGTCTATCAACCTTGTCTGTTCTCAATCATCTACTATGGTGCTAGAGCCAGTTGCAATCTTATCACTTGCTTTTTCCCTCGTTAGCTCTATTATCTCTCGACAAAAGACCCGAAGCGTAAGCTCGCCATGAGAAAAACTCCCTTGGATCCCCCTTTCTCGACAATGTGCATCTCGATCGGTTCCAGGAAGCACCGCATTGCGATCACCACTGCCCGGGGCAAGCCACAGATATCCCTGCGTTTGTCTTTGGATCTGCCGAGCTCCAAAGCCCATCAGCTGGCCATGTCTTGGTGAACGCCCGATTCTGTTATGATCTTTGAATAATGATGGTGTGGCTGCACGTGGTGCGCTGCCTGGCTTGCTTAAAGCTTTCGTGATGCCTCTGCATTTGTGTTCGTCAGCTTGAAAGAGTTCTCCTGTATCAATATGTTTTCGTCATCAGTCACTCGCTCATGTTTCTTACTCAACTGCTTAATTCTAGGCTCTCGTGCCGCGCCATTCGCTAACTACACTACACCCAACACCACTACAACATCGTATCTAGCCTATCCAACTCTTACAGACCCTATTCTGGATGAGCATCCAACAGATGATCTGCTTCCTCCGAACGACAAGGAAGAGAGATGGAACAGTCCAGAGTACAAATGGATCTTTCAATACCCACTTCCCATACCCCCAGTGAAGGAATCAAAATTGTAGGATACCCAACAGTCCGGCAATGATTGAAAACTAAGACAGAACAGCACCTACACCAACAACGTCACAGGCGCTATCATTGACTATTACGAAGTCGATGTCAAGGCCGTCAAAAAACAAATCTATCCTGACCTCCCACCTGCAGATATGTTCTCGTATGATGGGCACGTGCCTGGTCCAACTTTCAAGATGCGCAAGGGCCGAGGTGAGATTGGTCTTCAACCTACTCGTGCTAAGCTAATGTTCCATTTCAGAGGCTGTTGTGCGATTTAACAACGTCAGTCCAACAAATTCGTCTGTCCACGTGCACGGCCAATACAATCGTGCTCCATTTGATGGATGGGCAGCAGACTATGCGCGGCCCGGCCAGTACAAAGACTACTACTACCCAAATGCACAAAATGCACGAACAATCTGGTACCATGTCAGTCAACTCTGAATTAGTTGCTGCAAAGGTCGAGCTGACATCGATAGGACCACACCGAACACGAAACAGGCGAGAACGTGTATTTCGGACTCAATGGTTTCTATCTCTTGAGCGACGACGAAGAGCGAGCGCTTGACTTGCCAGATGGCGACTTTGATGTTCCACTCGCTATTTCTGCCAAGCAATATTCCACAAACGGATCCCTGATATACAACACCAACAACCACACTGGACTTTGGGGTGATGTGCTTGAAGTGTAAGAAGATCTCTACAAGTTGTTCCATCATGACTAATCATTTTGGCAGCAACGGACAGCCTTGGCCATACCTAGAAGTAAAGCCATGCAAATACCGTTTCCGCATGCTCGATGGCGCTGTCAGTCGTGGTAAGTCAAATCATGTAATCTGCATTGTTACCAGTGTGCTGATTCACAATAGCATTCGACATTTATCTCAAGGAAGACGGAAGCAATGAAACAATGAGCTTCAATGTCATTGGTTCGGATTCCGGTATGTTGGTTGATTAATATGTTCGGCTTCTGCTAATTTTCTCCTCAGGTCTCTTCCAGCACCCAGTGGAAACTAAGAACCTTGCGCTGGCTGAAGGTGAACGTTATGAGATAATTGTCGACTTTGCCAACCACGCGGGCAAGAACATTACCATGCACAACAAGCGTGGTATGGCTGGAAACCTCGACTTTGCCGCAACTGATCGCATTATGAAATTTATTGTCAGCGACCCAGACGACGACTCCATAGTCAACGATCCTCTCCCAACGGATATGCACTACATCCCTCCACCACCAGACGCCAACGTCACAAAGAACTTTACCTTTTCCCGTGTTAATGGTTCATGGGTCATCAACGGTGTCGGCTGGGTAGACATTGAAAACCGCATCCTGACCCGACCAATCCTGGGCCAGGATGAAATCTGGGAACTGAGGCACGGAGGTGGAAATGCCTCGCATCCAGTCCACATCCATCTGGTTGATTTCCAGATCCTTTCTCGCACTGGGGGAAGGAATATGGTGATGCCATACGAATCAGCAGGCATGAAGGATGTCGTTTGGGTTGCTCCCGGCGAAGTGGTCAGAGTCGTGGCAAGATACGCACCATGGAAGGGTGTCTACATGTTCCATTGTCACAACCTGGTCCATGAGGATTACGAGTAAGTCTAAGGCCTTCTACTCTTGAGTATATCAAGACTAACAGTTCACAGCATGATGGTGGCATTCAATGTGACTCAACTCGAGAAATGGGGATACGATAAGGACACCATTTTCATTGACCCGATGCAGCCCGAATTCCGCCCAAAGAATATCAACTCGGCAGACTACACGGAGGAAGCGATTTTGGAGAAACTGGATTGGTTCTACCACACAAACGCATACAACAGGACCATGGCTTGAGAAGACGGCATATGTATGTACATAGCCGCTCTCAGGTGGATGGTTGAGGAGTGACGATGCATATTCCCGTGCCTTTGTGCACTTCAACTTAGATTATAGAACGCATTACTACGACTCTTGCTTACATATTTCTGTAATTATCTATTTTTTTCTTTGATAAAAATCACATTCTTGCAGCCTCGTCCTCGCGTCTCATCACGTGTCAAGTGTTGCGACAACCAGTGTATCGGCTTGACACTGTAAGATAATGGGTATGAAAGCATTACTGCAGCGGGTTTCTCATGAGTAATCTGACACATTCTGGAATCTTCATCGACATCTGACAACTCGTTTTCCACCCCTTGCGCTCATGTCATGGCGGGAGCGAGAGCACCCGGGGCCGAGAGCCGATTAAGCCATTGGTTTTTCCTTCCTCTACGTCGCCGCCTTGATTCACAGTCGGCTCATCTCCAAATATCAGACCTTCTATTGACCCTCCGTGACCCGCAATCATGACACTTGTGTGTGTCGCAGCTTTATAAGCTGAAATATACACAAGCAAAAACAACAATACCTGAAGCCCAAAATCAGCTATTCTTATCAACAATAATCCACTCACTATGAGAGTATTATTGCACTCCCACCACCGACTCAAGTTACCCCGAAATCCGACCAACAGGACGCATGCGAAACACTTGAACCTCACATCACGACATGTAACGACATCGTCTCACCCTCTCCCCACCAACGTCCTTCCGCCTGGGCACCAAGACCAAGAGAAAGAGAAAGAGAAAGAGAAAAAAAAATCCAAAACAAGACTACTGCATGAGATTTCTGTCCAAAATACTCAAAAGGCCTTATTACGGGGCATGGGGAAACGTGATGACTCCATAGTATATTGCGAAATGAGAAATAGAGGGATGACGGGGGCCAGGGTAACGGACATCACCCCACAGAAAATCCATATTATGCCGAGACTCGAACTTGAGGTCTCCACAATCTCGATAAGATAACGAGAAGAAGGAGGTGGCTGGGACCTGCGCTGGGAAAAGGGAACTGTGGGGACCCAGAGGGCCAGGGGTATATGGTGACTGTCGTCCTTCCACTTTCCACGTCCCACGATCCAACCAGGAACCCCCCAGATCATCGCTCTGGAAAAAAAATTCCACACGAGTCGCGATGTCAAGGGTTGCCTGTTTAGGCAGGATATTCGGGGGACCGGGGGTTTTACCAGGGGGAAAGAAAGGGCAGAGAGAAGAGGGCTTGTCCGTGTTTCACTTTCAACGTTTTAACTAGCAAGGGGGGGTTGCCTTTACTTAGCGTGTATGTAAGTAATCCCCCGGTAGTTAGTTAGTTACCGCCATACCGAGATAGAGAGAGAAAGCACGCCATAATCTCTGCTACGATCGGGCCCCCCTTGCGCTACTTACGCAAAAAGTCTAGATAGATGGGAAGGGAAAATGCAGGGTGCAAACTTGACAAGTTTGACACCGACGGACGATGTAGATCAGGGTTTGTCATGTAAACCTTAGCTAGTAGCTAGCCTAACAGCCTAGCATACGTAGTAACCCGACTATCTTGTCTATTGCAATACCAACGATAAAGACAAAAAAGGGGTCCATCACAGTTGCCTGTCTATGTACATAAAGTTTCAAACTACTTACTTACAAATCCGCGCCATGCAACGAGAACAAAAAGGTTGCAACCCCCCCACCAACCATCACTAGCGCCATCCCGCCCTCATACTTACGCTTTGGGGCGAGTTGCGCGGGTATGCTACTCTCGAACTGTGATACGGTAGCCATGAGGGTTCGCCATGTCTACTTGAAACCCTCAACAAAAAAAATCTCCCATCCACAAAATGTCATCAAAACAAATCGTTATCCACAACAAACCCTTCATCAAACAAAAATCCCAGAAGCCGTAACCATGGGTCCCAGAATTCCAGAACAATCCCCAAAATGAACCCGCAAACCGGCAGGTACGTACGTACGTACGTACATACCTAATTTCCCACGCGACACGGGGCTGGGACGATGTAAAGACGGAGGGGGGGGGGGGGGAAACGGGTCCTCAGGCCCCGACTCGCCCGTTGTTTCCACAAACACACACGCATCAAACAAATGTAACCTCGTACGTACCTCTGCTTTACTCTGCCACCACCACCACGACACGTAGTCTCCCCATCCTCTAATCCCAACTACTAAGAAATCCGTTCCGCTCACGTGACTCAGAACCCCCCCAAAAAAAATCGGGCCCCGAGTACCCTTTGTGTTGATGTACTGATTTCACGTGCCTGACTTCGTGACACGCATCTGCCGTGTACGTACTAACTAATAGTAGTAGTACTAAGCAGCTTACAAAAAAAACACGAGTAATGCATAAAAGCGGGTTTGTAGGTGTCGGTCCGACTATGAGGTGTTGATCAGTGGATTCCATGTCGTTTGGCGCCGACGGGGGAAGAGTGGAGGGAGAGGAGGGGTAAGTGATTTTCAGCCCGCTTAGCGCGGCGGTGTACTGAGAATCGGGGAGATCGGAGAGATTGGGGGTGAGAGAAAGATGGGAATTGGTGGGGATCGCATGTGTGAGGTGTGCGGGTTGGTTGGGAGGCATGGTCGAGTCAGGAAGGGGTGACCCTGGGGTGATTTGGACTCAACAGCTTTTCTTTTGTGTGAGTGGGTTACCGAGGACTGCAGAGTGATTGGGGTGGACTGGAGAGTACAAATGTGTCTAGTTTCTATGACTTGTTCGCGGGGATGAAGAGGTAACAAAGAATACATCTTGATTGATGTGGTATCATGAACATGTAGTCCATGTCATCTAAGAGGAATCTATCATCTACAGCGACAAGCGCTATTCTTCTTAGTCTTGTAAAAGGAAAGAAAACAGGACCCCATGCGCCATACACCTATGCTATGCTGTACAGAATTAAAAAAATATATGTCGAGAATCAAAAAGTCAACCATCTATTCCTCCAGCACACCAGTCGCCATCATGCTCTCCTTTAGAGCCTTCTTGTACTCGCGCTCCATGCCGTGCTTGACAGCGTCAAGTACAGTGTTTACTGTAGCCTTGGGTTCGAAGCGGGGCTTGGTGCCGTCTTGGAAGACACCAGTCTTGACCAGGATCGAGTACCAGTTGGCGTCGGGGTTTTGCTCGTTGTATTCATTGGTACCCCGGATGTCCGATTCTGGTGTGTCGCCTACGAAGTAGACAGTGGAAGGAGGCGAGTCAATACCATGTGTGTCTTTGCGCCATTCCTGGAGTAGACGAGTAGCAAACTGGAAGGTGCCGATTTGTGGCTTTCCAAACGCAGTAGTCTCGAGGGTACGGCCAGTGACTGCCTTGAACATGGCCTCCAAGGAAACGCGGAGAGCACCCATACCAATGCGAGTAAGGTCGTGTGAAGCGCTCCAGACCACGTCGTTGTGCGAGAAGAAGACTGGTGGGCCTTCGTCGTAGTTCTCGGACCTCGTGCCAAGACGACCCTTCTTTGACATGAGTAGGTCAAGAATAATCTGCTGGTCCGACGCCCAATCACGTGAGTCGGCGAAAACGAAAATGGCCTCGATTTCAATCTCAGAAAAGTTGCGGGTTCGGGAGTTGTTGTACTCTTCCTCTGTAAGCTTGCGGAAAGGGGTAGTATCTTGGTTGTCCTTGATGATGTCACCAGGAGTTACACTGAGCTTGCGTTAGAAACAGGTATGCGGCCGGAACAGCGGACAAGACTTACACATCCTTGAATCCGTAACCTTCGGCGACAATGCGGCACTTCTCGCCCTCACCACCGACGACCAGCACAGTACCGTACTTCTCGGCCATCTCCCTCATTGGAGTGTGTCCGCAAATGAACTGGCCAGGCGAAACTTCGATCTCTAGTTGCTTGCTCAGTTGGATGCAGCGCTCAGCTTCAGTCTTGCCACCACCATTGGTGACGAAAATGTACGGGACTTGGATGCCATATTCGTTGTCACCGTTGAGCATCTTCATGGCCTCGATGGCTTCTGGAATGGGACGGCCACCACGAATGAGCACACCGTCAATGTCTATGCATGGTCAGAACTATTGCGCTTCACATATGACTTGGTCTAACGCACCAAAAGCAAATGCATATTTGTCCGTGACGGATGTTTCAGGAGGAGTCAGATCAGGTGATCCAGGGGCGACAGCATCGAGGTGACGTCTAGCAGTCTCGAAGCCGCTGGCAATCTCCGACTGTTTGGATGGGGCCATGAGATGTTGTGGGGGAACAACTACGGTCGGGCCCATGTTGATGTTCTCGCGGGTGGCCTCCACTGCTGAGAGGCGACGCACGAAACCGCTTCCCGCTGCGGGAACTGCAAGAGGTGCTGACATGGTGTAAGGTAGGTTTGTACAAAATCTGTGCCAATCACAAAGGTTTGCTAGAAAACGTTCTCCTCTGGGAAGTGGAGTTTGGAAGATGTGGCGAGTCGATAGCTGAGGAAGTTTGGTGGTCTTTATAGCGTGTGAGCCCGATAGTCAGGTCGATTCTCCAGAAAACCCCTCAAGGAAGCGGAGAGAATAGTGGGTATGTGGATATGTGGGAATGTGGAGGTGGGTTGTACTGCTACATGGTTGGTTTGCGCAAAGATACCGAGTGTTTTATACTAAAGACGAACGGTCAATCCAAGCTGAACCCCTAGCATCGCTGGAGTGAGAATCTTCATCATTAGTCGCATAATATTCTGCACGTCTACGTCGATTCACAGGACCCTGAGCATGAGAACTACTAGTTTAGGACTTTGTCGGTGAGTATTGCGTAGAGTGATGGCGTCACCCGGTCGAAACAAGCGCAAGGGACGCTTCAGCACGTCGAACTCGATGGCAGGACAATATCCCAGGCGTGTGCTTCTCGACATGTGCTTGGAGATTGTGGCACGTTTCTCGATGCTGATTCGATACATACGACAGTGATGTTGCAATAATTGTGGGTATACGGCCGAAGTTGTGCGGCTGCTTGAATCCCTGGCAATCTTGGATTACATACTTACAGCCGTCTCATGCGCGCCATGTGGCAGACGGCCGCGGTTGGTGTTGTAGCTGTGGAACGGTGTTGCAGAATTTTGAAGTTCTTCGGCGCTATGATGTCACTAATGATTAGGTTGCATGTCGCTACGCCGCATGAGAACATACATCCTCACCGACCGAGGTGCCCGCGAATGAACGTTCGTCAGGGACTCAGGGACTCCGAGTTGCCGTGTCAAATACTTGCCAAGTATGAAGGTGAACACGAATGAAATGCCAGCCGCCCTGGTCTTTTGGCGAGGACAAGCCGGCCTGCGTTCTCGCCAAGCTTCGGGGACTTGACGAGGCAACTTGAGGCTCAACGGAGGCCGTCTCGGCAGACATGCCAAACGTTGAACCGTCCTGTCAGGGTCTGCCGCGTCGCATCAAGGAACGGCGTCAGCATCCGCCGTACAATGCAATCGTTCGTGCTCGCGATATTATGATAGCAACAGCAACAACAGTTTGGGACATCCTCGAAATGATGTCCGCACCATTGTCCCATCTCTTGCCCCGAGTAAAACCGCGCGCGCGCATCTACACAGCCTACACACAGTGGATCGCTAGTACCTACAGTAGGACAAGTATCCACATCCAAGGCACAAGCATGGGTCACTTGACGTAACTGTACATGACCCTACAAGCCTCCCGGTGCTTTTTGCAGAGTGGATGACGGTTGTAGGTATGCGACTTGTACGTGAAACTGGGCCAGGTCGCAATAAAGGTAGCAATGAGGCATTTCTGCAAGACAGAAGTGACGCTGGTCATGTCAGTTCTCCGGGCCACGACAACAACGACAACAATGACAAGACCAAAGACTGCGTATGCTACCAGTAAGTGACATTGGCGCAACAGTGTGGGACGCAGGATTGTCAGCCAGCCTCCCAATAGGACTACGAGTACATTTAGTGGCTAGTCATCGTACATGTCCCTGACGCACAAGAGCGTCTGCAAATGCCGAGAAGCCGTTTAAGACCGAAAGCAATCTGCAAGAAGTAATGATCGGACGACGTCGTTGTTGAAGGTGAAGGGATATTCGTTGCGCTGTTGCCGCTACCGCTACTAGCGTTTGGTGTTTGAATGCTGAAGAGATGGAGAAAGGACCACCAGAGTAGAGAAGGGGGGGCGTGGTGTCGAATCCATGTATCCACGCCTCCACGCCTCCACGTCTCCACGAGTTTCCTGGAGCGGCTCCGGATTTGCAACCAGCGGGAATTAACTAGTGTAGGGTCCATCTATACACCACCTTCCATGGACTCACCGCAAGTACTTGTATATCAGTCGACTATCGCTAGGACAGCGCTATGCCGTCCTAAAGTACTTTGCTCTGCAAGCCTTGTGCATGGTTGTGCGAGACCTGCTTCACGCATCAGGTTCCCGTCGCAGGGACTCGGTTCAGCTGCCGTGATCCGCTGTTTTTGCGGAGGGACGAAGTGGGAGTGCTGATCGGTTAGGGGAAGTGGGCCCTCTGGTCTTTGGCAGTGTCGCTGTCGGCACAGTACAGCCGAGTACATAGCGGATATGGCGTTTCACCGATTGTGAGGATAGATAGACGTGGACCAGTGCTTCGAGTGTCAAATACCGTGATAAGTGTGAGCTCTGAAGCGGAGAGATAGATAGGTGGGGTTGTTGGTCATAGGAGAAGGAAGGAGCACCTTGCATCGAGTAGGCAGGAGCAGACCCGAACACTACGCGTTGCGATTTGCATCGCTGCCCCGCGTCAAGCTCCCACATTCCTTATCCACCTCCACATTACGAGTAAGACTTATCTTCTCAAGTCATGAATTGGACAGGTGGTTCACTGCAGCGCACTAAGAAAGCCAACTCGGGCATGCTGCAACGGCAGAGAGCGTATTTTGCCAAGGTACGAACAAACCTTCAGAATGTACCTCAAACGCCTACTGCTCCCCTTTGCCCGAGTTATCTTCGTGACGATAGCAAATCGGAGTCTCTAGCAGTTCCTTCATTTGAGTTGATCTCGGACCGACGTAGGGGGTGCTCTGTGAGAGGTCGAGGGGAGCCAACACAGAGTGAGGATATACCTGTACCAGACGACAAGTGGTGCACGATCAGCAGGCATCAAGTATCTCCACATGCATCACCCAGCAGACGTGTCGCTCACCATGACGTCCAATCAGAGAACTCACCCCAAGCTCAAGAAGGTAATTGTGGCGAGCAGATCCATGACTACTTGCGTGGTGTTTAGACAGAGAAACTGACGGCAAAGTAGACTTGGGTAGCTCGAAACGAAAGGCCCCAAACAAGAATGTGGAGATGCAACTGCTCGAGGCGAATAAGAAACGGCTCTTAACGCAGGCAGATTGGATCGGCATCAACGCTTCAAAGCCAGTGCAACTGCAATTTGTGTCGTGTAAGCAGAAAGAGAAGATTGGTAAGCGCAGAAGAACGACTGGAAAATGCCGCGCGCAGAAAAGGCAGTGTGTTGAGGGAGAATTAAAACCAAGAAAGCCTCAACTTCAGCACCAGACCTTTGCTAAATTCTTGGGAAGTTGTGCTAACCGTGACGGATCCAAGAACATACAGATTCGCATAGGCACAGAGGCATTGACAGATGGGCAGTCTGTTCGGCTCGAAGAGTATGCGCAGTCGGAAGCTTTTTCAAGCCTGATGCTTTTTGAGCAAGACGATTTAGTTTCTCGCGCCTCAGCGACATGTGAAGATGCTCGGCACCATAGCGATGCTTCAAGGTGTGCGGAGTCTGTTGCAAGTAGAGGCGACTGCGACAAGTTGCACAAGCAGCAGCTGACAACAGCAAATGTGGACGAATACAATAGGTCGACATGCAGCTTTGGGCCCGTTGACCGTGGTCACAATGACGAGCGCAATCTGCGTTTTGTGTTTAGGGGCCGGGCCTCTCCCATGGATCTACGTACTCACCGCGTAACGGGCAGGCAAAAGATGGATGAAACACAGCTACTCAAAGAACGAGCATCGGTATCCACATGCCAGACCAAACATGTGCATCGGATCACCAATGACAGCGAGGACCCAAGTGTATACGCAATCGTCGATCAAGAACCCTGGATGGCGTATCTCGTAATTTCCGACGTTTCTTCACGGGCAAACGATACGGAAATTTGTACCAAAGACGAATTGCAGCTTGATGAGAGCATTACGGGAAATGAGAGTGCGTGTGATACAAGATGGTCAAAGGGCGCCACTCGGGGCCTGGAGGAAGAGGATGGTGAAAGTTTTGGGGCAGCATCAAAATGCGAGTCTTTGGCTTCGTTGAGGCGGGGTATAGGCAGAGCGGCAGCAGGGTATGTGCCGGAGATGAAAGGCATTCGCGCAGACCAACCAAATTGGAGCTATCTACAAACTTTGGACGAAGATGAGAAGGAGTGGCAGGCGTTTGTCTTTGGTAGCGATCAGAGTCCATCCTTGCCAAGGGCGCAGCTGGACGCACGCCGACGTTTTGCGCAGACAGTAGTAGAGTATGCGCAAGAGGCATGTTCACAGCAGCTGCCGCTATCCGTTGCAGCGAGTTGCGCAAGCACCCTGCCCGGAATGAAGCCGAAATTCCGTAGATTTGGTTCTTCCATACGCGACAGGGGACAGGGTGCAGCAGATTGAATGCTACGGGTGCGGTCATGCAAGAGGTATGTACATATGTACAGAAGGAATTACTTGGGGGGGGGGGGGGGGATGTTGAGGAGACAGGAAGTGTTGGGCATGGTGAGTCAATGGTCAAATGCGAGGCGGTAGGTGGGCAGTGAGTGACTGATGCGTATGTAGTGTAGAGTACACAGTACATCCCCATCCACTTACCTACCTAGGAAGCAAGACATGTGTAGATGTGGCTTGTCCCTTTGAACGTTCAGATGCAACGTCCCGTAGTAGCACTTGGACATCCAGGGCGACTCAGACAGGCATAGACGGAAGGGCGCCGAGTAAGGAGCAGAGTATACAGGTATTCGGGCCGGACGGGTATGAAGAGTGAATGGGTGGGTAGTGTACTAGGACTAGTAGCAGTTGCGATACCCCAGTCAGCAGTGACGACGGACTGTATCGTTGTAGATCCCAACGAGCGGTAGCTACTTAGACACAGACGTGTGTATGCCTTGATCATCGTTTCAGCGGGGACGAAGGATGAGGCGGGACTAGAGAAGTGGATTGGCCCGTTTTGGCCGAAGAGCAAATGGCAAGGCCCATGTTTTGACTTTTAAAGTGGTAGGCTAGCGTAGCTGGCGACGTACCGTCGTGTTGCAAGTCAGCGAATGAAGATGGGCAGATGGCATTGTCTTTGTGTCGTTGACGCGCTACGTGAATAGAGCCCGGATGGCGTCGAGGCGTTGGAAGGGTTAGCTGGTGGGTGTTGGCAGCGTTGGCGCCTTTCAGCAAGGGTGATTTTACGAGTGCGTGCCCGGTGTTAGTGTGTGCGTGTGTGCGTGTGTGCACAGGACGCATTGAGAAGGGGCGAGTGAGGGTGGTGTAGGAGGGAGTGTAGTGTAATACATGGCCATGCTAAGAGTTTGACGAATGCAGCAACTCGAGTATGGACAGAGGATACGCCAAGATGGAGAGCAATGCGAACACCTGCGCACGATGCGTCAGAGTCGGATCAACATGCATGTCGTGGGTAGTAGCAATTGTTCGAAGAGGGGAGGGGGTGGCCCGGAGCAGGCCGAGTGACGTGCGGGGCTCTATTTCTGGGTGAGCCCTATGAGTTGAGAGGGCGTGGTGACCGGGCATCCTTGTCTTGGCCCAAGTGCACTCGGACTGGGGCAAAGGATGGAAATGCCAGAGCCAAAGCCAGTGCCGGTGGCGGTGCCAGAGTTACAGGTGGACAGGCGGACAGGCGGACAGGCGGACAGGCAGAAGGGACACGGTGAAGCCCAAGGGCAGGCGATGGTCATGTGAGGGCGCGGACTGCGGTGATGATTCAGAGCAGCGTACAGTTCGGGCGACAAAGAAACGATTGGACAAAGAGGACGGAGAGAGTCGAGGGCAGCACACCGCCAGCCGGTCACATGGACTGACTGACTGGCAGGCAGTTCCGGATGAGGGCGAGAGGGCCACGGCAACAGCAGACAGTCCACAATTGATGTGCGGGGGGGCGTTGTGGCATGATTGGCGCTCGGACGTCAGGGGTAAAAAACCCTTTGCCTTCTCGAAGCCGTCGAAAGATGACTAGCCGGACGGGCGTCACGCGACTCGGCGACGCAGCAGCAGTAACAGCTAGCAGTAACAACGCAAGCACAAGCAGTGCCATGGCGAGTCGTCGGGTGACTGCACAAGGGAGCCGTGAAGCAGCCGGGCGGGCAGGAAATTGGGTGGCTCGAGGCAAACTTTGGCCATGACGACGGCGGATCCCTGGCCTCTGGTTGCGCCGTCGTTGGTGATCGAACCGTTGTGCCGGCTTCGCACTTGGTTTCACCCTGCCCGCGCGCCACGTGTGAGCCTATCGAGGTGCGCCCACAGCCACACATGGGGCGCCCCAGCCCGCCCGACAAGCTGCTTCCATGGCAATCATCCTCGCCCAGCCCAACCCTCGCACTCGCGGGAGTCATAGTAATCTGCCAGTATAGTATGATGGAGCAGCCGGCCAGCGAGCGAGTAGAGTACAGCACAGCACAGCAGTGGCAGACTGCCCGCACACCGGTGTGTCAAGACACGACTGACCCACGCCGTCCGTGGCATCGTCCTTGGTGGGGCCGTGGATGCTGCTGCCCTACACCGACGTCTGCTACTGCTGCTGCTGCTGCTGCTGCTGCTGCATACAGACCCGATGATGTTGGTGGTGGTGGTGGTGGTAATGATGATGATGACGATGCAAGCAAGCAGCCTTGTCAATGCTGCCCTCTACTCTGGTTGCCTCAGTTTCCGGCATGGAATCCCCCTCTTTGGCCGGATGTAACGGCAGCGCTACATTAGCTATACATACTTCTGCGTGCATGGAAATACGTAGTAGCTGGACGCAACTTGCCCTCCCAGCTCGCCTGTCAGCGGGAGGCGGCAGCGTAGGTGCAGGCGGCGGCGGCCATGGTCCTCCTTGGTGCGCATGCTTGCATGCCTCTGCCTCACTTATGCTCAGGCTCTCCACGTATACGACTGGCTCCAGTGGCCTGCAGGCGGGCGTGATTGGCAGCGGTGCAGCTGGCGGTGCAGTGGATGGCGGATGGTGGACGGGACAACCTTGGGCTGCGTCATTGTCGACGCCGTTGCTCGGTGGGGCCTAACCAGTGTCGCGGCTCGCAGTGGTTACCGCTAGCACACGAGACAAACAGGGAAGAGGGCTTTCGCAGCCCGAGTTACCATGTCTTGACGCGGACTTGGGCCCGACTGACAAGGAGGCACGGAGTCAAGGTCAAGGCATGCTGTCTGTGGCATAGGCGTGTCGTTTGCAAAGTTAGCTGAGAAAAATTCCGTCTGCGGCTTGTCTGTTCCTGGCCGCCTTGTTGGCCTACCGCGCTGCCGCTGCCCGCTGCCCTGCCCACGGGCCTGCCCATATACATAGTAGTCCAAGTACCTCGCAAGACACTGCCCTAGAGTACACAAAGCCTGCCCGCTCCTTAGCTGTTAGCATTAGTCCGCCCTGCACTACCCGCTAGAGCTAGCAAAACAATTACACCCACACACGACATTACTCTACCACACAACCCTCCCAACTCCTCACTCGACGACCACCACATCACCCGCCTGCCACCTGCCACCTTACTCCTCTTTCTCTCTCCATCTCTCTCCACCCCGCCCAATCCCCTCTCGGCATCCGCTGCTGCAGCTGCCCGTCCTTCTCCGCACATCATCCCACCGCGTTTTTAACGAGCCTGGTGCGCCCGCCCTGGTCTGCCGAATCGCTTGCTGCAAAAAAACCCAACCGCCCCCCACGACTGCTCCGGAGTACTTCAGATCGCACAGTATCCATGCAACGTGCATGCAAGGCCGTCTCCCAGTAATCCCAGCTGACCTCCGCCTGCACCTCGCGCAGCGCGCGCTTCCTCGTCCAAACTCGTCATAGCCAAACGCATTCTGTCAGTCTCACGATGCGATCCAGTTCCTAGCCTGAGCTCTGCAAAAAAAAAAAGGACCCAGCAGGCTGTTGATCCTATCTGCTTTTATTCCCCAGTGGCGCCCACCTTGACGCTCCTTCCACACATCCACACATCCACACACTCACATCCACTCACACTCCGCACACTCCCGCACACGCCCCCTCCTACTCCAACTCCAACTCCTCATCCTCCTCTCACCAATTGCCCGCGCCATGAAGATTTACTAGCACGCCCCGACATCAGCCTTTTCCTCTCTCAGACATCCCACCACCATGTCACTCCTCCACGACTCCTACGCGCGCCCGCGCATGCCCTCGCCCTCGCCTAGTTACGCTCGCGCCATTAGCATTTCCGCCCGTGGCAGCCCGGCCCTTACTGCCTCTTGCCTCAATGGCTCCCTCCAGTCAACCCCAGAAGGCATGGTTCCCATTTCGTCATCGCTACCCGCCATTCCCTCCTACACACTACCAGAGTCGTTGCTCCCTCCTCCCGTTCAGTCGCAGCCAACTTCTTCGCCATCAGCCATGGCGGAAGCCCTAGGCAAGGGTCCAGGCCTGATTCGACGAGTTAGCCGGGGCGCCCAGGGTATCCCGCATCGCTTCCGTCGCGGCAACTCGACTGCTCAACGCGACAAGAGCTCTGGTCCCGTTATTATGCGCCGCCGCAGCGACAGCAGGACTGCCGCCGACGGCGACACAGGCATCTCCGACTTTGACGCTTTCGAGGAAGAGGAGGCTATTGAAGATCCATACGAGCCCATCCACGGGCTTGGCATCACTGGCCCTTCGCCCAGCTTCAGCTCAATACCCGACGACGGTGTCGTAGCCCCGGTACGCAACTCACGTCTCGAACAGGGCACCGTTTTGAGGAAGATTACCAAAAAGGAAAAGAAAGACATCAACCTGCGTCTGGATCTGGAATCTGCAAAAGTCTTCTGGGACCCCTCAAGACCCTCAAAGGCCTTTTACATTGATGATGTAAAGGAAATCCGCTCCGGTCCAGAAGCAAAGCACTACCGCGAAGAGTGCGGACTATCAGAAAACTGGGCGCCATACTGGTTCACCATTGTATACACCGACACAACACGGTCAAAGGGCCGGATACGAACTATGCACCTAATTGCACCCGACGTCGGCGTCTTCAACATGTGGACCCAGACACTCGAATCCGTGTCGCGTAACCGCATCGACCTCATGGCTGGCCTCATGGGCTTCGCCGACAAGAGTGCCAAGCTCGTGTGGCAACGCGCAATGAAGAAGCGGGGTGAAGGCGAAGAGTCCCTGGACTTCCCCAGTATTGTCGAGTTGTGCCGGAGCTTGCACATCAACTGCAGCGAAGCCACACTTCGCATCTACTTCCAAAAGGCCGACACTTTGTCCACTGGAAGACTCAACCAACAACAATTTTTATCCTTTGTCAGGCGTCTAAAAGAGCGCAAGGACATCAAGGCAATTTACAAGTCCCTGACATCAGGCTCCAAAATCGAAATGGACAAGGTTACCTTCTTCTCCTTTCTCCAGCAAGAACAGGGTGTCGATGTCAACGCAGACCTCGAGTACTGGACCAACACATTTGAGCGCTTTGCACGTGCCACCAAGCCTCGAGCGCCTGCCACACCTGTCGAGGGTGGTGACGTTCCTCTGCCCCTGGCCATGAACTTCTCGGGTTTCCAGACGTTCCTCACATCTGCCGCAAACTCTATTCTCCGCCCGGTTGGTCGTCAACAAAAGCTCGATCGACCATTGAATGAGTACTACATCTCTAGCTCTCACAACACATACCTCTTGGGCCGCCAGGTAGCTGGTGAATCTAGCACAGAGGCATACATTACTGCACTTCAAAAGGGCTGCCGATGCCTTGAGATTGACTGCTGGGACGGGGCAGACAACATCCCCGTCGTCATGCATGGCCGAACTCTAACCAAGAGCATTCTCTTCCAGGACACCATCAAGGTCATCAACAAGTACGCCTTTACAGAGTCGCCATACCCCGTCATCCTATCGCTCGAGGTTCACTGCTCGCCAGTTCAACAGTCGGCTATGGTCAAGATTATGATGCAAGAGTTTGGCGACAAGCTAGTGCTTCAGCCCCTGGATTTTGAGTCGCAGAGCCTGCCTAGCCCTGAAGAGCTCAAGTACCGCATACTCATCAAGGTAAAGAGTGCTGCTAGTGACGAGTTCGACACCAGAGCACTCATTGGTGAAATCACCTCACGAAGGCAGCGCAGCTTCAGCTCACCCTGGTCACGCCCCGTCATCATGAACGACAATGTCATCCCAAACTCGCCCCTTCTCTCAAGCCCGCCTTCGATGAGCCCGCCGGAGCGATCGGCAACTTTTTGGGCAACCCCTCGAACTTCAAACAACACGCTACCCACCTCAACAGCTGTAAGCTCGGCAGAAGACAGTGACAGCCCCAATGCAACTGCTGCAGAAGCTGCCGAGGTGGTTGATGACCGAAGCAAGCCCAAGAAAACCAAGACGAGCAACATCACCAAGGAGCTAGGAAGCCTCGGAGTTTACACCCGCGGTGTCAAGTTTACAGACTTTGGCAGTATGGAAGCCAACACCTTCAACCATGTCTTCTCCATCAATGAGCGCGCCTTCGACAAGCTCACCAAGCCTGGAGCACGTGAGAAGCACCTACTCGAAGACCACAACATGCGCTGCCTCATGCGCGTATACCCGCACGCCTTCCGCATCAACTCGTCAAACTTTGATCCTCTCAAATTCTGGCGTCGTGGTGTGCAGATGGCTGCTCTGAACTGGCAGACGTACGATCTTGGCCAGCAGCTGAATGAGGCCATGTTCGCTGGTGGAGACGACCGCACGGGCTACGTCCTTAAGCCGGCGGCACTTCGCCTCGAGTCACAGACACCAGTTGTTGGTCACCGCAAGGCACCCAAGAAGCAAGTCAAGTTTACCGTACAAATCATCTCGGCTCAACAGCTGCCTCGTCCACGAGGTCTCGGCCAGGAGGCCAACATCAACCCATACGTCGAGTTTGAAATGTACTGCGCTGAAGACATGGGTGCAAATGCTACAGGTATTGGCGGCCAAGACGCATCAGCCCGCAACGGTCACTCGGGTATTGGAAACCCTCTGCGCAAGCGGACCCGCATTGTTGAGGGCAACGGCTATAACCCCGAGTTTGGCAACGAAATTGACATGACAGTCACAACAAGATACCCCAGCCTCGTATTCGTACGCTGGACTGTCTGGAATTCGCTTGATGCACGGACCACGAATCACGCGCCACTTGCTACCTTCACAGCCAAATTAAGCAGCATTCAGCAGGGCTATCGTCACCTTCCTCTCTACGACAGCAACGGCGAGCAGTACTTGTTCTCGACCCTCTTCTGCAAGATCAAGAAACAGGATATTATCGATGCGCCAGAACTCTCGAGCGCCACTTCGTGCGGGTCCTCGATTGACCCTGGCAGCCCCCTCCAGGAGCCCACCAACACCAAAGCGAGCCGCAGCTTCGTCAGACGCTTGATCAGCCGTGCACCTAGTGAACGCAGGAGGCGCAAAGAAGAGCTGCACCGCACAGGAAGCGAGTCACGCGAATCTGACCTAGACCCCATTAGTCGCTCAAGCACAATGGAGCGATAGCCCAAGCTCCAGATACCGCCTCACTCTAGGTGTGCAGCTGACAGTGTTGCCACGCATATCTGTAAGCACGAGTTCCTCGGCTGCAGGTGGTGCACCATACAACTAGCAGTATGTTGTTCACCCCACATGTACTGGCATTTGGCCGTGCGCCGGTTTCTTACTCTTGTAAGAAACCTGACGCCATGACATGGGCCACGGCTATGTGTCCCGCACCTTGACCCCAAACACGGATACGCGGAACAAAGCTAAGAAAATCTCGGGCAACGGCACCATGCGTATGCTCCCGCTTCTGACAACTATCGGATATCCAACAGAATTGCAATTACTACTGCTCGGCCCAGCAAACACCGCTTTGCACTAAAAACAAACAAAAAGTTATCCTTGATTCTCAGTCTGGTCCTGGGCGTCGATCGCTTTCATCCTTGCCGTGTGTATTCGATTCTCGCATATACCCTTTTTTTTCGCGACAACCTTTTTATCTCTTTTCATTGTTTTTTCCCGGGACCGGAAACATTGGCGTAGGTAAACAATCATAGGGAAACTATCATGGTTTGCCGGCGAGCAACCGTTTTTGCATCTTGGCGATATCCCCATAGACTTTTTGTTTTCGGTTTTTTTTTTTGGAAGGGCTTCATTGCTCGAGGAAACACCTCCTGTACAAACCTCTTCTTCTTCTCTTCTCATTCTTCTTTCTCATACTTGTTTCATTTTCTCTCTGTAGCCATAGTGGGCTTGACGACTTTACGATGTAGCTTATTCTGGCATAGCCTAGTTAGCAATTCTGTAGGGCAGGATTCCACATTTTTTCTTCATTTTCATAAGCGCTTCAACCGTTGATTCTTCGGTGCCCGCTTTTTTTCCTTCTTCAACTTTTTTTCGTCCGCGTGGTTTTTTAATTGGAACCTCTTTTTTTCTTCCTTTCTGTCCTTGTGGACTCATAACTCAACATACATGGGGCCGGGCCCAACAAAAAAGATAAGGAGCCACGGGCGGTGTGTAACCATTTGTTGAGAATTTCTATTTGCATTCTTGTTTGTTGTTCTATTGGTAATATTTGTGTGTCTTTGCACTCATCATTTTTTCCTTTGTTCGGTTGGGTATGTATGTATAGACGGAAGTGGGCTTGTGAGGCGGTTGGGGGGGAGGGGGGGTACAGGCGTAAACGGAAAGGATACTTGGCTGGCCTCAAGGGGTTTCTTCGGCATCGGTTCAGTTACACCAAGGGACCGGCGGGGACCGGGGCAGGAGTTACAAGTAAAGGAAAACACCGTGTTCGAAGTCGAACCATTGGGAACCAAAAAAAGTTGACACTAAGCTTTTTTTCTTCCCATATTTTCCTCATAACCCCCGAAGAAGGCATAAAAAAACTACACTCTGATAGAAATGACAAATACGACTTATTTTCGAGCGTCTAAGGATATCATATAAAGATTCCTACGCTGACTATGCATATACCGCCTTCTCTCTTCTACTCATCGCGTGCGCATACCTTTTAGTACCTTTCCCGCCCCATGTAACCCTTGCTCACCTCGGACCTCGCAAACAATAAAGCCGAAAGAGGGGAAGCGCCCGCCATAAAGTGCGCGGGGAGGGGATGAGAGGCCCCCAAGAACAGCAGACATCTAACCAAAACACCGCGGCATGGGAAGATTGGAACCTCGCAAAAAAAAATCAATTGCATCACGTACTTACATATCCGGACCCATTCCCTCGGGGAGGAGGGGAGGGGGGGGATCTACATACCACGCAACGATTACACGTTAACACCACACGTGTATTTGCGTGGGCGGGAGAAAATCCACTCCATAGCCTTATTTTTGCTTTTTTTCTTCTCCCGCATCGGACCCAGAATTATTATTATTTTTTTTAAAAAAAAACGGTGCACACGTAAAACTAAACACGTCCTCATACATACACTAACACATTGTATGTAAGTCCATCCATAGGCATATACGCGCGCCCCCTTCTACACGCGAAGAGCAAAGGCAAAGGCAAACGGGGTAAGATGAAATAACCACTTTTCTTACACTACAAAATTATTATTTTCTTAGCTGTTTGCTCCGCAGATGCGACATGGATAGCGGAAGCTGCAGGGTAAGCAGGGTGGGGTATGTTGCTGTAGGCTTCATTTTTTATTTCCGTCTCGCGTGTTTAAGAGGTGAGGAGGTGAGAAAGGGGGGGGGGAATTGCAAGGGAAAGACAAGGGACGGGGGGACGCGGAACGAGGTTCCCCGCATTTTCTTGGTCAGGGCGAGATGCAGAATGCGGAAAGGCGGAAGGGCAAGGGGGGTGTTGAGGGAATTTGGACGTGTATGCGAAGGGCACGCGAGGTTGTCTGGGGGATAGTCTGACAAGGAATAATCATGTCGCGTTTTTTTGAGGGGGGATGGATGCGGTATTTTCTGTTGCAGGGTAGGGAGGAGGAGGAGAGAGGGAAATAGGTAGTATTGCGTACGTATTTGATTAATCAAAGAATCGCACATCTCAAGCATGTATCTTACATGCATGATATCAAGTCAATTGATGTAATCGTAATGTCAACATTAGACACAGCCCTCCCTCCCTTCCCTCTACAAAAAAGAAAAAAAGCAGTGAACCAGGAGAGAGAGGACAGAAAAGCCCACTACCGTCTAATGCGATTCCCCCGGAATTCCCGTATCCACAATATTGAAGAGTGAGCTGACTTCTCCAATACCAATACTTGATTTTTTTTTCTCTCATCAAAAGAAGAAGAGAGGAGGCTGTCGGACGATCTGGGACCCATGCTTGTGTCCCGCGCGCGCCCGCGTTCCCGCGCAAGTTCGAGGTTGGGACTAGCTGGGGCGCGGGAACGACCCGAACGGACACGGGGCGCAGCGGGTAAGGTTCAAGCACGCGTGCGCACGCGCGGGGGTGTGTGTGGCAAAGAGGAGAAAAAAGAGAGCAGCGCGACAGAAAAGTGAGGTAAGCTCAACTTCCTTTTCCAGCCCGTTCAATGGGCACATTCTAGGCTTGCGGAGGGCGAGTCGGACGGTGCTGGTTGGACTAGGTCTATTTGGAAATTTCCCTCCCCCCTTTTCCCAACTTTTTTCTTTCTCGTTCAACAGTTTGTTTTGGATTTGGAATTCTGCTTCTGCAACTTTTCCAATAATTTCTGGTGCGAAGTGTGTCGTGTGCTTTCTCAATGCTAAGCCGCGGCGCGTGGGATACTCCGAAGATGTGGCAGCACAGCCAAAAAGCCATTCCAATATTGCTCCTACGGTCTATGCTCAAACTCCGCCTTCACTGATGTCGTGCGACCATGCTCGGATATACTGCGGCTGTGCTTCTTGTCCACATTCTCACCAATCGCAATACCCTGGTCCGCCCGTCTCACGTATCCGTGCTCCTCTTTTTTTGGGGGTTTGCTCTCACTAATACTGCACCTGAAGCGTGAGGCCGTCTCACCCAATCGTGAATTACTACGGAGCAAACCGCATCTTTTTTTGTATGCATGTATCCTATATTTACCGAGTCATGGCCGGCAGCAGCCGATGTCAAAGCGAGAGAATCACACTTGCTTGGTCTGCGCCTTGCAGCTGCATGCCCCGCTTTCTCAGCTTCTTGCTCGGCGGGAATATGTTGCACAGCATGCGCGCAATACGGAGCGCAAGGTGGACGTTGCGTGGGCGGGCGGAGGCATTAGCCGTGTTGGTAGGGATAGCGGTGCAATTACCCCCTCTCGCCTTTTGCCTTTCTCTCTCTCTTTGCTACGGACCAGAGTTGATACAATAGTCTTGTATCTTTTACTTCCCATTGTTAGCAATTAGGCAGCATTGGCAATAAGGTGGTGCTCACTGCCTAGTCTGACTGCCAGACTCCGATCAAAGACAAAGAGAAAGAAGAAGGCTGCCTGCAATGACATGCAGCTATTTCGACAACAGGGCCGAACCTCTCACAAACATGCATACTGTAGGAATAGGCAATAAAGTCTTGTGCCTTGCGTGCTGCGTGCTGCGTGACATCGGAATAGGCCCGAATAGGCCCGAATAGCCCCCCATCTATGGCTACGTGTTACCGCCTGCATGGCAGCAGAGGCTGAAAATGGATATGGCTGCACAAGAACCTTCTAAGCTTTCGGATCGGACTTGTACTACTGACCTCGATCGGTAGAGAGCATGTCGTGATAGTATGCCATAAGCTGAATTTCCATTTTGATTGCTGCTCGCAGTAGTTTCAAAGCCAAGATGGCCATGTGGCTATCTCGCTTCATGTCTTTGTGTGCCGGTGGCTCCAAGGTGGGAGATATTGGCGCTACTGAGGTGTGAGGCTGCAACACATGTACAGTACTATTCCTATATTAGACGTCATGCCGCGGTGGATGGGGCTGGATATCCGCCAGTATCCAGTTGCTCTGCATGGCTATGCCGATCCACCTGCCCAAACTGCGGAGATAGACATGTGCGACATACCGAGTGTTTCGCAGTACGACAACCGAGACAGGGTGCGCCATGCGAACCTGCACGGAATCAGACGCTGAGCAACGTGGTCCCAATTGTGGGGATTGCATATGGGCTGATAGCCGATCGCATGTCAGCATCGTGGTCCTATGGTGAGAGACTCTGGCTTTTGCAAATGCGGTGGCCTGCATGGTGCTAAATGCACGGCGTTGTCGTCTGACATCTTGCAAATACGGCTCCAGCTTCCCCCACACTCGCGTCAACGATATATGCTGTGCTGCGGAATTATAGTGGAAATGCATATGCACAGGCAAACACACGCAAGTACAACCCTGCTTTGTGCGAATCTGATCATCATGGCGGGACAGCTGACAGACTGCACATTGTGAGCTGGACGCAATATATGGAATTATCGCTAGCAGTAGATGCACAAGGCAGCCGTTGACAAGTTGCATATACAACAACGTGATCAAGTTGAACCGCACCATGTGTGTAGTGGGCAGCTGATGCTGGGGCTTAGTCTTGCTCTCGCTGTGACAAGCAGGCAGACCGGCAGGCAGACCGGCAGACAGCCCAAGGTGAGAGCGCTGATATCGACAGGATGGCACTGACAATAGAGATCTAGCCACCGCACTAGTTGCCAACACTTTGGAAGAGTATCAACGATGAGCCATGTGATGACTTGGATCCCATTGACGACATGCTCTCTTGGTATTGAAAGACTCGACCGTAAATGAATGGGGACTTGAAAAGGTAGCCGAGACAATGCGCCGCCATGTAGTGAATAAAAATCGATCCTAATAAGATGGGTGAATAGGAATGCCCATCCTTGTCTCGGTTACAGCCATCGTGTTGCGTTGATTAAGTCCAAGTATCAGGATGGGTCGAAGAGACATGGAAGCATTTGGTTGCCAACCGCCATTTCTTCCTTTGAGTGGATATCTTCCTTTGAGTGGATATCTTCCTTTGAGTGGATACCGAACCTATGGTTTATGCTTACACAAGGCCTGGTAAGAGGATGCGTAGAAGACGGTCTCTTTCCCAAGCGTTCTTCCAAGGATGATGTCACGAGTAGACGGTGCGAATAGCTTGTACCACAGGCGTGTAGGGTGCAGCGGGTATACGTAAGGTGATGGACCATAGATTATGGCCAGTCCCGCATGTGCTTTGTGAGATTTTTCATTCGCACCAATGGGCCTCGATGCATGGCTACAATGGCTGTCAATGACGTGTGTGGGGCAATTGAACGGTTGCTGGCGATGGTGGTTTCTCTGCTGGGCTCTTGTAGGCTGACATGTCCCCAATTGGGAATTGACGATTGTGTGTAGGGATGCGTTCTGGTGTTTGCACATGCAGTGCTTGATGAGAAGAAGATACAATGTTGGGAGTAGAGATCGAGGCAATCGTGGGAGAGAGCACGCGCCAAGGGCAATATGCTCCGACATTCCGACCCCGCTGGACTTTGTTTCAATACAATCTTTGTCCGCCACAATCCACCTACACTCAGTTGCAAACCCACACGCGCAACGTCAAGGCCTTGTCGCGCTGGCAATGGTGTGAGTAGAAGAGACGGACATATTCTCAGCTCTTGCTGTCCACCAATAACATCAACATCACCCACTACCACCACCTCGAAACTTTGCACTCGGCCCCACGAATTTCCAGACCCAACCGGGGGTGAGTGAGGCCTCGAGCGCCACACGACTTAAATTTGACTACGGCCGAGACTACAACGAAGACAACGAAACCAACGACTACGACGGCGAACATGGAGGGCGCCTTCACGCACATGGGCAACCACCTAGTGTCGGACTCGGCGGCCACAATCAACGCCGGCGACGTAGACGAGGGCATTCTGGACGGCGACCTCTCCCACGGCCAGCTTTCGCGCAGGCGCCGCGCCGATGATGACGAAGATTATGATGACGATGACGCTGAGAGCATGGCCAGTATGCCGGTAGGCGGCCGAGGGGGCCAGTCGGCCATGCGTGCGGAGGATGCGGAGGTTGAGCTGCCGGCCCATGCGTGTACGTAGGAAGGAAGTGGGCGGGCACGACCAAAGGCTGTACTGACTGACCGGTTGCTTTAGGCGCGTACTGTGGCATCCATAACGCCGGGAGCGTCGTCAAGTGTCTGGCCTGCAGCAAGTGGTTCTGCAGTGCCCGTGGCAACTCATCGTCGTCGCACATCATCAACCATCTGGTCCGCGCCCGCCACAAGGAAGTCCAGTTGCATCCCGCCTCTTCGCTCGGCGACACGACACTCGAGTGCTACAATTGTGGCACCAAGAATGTCTTCCTGCTCGGTTTCATTCCCGCAAAGTCGGACACGGTCGTTGTGCTGCTCTGTCGCCAGCCATGCGCCGCCATGCCCTCGCAGAAAGACATGAACTGGGACACATCGCGCTGGCAGCCCCTCATTGAAGACCGTTCCTTCCTTCCCTGGCTTGTCCCTCCCCCAACCGACCAGGAGCAGCTCCGCGCCCGCCATCTGAGTCCCCAGACCATTGCGAAGCTCGAGGAGCTGTGGAAGGATGACGCCAATGCTACAATTGCCGACCTCGAAAAGGGCGCCGGCCAAGAGGAGGTCATTGCCAAGGTTTTGCTCCGATACGACGATGCCTACCAGTACCAGAATGTTTTTGGCCCCCTGGTCAAAATCGAGGCTGATTATGACCGAAAACTTAAGGAATCGCAATCACAGGATAACTTGGTTGTGCGCTGGGACATGGCCCTGAACAACAAGCACACGGCTAGCTTCATCCTCCCCAAGCTTGAACTAGGCGACGTCAAGCTCGCCGTTGGTGACGAGATGCGACTACGCTACACTGGAGAGCTCCGTCCGCACTGGGAAGGCGTCGGCTATGTCATCAAGATCCCCAACAACCAATCGGACGAGGTCACCATTGAACTGCGCACCAAGGGCGACCACAAGTCGGTTCCTACCGAATGCACCCACAACTTCAGTGCCGACTATGTCTGGAAGGCTACTTCCTTTGACCGCATGCAACATGCTATGAAGACGTTTGCTATTGATGAGATGAGTGTTTCTGGCTACATCTTCCACCGTCTGCTTGGTCACGAAGTAGCAGCAGCCCCTATGAAGGTTACAATCCCTCGCAAGTTCAGCGTCCCAGGTCTTCCGGAGCTCAACAACAGTCAAAACAATGCTGTAAAGAGCGTCCTCCAGAAGCCTCTCAGTCTGATTCAAGGCCCTCCTGGTACCGGAAAGACTGTCACGTCCGCCACCATCATCTACCACCTTTGCAAAATCAGCGGTAGTCAGGTCCTGGTTTGCGCACCCTCCAACGTTGCCGTCGATCAACTGTGCGAACGTATTCACCTTACTGGTCTCAAGACAGTTCGTGTAACCGCAAAGTCCAGAGAGGATGTCGAGTCTCCTGTTGGCTTCTTGTCCCTTCATGAGCAAGTTCGCATGAACGATACCAATGTCGAGCTTAACAAGCTGAACCAGCTGAAGAACGACGTAGGCGAGCTCTCAAGCCAGGACGAAAAGAAGTTTAAGCAGCTCACTCGTGCAGCCGAGCGTGAGATCCTGAATGCAGCCGACGTCATCTGCTGTACCTGCGTTGGTGCCGGTGATCCTCGTCTGTCCAAGATGAAGTTTCGCACTGTGCTCATTGATGAGTCGACACAGTCTGCAGAGCCAGAGTGCATGATTCCCTTGGTCCTGGGATGTAAGCAGGTCGTACTGGTTGGTGACCACCAGCAACTTGGACCTGTCATCATGAACAAGAAGGCCGCAACAGCTGGTCTTAACCAATCTTTGTTTGAGCGTCTCGTCATCCTTGGGTGCTCTCCCATCCGACTACAGGTCCAGTACCGTATGCACCCGTGTCTGTCCGAGTTCCCATCCAACATGTTCTACGAAGGCTCTCTCCAGAATGGTGTAACGATGCAAGAGCGTATCCGCCGCGATGTCGACTTCCCCTGGCCAGTTGTTGATAGCCCAATGATGTTCTGGTCAAATCTTGGTGCTGAAGAAATCTCGGCTTCTGGAACTTCCTACCTCAACCGGACCGAAGCCCAGAATGTCGAAAAGATTGTGACTCGCTTCTTCAAAGCAGGCGTGCAGCCCAGCGATATTGGTATCATCACTCCATACGAGGGTCAGCGCAGTTATGTTGTCAGCTCCATGCAAGCAACTGGCAGCTTCAAGAAGGAGAACTACAAGGAGGTCGAGGTTGCATCCGTTGACGCTTTCCAGGGTCGTGAGAAGGATTTCATCATCTTGTCCTGTGTACGTTCCAATGATCACCAGGGTATCGGTTTCTTGAGTGATCCTCGTCGTCTCAACGTCGCCCTCACTCGTGCCAAGTATGGTCTCGTCATTCTTGGTAACCCCAAGGTCTTATCCAAGCACCCACTGTGGCATTACCTTCTTCTTCATTTCAAGGAGCGCAACTGTCTCGTCGAAGGACCCTTGACCAACCTACAGGTGTCGCTTCTTCAATTCAGCCGCCCCAAGCAGACATATCGCGGGCCTCAACGCTACCAGATGGCCTACCAGCACGCCAATGCCATGACCTCTGGTCGTCAGCCAGGCTTCAATGGCAACAAGCCTCGTCAAGAGTACAACGACAACGGTTCTATTGTGGGTTACATCCCAGATGACGTGTCGTCTGTCCACTCTTCTGCCCTTGGCGGTGTTGGTGTTCCTTCCAACTATCCCCCCATGTTCTCCAACTTCCAAGAGTCCTGGCCCTTACCCGGCCGTCCTAACGGCAAGGGCAAGAATGGCGCGCCTCAAAGCGTTGCCGGTGAATCTATTGCAGCTAGCGAGCTCACGGACACCCGTAGTGATGCGCCTGGCGGCATCAGTCTTTCTGGTCTGAGTCTGAACGACTACAACAAGCCCACCTCACTCAGCCAGTCAGACCGCCTTAACCGCTTTGTGGAATCAACTCGCCAGGGTCCAAACGTTGGCACCGGCTTTGGTGCTGGTCGTGGGTTGCGTGGTGCACTTGGCGGCTTTGAAGACGATGACGCTCGCAGTGTTTCCACTGCTTTTGCCAGTCAGATTGGCACCGGTAATGGCTACGACTGATCTCGCCTCTCTGATATAGTGGTAACATACCCTACTACTACTCTTACACGTTTTGGCTGCGAGCCTCTCTACTTCACCCGATCGAGCAACAGACCGGATTCATCACCGGCCGTCTGACCTAGGACATGCTCTGTTGGCAAAACCAGAGCAGGCGACCGCCAGTGCGTTGGCACTGATATTGATATTAGGACCAGTCCGTACTGCAGCTTGTGTCGGCCCTTCCGGACAGCATACCGCCCTACCTGCGGCAATCCGTCGCTAGCACGTAACCGCATTTCAACCATATGCGAGCTTTAAATCCGCCGTATTCCCCAGATTAAGCCCATATGGGTGATGCGTCAAGATGAAGTGCACAATGGAGTAAGCCCAACTGCAGCACGGAAGAGCTGAGCATCAAACACACAAGAATTGTGCATTTCTTTTTACCATTTCTCACATTACTTTCTTTTATCACCTCAGCATAGGTGTGCTTGACTTTTCAACAATCGTTATGAAGAAAAAAGGTGAGAGGAAAATCATACTCTAGTTTAGTTTTTTGAGTTTTAGACGAGAATTTAAACCGTGCTTGTTTCGAATCGTGTTTACTGTCCCATCACTGATATACGTGACTTGTGTTGGCTTTTGCGCTGAGCTATTGCCCCTCTTTGACACTTTTTTTCACAGCATAAGGCTCGATAAGTGCGAATTACCTTGTTCATCTAGATTTTCGCATTTCACCAATACTGCTAACAACTAACAGAGCTCTCTGCTTTCCTCCTGACATACACGTATATAGACCTTGCTAAGCAAATGCCCCCCCCCAAAAAACGAAGCAGAATGCTCAAACAATACTCCTTTTATAAGCTATTGTTTTCTTCTCTTCTCATCTTTCTGAACACACCGTATATGAAGCATGATCAAATAAACATTGACTCTACTTACCTTGTCCTTTCACAAAACTTCGTCCTAGACTCCCTCTCACGTAGTGAGAAACAGCGGCTCCGCTACTTTCGTTAAACAAATAACGAGATTGTAGGAATCACTTTGTGCTTTTGTGTTAAATGGAAAGAAGAAAAAAGAAATTGAAGTACATAGGAGTATGGGGGGATACAAAGTAGAAGCGAGAAAAGAGGAGAAGAAGAAAAAAAATTCGCATGTAGACTTCCAATTAACTACTCTTGTCTTATTTATTTCATTGTTTTGTCCAAGAAGGGACAAAACTTGGTTAAAGCGAGGAAGAGGGCGAGGAAAGATGGGTTATGTCATGATAGACAACAATCATAATGATAAAACAAAAACTAATTGATTCAAATACAACGTGATATCCATTCTCATACCAAACCAACTAAAAGAAAGAAAACAAATATATATATACGTGGAGGGAGCCCCTAACAGGTCTCCTTCTGACATGACTGTAAAGTTTACCCTATCCTGCCCACGTATAACAACGTCTCTTGGGTATCACACTCTTCTTTTCGCTTTATACAAATCTCCCTCATTCCAACTTTCTTATTCCAATTTTTTTTCTCCTCTTTCATCTGGATCATATACACCTTTGTAACAAATATGGAAACGTACATATCTCCCAACACTAGCAAAACCTCGCCACACTGCCTTACATAACCGTACAGCACTTGAGCATCTTGAGCAACTTGGGCAGACCCTTCTTAACCATGTTCTCAATCTCGTCGTTTTGGTTTTGCTGCTGATCATGGTGTTGCTGGTGTTGACCACCATGGTGTTGCGGGGCACCACCGTGGTGCTGCTGTCCGGGGTATCCAGCTGACGGCGCATGTGGAGGCGGCGGCATTTCGTCGACGCTGCCGCCCTGGAGGTTGACGAAGATTCTACCTTCGTTTTCCTCGGTGCGGTACTGCAGGCCCAGTTCGCGGCATACTTGCTCGACTCGCGGTTTGATCTTTTGTACGTGGTTCGTGCTGTGGTTGCCCTTGCCGACGATGACATGGAGGTGGGTTTGGCCTTGTTGTCTGGCGACTTTGATTCTTTCCTCGAGCACGTCTTCTGCTTCTTCTACGAAGAGACCGTGCAGGTCAATTGTGTCGCCATCAACGCGCCCTTCGGCATTGTTTTCCCGGAAGATGAAGTCGCGTGCTTGGCGGTTGTATTGCTCCATCTTTTCGGCGTGCTTCTTTCCTTCCTGTGAGAGCTCGTGGGCAGCAGCGCCATCGCCGGACTCGTACGCTTGGTGCGCGCGGTCGAAACATGAGGAGCGTTTGGCGGCTTCTTGACGGGCAAGGTCGCGAAGGCGGTCGTATTCAGCTTCCGCATCCGCGGAGGAGTGGTTGAGAGCTGGGCGTGTTTGTTAGTTGTTGTCGCAATTGCGGGTAGGCGCGATCAGGAACATAGGGGGGCTGGGTACGTACAGCGTGAGCCCAAAGCGGTCATTTGTATGGCTGTCATCTTGTTGCGACACCGAGTATGTCAATTGGAAAGGGATAGAACAGATTAATACTGAGTTATTGTTGTTCTTGAGTGATGCACTTGACGGAATCAAGGTACATAATAAGACGGGGCTCAATGACGCTAAGCGGCTGCTTGCAGGATGCGAGATGGGCGCAGGGTCCAGTTCTGTGGCTCAGCGGTGAAGATGGATCAGGGCTGCCGTGTGAGCCACGTGGTGTGCACGCAAATACGTGTTCGGCGCAAAGTGCGTAGCGCCATGGATGTTGACTGAAATTTTGGCCAAGCTCATGCGTGACACGCTGTCATTGGTGCTGATGGTGATGTTGACGCGCCCATGTGAGCTATGTGCCACGCCCACCGCCCCTCATGCTTGCGAAACATTTGTGACATGGCTGGAAATCCAATCGTTCTTTTCTGACAACGTCACTACCCGCAAGGGCAGTTTCAGAAACGGACCTTGGGCCCTACGAATACAATTAGGAATGCGATCAACCATAGGCCAGCAATCATGCCATAGAGCCTCATTCTATCCCACCAGCCCTTGCCTTCAGTCATCCTCTGCAGCGTGCCCATCCTCCTACTGGCAGCATCCATATTCAATGTATTCTTGTCTAGCCCAGCCAATGCTCGATCTACCACGCTCTTGTCACCCTCGAGTGTGTTTGAAAAGTTTATCGATTGTTCCTTCAATAGCTTGGCCATATCGAGGAGGCTTGTCGTGAGCGTTTCCTGTTCATTTCTTTCGTAAGATAGGAGTGCCTCTGTCTGCACATGGGCTGGATCGCCTGTCGTTGTTGTGGGTTTTGAAGGGAGAAGAGAATTGCCAGAGGCTGCTTGTGCCCCAGATTTGGCTCCGTCAGCCTCTGGCTTGCCTCTCCGTCGCAGTTCTGATGCCAATCCCTGCGCAGCATTTTGGAGTGCTTCGTTGTTTCCCCCCGATGTTGTGATATCCCGTCCAGCCTCTGTCTTCACTCTCGGCGCATATGAAGGAAATTCATCTGCTTCTTCTTGATCGGAATCTACAGACCCGCCCGACTCTGCATCATCTAGCTGATTCAATTCGTATATCCGCTGATTTAGCTGCTTTATGAGCTCGCGTTTTTGTTGCAGATCGGCTTGTAGTTCCGATTTCTTGGACTTAGAGGGTATTGTCGAGGCCGAATGCTCAAGGTTGAGGAGTAACGTGCGCGCATGTTCGATATTCTGGGAAGTTTTAGCAAGCCATATCTACAGATGTGATGCATGTGTTTCAACCTACTGCGCTCACGCGTGCCCGCTCGTAACTGGACTTTCGTAGCTCTGGTGATGGATCTGCCAATACTATACGCTCTAGTCTCGAGAGCAGGCGATTAAGGTTGATACTGGTAACATCGCCATATCCTGGAGAGCGAGACCTGGCAGTCATCGCTTGCTTTGCTATGGCGTTGTTGGATTGCGGGCGCGACGCGACCTAGTATAAGTGACGAAGTGATGTGTGTAGCGGGGCGCTGAGACTAGGAAGTAGTAGTTGCGCAAGTTTTCAGGATTGCAGTTACAAATCCAGCGTATTATAGCAGCAGCGGCACAGACCAGACAACAGCAAGGAGAACGTAAGGTGGTAATGAAGAAAGGTGTTCGTTCGTGAATATTTGGTGCATGTAGCCACAACGTCACTTTCGCCAAAGCCAATAGTAACTTGGTGGGCCTTCCCCGCACTGGCCCACGCTTAGCCGCAGCTCACAGCTCAGATCTCACGTGTCGTCACATGCTTCAACTCAATCCATGGGCTCATTTGTATATTGTTTGTCTTGGATTTTACATCATATTGGTATAATACATGCTTGCGAAAACGCTTTGTGCCTTCATTTTTAGTCTTCGACCTGGTGAGTAAACCATATTTGCCTTCTGGCTTCTTGCTTCATAAACTTTCATCTCATCTCATTACCATGTCACGTACTTGAAATAATAAGAACTTATGATGACCCGCCCTTCGATTGCTGCGACTGGGTAGTGGGTTGAAGAGGTCCACGAGTGAAGCTGAGAATAATTAGTATTGAATTTGGGAGCACTTGATAGATTAAGGATCGTACTTGTTCCACCAAGTACCGATTAGACCCGGCTTTCCGTATGCATCATGGAAGGACTGTCTCCGGGCCAGGCTCTCCTCATCCTGACGACGCTTGAGAGCCTCTAAGTTTGCAAATCGCTGGGTTGCTGAAGACTACATAGTGTCAGTCACGGCTGTTCAATTAACCAAGTATTCAAAAACATACCCTTCGGCGACCATCGAAGAACGACTCGGATCCCACGGAGGCATCAGACACTCGGCGGTCGTTGTTTTGCTTTGGAGCTTCAGGCATGGCTGGGGTAGCATCATTGCCAAAAACCTTGTTGATTGGAGAAGACATCTTTGATATTTGATATGAATAGAAATCGTATGTAGAGTTGAAATTGAACTTGGATGTAGTAATTGAGAGTAATTTGCAGGTATTGGTTATTTGAAAACGGGAATGCAAACCGCTGATAAATACCCCTCAGTTCCATACTGTCGAGCACACGATCGCATGTGGCATGACCATTACGCAGACGATACATGATCGTACCAATCAGTGAGGGTCTAGCCCTCCCCCGCATTCTGACAGTGCAGTTTGGACCCTGAACGTCTGTAACGATGACATGAATGGCAAGCAAACGGCGCTATGCTGCACTTGCTTCTGCTGGCCAAATCTAATCAGAGTTCCGCAGCGAATCATATTCTGCTGATTTATCCACACCTGACGCAGCTCGATGATCTAAAGCGTAGATGCTAGCCAGACCGTTTGTTTGCACGTGACATCGATCTTGAACGATAGTCGAGGCGTCGAAGACGGCGTGCAGGGTCTAGCGACCTCAATGACAGATTCGCCTCTGTCCATCCTAAGGGGCATTGAGGCGCAGTCAGGGAAGGGGTATCGATCGCACTAGTTTTTGTAGGCAGATCGCGCCGCTCGTGATGAACCGACCGCTATTAAGTACACCTGTCGATCTTTGGGTAGTACAACAACGGTAGATTCGACCATGTGTTTGAAGTAAAGCTACTGAGACCCTTCCTGGATGCACAACGCTGTAGGCATGCTATGACACCATCGAGAAGCTTCCATCGACGGCATTCAGCCAAGCTTTGTACCGACGCGGGAGCCATATCTTGGTATTGTTGATGTCATGTCTTTAGAAATTGTCGTTGATTTCATGGTATGTATGACCGGTGCTAGCGGGCACGGCTTGTGGTTAAGGAATTACAAGTCGGCGGCTGAGTGAAGAGTAACCCCGTCTGCGTCGGTTGCTCTGATAGCACTGACGTCAGTGGCTGACAAATAAGCGCGCGTTACCGCTTTTGCTAAGCGAGTGCAAATGTCTTTCGCGCTCGCACTGCAGAGCAATCTCTTCCTCAACCCTCAGCAAGGTAACCTTGGGGCAGACTTCCGCAAATTCTCCCGGACTCGGCACAGCGTTGAGCCTCCGACCTTGTATTCCTGGCATGTGCAGCGGTTGCCGCTTTTTAGAGTTTGCCGCCTCCAGCCGTTAACAGGTTGCGTGCTGTCTCCTGAGAGACGCAATTGCAATGATAGCTACTGATGCAGATCTTTCGGACACACAACAGCCGGGCCGATGAGGAGTATTTTTGCTAGCTGTCGCACGTGTCGCGACTTGCCCTCCGCCCTTTAATGCGCCATCCGACACATGCTGCGCAAACTGTCTTGGTGTAACTCAAATCACTGGCCTCGACGTTGGCATCAGATCAAGTTTTCTGGTGCAGTCTCGCAGCAGCAGCCTTGCAGCAACGATGGCATTGGCCAACAAAGGTACGTGACACTTGTCAACAATCCCATCCCCTTGCATGATGATACCACATTTTTTAAAGCATAGTTCATCTTAGTCCAAAGGACACTGAGGAACCAAACAGCATTGTCTTTCGCTCCTATCTGATCACAGCCACCATCCCAACTTGTGCCATTGGCCGCTTGCTGTTACAACATGTTCTGACTCTGAATAGACTTCTCTGCGAACGAGCCACGTTGCCTCGAGCACTGTGCTATAGGTCAAGGAGGGTGACCGGCGTTTGCCAATAGGGGCGTCGTATGAAGGACTGACGGTATATCACGGCTGCATGTTGTTGTACGCTGTACATGGTTTCCCTTGGACCAGTGGCCGCCGCCTACGTCTGCATCACATGATGATTTGGTCGTTTGCTCAGGTCAGGCGGACGTAAGTGTGCATTAGATATGTATGTACAATGTGCGTACATACATATAGTATGACGGTAAGTATGCATGCAGGTGTGTTCAAGTAAGTATGTGTGTATGTTGTGAAGCATGACCAATTGGCCGCTGTGTGCAGAGAGTGCAATTGCAACTGCAATATGATGGTCGGCCAGGGGAAATGAAATTTGGCGGACTGGTGTGCCGGACCCTGCGGATGGGGCGGATGAAGGGAGCACCCAGCCGGTATCCCGCAGGCTGTGGCATATCAATAAAAAACGACGGTTGGCATTATTGGGCGGGCCAGCGCTCGCGTTGCCGCATTTTGCGCAAAGCTCAGCCCGCCGCTGCTTTGTTTTTTGAGCTGGTTCGCAAGCATGGCCTCGGCGCAGTTCAGGCAGTTCAGGTTTTGTGGTTGTTGATCGCAGAGCTAGACGAGGGGTGCATCCACAGTGTGTGCGCGTTCGGCTGGCGGGTTCCTTGAATTTGCAGGTGTGACGGTGGTATCGCGTCGTCCCTCCGGCCACGCGGTTGGCTGCCACCCGTGATGATCACTGCTCCCTCTGCAATCCCCGACGGGCCCCTGGCGGCATTTCAATTTAGCATCCCCTATTGTGAGCCGGGAGCGACAGGAGCAGAGTATTACGCCGACACGGAAGCCCGTCCAACGCCTGTGAATCGCGAGAGTAGCCAAGGGTGACTCGTGAACCGAGCGCAAAGTCTGTGACGTTAGCGCTTGACTCGGAGTGATAAGAAGTGCATCTCTCCCAACCCGGCCACGCACGCAAATTCATCCCATTGGCTTCCAAACCGCCGAAGACATTTCCTCGCGGCACTTGTGTGTGGGGCCTTCTCCTATGCGTTGGCACTCAAACCAAGCCACCATCCCGTCAGCAACCCAAGTCCGCGCCTGCATATTCTCAGCTCTCTCACTTCCTTCTTTCCTCCTCAACACAACAGCTTTTACTCTCAACCACTGCCATCGCACTGCAAACAAGCTACCTTAGCAATCTTTCTTTGCGACGTTTGCTTGATCTGTCAAACACGACCCATACAACATCAAAAAACAAGAGCCCTTGCTCAGGATGACAATTCGGAGCCCAGACGGAGCCCTATCCAGGTACTTACTGCCCAACGGTTTCCTCCCCCAACCTGTTTTGCTTTGACCTTCACCTTTTCCTTTCAGTCTTGCTGTTACGTTGCCGCCTGTCTTGCTACAATCATGTGTTTCTTTCCTACTGTTTGATTTTTCTTCTCTTTCTGTTCGCCGCCACTACAGCCCCAGATGGATCTCCCAAAGGATGCCACAGGATACCTTCCATATGATTTACCGCCCCGGTAAAGGACAACCACAAGGCCACTTTTCTTCAGTTCTACCAGGACCACATTTCCTCCAAGGATAATCTTCCCAGGATACGAGACACGTAGCACACTGCCCTTGCGGTGTTTGTAGACACGACAATCACGAGGCCTCGATGCCCCCGATTCAGAGCTAAAATGCAGAGCTCTCGAAACGGCGGTGAACATACGAGAGTGGATCCTCGCTAATGATGCCCAACACCACACTGGATCAAATTCTTGTGCGACAAACGGCATGCAGCCCTGCATTGCCGTAAGGATTACGTAGGCACCTTCCGACAATGTCGTTCTTCTCTGTTGCTGCTCAACTAGGCTAAACGACAGACTACTGGTAATAAGAGTGTTCGCTTTCCCAAAGGACGCCAAGCCATGGACCATGTACCAAGGATCAACCCATGGAACACGTGACTTTTATGTAAGATCACGTGTCGGACCATAACCTGGACGTGCTAGCCCAGACCGGCCACGGTCCTGGGTATGGAGATTCTTTGGTCGGACATGAAGTACGTACATGGGCTAGAGTCTGCCTATCCTTACCGACCCATTGATCGAAAACTAACTTGAGTGTGGTCAAAGGAGCACCTGTTGTTCTGGATGAGTTGCCCTGGTTTTCTGTGAACTGTTTCTACTGGATCCGGACATTTGCTAAGTACTCGACTTGGGAATGCTGTTATACTACTGGTCGAACCACTGGCTCCAACTTGGATACGTCAACCTGGACATGCTATGGCCAATGATGCTGACCCTACTGGCTCCTTGAGGTGTGTGCCCACCACCATGTCTCCTGTCTACTGATCTTTGCTAACGTGACATTTTGCACAGGTTTCCTTCTGGCTACTGTACTAACATGGCGTTTTCTTTTGTCTTCAATTGTTCTTTTGTCATTCAGGTTTGCCGTGAACGTGTGTTTGGTACTGACTCTGGCGTCCAGCGACTCTTTCTTCGATTCACCACCGGAGCCAGCATTCTACATCTCAAACATCACTGAGTGGAGAAAGGAGATCCCTGCACCTGTTGTTTCCGCGCCGGACTTTCCTTTCTCTTCAGATTTCCAGGACATGAGCACATCAGACTTCTTTGAACTGAAGGATACGGTTTCTGAGTGCAGCATGGACAGCGCATACCAGAGCCAGAGCGGCGCCAGCCGGCGCGGACCTAGGAAGCCAGAAATGAACCGCCAGGAGAGCCAGATGAGCAGCCACTTTGTTGGCAGCGACATTTACTCACCAACAATGAGCTCGGACAACTTCAGTGCTTTCCCGGACACTCTGGATATGAGCCACGTGCAACAAACATCCACTTCCGGATCATGGGAATCCACGGATGGTTCCCTCGCTTATGCTAATTACTCTACTGCTCAGGACTACACCCAGTACACAACATCCACCATGACACGATTCACACCCTCATCCATCAGCGGCTCGCCGCACTGGCCAAGTGCCGATACCCACTTCCAGAACAACACCTTCCCATTCTCTTCATGGCCATCACACAACACCAACGATGCCATGTTCAGCACCCCCACATCTCAGCGCAACTGGCAGAATGCTTCTCTTGATGCTTCTGAGCGCCCTGCTGCAGCACGCTACTCATCATACGGCTTCCAGCAAGAGTCTAGGCGAGCATCTACACAGGACTCGACCTTTGGTGCGTTCGTCGCTACCCCGACTAGCACCACCAGTGTACACTTCCCTACGGTCGACCTTGACCAGTCAAGACTTGCCGAGTCTCGGTAGATATCCTCTTCCTTTTACAAAGTATGTGCGCTAACCCTTTCCAAAGCAACGAGAACGAGGATATTAAGGCAGCCTCTGCACCTCAGTCGCTAGATGGACACGAAGATACACTCTCTCAGTCCGAGGCCGCTGACACCAAGCTCGAGGAGGAGCGTACAAAGGTTGCTCGCAGCCACCCACTGTACCAACAAACGCCAGACAAGGATGGCAAGTACCACTGCCCCGAGGAAGGCAAGGCTGGGTGCAGCCACAAGCCTACCGCTTTGAAGTGCAACTACGAGTATGTTCTATATCGTCCGCCCTGCTATATGATACGTGTCTAAACTGTTTCTAGCAAGTACGTCGACTCTCATCTAAAGCCCTTCCGTTGCAACAAGAAGACCTGCGTTGGTGTGCAGTTCTCTTCTACTGCATGCCTCCTCCGCCACGAGCGCGAGGCGCACGGTATGCACGGTCACGGCGCTCGGCCACACTTGTGCCACTTCAGAGACTGCGAGAGAGCGGTGCCTGGCCACGGCTTCCCTCGGCGCTACAACCTCTTTGACCACATGAAGCGAGTCCACCAGTACGATGGGCCCACCACTGAGCCCTCGCCACCTGTGCAAGGACAAGCTACTCGCAAGTCTTCCTCCCGCAAGCGCAAGGCGTCGGCCGAGGAGTCTGGAGAGAAGCGTGCCAAGATTGTCAAACTTACTGCTGAGCAACAACGCCAGCAACGTCGCGAGGCGCTCTCCAAGGAGTTCCTTGCCAAGAAGCAGCACATCATCGAGGTGCTCACCAACCTGAGCAACCCAAGCGACCTCGGTGACGATATCCAGCTGACAAAGGAGGTTGTCGGCCTTCACGACATTTGCACTCAGTACCGAGATGTCTTCGGTGGCTGAAGGTAGGATATGTCTGGGTAGAGTCGGTCTGCCGTGACGCATCCAAGTAGGTTTGTCGTTTACCCAAGGACCCCTCTGCTCTTGCTCTTTTTTTTCAACACATGCACTTTTGCGTTTTTGCTTTTCCGCGTTCTCCAAAAGCCGGATGGGATTCCCGCATGCCTAGCGGATGAAGGATCAAGACTTGCCACAAGTCTCTGGATGCCCATGACCCTGGATGGATGAACATTGCCGGATACAAGCCACAGGATGCATAAACCCAAGGATTTTGTCCCAGCCGTGGACTCGGAAGCCGAAGGATTGCTGCTCTGCCTTCAAGGCGACAGCTGAGAACCCCTGTGAGGGGAGATGGACTGTGGTCCTCACTCATTGCAATATGGTTGGCATGAGTCTTGGTCGATGTGCGAGATTGATTGATTTGATGTTAACGGAGGAGCCTGTCATTAGGGTGTTTTGTATTTTCTTGTCATTGTATGTACGGCGTCGAATGGCATCTAGAATAGGATTGGGAAGGGAGGAGGTGACCATTCAGAGAGGTCAGTCTTGTATTGGCCATCATTGCCCGCTCTGCGGAAGTTGGTGGCCCCTCCTCCTTTTGTACTTTGTATATTTCATAGAGGGGCGTTTGTTTAATCTTCATCCAATCCACATGAGTTGTATGAACGAAAGCGTGTATTGTGCTGTATCCTAATGTGAACCTCTTTGGTGAACCTCAATCTCATCGGATGTGTGTCCCTCCAGTGCCCCTCCTCTCCCCACATGCATGCAACGCACGCAGTCGGACCGAATCCTAGCTTATCGCCCAGCAAGGTTTTTGTTCCAAGGCTCGGCCCTAATGCAGCAATCATATCACCAGCCCTCCTACGTCATTCACTCTGGGCCAGGATCAAAGTTGCACAACGAATTATCACGCCTTTTTTTAGTCCGTACATGTGTGCATACCGTTTGTTACATAGTCCATACTAAGCACGTAAAACTATGTAGTAGCCCTTACAACAGAAGCCGAGTCAGCTCGCACGCACACACCTTGAGAGAAAGAGAAGTGTCCTGCTGCGTTCCTTTCTCAGCTGATACCTCGGCCGACTTCTTCATTTTTTCTGGCGGGGGGTAAGCGCCATCGCGGTGTTCCGTCACGCACACACCCCCATACCGCGCGTTTTTGTGTGCTTGCCAAACCATCCGAACGGGTCATTTACGAATTATACCTTTTGTTTTGTTGCATTTTGTCAGCCCAGAGGGTCCGGACCGCCGCCATCAGCAGTTCGATTCAGCTCCGGATACAACAGAGTCAGTGGTGATACACTTGCAGGGTTGAATAGCGAAAGTACAGTATGGTAGTGTTTGGAAGGATGTCCGAGGTTGCGGCTGGTACGGCTGGTACGGCGGCCATGGTAGTGTCACATGTCCGATGGATGTGGTGGTGCAGAGCGGGCGGTGGAGTGGGATTAGGAATCCGGCGAGGGGCGAGAAGCTTGAGCACTGCCCCGCGTTGTGAGCTTGTTGCGAGCGAGCCGGGCTTATTAACCTTGCGTCGTCGGCCTGCTACCTTTACAGCTACCTCTGCGACTTTTGCTGCAACACGTATCGGCGCTATTAGTTCGCTTGAGAGTTACAAGAGAAGTACTGTTACTGCTGCCAGCTGGAAGAGAAGAGAATACGCGACCATGGCTTCTGCGACGAGCTTTTACGAGTTTAAGCCAAAGGACAGTGAGTTTGCCCTCTCTCCCTCTCCGCCGTTTTTACCTCGAGGATGTACACGAAGAAGAGGAAGCGAAAATATTCTTTTTCCTGCGAAGCCAGAAATCAATATACTCTCCTCCCTTCCCCTTCCGCCTCTCCTACCGGCCCCCCCCTCTCCCTCAAGCTTCCACACTAACCCACGTCCCCTCACAGAAAAGGGCCAGGCCTACGACCTCTCCCAACTCTCCAATAAAGTCGTCCTCGTCGTAAACACGGCCTCCAAATGCGGCTTCACGCCTCAATTTGAAGGCCTCGAGAAACTCTATAAGGACATCAAATCTAAATACCCGAATGACTTTGAGATCATCGGTTTCCCATGCAACCAGTTCGGCGGTCAGGACCCTGGAACAAATGAGGAGATTCAGGAGTTTTGCCAGGTGAATTATGGCGTTAGTTTTCCAGTTTTGGGCAAGATTGATGTACGTACTTCCCTTCCCTTTCCTCCCTTTCTTCTTCTTTTTCGTTAGCTTCACGGTGCCTCTGCCGTTGTTGCTTTGTGCCGCAGAAACACGACCATACAAGATATTAGAAAGATATTTGGAATGGCTACTAACGTACGCGTGCGAATAGGTCAACGGCGCAACCGCAGACCCCGCCTTCGAATGGCTCAAGAACGAAAAGCCCGGCCTCATGGGCCTCAAGCGTGTCAAGTGGAACTTTGAAAAGTTCCTCATTGGACGCGATGGCAAAGTCAAGGGACGGTGGGCGAGTACGAAGAAGCCGGAGGATCTCAAGGCGGAGATTGAGAAGGAGTTGAGCAAGAAATAAGCTGGTGATGGAAGGAATGGGGAGGGGAGAAGGCATGATTGATACCACTGAATATGCAACATAAAGGGAATAGATTGAATGCTTAATTGTTGGATTTTGAGGATTTGTTGGTTATGAACACACGTCTATGCTTGGGTGATTTGCAGTCTGTTTCTTTCTTTCTTTTGGGTATTCGTATAAAAAAAACGTCAGTCTACTTCATACCATGCAAAAGTCTCAATCAAACGGCACTCTCCTCAAGCCCCTCACACCACCTTTCCTCGCCTCGCCCTCCGCTCCTACAGCCGCGGGTACACGAATACCACAGCAGTCGCCCCATCCCACACTCGCATGCACATGTCTCTTACCGGATTCATCATCAAACACCTGTACCTCTCCCCCCTCTGCGCCTTCCTCTTCCTTCTCCGCCGATGCCTCATCCTCCACACTCATCCCCTCAACCGCAGGCACCAAGCTCCCAAACAAAAAATGCTGCATAACCGGCAACTTCTCGAGAATCTCCTTGCGAAACATTTTCCGCATGCCCGCCTCAATCTTTCCCCAATTCTTCGCCGAAGAAATATCATCCAGCATAGGTGAGTGCCACCGCAGTCCCTCGACATTCTTCACGCTATTCACAAACGCAATCTGGTCAAGGTACAGGAACTCTTTGCCTTCCTCCTCCAGCACCAGCGTATTGTGGATGGATTTCGGCGTGATGTACGGATGGTGCAGGAGCTGTGCTGCACCGAAGAGGAAGGGAAGGAATTGGTAGTCGTCGAGGCCCCAGACGCCGTGGGAGCCCGCGGGTTCGAGGTAGTATGCTTCTTGGACGCGGCGCATGAGGCGCAGGTAGGCGGGGAGGACGATGAGGGCGAGGGCGGGGAAGGTAGCCGGGGGAAGGTAGCCGAGTCGATTGAGGCATAGGAGCCAGAGGAAGAAGTTGAGTTCATGTCCCGAACCGTAGTCGATGCGTTGGCGGTTGCCGAAGGAGTGGCGGAGGTACGTTGATACCTCTTCGATTTGCGCGGCGTCGTGCAGACCCAGTTGCTCGTGCCAGGCTGGCAGCGCCTTTTCGAGCTCGTCGAGAAAAGAGCGGAACATGGGGTTTCCGAAGCGGGAGCCCGTGTCTTCGGGGGGGCATGTTGAGAGGATGTCTTCGGCGGAGCGGAGGATCGAGACGATGGTTTTGATTGTCGTGGTTGCTTCGTCGCCGTCGCGCACGCTCGATATGCTTCTATCGCGGACGGCGTCAGCGATGCCGAAGATGAAGGCTTCGACGAGTGTGCATGTTCCGCTTTGTAGGAAGAGCTCGTGGTCTTGGGGACTGAGGATGCGGCGCGACGGGTGGACGTATGTGTGCTGCGCTAGGTTTGGGGGCGCGGGGAGCGAGGGTGTCGGCGGGGGAGGGGCAGAAGGCGGCTCTCGCGTCGTGGGGGCGCGTCTGCGTGGAATAAGTTTGGGGAGTTTGGCGCTGAGATCGGAGGGTGCGGCGGGTTGTGTCTGTGCCATGGTGTTGTAGTGAGTATGTTCAGGTTGAAGATATGTGCTTGTACTACGATGCTGATGTATCTAAGGTAGAGGAGAGGAGCGGGTCAGGGCGCCGCCCTACGCTGTTGCGATGCCACACCAAGGGTTTGATATGTACGGCAGGGCAGTGTATCGAAACTTCGCGAACGTTGTCTGATGGCTAGCGTATGCCCTGTTGCCTCTGTTACCCTTCAGTCATACCACTCTTTTCCATTCCATGCCTGTCCTCACGTGAGAATGGAGACGTATATCTTGTATCCCCGTTGGGCCTATCAAATTTTTGAATAATATTTATTCTCATCTGTTTTTCTTCTAGGATCTCATGTTGTCAACTCCTTTTCTTAATGGTAAAGTCTACCTTGATCTCCTCTTAAACGCGCTTTCTTGTAATTATCTGACCCGACATCTTGCTCACTCAAAACGATAAAAACACCCCGACGAAGAATCAAGCTTTGGATTTTTCCAAAACAGAAAGACAACAAGACTTCCTAGTCTGCACTAGTATGGAAACGCCATGGATAACGCCCTTCTAGTAGATTTGTCAACGGATAACCCCAGCAATGCTCTTTCTCATCAAATGCTGCACACTGCCGCCTTTGGTTTGCCGCCTAGTGGATAAAAAGAGATATAAAAAAAAGTAGTCTATCGAGCGAATTTCCAAGTTGCAAAACAATGCCCGAAGATGCAAAAAACGTCGCTGTCGAGATTCAAAAACCCGGTCAAAAGTCCGATAAGTGAATGCCCATGATGTGAATCCAAGAAAAATGAAGATCAAAAGGAAGTAAAGGCAAAAGTGTAACTGCTGAATCCACCATACAGCCGCCCTCTCTTTTTTCTCAAGACGCCAATGAAAGAAATCAAAGAGCCTCCCCTTCTAATCATCCAACTCGCTAGGAGCTTCTTCAAGTTTATGCCTCCGTTCCTCATCCATTTCCTTATATGAGGCCCAAGATAAGAGACTAAAAGCCCCAATAATTAAAAGACCGCCAACAATAGCAGCAGGCGTAAGTGGCGAGTTAAGCGGCGGAGGAAGCAATTGATCAACAAGCGCGACAATGAAAATAGTAAGGAGTGCCGCGACCGAGGATAGGACAGGGGAAGTAAGGGAAATGAGGGCAAGAAAAGCGCCGGAGAAGGCTAGAGTTGCAAAAGTTAGCAAAAGTGTCTAGAAAAGCTGGAATAAAGGAAGAGAAAAGGAGACGTACTGGCATTTGCCAAAACACTAATAGCCATCATCCATGCTTGTTCTCCCTTGGGTAGCTCAAATACTTCCCAGCCCAGCCAGTGGAGCAATGGCAGTGGAATCCACAGCACACTCAAGGTAAATGCGCCAATCAAGCTACCAAACAGATTTGCAAAGATGACGCCCTTGTTTGGTGCAGCACCCTCGGGCGGACAAGCCAGCCGCTTGTACAAGACCTCGTAGAGACCGTACAAGACACTACCAACGCCAATAACCAAGTTGCCAAAAGCACGGTTCTGAGCTTCTTGTGAAGGCGGCGCCTTGTCACCGCCAGCACCGCCGCCAGACTGGGAGCCGTGCTTTGCAGGCGCCTGGTCGCCGTATGCCACGACAAAGACACCGGCAATGGCAATGGCGACGGCCAAGACTTTGCTGGCGCGCACCTTTTCATGGAGGATGGGGATGCTAAAGGCGTAGGCGAAGAAGGCAGAGCAGTTGTAAATGGCCGTCAGGTCACTGGCAGTCGTCATGTTAACGGCGACATACCAACTGCCTCCTGCGAAAGTCAAAGCACATGTAATGAAAGTCGTCATCTTCACCATGTACCGGACGGGTGAGACTTGGGATTGCCGAGGCGTGGGGTGGAGCGTCTGGTGCTGGACCATGAGGGCCGTCTGGCGCAGAACGTGGACGTGTCTGCGCCAAAACGTCGGCCAGGGCTCGCTCCAATGCTGGAGACGGAGCAGGGCAAGAGTTGCAGGCCACAGCACAACCCAAGAGCCATGGGTCATGTACAGCATGCAATACGGCTTCTCCCATTTGAGCTGATGCTGGATGTACACGGCCGTCTCCGTTTGCACAGTGAAGCTGACCAGACTCAGGGCCAACAGGAAAGCAGCATACGTGTACTTTCTCCGTGTCTCGAGCTTTGCCTGTGTCTCTGGGTCTCGCTCGTGAAAGTGGTGTGTGCTCCTGGTTAACAGGCCCTCGTCGACGGTGTCGTCCTCGGTCTTGCGCCCCAGCAGAGGCGAGTTTGCGCGGCCATCGGGGCGCTCGAGGGAGGGTCTCAGGTCGGAGGGCATGGCTGGGTCGTGGTCATCCCAATCGTCAAAGTCTCGGGCCGGGTTGCGTGGCTGTCGTGAGGAGGAGCGTGAGCGCGAGAGATGGCGCGCGTTGGAGGCGGAGACGAGGCTGAAATCGTCGGAGAGGGTGTGGGCGAGGGTATGAGGAGTTGCTGGGGGTTTCTTGCGTAGTGGGATCGACTCAGGCATATAAGGCGGTTGTTGGGCAGAGCAAGAGGCCGCAGCGGGTGGCAGGTGATGGGTGGGTGGGCCGGGGGGGCTGCAGCGTGGGAGGTAGCCCAGGGGGGAATGTGTGGCGGTATCTTTTTGTGGGAATTGATTTGCTTGGGTCCGGCGCAGGCGTCAAATGCTTAGTAGTCGTGACTGGCGACTGGCGATATCTGTCTTCAGGTGCCTGGTGGCATCGCAGCCGCGTACTACTGCAACACGGCCAAGCCCCCTGTATGCCGTAACCTCCGTGCAAACTCCGCTGACCTGACTCTCCACCTCCCCCACGGCCCAATAGCAGCTGAGCCCACTTGCCGCCTACGCGTCTTTTCCCTCGCATCCAATCTCCCCGTCTCAGCCAAGTCTGCCTCGAGCTGTATTTTCCATCTTGTTACTCATCGTTTACCTTATACAAACACCACACGCCGCCTTTTGGATATTCCTTCGTCCTCAAAACCCCTTGGCAATTCGACGTGACATGCCGCTGTCTGGCCGTCATCACGTCATACTTTAGCTGCATGCATGGTCGAATCACAACCTAGCTTCACGAGCGGCTTTGCCTGCTGTCCGCGTCTCTCAGATGACCAAACTCTGCATCCTCCATGCACCATCAAGTGACTTCCTTGTCCTAGTATAGATAGATAGAAGCACCCTCCAAGCCCCGTGGGGGACACCAGCAGGTTATTTTCGATGTACTACTATGTGCTGAAGCCCAACAATGACAGCATGACCAATAACAGAAATAAAGTGATCACGATTCCGTGCGTCCATTGGGAACTAGCAGTTCTGTTATCTCGGTCGTAAAATGCTCGTTACCCTATCCGTCCTCCCTAAATCATAGCCCAACAACCAAGAAAGAATGCGCCGGGGGAATCAAAAAACGTTGGCGGCAGACATCTGACCAAGTTGCTCGAATCACACCGGGCTACCATCCAGTCCTTCGGCTCGCTCTTGCGTCTCTGCCTCTTCCAACTCCTGCAGGATCTCGGGCAGCATCGACTCAACGTCTTCTTCCCGCTCTCCTAACGCTTTTGCAATCAGCTTCTTGTACGTGCCCTGCTTCTCGCTCATGCCCGCCACGCTCAAGTTGCCCACCACTTCTCTGACCAGCTCTCTCCGCTCCAGCTGTGCTCGGTGCAGTAGTAGCGCCAGACGCATCTTCTCCGTAATGTCCACTGGCGAGCTATCGCTGTTTTGCTGCGGCATGCTGCTGCACAGTCGCCGCAGCTCTGCCTTTTGTTCAATCTCCAAGAGCGACTCTGCTTCTTCTACCAGTAGCCGCAGCTCATCTTCTTGTTGCCGCTCCGCCTCATCGTCATTGAGATCAATATGCAGCCCCTTTGACATGCTCTGCAACTCAGCTACTTGCTTCCGTACAGCCTCTAGCTCGGCTTGCCGCCGCTTGACCACACGTTCGGCGTCAAAAAACTCTGCCTCCTTCTCTTGTAACTCTGCCTCGTATGCCGCCGCTAGTTCCTCGCACTTTTCTAGCAACGTGGGCGCTACTTTGGTCATCAAGTGTGAAGCAGTCTGTGACCGGTACTGCACTGACTCACGAACTGCCATACTAGGAACGGGTACCGACATCAATGGCCCACCGTCAAAGTGGGGAACATGTCCATTCAGTCGGTGCTCTGGTGCTGGCGCAAACGGCGATGATGAGGCCTGCCGCGTTCGGCCATGCATGCGTCGTCTTTGGTTGAGCTCTCGGATCAGGTCGTCGGCAGTCTCGCCCTTCTTGTTCGGAATGTCCACTGCTACGTTTCGTCCCAACAAGCTCCGTACGCACTTCCTCGCACCGTTACGTGCAGCAATCATAATGGCCGTGTCGCCGTTCTGGTCCGCTGCATTCAAAAGCCTCGTGACTTCTTCCGGTATCCACGTTTCCGAGAGCTTGTTGATGATGCAGTCGAGATACCATCTCGCACAAACATATTTGTTCGAACTGCTCGTAGTCGCTGCAATGTGGTGAAAAACGGTACTACCAAACCAATCTGTCCTGTGCACCGTCTGTTGGAATATCTTGACCATACTCGGCATCGTCTCCTTGTCGAAGTTATTGGTGAACATGACGGCGCGCATCAGAGGCGTCTCCAAATTGTTTGATAGACAGTCTAAACGTGCTCCTCGATGTATTAGCTCCTTGACCACACCGACGTCACCCATGGCCGCTGCCCAGTGCATCGCCGCATGTCCCTTTTCGTCAATCGGTCGGTCTAGGTTGATGCTTGGCGGTGGCTCCGGCCACGACACGGCTGCTTCGTGGTCCAGCAGCATGAAGTAATCCAGCAGCTGGTCTGCCCATATTTGGTGTTGCTGGTCTAGTAAAGACATCTGGTCCATCCCCCTCTTCCGCTTTCTGTTACCGTCGGCCGAATATTGCGACATATCCATTAGATCGGCGTCACCCAGCATCGACTCTGAAATCACCGTCTCGTTGTCCGGTGTGTCCTCGCGGTAGATCTGCGACCTCTGCGAGTTTTCATATGGGTCTTCACTGGCTTGCGACCGGGAATTGCTCATGAGTGCTGCACGATACATCAGCACAAATTCTCTCACATGGTTGCATCGACAGGAGACTGGATAGATTCAAGCAAATGGACAAATTTACCATTGTGACTCGCAGCCGCAGCCGCAGCAGCCGCAGCAGCCACAGCCGCCGCAGCCACCGCTGCTGCCGTCTGCCTGGGTGGCTTCATGCGATTCGACGCAGCCGTAGCATGCTTAGGCGCAGGAGGCGGGCTCCTGTCGCCTGGCACATAGTCGAAGATGGCGCGCATCTTGTCCAGTACGCCGTTGCGCTCCGCGAGCCCGCGCCCTTCCTCGAGCGGTATCCATGTGCCCTGGTATTTGCCATATCCACCCTGCACCTTCTCGTGAACGCCCTTTTGCACCTCGCGCTCCAGGATACGGGTTCGCGCCGGCTTGTCATAGTCGGCTACTTTGAGAATGTGTGTAGCATTGATCCAGTCATCGGCACGGCGGCGCATGACATGGTGGCCATTGACATTGCACTCATAGACGGGGACCTGGGGCGAGTGTTAGCAGGGAGGCCGAGGTGGAGTGATGGTAGTAGCTATGGCAGTCAAGTAGTATCGAGGGACATTCGGCAGGCAGAGGGCGGGTTGTCGCTACGCACATTACTGTAGGTCGCCGAATATATTTTGCCATCGGGCGCCGGGGGCATTTTCACCATTCAATAAAGCACAAGCGGCGTCTTGCAGGCGTGTCAAGTGATTTCGTGAAGACGTGTCTGCGGTTCGCGTCAGACCTGGGGGGAAGTCGCGTTGCAAGGGCCGCGGTCGCGCCTGCCCTGCCCTGCCAAGCATCGGGGTCGGACACTGGCAGCTTCCCTTTGCCGACCGCAGTGAACCTCAGCAACCTCGCCCGCAAACGACGCTCCCGCCCACCACTTTCCCCTCGTCCTGCGTGCCATTGACGACAAACACCACCCTGGGCCGCTACTATGACTGTCACAGACTCCATCAAGCATGCCATCGGCCTCGGCGAGCCCCGGAGTGAGTGCGCCCACACATCCAGATGTAGTTGGCTTCGCATACCAGACACTGACGACTACACAGAGGCTACCCGTGAGGAGATGAGCGCTGCTAAGCTGCCCCTGCCCTACAGAGATTCATGCGCACACCTTCTGATTCCGCTGAACCGGTGTCGGTACGAGGAGTACTACCTACCATGGAAGTGCGAGGTGCGGAAAAGCCCATTTTCTGTTGACGTGGGGGGAGCTGCAGACTGACTGACTACGTTGGACAGAACGAGCGACACTCATACGAAAAGTGCCAGTACGAGGAGTTCAAGGAGCGCGTGAAGAAGATGGATGAGCTGAGGGCGGCCAAGGGCGGAGAGCGAAGCAATTAGGGCGTTGACAGGTGCCCATTTAGGGTAGATTACGGAAATGACAGTCATGAGCGGACGCCGCTGCATGTATATACCAAAGCAGCAGAGGACACGCAATTTCAGCACTGAAGACACTCAAAGGCTACCAGGCATGACACCATGGCTTGAGGACATGGCAGCGACTTGGCGCCTTCTTTGAGTACCGCGAGACAGGCTTGATCAGCACTGCAACCCAAACTTACGCTAAAACAAGACTGGAATTGATATTCATTCCAGGATCATGATGGCCTGTATAGGCAGAGACAGATACATATGTGTAGTCGACTGTTTACAGCTTTGGCTTAGGGTCTTCCTGTGCAGCTCTACTCCTCAATTCTTTCCTCAAAATCTTTCCAGACGGGTTCTTGGGTATCGCATCGACAAAGTGCACTCCGCCTTCCAGTCGCTTGTACTTTGAGACACGCTCTGCCAACCATGCTTTGATATTTGCCGCCATTTCCGGCGTGGCATTGACCGAAGACCGAAGCACGATGTATGCGCGTGGCAATTCGGTACCCTCACTGACCATGATTAGCAGGTGTGCCTACATGTGACTGCAAAACTTACGCCTGTACTCCGATGACAGCAGCATCTTGTACCTGGGGATGGTCCAACAACAATGCCTCCAGCTCGGCAGGCGCAACCTGTAGTCCCTTGACCTTGATCAACTCCTTGACTCTGTCCACAATATAAATGTACTGATTGGCATCCACGTATGCTGAGTCTCCAGTCTTCAACCACCCGTCCGGTGTGATGGTCTCCTTTGTCGCTTCGGGCTTCTTCCAGTACCCCTTCATGACATTGGGGCCGCGCATCCAGATTTCACCTTTTTCACCTTGAGGAGCTTCAACCTGGCCTTGGTCATCCAGGACGATCTTTGCCTCAAGGTTCGGATACAGTTCCCCTACGGAGGAACTGGGATACTGGACTGAGGGATAGTGGTTACAGCCAACGCATGTGAGCTCCGTCATACCCCACCCATTTCGGATGCTGATCTTGCCTGGTGGCCAAAGGCGCTCAAGCTCTTGTTTTATTTCGCCACCGAGAGGAGCAGCGCCAGAGCCTACACTCTCCACTGAGCTCAGGTCATAATTCCTGGTTGCAGGGTGCTTGGCCATAAGTACAACGATAGGCGGCACCAAGACAAGATCCGTAATCCGGTATTTCTGCACGTACTCTAGCATCTGCAGCAGATCAAACTTGGCCATCATGTATACTGGGATCTGCTGCTTCAAGGCGCCCATGCAGAACCAGGACTGCGCCATGGCATGGTACATGGGCAGGAAAATGAGATACCTTCTTCGCGGCAACGACTCTTGCCACCCCTCCTCTTGCTCTGGGAGGTACAACTGCTGAACGCAATTCGAAATGTAGTTCCTATGCGTAATCATCACGCCTTTCGCCACGCCCGTTGTACCCGACGAGTAATTCAGCGCAACAACGCGATCCAGCTCTTCTGCGGTGCTCAGCTCGGGCCACGCATACGCATCGCCATGTTCCGGTGTACCCAGCAGCTCCGTCCAGTGCCGAATGCGTCCCAGCTCCGAGTCGCGTTCCACCTTTCTACCTTCAAACGTCGCGGCTCCATCGTCGAAAACAAAAATACAATCCGCACTCAACCCGATTTCTTTCGCGGCTGCAATTCCAGTGTCGATATTGGCTTCAGCGCAGATGAGATACCGCGCCCCGCTGTCCTGTAATTGATATGCCAACTCCCGAGCTACGTAGCTTGGATTCGCGCCCGTGAAGATTCCCTCGGCCATTATCGTACCCATTACCACGGCAGGGAAGAATAGCGTGTTCGACGAGAAGAGCAGCACGCGATCCCCCGGCTGCAGTCCTGCGCGCAGCAGACCCGATGCGAAGCGCTTTGCATACTGCCGGTGGTCGTGTAGCGAGAGAAAATGTGACTCTGGGTTCGTCGCGGAGATGAGAATTGGTGTTTTGGGTAACGGGGCGGTGGGAGAGTCAAAAATGTAGGTTGGGAGGGAGACCTGGGGGACGGGGATTGTGATGCGGGATTTTATGGGCATTGTTGGCTTTCGACTTTGAGTAGCTAGGTATCAAGTTGACCTAGAGATGTGTTAGACGTCTGTATAGCCTCAGCAAATTGTATCAGCATAGCTTTATTACCTTTTTCTTCTCTCCCTCTGGGCAAAAATGATGGGCCTCAAATGTCCTCTTCACGTTGTGTTTATTTAGACAAAATACAATATATAACTTTAAACTTTCCTCCTTTTCTCAACGGGAATCATACCGCTGCTCCCCCCTCCCATCCAGCCTCGTACGAAGCGTCACTCAACCCCCTCGGTTCTCCGCACGCTCAACTACCAAAAGCGGTATTGGCATCAGTGAAAGCGTGTCAAGTTTCTTGGTTCAACTGCTTTGCGTTTAGTGCAACGGGCGTGCTAAGGGTCTGAGCCGACTCGCGTGTGGCGAGTACGTGCGGGGCTCGTGGGCGCGGACCGAGGTTACCGAGTTCCTGGAAGGAAGATTGGGGAATGGGAAATGGGAAATGGGATAGAGAGCTAATGAAGATGGTTTGGTGCAGTTTGGACTAAAGAACCGTGAGGGTATTTGGGATTGTGGTTAGGGGGGTTTGTTGGATTCCGTGTGGTGGTGGCCGGCGGGTTATTTGGGTTTTTGGGTTGCAGTTGTTTTGGATTATCAAGTTTCTTTGGATGAAGTAATTTTTTTCGCTGGACTGGATTCTCTTCCTGCTACTCATCCACTTTGCTGGTTTTATTTTGGGGAAGTTGTTGTTTAGTGGGTAACGGCACAGTGCCCTGCGTATGATAGCGCCTCGTTAGTAAAAATCCAGATCCACACACAGCCTGCGCTTGGCGTTGATTTGCGGCGCTAGTAAAAATAGTTCTCTCCAGAAATGCTAAATTGTCGTAAATGACGTTCCTTTGTCATTGCGTAAATCATGCGAATTGTACCATGTTTTCCAGCAATCGTAGATTGCCAGTTCTCTCGGTTGCTACTAGGCAGGGTACAGGGGAGCCCGGATTGTTGAAGACTCTAGCATCTGGGGTTCCACGTGGGCAAATCGAACATGCAGAAATCGCAGGGCCTTTTATAAAACCTAAAGCGCGAAAAGTTTAGTGTAGTACTAAACAGTACGCTTGTTAGTCCGAACAACGGTCATCCCTGCTTCTTCCCTGCAATCCGCAACGACCGCATTAGCAGTATTCATCTCCCTCGTATTCGGAAGCACGTCATCACGATATAAAAGACGATGTGATTCTCATATTAGATTTCTGAGACGGCGTATTTCGACATCAGATTCACATACGCATCTTTCTTGGAGGCGATGCTGCGTTGGTAGATATCTGGCACTGGGCCCTTGCACTGAGTGTTAGTCGTTGAGCAGCCACAACAGGTTTCAACAATCCGTATATATAGAATAACTCAAATTCGAAAATCATCATCCTAGATTGAAATAAACTATCCGTACTTACCAAGCTATATCCAATCGACTTGCACGTCAAAGAGTGGCGCAGTCAAATACCCATGTACTACATCCTCGTACGCCGTTTACAACACCGTATACTACAATTTCAGCGTGAAGAAATTTGATACAGAGACTACAAAGACTATGTAACTTGAATAAAAAGATCATACAACACCATCCGTTATGCAACATCATCCGCTATGCAACTATCTAGATATGTGGGTTTCAAGGAAAAATCAACTTGGGAGTTGAAATGTAGATATGCTAAACACAGGAAGGTACAAAATGAGAAAGGAGATATAGAAGAAACTGCCTTATACTACCCTCATGAGATGTACCGATTTGGATGGTAAATCTCCGGGTTGAAGTATGAAGTCACAGACAGCCCTGTCTTCTTAAACGAGCATGTGATATAGGTATGCAGGCCAAGTTCAGAGTCGAGAGATCTATGTGAACTGCAATCGCGGTTAGTTACGAATGCGGAAGCTCAACATGCGTTACTTACAAGATATCCGAAAGTGCTTGCACGTATTTACCCGCTGTTGCAGAGTGTCCGCGACGCTCAAAGTACGTGGCCAATCCCTGAGCAATGGAGAGATCGTTCTTGGCATAATGACGTACAGGAATATACACCTTGGGAACTATGTCGTATGACGTGGGTTTGATTTCGAAGTAGTACAGAATACCCGAGGTCCGGTGCGGGACGTTCGGTAGCTCTTGGTCCGAGGGGAAGTATTCTGGCAGACCAAGGACCAGAGACCACAATTCGCGCAAACTAGCCAATGAAGCAGGGTCGAGAGGTTTACTGGCGCCCAGTGAAAGCATTCTACATACGCTGTCGAAGGATGTTTCTCTGTGGCGGACGTAGATCTTGACTCGTGACTTGACGGGGACGACACAGTCGATGCTAACGATTTCGATCTGGGGACGACTTGGACTAGTTTTGGAGAACGTCGTCAGGTCGGAGTTGAACCTGCGAAAGTTGTTCATGAAGATGGATCCAAGATGCGCCTTGCATGAGTCGATTGCTTGGACCACCAGTTCGGGAACTGGCGTATCTGTCTCGACCGCCTTCAGGCCAGGGATAAAGTAAGCCTTCAAAGAAGGAGTTCCGACATCGAGGTCGAAAGCAACAAAGTGCTGCGAACGCCCGTTTACCGAAATATGTTTTGTGTCGAGCTTCTTGTGGGTGGTGGTCAGAGCCTCGGAGAATGCGTCGAAAATGGTCAGGTCCAGACTGCTGTGGAACGCTGGCCGGAGCGTATCGATAAGTTGAAATACCATCTTCTCATTCAGAGGGTCGGCTGAATTACCCGCATGTTTTCCGATTGGCTCTATGGAGAAGCGAACGCGTGACTCTCCGGCTGACATGCCCCATTCCCAACTCAATTCAAGAGGGGAGCAGTCATCGGTCATGAAGCTTTCCCACCCATTGGGGTGGCCTTCGGGCGAGGGTCTTCTACCAAGAGCTGGTAGAATATACATGTAGTAAAACAACAAATGTTTATGCTGTGTATCTTGATCGTACCCAATTAATTCCATCATGCGCGCAAGGATTGGCCCAGTCGTTTCCCACCAGAAGCGAGCATCTTCGTCAAAAACGGTCAGTGATTCATTGAGGGATATCCATACTCCTAGGTTCTTTTGCTTCCTCTTTTTCGGTTCCTTAGGTTTCCTTGCTGCAAGGCTGCGAATTCTTCGAAAGAGACGAATAATCTGCATTGTATGATGGATATTTGCTCGAAATTCGAGGGAGGAAAAACAATAATAATACATATGCATATGCATAGGTTTCACAAGCCTGCGTCATTTGTCCAAAACCATTACACCCTGTACACGTGTCGTTGTCCCCGCAGAAAGCATGTCAGCACGAGGGAGGGGTCTAGGAATCTTACATGCGCAATCGTTGGCCGCAGATTGAAGGGTCTAGTCCAGATTGGCCTAGATCTATGCACCATTCACGCGGGTATATTAGACAAACAATGCTGATGGTTGTGAAGCCAACATTTATAATACCTGTTCCGTATTTCCAACACAGATTTGTTGTTAGTAATGTATTCAAAGCTAAGCGGGCTGTCGGGGTCTTCTCGGTCGAAAAGAACCTCACGTCTGGGTGCTTTTTTCAGACTTGCGGCTTCGTGATGTGTAGTATCGTAGTATTATCTGAGATAGTCGATAGCTTGTTCGGAACACCATACCATAGTAGCACTAACACACCGCCTAATTCTGTAGACCGGAAGCGAAACTACACCGCCCTAAGGGGACGTTTGGCTAAAAAAAACGATCGATCTTGTAATTATGCAAGTAAAATACTAGTGTGGAAATAGAACCGAAAATGCGGTGTTAGAGAGAACGCGAAATATGTCTGAATTTGGAGGTTGATTGACTGGATACAAACCGAAGGATCTACAGAGTTTTAGTTAAACAGATAGAAAAGACTTCATGTGGCGTTGGATGTGCATTTACTAATAGAAAAGGTCCACTTAAGTTTTTTTTTCTGAGCTGCTGATCACACAATTGTCAGTGGACCAATCATTTGCAAAGATCTTGGGAAAATCCAGAGATATCGGCTTTTTCTACCGCACCACTCGCTGAGACATCTCCTCGGGGCTTTGCATTTTTGTTTTTTATCAATTTCGTTTTTCTCACACGGGCTAGAATCAGCCCCCATAGAATGACGAGTGTACTTCCCCATTGACAGCCACATTCCAAACTTCAGGATATAGCTTTTAGTGTGACGTCTGAGGACTCGTTGTAGCAGGTGCTCTAGCGTATCTCAAACGTCGGTGAGATAACCGGCCCGTTTGGTTTGTCTGCACTATTGGCATTCAAAAGAGTCATGTGCACAGCGGCTATCTTCTGTTTGGTATTTTTCGGAACCTGCATACCTACTGCAAACACACAGCCCTCGCATGAACTAACACAGTCTCCTCTTTCACTGTCAGTACTGCATTGTCAAGTTGTGGGAGTACCATGAATGCTCAATTCACTTCGTGAGCACTAGACTCTCCTTTGTTAAGAGGCCTCCCGAACATAGCGACTATGTTGTCAGCAATCAATTTGAGAACATGGAGAGAGGCAGAGATGACATCTTAGCAACGGGTGCCGAGCATTCACTGCCAGACGTTAAGGAATGCGTATACGCACGGGCACAGTACACGTAGGTTAAGCCCTGTTCTGAGTCGTAATCAGACTAGTTTAGTTTCTTCGCAGCTTCTAGCGTACCGTGTATTTTCATGGTCTCAGCAAAGCGAGTCAGGATCGGTAACAGCGCTAGACTTGGACACGTCGGTCTGGTGGAGTGATGTATAAACCAACGTACACATGCATTACCCCTCGCGGCTATCTGCCAAGAAAAACAATATCTTCGAGGCAATCTAGAATAGTACAGATGCCTTGCCAACCACGAATTCATCGCTGGAATCTACTGTGCCCCACATGCAGAGCCGGATTCCGCTGCAGTTTTGGGGTGGATGGAAGCGGTGAGAAAATGTCATTCTTGATGCATTGTCGTGACAATATATCTTCTAGAGATTTGTGAGTTACTCTGAAGTATATGCGGCTAAAGCTAGAGGTATTAAGACAACACGGCTGTTCTGTTGGATAAAGCGTCAAGGAGCTCTCTCACGGTGGTTACAGCCAAACTTTATCACTCAAAAGGTGCTACTAGCCGTTATATAGTCGTAGGGCTTGTAGTTGGATCATAGAGATTTATCCTCTCCGTGTTTAATTATTGGAGTTTTAGGTAGCTTCTTGAAGAAGGAAGATGCTTTCTGATCACTGTGGAAGCCAGTTCAACAGCGAAAGAATCGCGTGAAAACGTGAGAAGTGAAGTTGACGATGATTGTACTTGCTGTTTACATTCCTGTTCTGTCTTTCCATCGTGTTTGACACAGACTGGAGGTGGTGTTACATCCCAGCGATTTTCATTTCCGATAAAACGTACTCATACGGTACTTGGTCTCTCCCTCATATGGCCTAAGATCTGCCAGCGCCTGTTCTCCTTCCCTTTCAATAGTATTTCCGATCCTATCGCTTCGTGGCTTGATGCTTACTTTGAAGATATTTGGACGCATGTTTAGGCCGTTGCTGTGATGTGGTTAGCTTTAGGTTTGTAAGGGGAAATTATGATCGACCTACGTATAGTCAAATATGTCGACGGGAACAGGCTTTCCACTTTCGTCTAGTGCTGGTTCAATCTTGAAGCCCCATATCAGTCGCGCAACTGTCAACCATGTTCCCTGTTCAGCAAGTGCCTGTCCTGAGCACACTCGTCGTCCCCAGCCGAAAGTCATGTACCCGCGTTCGCCAGGGAAAGGCCGTGAGTCCGGATGGTCTTTCAGGAACCGATTCGGATTAAAACGATCTGGGTCCGGAAATTCGCGTTCATTATGATGTATTGCCCATACATTGCCCTGCACCCATGTTGACTGTGGAATGAGATAACCCTTATAATAGTCGTCTTGCACTGGTGCATGAGGTTGCCCACCAATAATGGCTACAGAACGCCAACGGAACAATTCTTTAACAAAAGCGCGTATGTAGGGTAGGCTTGCTTCGTCCTCAAATGACGGACTTCGGTCTGGCCCTACCACACGATCTAACTCTTCTCTGGCTGCTTCGAGAGTTTCCGGAAAAGCGCGCATCGCAAGTATCGCTGTGATGAGGGTACTACTCGAAGTATCCGACCCTGCACCAAACAAATTACCAGCCAAGGAAGATATCTCTTCCTTCCTCAGTCCGTACTTTTCTTGTTCTCTAAACAGCATCTTTACGTAGCAGTCATCGTGACCTGGCTTCTCATTGGCTTCGCTCGCCAGTGAATAGAAGAAGTCATGACCGCGGTGTGACTTTTTCTTCGATCCCATTCCGTGTTTCCAGGGTGCATACTCCGTCGGTATACGAGCTAATGCAGGAAATGTCTCCATCAACATCGGAAAAGTCTTGCCAGGCACATTGAGGTCGGCGGCGCGATGCATCAATGCAATTACTTCTGTAATGATAGGGTCCTCCGGACTTGAAACTCGCCTCCCAAAGCCAATGATCGATACCACACTCGTTGCGTATCGCTCAAAGTGCGCCACGTATTTCTCCGGGGTGCGAATCAAGTCAAGAGCAACGACTTTGCTTTCGTCATTTTGAAAGTTACGATATTTCTTTACCTGCTGAATGCCAACGCCTTGGTGTGTTAGCTTACGCAGCATCCGAAACCGTTCACGTTGAGCTGGGGTTGTAGTGATTAGGTTGACGAGGTTATTCTGACCAGAGCCCAGCTCTGCAAAGACCAACATGCGGGGTCGCGAGCAGTATATGCCTGCCCTCTTCTCAAGAAGCTCATTCGCTGTCCATGCATCATTAATCCATACAGTTGGATTTCGCCCGATCCAATATGTGATGAGTGGTGTATTCAATTTCTTGGACAGCTCTTCAAAATAGATCCATGGTTTGTTGTCTGGTAGTTGGAATGTGTTTCCGACGATAGGGTATGGGAAGGGCCCAGGGGGCTTCTTAGCATCAGTAAAGTAGTTAGTCTTTTTGTCACCATGACCTTACCATCTTCGATCTCATATACAGCATCCAGGCATAGTCGGCGAGAATACCGAGCGCGGCTATCGCAAAGACTGCGAGGGCGACGTTACCAGCACCGAATTTTGAGATACCATGTTGCAAGTAGTGAACCGGTAGCGCCTCGAAAAGTTGCTCAATCGCCATGTTGCCGAAAGGTGTGTGCTCTTCCTGTTGAGGTGTTCAGACAAAAGACGCTCGAGCTCTTGGAGGTGCGTTCATCAAGGCAAATCAATACAAGCGACAATGAATAGCAATGATCCACTAATGTACCCGATGACCCAGGATTCAATATCAGCTTGCAGATTTACTACCGCCATACCTCTCTGCAACTCCTAGTGCAGCCCTTTTTAGAGACTCACTTGCGTAGGGTGGGCCACTCCACATCCCGAGGGTGGGGCATGAACGTCGGGTAAAGTTGAACCTTGTGAGGACTGCAACCTGTTTGAAAAGGCCAAAGTCGGAAGCTCTTATTGGCTCTATTGCGTCGCCTATTTAAGCATCTGTGTATCTGGCGTCACCAATGGAGTCTATGGGAAAGGTAATAACCAGACAAAGTTTCATTGGCTGGGATCATATTGCGACGTTTCTTTGTGACGTGATTGAGCGACGTGTTGGGCATTATTGGTCTGTTGTCCGTTTCAGCCGTTGACTCGTTCTTGTGAACATCGCATACTAGCATTAGTAACATTACGCAACCGCTCGTCATCGCCATCCCTAGTAACCGTATCGCTGTAACGCCGTGCCAACAACAACAACAACATCGAAACATTGTGGAATTGGGGCTGCGATCTTGAAAGAACAACGCTTGAAAACAGGTGATGTGCGGAGAGCATTGATATAGCTCATTGGACTTATCAGCAGCAAGTATCAGATCAGCTTGGCATGATAAATAAAAATTCCATAATGATCCATTAGCAAGTTCTTTCAGTGTCATGTCCCACTGGAACCATGGTCCCAACTACCCTTATAAAAGATGTGATTCTTCATGCGCACAGACAGGAAAGAATTATGCCACTTTTTACATCCCTACGACGAACGAACAAGTCACTGTGTCACCGAAACTTCAGGAAACGAGTTATGGCTAGAGATGTGGCGATGCTTGAGTATTTCGTCGAGGGAGAGGAAGACCCATTACAAAATTATCGTAAGTTGGATGATCTACCTGGAGAGATACTGAGCATGATCTCCGGGTACTTGACGAACAAACAATTACGCGAGTTTCGAGGAATCGGCAGCCGCCATATCACGCAACACATAGACCATACCTTTGTAAATACAATATAATCTAGTTCAATATAAATATCCGCTGACAGGTCTTTATAGGCTCAAGCGCACTTCCGTCATCGCATCTGTAAAACAACCAACCGCAGTGTCAGACACCTCGAAAGATTAAGCATCCCACGCTTCGTCAAGCATATTCACACATTGGAAATTCGTCTCGACCTCGGATATCGTATTCAAAAACTGGGAGAAGAAGGATTACCAATCCTCGATGGACTTGTCACATTGGAAATGCTCGATGAAGCAAGACTTTTTGCTGCCGTTGAATATATCTTCAAACAAGCACCGCAACTACAGGAACTGATCATTCGAGCACCAGAAGGCCAGGTTTATACAAAAGACGGAAATCTAATGGCTAGGCCAGTGCCCGAAGACTACGAAGAGATGTGCGATGACGGGTTGGAAGGGCTCTTAATTCTACATTCTGGACAGCATCAGAGCATTGATGCCTACACCATTTGCGATTTTGTCTTCCAACTGGTACGCTGCACACAGAAGAGAGCACCACGTCTTGAGATGCTCAGAATCTTGGATTTTGCGAAATCAGAGTGGCAGTCATGGCTGGCTTCGGCAGAATCGATACTCGACGGAATGGCATATGTCCCAGTTTTGCAGAACTTGACTACCATAGACTTACAGCTGGAGATGTTTCCCAGCAGTGAAAACAGTTGCATGTCAAACCTTGTCGAGATTACCAAGCAAAATGCCAACCTGAAAGTCCTGAGAATACGCACAAGTCCAAGAAGTATTAGGTATTACCGCACCAGCAGCGAGAATTGGGCGCCGTTACTTCAACAGCTTGGCAGCGATCCTCCATTTCGCCTCCGGACACTTGAATTTGATGGACTTATTTCAAGTGAATCGGCACCAACTCTGGACCGTATTGTCGATACACACTCTCCGACCCTCCGCCGGCTCGTCCTGGAGCATACTAATTTCCACTATCCAAATACCCTCCATGCTCTCTTCAGCTCTCTAGCAAAGTCCAATGTGAACTATTTTGAATCAAACTGGCTATACCTCCATCGAGGGTATTACCTGTTAGCCGGTAGGGTGTACTTTCAAACGGTTTTCGAAGAAGTCATTGAGCCGACAATCTCACATATCAATGAGTGCGACGAAGAATCTTGCTGGGACTGGGTCAAAGTTTTCTGGGATGTCAGCAGTATTGACACCCCATTGGTCTTCGATAATGAAGATGGCTGGCGCGGGGAGGGTTGGATGAAACACTGCTTCATGAATACAGTTGCGTCTATTGATTGCGGCGCTATAAGAGACTATTGAGGAAGATAATTGTCAACATTAGCTATAGTTCTGTAGCAAAAAGACGGGGGTGTTTGGATTACCGCCTTCAGGACAGAAGCACATGAAATACCAATAGTCACGCTATGCGCTTCGAGGTTTATTTATCCACCCAATCACCACACAAACAAAAAATCTCTCTGATCCTACTGATGACACTCTAGGGCAAAATCAGCTATCCCTGTAAATAAGATAATGCATATTTATGGAGTTACACAATTATGTACCCATCCATTCCAGCCAACGGGATCAGTTGGCGCGCCCCACAAACTTGCCCCACATGAATGGATAGGGTCGTAGCATACCCTCATCTTCTTTCTTGTATGGTGTTGACTTTCTTGGCTACGAGAATGGTCACTATTGCACCTCTTCTAACACAAATCCCGCCAAAGTTTTAGCCAAGCTGCTGACCTTGCGGAAATCAGTAAAGATGCTGAGCAAAGATTGAGACACAAGATAAGGCGGATAATGCATAGGCGAATAATCATGCAATATGTGGCATTGAGGAAGAACCACCATTGGCCTAGTGGATCTAACTGCAGCTTGAACATTCAATGCTAAGCTCAAACTATAGCTACGGTGAAGCGGGGTACATATGCTTTATGACCACTATCGGCAAATACTGCACGTCGGGATTAGCTAACCGGTGCCAATCTGCCTAGTTGCATCCAGAAACGAGTCTTCAGTCGGATTGTGGAGGTCCTTGCACACCTGTGTATGAAAGGTTTTCAACAACCTGATCTCCCTGATTACCAATCTTTGTCTTTCCCACCAGCTTCTTCTCCTTTCTACGCGGAACTTCGAAAATAGTCATCACAATGCCGGAACTCGACAGCAGTTTGCTGTCCAATTGGAAATGCGTCGCAGCATGCACCCTTGTCTCAATGTCAACGTTTCAATACGGCGTTGACTTTGGCGCCATCGGTGGACTGCAAGCTATGCGTGGCTTCCTCGAAGTCTTTGGACATCCCGATCCCGCCAGTCCAACCGGCTGGAATATCTCGACTGAGCGACAGCAGCTCATGTCCTCTCTGATGACTTTGGGTGCGTTCGTTAGCTCAGGATTTGCAGGAGTTGGGGCGAAGAAGTTAGGAAGACGACACTGTTTGTGGCTAGCCAGTGCGCTTTGCTGTGTCAGTAACATTGTCATGATGACTACGACAAACACTGCAGGGTTATATATTGGCAGGCTGCTGATCGGACTTGCGAATGGCTGGTATATGACATTCTCGCAGCTGTACATCCAGGTAAGGCTGTAAATGTAAACCTACTCGCCACAACGGTTTGGTTGCTTAACGTCGCGACAGGAATCTGCACCAGCCCATTACCGCGGTCTTCTCATATCCGTATATCAAATATGGGTTTCGATAGGTACCCTTGTTGGCACTGTGGTCGATAACGCAACACATGACATGAATGGCCGCAAAGCGTACCACATCCCACTAGGAGTGATATTCATTGTTCCATTTCTCATGTCCATTGGTTTGTTCTTCATCCCCGAATCACCACGTTGGCTCGTTTTGGTCGGGAAGAACGAGCAAGCTGAGAAATCGCTGCTTTGGATGCGTCCAAATCCAGCGAACGTACCCAACGAAGTTGCCGAAATGAAGGCAGCCATCGATGCTGAGAAAGCTGTCAATGCCAGTACAAGTTTCATGGATATCTGGCGGAATCCAGTTGATCGTCGACGCACGTTGCTGTCTATTGCAGCAGTGTCTACTCAAGCTGCATCTGGTGCCATGTTTGTAATTGCCTATGGCACGTACTTCTTCCAGGTAAGCTGCAAATGTTTCTATCTCACGTAAATACTGACTTCGATGTAGATGGCAAACGTTGGCAGCCCTTTCATGAACACATGCATCTTGATTGCCGTCGGTATTGTTGCGGTAACGGTCAATAGCTGTATCATCTCAAAAGTTGGACGGCGGCGTATCTTCCTCATGGTCGGTCTCTCAATTTGCGGTATCACCCAGATGATCATCGCAGCTGTTTACCACGTCAATCCTCGCACTACTCGCACCGGAAAGGTACGTCATATTTGAGCTGAGAACTGATTGTCGCTTTCCATACTAACAGAAACAAGATAATCGTTGGAGTTTCTGTCGTGTACATTTGCGGGTACAACGGCATGATTGCGGCTTACTCCTGGCTTGCTGGCGGAGAAATTCCATCACAGCGCTTGCGGTCGTATACTTTCGGCGTTGCATCTGCCGTTGCCTTTGCCGCTGCTTGGCTCACTACTTTCACAGCACCCTATTTTATCAATCCTGAATCTCTCAACTGGGGACCAGAATATGGTTAGTTTCCTTTCTTGGTTGCCTTGCCATGTTCCCGCAGATTCCTTCTACAGCAGTGCTGACTTCCTGACTAGGTTGGATATGGGGACCATCTTGCTTTATCACAGTCGTTTGGGTTTACTTTTATCTACCAGAGATCAAGGATCGCACACTCGAAGAGGTCGACGAGATGTTTGAAGCGAGACTTCCAGCCCGCAAGTTCAGAAAGTATGTATGCGTTGGTCATTATCTACAAGGTAGAGATGAGAAGATCGAACGGGGCGATAGTGAGAAGAACGAGGCTGTACGTCAGGAAGTTGTTAGTATGGAGAAGCGTGACTAAGATTGTCGGTGAATGGTAAAACAGTTTGCGAGTCTGTTTCTGAGCATGTAGCTGTATTATGTCTGTATTGACTGTTTATGAAATTTTCTGCTCATCTTTCTAGAAAAATATACACATCATGTTCGTAAAATATGGCAACTACGCCTCTCTACAATGTATAATTTGGGGTGAACCTAAACGTATGTGAGAATACTTGCATGCGTTTCATTAATAAGAATAAACATTACAAAAGCGATTATAAGATTGCTTTCATCGAGATCGTTCGCCAGACTTAGGCCCAACCTACGTAGCCACGCTCACAGCCTTGTTGATTGCCTCATCCCCTACCTCTTCCGCATGCTTCTGTGCATCATGCAGGAATACCCAATCCTCTCTTGGGAACTGTATGATGGTAGGGTCTTTCTTCACCTTCTCCCAATCCGTCTTGTGCCACATATCTCTAGTAGTCTCCCCCGTCTTCTGCACCGCTTTCACACGTTCATACCGTACATCTTGATATGCTCTCAATGCTCCTTTAACATTCCCTTTACCTGCCTTCCTCAGCAGCACTGCCAGTGTAACACTGTCTTCCAATGCCTGGGTTGCGCCCTGTGCACTCGTCGGCAGAAATGGGTGGGCGGCGTCTCCTAGTAGACATATGCGACCATGGCCGGGTGCAGACCCATATCCAGAGACCCAGTTGGGCAGCGGGTCCCGGTAAACAAGCTTCCAATCCACCAGTTTTTCTTCCGGTGTCTTAGAGACGATTTTCCAGCACATAGGGTCCCAGCCTTCAAGGACTGTGCGCACATCTTTGAGATAGCCAGGGAATGACCAGGACTCTTTGATGTCATGCGAATCACGGTGGGTCAAAACCCAGCAGCAGTCCGAGCCATTCTTTATAGTACTGAAGAGAAAGTGTACGTCGGGGCCTAATGTCCGTGTCAGTTGCTACCACTTATAGCATGCTTAGATCAATGGTTACAGAGGACAAAGAAAGACCTACCAATCCAGCCATTGAATGTATCGCCATTCTCGCAAAACTGCTTAGTCTCCGGATCCGCAATCATGTCTTTGTTCGAAAACCATGCTCTCCAAACCGCATAACCACTACTCTTTGGTTTGTCTTCGTATCCGAGCACTAGTTTTCGGGCTTTGCTTCTAACACCATCACTTGCCACTACAATGTCACCAGCCACTCTCGTTCCGTCCACGAGCACAATGCCTGCTTCCTTTTCATCCTCCCAGTAATGCTCGATCTTTTGTCCCAAATTGATTTCTACACCAATCTCTTTCGCATATTCGAAAACAATTTCATGAAGCTCACCCCTGTGCCCGTTAAAGTTGGGCGCTTCGTCATTGCGCGGCGGCGTCTTTTGGTTGACTACTATTTCTCCAGTGTCCCACTTGTGAATGTTGAAACCATAATTGGTCAAGTCGATGGAGACCTTGCGCATTTCACGCGCCACGCGGCCGTCGCTCCAGCGTGCGAAGATGCGACCCCCATTAGGCCCGAAAGTAATGATGTCGCCAAGAACCTTGAGAGAGGGGAAAGATTCGTAGATTACAGGTGTGTGGCCATGACGGATACATTCTATGGCCGTGGACAGGCCACCAAAACCTAGTTGATCTCTTTTAGAAAGTGGACATGTTGTGAACCCTTGGCTAGTATGTACCTGCACCGACAATGATTACTCTAATGCCTGTTTTTGGGACGGTACCATTGGCCTGGATTTCATTTCCATCTGTCTTTAAAGAAGTCATTTTCGGCGGGTTGTTCTCTAGTTTTGCACGGACTGGGAGTTCAGAATGAAAAGAAATGTCGCGCCCAGAATGTAACAATGAAAGAATACGACAAAACTGATCACAGTACTCGATGTGGGTGTGAACCTCGTTCCCGAAAGCGCGGGGCAAAACAGCCCGCCACTTCCCGAAGGTGTAGTACTAGTACTATCTGCCGATCTGTAAGCTTGATACCTGGATTCAGGCATACAGGCGACATTCCTCCAACGACCTGCACACCTACGCGAGCATGGGACACTGCACGTCACTCTGCAGGCTCATTCGCGGTATATTGAATTCCGTGGAGAAGAGCCTGAATGATACATACACACGGGTACGTAGATCCGTCTACGAACCAGGCGATATACGTGCCCCACATCGTCACCAGCTTCCCCGCTGGCTTTCCCCGCACCTACTACGTGCTCTTCATCAAGTCTAGTCCACCCAATCCTTGCTGTCAGAATGAGGCGCAAAATGCTTGCCGTTAAACTACTACAATGGAAAGCGAATGTAAAACATATCTGCAATCATCCTTCATGCGAACCAAAATGCGTCTCTGGCGTTAATAAAGTCATTTTTTCATGTCTGCGATCGAGGTGACAGCCTCCAGAAACGTGGACAGAGGCTGTGGTTAGCTCAATTCTACTTATTCTGGGGATTTATGGGTCTACATGTCGTTGAGTGGGTGGGCAAAATACAACATGCAGGCATGGTATATGCAGGACTCAGGTGATCTGAGGGAATAGTAAGTGAAGATCGCAGCTGAGAATCTCAGCTCAGCAATTAGTTGCAGTGCAACACGGACTCAATATATCATGCATACGTGCTAATGCAGTACTCCATACCAGATAATCTAAGTTTCTCGAGTAGCATATTCACAGTTTCAAGAAGCCCGGAAATCTATACAGTACTATCCGCCATGGCGGCTTTGACACATCCGGAATGGAATCAGGAAACAGGTGGGCTAGAGGTTGCCAAAGCCTTTGCAGATCAGATTCGTGGAAAGAACGGTAGTTTTGCTTGATCCTCATACTGATATGGGCAACTAACTGAATAGTTGATAGTACTGATTACCGGTGTATCTCCAGAAAGCATTGGATCTTCAATTGCTCTCTCGATCGCTTCTCAAGCACCCACCCTTTTGATACTCGCCTCGCGCACCGAATCGAAACTTGAACAAGTACGCAAGGCCCTACAAGATGCCTACCCCGGAACTACAACCAAACTTGTGGTTCTCGATTTGATGTCGCAAGACTCCGTTAGGAAGGCGGCAAAAGAGGTTTCAGAATTGGCTGATCGCCTGGACTTGATCATCAATAATGCAGGCCTTATGACCAAGACTCGCCGGACGACCGCGGAGGGTCTCGAGGCTCAGTTTGGTGCGAATCACATCGGTCACTTTCTACTCAACAACCTTCTTGTACCCCAACTTTTGAAGTCCGCTGCATCATCTACTCCGGGGGCGACACGTATCATCAACGTCTCATCGCAAGGTCACCGCCTGAGTGGCATTCGTTTTTCAGATTACAATTTAGAGAAGAGTAATGAGGAACTTCCGGAAGAAGAACGATACACGCCCGTTTCCCCTTTATTTGCTAAGATTCCAAGCCGCAATGGATACCACGGATTTGCAGCATACGGCCAATCGAAGACTGCAAACATTTTGTTTTCCATAGGTATCAACGAAAAGCTTGGAGGCAAAGGGATAAGGAGCTATGCTCTTCACCCCGGAGGTAAGTATTCACTTTTGCAACAATCCAGAAGTTCTCTCTGATGTGCGTAGCGATACCAACCAACATGAGTCGTGATCTTGATTCTGATTCTGAAGAGCTAGAAGCGATTGGGAAGACAATGACGTTTTTGAAGAATCTTGACCAAGGCGCCGCAACAGTGTTAGTAGCAGCACTGGACCCAGCCTTGAACGGTATGAAGCCTTCCAAGGCCTTCTGAATGAGAGGCTAAGCACTGACGTTTGTTTAGACGAGAAAGGAATCTTTCTCGATGATTGCCAAATTAGCAACGCAGCGCCACACGCAACTGATCCGGACAAGGCTAAAAAGCTTTGGGAGTTAAGCGAGAAGCTGGTAGGGACCAAGTTTAATTTGTGATGCGATGGCACTACTGCCTATCAAGTTCACAAGCACTTGGTCATTGAGTATGTAGTCGACCGACCAAATAAGACATACTCATCCATATCCATATCCCTCTTGCTTCTAAAATTGCTGATAGACATAATTGTTAAAATTTTTTATATGCATTTGTTCAGAAAGCATCATTTCATCATCTCTCGCGTAAAAGATATATGTGTGGCAAATACAAGTCATCTGACACCTCATCGGATACTATCATACTGAGCATTTTCTTAAAGTGTTCTACACCTTACTATAAACGGAACAAACATTATCAAAAAAACATAACCACTTGACCCCTTCAATCCCTACAACCCTCCCTGAGGATAAAACGGAAATAACGCCCCAACAATAAAATCATTCTCCATCCTCATCAGCAATGGCCCATAAGTCCTATCCGCACTCATCTCCGGATCTGCATTCAAAATCAGCTGTAAATCCTCTCTTACGTCCTGCAGCCCCGGCCGATGATCCGGATCCCAATTCACGCATCGTGCATAAAGATTCCTAAGCGCAGGCGCGTACCTCAACAGTGTCGGATACAGCTCATCGTCAAACATATCTGTGCCGTCGTACCTTTCTATTCGTGGGAAACGTTCAGCTCGTGAGATGTAGGTGGGGATGTCGTATAATAGTGCTTTGGGGCCCCGGGAGGAATGCTCGAAGCCGTTGGTTAGGAGCCAGAAGAGGACAGCGCCAATTTGCCAGACATCTGTTTTTTCGCCTATCGGGTGCGGATGCGTCTCTTGTGTTTTCTCGTACACCTCGGGCGCGTAGCGGTGGTCGAATTGCTCGTGGGACCAGGCGTATTGGTCGGGGTTGTCAGGTGGAGCGCGGGATCCATGGGCTACGCCGTTGTCTTCGTCTCTGTCGTGCGAGAAGAACGAGAGTCCAAGGTCTCCAAGAACGAACTTTGGGAATTCTTCAAATTCGAAGGAGGGTTTAATGAAGATGTTGTCGGGTTTGATGTCGCGGTGCGTGATTCTTTTTGCTCCTGCAGCCACGACTTCGTAGTTTACTTGCCCGAAATGCAGAATCTGGCATGCTTTGGCGAGGGAATCGATGATTTCCAAGATCAGTCGCTCGGGTATTACGGGGGGTAGATTGTCTTCTGGGTCTTTGTAACAGCGTAGTTCAGCGTCCCACGAGTAGCCTGCCCGGACTTTGGTTTCGCTTTTGCGTGGCGATGTGTATAGTTCCACCAATTCTGGATCAGGCATTCTTCCGCGTAGTGCCGAATGAAGATCTCCGCCTTCATAGTAGGCGAGGTAAATGCGGTATCTGCGCTGGCGCATCATCAGTCGGTACCCGTAGTGTTCAATGATTGTATCATGATCACCAACAGCATTGGCGCGATTGCTGTCGACGAGTTGGTGGACTCGGATTTCTTGTGGGACTTGGTCGCGCCACTTAATGGGATCTCGCCAATCCCCTTTAGTCATTCGTGCTTCTTTAATGACGAATCTCTAGGAGCGTATGTGTTAGCATGTGTTCACTACTCCAAGATACGACACATGATAACTCACTCTTTCAATTACATATGTTGGATTTACTTGGCACCATAATCCCGCGCAGCCATATGCTCCTTGTCCCAACCACTTCGCTCCACGCATATCTGATTCATCTCTTACTGGCCACTGGTTAGGTGCAGTCTCGAGAAAGATATACGTGTTCTCTGCGAGAAACTCCATTGTTATGTCTCGTGCTGGATCATATGGATCGGGATGCCAAGGTTCTTGAGGCCAAAAGTCGTAGGGGTAGTTGTTCTTTGGTCGTGGTGGATGTAATGGAGGTGCAGCTGGCACAGGGGGGATCGGATTTCCTCGTGCATCACGCCGTAGCGGTAAAGTCTTATTGGCTCTTGCGTAAGCAATGTCCTCCTCGTTGTAGGGGTTTTGTGGTATTATGTCGCGGCCTGGAGGCAAACCATACAGTTTATCTATACCTTTGCGTGCCGAGTAGTAATCACGCGTGAGTGGGTCGCCAACCCATATTGTCTCTATCGTGTTATATAATTGGACTTGAGATCATTAGTGAAGAGTTGTGTTTATTGCAGAATCACATACTGGGATTCCAATGTGGTCTATGTGCGTCTTTGAAGGCTTGTGCGGCGTGTTTAAAATATGGTCTAGCTGTCACCCAGGGAGGAATACGCGGATTATTTTTGTTCTTTCTCGCCATGATCTACGCAATGAGTCTACGATGGTCAGATTCACTATTTCTATCTAGAGGGTACTAGCAATCTTAAGAGTTTGCATATTGTATTTGCCAGCATGTTTTGTAGTGCGAAAATCGAACAAAGAGTGTTAGGAGCGGCCTTAGGTCAATACAATGAGATGGTCCGCACTATGCATAAAGTAACAAAGGCACAAAGGTGAGGACATGTTTTTGCTTGGTTCTTGCACATTTTGAGATACTCTCCGTCCCTAAAATACCACTAATCCGAGGATATGCTTTTGTTAGCCCTGGTACATTAACATATTAAAGAACCCAGTGTAGCCAAAGGCAGGAATTAATCTTCGGAATCACTAGAAGAATAACTCTCAATCAAAGAGAGAGACTACCATGTAAACCAAATGCCGAATATATGTCCCTGTGCAAATTGTCCCCTCGGCTCCACGATGTAAGCTTCAAATCATGCTCAAGACCCGAAAACTGTGTCTGGATGGACAGGGAGTCTGGTAGTGTGATATTGGCAGTCTTCCTGATGAGCTGAATTACCCACCATGCGGATACCTTGCGGACCCGCATATGGTGCACGGCAAACGTAGCAGAATTCGAACTCACAATTGCCTATTGAAATTTAGCATATACATATAGTAGGTTATTCAGAGTTTTTCAGAATCTTACAAGTCATGTGGTCGCATCCCGTCGTTTTTTCAATCTGAGATCCACACCCTAGACATAATACTGAGAGCATTGGGAGGAGTAGTCTGCGAATCGTCTCCTGTCTTACCCGGCTTACTCAGACAGGGCTTTTGATTTGGTACATTGGGCGCCGTATCACTCGCTTTTCTCTTGAGAGCTTCATCCCTTCGTTGCTGACGGGATGCTGCAACTTTTCCGCGGCACTTTTTGCAGTGTTTATAGTACCCGTCACCTTTTTTTGCTTACCTGGATCAGCCAAGAGACTTTTAAATTTTCCGCAACGAAGAGGTGGGTGTAGTGTATTTAGTGTCGGCGATGGAACGGCAGGGCTAGCAGGAGCTGGTGTTGGCGGAGGCATGTTACTATTGCTGTAGTATCGTTGGTGGGATGGTGGAAAAGGAAGGGTAGAGATTGGAGAGCTTGTTGCAGTTGATGGGAGAGAGACGGGAGTTGGAGACTGGGCACATGTGTTTGTAAAAGAAAGATGAAAAGCTACTGTTCCGTCTTAAGTAGTGAGGGATAGCTATCAGTCAGACCCCGCAGTAGAAAAGAAATGTGTGCGCTAATCAATCCCGTTAGTGAGAGAAGAAAGGTCTTCAGGCGATCTCAGAGGCGATTGACAGTCAAAGCTACTGATCAATCTCAGCAGTGAGTGAGAAGTGTAGTTGCCAATCGAGCTCACTACTTCACAACATCTAATACCCCAGTCTAGCTATTATCCATAATCTCATCCGATCTACTTACAACCCAGCACCCATTGGTCATAGTGAAATTGCTCATATTCCTTTATCCATTGCACAAGTAAAACAACCACCTGCCCTCACTGTACCCACCTAACCCCATCACCATTATCATAGCACAGTACATAACTCAAAACATCCATTTGCTTTTGAATTCATAACACAATTCCTCCTCCTACCCACAACCACTAAGCGCTGAATACTCCAACGTTCATCTCCGGGACATCTCCTATCCATCAACAGTCCCCAAGCATACGGACCAAAAGAATTCGCTTGGCTTCAAAGAACGGACATATGAGAAGACACGTAGAATTCGCTCTTACACCTATCCAGAGAAAATATACCAATAGTGCCAAATCTCGAATAAGAACAAATTCAAACTTTTCCAATTTTGGCACAGAAATGACCCTTATTCTAACCCATATCTATGACCCCACACCCCAAGTGTGTGTCTTTCCTTATCCCAAGAAGTCTCACTGTTCCCATTGTTCCTAACCCCCTCTCATTTCCCCACCCATCCTCAACCTAACCCACAATTCCGATACCCATTCACCCTCACCTTCCTCATCTTCCATTCCCCCAGCAACGCCCCTTCCCCTTGGCTAATAATACCTGTTCCCCAGCACCGCCCAGCCACGAGCCACACGGGAACGTGCCGAGCTAGCCGGGGGAATGCGCTGCGCCGCAGTCTTGGCCGTGCGGTGCAAGCGTCCCCCCACTATTCTTGCACCGCCCTCCCTTCCCCCTCCGTACTCTCATTTGCCGAGAGGGAGAGTGTGTATGCGTTGTATATAGGGAGGCCTGACTGAGTTGTGACGTATTATGTTTTTCATAAGGCCGACATTAGCGGGGCTTGATTCCTCGTGGGCGAAGGGGTTGAGTATTTCCTCATGACTTTTCATACGTGCTGCTTTATCTGACGATGCTTCTGGGACAAGAAGAGTGATACTCAGCCAAGCATTGGTTTGCGCAATCGTCGTATGCAAGAGTGAGCGATAGTGTTTCGCGGTCGACATGGAGTTTCCTGCATTCGTCTAGGCAGGGCGTGGCGTCAAGGAAGAGACTGCAGCATTGTGCGGTGCCGATTTCCTTTGTGCAGGCATTGCTTCCTGAGGGACGCAGTTTGAGGTTATCGACGAGGACAGTGACGATGTCCTCGGTTGCGGTGGTGAAGGAGGGGACGAGGTGGTAGACGAAGAATAGGATGCAAGAGCAGATGAGGAGGGTTTGGAGGAACGGTGGGTAAACGGGTGTGTATTTGAGGGTCGGTCCGGTAGTGAAACGCATATCGTTCTGGTCGAGAATGGTGCCTTTGTGTCCTTGCTTTTTTATAGCATGAGCCCCTCTTGTAGACGAGGATGCTGGAATATGAGAGGGTGAAATGCTATATGGTTTGCCTGTCGCTTGCCTGAAATGGAGTATTTTGTAGTTGCTGTGCTACACCAGTGGAATCGCAACCTCCAAGACGAAGAGGGAGAAGGGATGAAAACAACAAGATGACAATCGCGGCACGAAGAGGGCCGATATAAATCTGACAGTGGCATAACCGCCATGCGGCCCATAGGCACGATAGGAAACTGCGGCTAGTAAACAACTAGCTCGTGCCCGTTGGAGCGGTAAGACGGCGGCGCTAATGTACACTTTGTGCTAGAGCTTGACTTGTTCGCTAAGTGCGACGCAGGAAGTGGCTTCGATATGATTCACCTTACCCAAACAAGTATGAGATGTCATCTTACCCAAGATGCTTGGCATTTGTTGCAAAGTTAGTGTGGCGGCATGTGCTGCCACAGGGGGAGATTTGATTCGACTCAAGCAGAAAATACGGACGGCATGTAATCCGGGGTAACGCACTGGCTTAATGCACTGGCTTGACGCACTGGTTTAACGCACTGGCTGTAGCGCATTGGCCTCCAAGGTGAATGGTGCTGACGGCTAAGACTAGGCGCTCTTGGAGCTGACCTCACTCACTGCTGAGTAGAGTTCTGATCACGGCCGTAAAAATGCCCGAATCGCCTGTGGCGCATCCGGTGCGTTCGCGAAGCTTATGTTTGATGTTTTGTGTCTTAATCTTAGATTGGGTTGACGACATTTCAGGCTCAAACCAAACGATGGCTGCACCTACTGCGAGTAAAGACACGAAGTCGCCCACACAAGCGTCCGAAAGACTCGATCAAGTTCATGCTATGTATGTGTGAGACGTTTTAGGCTTAGCTTGATGTCCCAAGACACCGACAGTATGATGATATGATGTGAGATGTAGTGAAAATGTATCTACGAATCGTACGGATTGTACGGATTGCATAAGCAGCACCTCTATCTGACCAGCGAGTCATGGTGCATACATACATGTTGGGAAATGCGAGACGCTACCCTGGAAGACACATCGTTCCAAAATTCGGATCAGGAATTTAGAGTTTGATGATCTCTCAGGTGCCAAGTACTTAGATACATCTGTAAGACTAGTCCCAAGATATTCTGGGTAGGTCAGCGTGTGTTTCAGGTTAGCATTGCTGGAAATGTTGACTTACAAAAGCATGATGCCCGCGCCAGCGAACATTGCGGAGAACTGCAATAGGGTCTTCCTCAATTCCTGACCCTTGTTGGGACCAGTCTCTAACAGCTCAGGAATGACAGCAACAGTGCCAACATATAAGAAGGTGCCAGCAGTGAAGGGCAACAACATGTCCCCCCATTGAAGACTTGTGCCCATAAGGCCTGGGCCGGTAGAGACAGCAGAGCTAGAGTTTCCGCCAAATTCTTGTACAGCAATACCAATGCAGGTTCCTAGGAAAGCGCCCACAGCGGTTACAAATTGAGCGCCCATGGCCGCGCGCTTGCTGAAGCCAGACTGGATCAGGAGTGCAAAATCGCCGACCTCGTGAGGAATCTCGTGGAAGAAAACGGCTACAGTAGTTGTAGCGCCGATTGTTGGTGATGCGTAGAAAGAAGAGCTGAGGGCGAGACCATCGGTGATGTTGTGGGTAAAATCTGCAATGAGATTGAGGTAGCCACCAAGCTTAACGCTGGCGTTGATCTCCTTCTCCGTCTCTAGTGGCACTCTTGCTTTAGCAGTTTTGTTGTCTACAGCGCCCTTGCGAGCGCGGACTGCATCTTTTGATCCGTCGACGTCGACTCCTGTTGCCTTGGCAGTAGCATCCACCTTGTCGTGCGAGTGGCCATGCGAATGGTCGTGTCCGCCTGCACCTCCAGTCGCAATGCGCAGTCCCTTGTCCATGGCCACGAATGTGATGAAGCCTACCATGATGGCAACGCCCAGCAGCAGGTTTTTGTTAGGCTCCACCATGACGAACTTGACAGACTCAGGTTCGTCTTCGCCGAGAAATATCTCTGGCAGCAGGTGGAAGAGCGTGTCACCCAGTAGGCCACCTACAGCGAATGCCACCATGACAGACAGTGATGAGGGATCGATATTGGGCGGACATAGAGCAAGGAGGAAGTTGGGGGGACCAGAAATGTAGAGAGTTGCCAGCAACGAATTGACTGCAGGGCTTCCAGGGAAGAGAAAGGCGAAGATTTGGGCGGTGAGGGAAGAGGTGGTGGGGTTGGATGCCACCTTGTGCTGGTTGAGAGCTTGCACGAGGGGACATTCCTAATAACGCGTGTCAGCGCTGGCCCAGGGATGCGACACAAGGGCGTCGTTGCTTGTCAAGGTTTGGATGAGATGCACCATGATAGCTCTCGGTACATGGTAAGGGGATTATTGCATGGGGTGAATGTCGTACCTGCAGCTGCTCCTCAATATCGTGAACTGTCAAGTTCTCTACTGGGGTGCCTGTCTCGCCCTTGACTACTGCAGCAGCCACGTTCCAAGCGAGCACTCCAAGGAAGATTGCTAGGGACAGAAGAGTCCTGTTGCGACGTGACACCATGGCAGCACGTAAGTTGATCTCAATGCCGGAGTATGGGGTGGTAGAAAGTTGAATTGATGAGCTAAGGGGTCGCTCAGATTGTAGTACACATGGGCGCAACTGCACAGTGGCCTCAGGCGTGTTTCGGGGGTCCGCCTATCGATAAGACTAGCGCCGAGGCTGCAGAAAGTTCGCCAAAACTTTTGGAACATGCGACTCAGGACGTGACCCTCCAACAAAACCACCCTCCGCATATCCCCAACCACATTCCAATCTGGCAGAGATGGGTCGCGAGCTCCAGAAGAAGAAGAACAAGTCTTCGATTCCTAAGAAGCGCCAAAAGGGACCGTCCAAGAAGAAGATCCTGCAGAACCCCATCATAGCGAAGCACTGGTACTATGCGCCCCTGCAGTCAACATCATCCTGAAATCTAACAATTGTCCCAGGAACCAAAAAGAAACACTGTCGCAGAACTATCGCCGTCTCGGCCTTACAGCGCGCCTCAATCATGCCACTGGCGGCACAGAAAAGACTATTGCACTCCTTGGCCTCAACGACGAAAAATCATCGCGCGCCGACATAGCCGCCGACAGCACCGCCAATGCTCTAAATATCGTCTCCAAAGCAAAGAAACCCGAGAACATCGCCACAGAGGAGATCGAAGTCGAGCGCGATCCTGAGACTGGTGCCATTCTTCGAGTCGTCGGCACGCTCGAGAAGAAGAACAACCCACTCAACGACCCGCTAGTCGAGATCGAGGGTGGCGAGGGAATGGAGTGGAACGGATTTGCAATGGTGCCTGAACACAGGGAGGATGAGCCGGAGAACCCGGTCATCAAGCAGCTGGAAGAGGCAGCCATGAATGGCGCGAGAAAAGCACCTAGAGGCCAGAGCCAGCGAGAACAAGAATGGGTCGAGCGATTGGTCAACAAGTACGGCAACGACTACGCTAAGATGGCGAGAGACCTCAAACTCAATCCCATGCAACAGACAGCAGCAGACATCAGGAAACGTGTTGTCAAATGGCAGAAGTCGCAAACAAAGGCATGAGGGATGCGGTCAAGCTTTTTACTATGCATGGAAGCAGGCGTCAGGGCGTTTTAGGGCATGACTGTACGTAATGCAACAATCAGCATTCAAATTTACATTACATAGTTCACCAACCTTGTAAAATGATCTTGCCTCTGAGAACAGGCCCTGTATGCTGATTATCAGTATCGTGATTTTAAAGGGAATGACTCGCCTCCCGGAATACCCTGATTTGCTAGTCAGTGAGCCCTGAGTACACCCCTGCAGCACTACCAATCGATCTCAGACTTCATTACAACACTGCCACCACCCTCAAGCCTGATGCCACAGGCATATGAACAGCACTAACAGCATTGAACATGCCAACCTCTACCACAACCAAGTTTGCAATAAGTGTTGCCGACGAAAGGCCCGATGTGCCAAATCACTGCCCGAATACGAGCCTTGTAAAAGGACGCCAACACATTGCCTATACGAACAGCTTAACAGAACGCCATTGACACGCAAAGATCTGACTCGGGTTGACTAACAGCTTCGTCGATTAAAGTCCAAGTCGCTCGGGGCCAAGCTATGCATCCAAGCCACCGAAACGTGCATGCGGCATTTAGAAGCAGCCCAGACTAGCGATATAGGAGCACTTACCCTACACTACTATGCAATCACGGATGCAACAGATGGTGACTCGCTTATCGGCGTTTCGATTGAGGCTCCGCCTTTTGGCCCGTCCGACTTCATTTGGGATTAGCAATCATAGGGCGGCGCTCGAGCCAAGACGGATGTTGGCGGCACGTATGCCTCTCCTTTATAAGCTGACGATGAACGGGCAGCTGATGGCATGGAATCACTAATGGTGGAAGAAAATAGGACCGGCTACCCGGGACTCGGTTTAAGTGCTGCAATGTTGAGACGACTACTCTCTGGCGCGCAACCTTCCTTATGCATAGTGCCTTCTGTATTCAACCTTGAAATGACTTCGCCAGACAACATAGTCTGATTATACACTGTATTCTAGGATAGTCTCAATCTAGGGATAGCTGATCTGAGTGCTGCCGTGAACACCTGCTTCAGCTTATACCATACCTCATACCCTCTTGTCTAAGAACGTTTGTTCCATGCTCAATGCGCCCAAATTGTTCTCTGACTTCATGGTCGCAGCTGACATGGGCTGGTATTTATGGTTGCTATTATGTACAACCATTTTGGATTTGCTCTCTAAATAACCTTAAGTCTATGTCTCCGCATAGAGTTCCATCACTGTGACACTTCACTGCTGATTTCATTTCGAATATCGATATCAATGAAAGGGGAGCAAACTCAAACGTATTCAGTGCATTTCTTGATACACAATTTTCGTCAGGCTGGAGTATGACGGAACTTCTTCAATAGGCAATTCCGGATGTGAAAGATATGGAGCTTGTATTAGCAAGGCTTGAACTATCTCCATATTCTGCTGATCGGACGTTTCTTCTTTCTCCATTGTGTAGTGTACAAGCCCAAAATCACGCAATGTCCTAGGGTAGTCACAAGTCTTAGCATTCACTCCAGTTTCAGACCCTTTTTTTTCGGGAAAAAATAGACTATGTCATCCTTGAAGAGGTGACCAACAGATAACAAGACACTAAGGTGCTCTTCCAATCCATGACATGTTATTTTCTCAGATTGACTGTTGCAGCTTTTCGAGTTCAAGCGTGCCAATTTTGTTGAATTGTATACAAAAGGCCAAGATTCGGGGTTTGTGAGGCGCAAATGCGGGGAAGCTGGAGTTGGGGGCGTCCGTCAATCAGATGCGGAGTGGGTCCCTGACGCACTCCTTAGCCCTATGCCAACGCACTTGAAGCCAGTATGGATTCAAAGAAGAGTAAGTATACCCACTTCGAAATGCTGATCCGTCGGTAAGAGAAAACTTATCATGGATACTTTTCTTACCCCTCAGTGCAACTTTGCACATCCGCATCGCGATTGATCTCAACCATCCCACAATGCCTCTCGCCAAACCATCCAATACCGACGCCCCCGTGCATTCCCTCTTCTCCCTCAAGGGCAAAACCGCCGCCGTAACAGGCGGCGTCCGGGGCATCGGTCTTGCAGCCTCCCAAGCCCTCGCCGAAGCAGGCGCCAACGTCGCCATCCTTTACTCGAGCACTAAAGACGCCGACGCCATCGCCGCGCGCATCGCCTCCAGCACTGGCGCAACAGTAAAAGCCTACAAGGCCTCCGTCGAAAACAAAGATGAGATAACCAGCGTCATCAACACAATCGCAAAAGATTTTGGCGGCTTAGATATTGTCGTTGCGAATGCAGGCATCGCAAACCATCGTCCAGCTGAAGACTACACCGAGGAACAATGGCGCCACATCATGTCCATTAATCTCGACGGTGCCTTCTACACCGCACAAGCCGCTGGCGTCATCTTCAAAGCTCAGGGCCACGGCAACGTCATCTTCACCGCCAGCGTCTCCGCCATCTTGGTCAATGTGCCTCAGAAACAGGCCGCGTACAATGCGTCCAAAGCGGCTGTCGTGCAGCTTGCGCGGTGTCTGAGTGTCGAGTGGGTGGATTTCGCGCGTGTCAATTGTATTTCTCCGGGGTTCATAGATACGGATATGCTGGATGTGCATCCGAGGGAGTGGAGGGAGAAGTGGTTGAGTATGGTTCCTGCGGGGAGGCTGTGTGATCCGGGGGAGTTGAAGGGAGCGTATGTGTTTTTGGCCAGTAATGCGAGTAGTTATATGAGTAAGTCGATTTTCCTCTTATTCTCTTCCTTTTTATGCTTTGTCGATATGCTGTATTGGGGGTAATTTGAGATATATGGAAGCTAACCAGCGACAATAGCGGGTGCGAATCTGGTTATTGATGGTGGCTACACATTACCGTAGACTCAGATGCCAATTGAAAGGCATTGGCCCTTCAAATCAAACGAATACTACAGCCTTCTAGTTCCGGAGTCATGACATGCATTGCAGACTGCATACATCTTCCTGTACTACCTCCACCCAGGACGAGACTATCAAAGACACCCCCATTGCGTAAACTAGTCAAGACTTCTGGACGAATCCCGGACAAGAACCTCACATCCCCCTCCCCTCCCATGACCCAGCCTCCCAAAATCTCTATTATCCGCACTCGACCCCATCCCATCCACCAAACCACACTATCCCCAAAATCACCCTTTCCTCCGTCTCCCAGGCCCAAAATCTCACTCCACATCTCTTCCTCGCCATCCCGTTGCCCAATCCCCATGCCTCTCCTCTACGCCGCGTCATGATCTATGCCGTCATATTGGTGTCGTGATACTTAAGTACTTTTTCGCTACCATGTATGCATGTGCGAACCGGAAGCGAGCGGATACGCCGCCCGCCCGGTTGTGTCACGCTACGTACCCGCTTAACGGGCTTCTAGAAGGTTGTTCAAGGGAAAAAGGCTTCGGTGGGTAAGCTTTGCAAGAATGTAGCTTTTTTGATTGGGGGCGCGTCAGCGGGGTGTGGTGTCAGTGGTTGGGTGATTGGTTTGGGGGGTTGATTGGGGGGCAGTGGAGGGGCGGAGCATCCGGGGTCGTACAATAGTGAGTAGTTACTGCATTGAGTTTATGTAGTAGTATTGAAGCATTCCAGTAGAGTTGGTATGTGTGATGGGGGAGATTGAAGAGCAGTGTTGATACAATGGTTTGTTAACTCTCCATCTCTGTCTCTCCGAGCGTTCCCAAAATCCAACTCAGCACCTCTAAACCACGATCACACCATCCCAGCGGTAACGATTCAAGAACGGTTCTCCAAAGCCACATGATGCACCGAATCAGTAGTATTACTACAGTACGTTCCGCACCCTTCCGCCCCACACACACGTCGCCATCGCCATCGCCATCGCGTACCAGCCAACACCCGGTCTCGTGGCCACGGGGGGCCAGGAAGCGGGGGAAAAAAACGAATGAACATGCATTCAGCAGTGACATGGGGAGATTGGAGTCCCGTATTCCGGGTTGACAAATGGGTTGCCTGCGTAGGGCTCAGGTATATAAGGCGACGGGGTTGCGCAATGTAGAAGAGCCGTAAGATGCCTTGTTATGCCTAAGTTTTTTGGAACCTGTACTGAGATCCACTACTAGTTAATTGTAAGAAAGATATTTGAAAGAAGGGAATAGTAATGAACAAGATAAAGGAGAAGATCAAGGGGTTGACAGGTAGCGGACCGGTGGAGAAATCGTCGCGGTGGGTGGGTGAGCATGCTGGATATGACAATACGCCGTTGCCTCGCTTGACGAGGGCGGGATTGGGGATGGGGTTATTGGTTTCAATGGGAGGATTTGTTTTTGGGTATGGATACTTTTCTCTCTCTTCTTCTTCACTATACCATCCTGTTACTTCCCTTCTTCTATTGCTGTGCTAATTCGCTTTTTCGCTAACATCCATGGCTGCACAGCTATGACACTGGTCAAATCTCTGGCTTTCTGGAGATGGTCGACTTCCGGCGTCGCTTCGGTCAAAGACGCCGCAATGGAGAACTTTACTTCTCCAATGTGAGGTCGGGCCTCATTGTCGCTTTGCTGTCTATCGGCACACTCTTTGGAGCGCTCATTGCGGCACCAATCGCTGATAAGATTGGTAGGAAGATGAGTATCATTGCCTGGTGTGCTATCCTTTCTGTGGGGTTCATAGTACAAATGACTGCAACGGATAAGTGGTATCAGATCATGATGGGCAGATTTGTTGCTGGTCTGGGAGTCGGTGCCATGAGTTTGCTCGTGCCAATGTACCAGGTATGTACGCATTTAGTTGTGGTGACTAGCAGATGTGACTGGCAGATGTACCGGGGGCTAATGACATGCAGGCGGAAACGGCTCCGCGCCATATTCGTGGCGCTCTCATCGCAACCTACCAACTCATGATCACCTTTGGTATCTTCCTTGCTGCCGTCTTCAACTACGCAGCTGAAAAGCACCAATCTGGTAAAAAGGCTTCATGGTTAATCACACTGGGACTTTCCTTCGTACCCGCTGCTATTCTCGCCGTCGGTATCCTATGGTTCGACGAAACGCCCCGCTTCAATTTCCGCCATGGTAGAGTGGACAAAGCTACCAAGACGATGGTCGAGGTGTATGGTGTACCTGAAAACAATTACGCCATCCAAATGGAGCTCCAGGAGATGCGGGAGAAGTTAGAAGCTGAGAGCAAAATTACCAATAATCCTATTCAAGAATGGATTGGGATGTGGTCGGCGCCGAAGATGGCGTATCGGATTGTGATTGGTATGGGATTGCAGATGTTCCAGCAACTGACAGGAGCCAACTACTTGTTAGTATCTGCCCCTGTTCGTAGAGATTACATTAACATTTTGAAGCTTCTACTACGGCACCACTGTTTTCGCGGGTACCGGTATCAAGAATTCGTTCGTAACACAGATGATCCTTGTTAGTCTTCCTGATCCAAGAAGTCGCTCGAGATCCAGACTAATCATTAGTAGAATGGCATAAACTTCGGGGTCACCTTCTACGGCTTGTATATTGTTGAACACTATGGCCGCCGCAAGTCACTCATCGCGGGTTCGTGCTGGATGTTCATCTGCTTCTTGATCTTTGCGTCTGTTGGCCACTTTTCGCTTGACCGAGAGAACCCAGAGAATACGGAGAGCGCGGCGACAGCTATGATATGCTTCGCCTGTTTCTTCATTTTTGGATTTGCGACGACTTGGGGCCCGATGATGTGAGTATTCTCCCTTCTTTGGAATGCAAAATGCTGATGGTTGGTTAGTTGGACAATCTGCGGTGAGCTGTACCCCAGCCGTTACCGTGCGAAAGCCATGGCATTGTCAACAGCATCAAATTGGTTCTGGAATTTCTTATTGGCTTTCTTCACCCCGTTCATTACTGGTGCCATCGACTTCCGCTACGGCTACGTCTTTGCTGGAACTAATGTACTTGGCGGACTCATTGTCTACTTTTTCGTTATCGAGGGCCAAGGCCGTACCCTGGAGGAGATCGACACGATGTACTTGATGGGAGTCAAGCCTTGGGAAAGTTCAAAGTGGGTAGTACCTAGTCTTGAAGAGATGAACAGTAAGACAAGGCAGCAGCTTGAGGCGTTGAACCCAGAGTTGGCATTGAAGAAGGAGGTTGCGAACGGCGAGGGTGGTGTCCAGAATGGCGCCAGTGCAGGAGAGATAGAGAAGAGTTCTGGAGACAGTGATACCGCTGGGGAAGCGCACAGGGAATCAACAGTGAAGAACAAAGATATCGAGCCGTAATTAGGATACTGGGCTCAATTACTTGCTGGGATTTGTCCTGCGGTGGGGTAGAGCAGTCCCATTCCGTTTGTCATGTACATTAATACGGCAAGCCTGGCCCCCATGGCCAACCTAATGAGTATATACGTATATTATCAGCATTCTTACATTGCGAAGTATATGAGCATTAACTTAAGGATTGTCAAATCTTTTCGACTGGGCATGGTGTCGTCGATGACATGCTTTAGGCACGTGAAGACAACCCCGCTTCGGATGATTCGGCTGAACAACGATCCTGGATCCTTGACTTTGACAGATCACAATACTGTAATGTTGCGAGGAGTAGGCGGCTGAGTGTTTGTTCGGGAATTCCTGGGTCTGACAGCGCCATGTCATGGGACGCCCACCTGTAAGGTAATGTTTAAAGAACTCGGAGGTCACTGCATTGGTCTTGTATCTCCTCACACCACATAGTTTAACACTTGACGTAGCCTCATTCAGCGCTGACAGCTGCAGTGTACTTACCGTGAGAAAATATCAACAAACATAAAATGAATTTCGGTCTGGCCGAAACACGACTTTCTTAGGCCGCCCAAGAAAAAACCATCAAGTCTAGCCTGCACATGGCCTCGGCGTTCCAAGCCGCCACCATTCACGCCAAGAACCCTCTCCAGCCAGGAAGATCAGATAAGATGGACCTTATCACTAGTGGACAAACTATAAGACTCCAACACGCGGTACATGGGTGCGCCATGTGGTCATCGCACAGACTTGCGGGATGGGCTGAGGCATGGTCGCGTGGTGAAAGTCTCGTTGGCCAAGTCACCGCTCTGCTTGGCGGTAAAACCAATTGCCAATAGCACACCGCTGTCGGTCAACCCGTTAGGGTGAATCAGCAGGGTTGCAACGCAGGGTCGATCAGATAAAGTAGCGTCCCAGCCGTACCGTTGCCTTGGGAGTCTCCGCGAAAACTCGGTTTTCGACGCGCCTTCTCTCTCACCACTGGTTCGACTCTTTTTTTGTTGGATGCGATTATGAGGGATTCGATGCGGCCTGATGAGGGTCTTGACGACCAAGTTCTTCGGAATCGGACTGAGCATCCAGAGTTTGGCAAAGATGCGGATTACGGCCATGAAACTTTTCCGGGCGAAACTTCGGGTGAAGGTACCACTCAGGCTGGTGTAAAGCGCATCGAGGCTGTGAGCAAGGCGTGGACAAAGGCATCGCTCATCGTCGCCTATGTCTCGTAAGTTGGTTGTTCTTGATGTATCGTCATGAAACTAACCTAATATCCAGCCTTCTCCTCATCGCCAATGTTACCTCCCTCGAGATCCAGGTCACGGGTGCCTTAGTGCCGTTTGCAACAAGTGCCTTTTCTGCGCATTCTCTGGTTTCTACCGTCACAGTTGTACAGGGCGTGGTCGCCTGTAAGTGCTCATAATTTCGTGTCTACGAGCAGCCAATGATGAAACTATGTAGCTGTCATCAAACCTCCAGCAGGAAAGATCGCCGATGTTTTCGGTCGCCTGGAGTCCTTTACTATCATTGTCACTCTGTACACTCTCGGCTATATCATGCAGGCCGCCTCCAATAGCGTTCAAACATTTGCTGGTGCGCAAATATTTTGGTCGATTGGCTTCAACGGATTGCAGGTCTTGCAACAGATCTTCGTAGCCGACACCACGGACTTGTTGAACCGTGCACTATTCTCAACCCTGTTCGATTTACCCTTTCTATGGACGACCTGGGCTGGACCAGAGGTCGGACAATCGATTCTCAAGAATACTACCTGGCGATGGGGATACGGTATCTGGGCCATCATTCTACCCGTTTGTTTCATCCCATTGGCAGTCAGCCTCTTCACGAATCAACGGCGAGCGAAGAAATTGGGGTTCGAAGTCCCCAGCCCGTTTCGAGGTAGTAGCGCCTTTCAAGTCATAAAGAACATTTGGTTTGATCTTGATGCTGGTGGGCTGCTACTATTTGCTGCTGCCATCTCTTTGATCTTATTGCCACTTACATTAGCTCCAAATGCTGACGGGAAGTGGACCAACCCAAGCATGATCGCTATGCTTGTGGTTGGTGGTGTTTTGCTACTCTTGTTTCCGTTGTGGGAGACTAGCAAGAAGCTAGCTCCAATAGCATTCTTCCCACCTGGACTGTTCAAGGAGCGAACTATCATCGCGGGTGTCTTGATAGCGTTTTTCTATTTCAGTAAGTCACAACTAACTTGACAACTGGGCATTACTGAGCATTTGTCAGTGGCATTCTACATGTCGGTCTTTCCGTACTTCTACTCTTATCTCCAGATCGTTCAGGGCCAGTCCCTCACTACCGCCAGCTATATCACACGAGTATTCAGTTTCAGTTCGACAGTCTCGTCGGTCGTGGTCTCGCTCATGATCAAGTATACAGGTCATTACAAGTACTATGTCACCTGTGGAGCTGCCATCTACCTCTTGGGAATGGGCCTCATGCTGGCCTACCGCACGCAAGACGCATCCACGGCTACCCTTGTAGGTACTCAGATCGTCATCGGTATCGGCGGTGGTTTTCTCAACGTCCCGGTACAACTCGGTGTCCAAGCATCGGCTTCGCATCAACAAGTCGCAGCGGCAACGACCGTGTGGCTTACGCTCCTTGAAGTTGGTGGTGCTGTTGGATCGGCTATCTCGGGCGCTATTTGGTCAACGTACATTCCTGCAAAGCTTCAGCAGTACCTCCCTGAAGCAAATGCAGCAGACTGGGCAACAATCTACAGCAGTATCACAGTTGCTGCGGATTACACCACCTATCCACCTGGCTCACCTGTTCGCATCGCGATTAATAGGGCATACCAAGAGACGATGCGTTACCTCCTCATTGGTGCTCTTTGTTGCGCTGCGCCTATCCTGCCATTGACATTTTTCCTAAAAAATTACAAGCTCGATCAAATGGATCAAAAAGTGGTTGGTAATGTGGTTGGAAGTGCGGAAAAAAAGGAAAGGGGCAAGAGTTGGAAGTTCTGGCAGCGTCGGTAGTACGCAGGGTTGAGACAAAAGGTTCCTTACTCGTAACAGCACCTGTAGCGGCAGGAATTCACCGACAGCCATCAACACTTGAATCAAGTCTATGGAATTACCACATCCGGTTCCGTCAATTTTGATAATTATTTTACTATTGTTCGTGAAGGAACAATTCCGCATTCCGCCATCCGCATCTCCGCCAAGCGTATGTTTCATGGTCCGCGATGAACTATGAATCATGGGCAGCCTGCCAAGACCCGGTACGACGTTACTGAGACTTGGCTGCGACTTGGTTCTGTAGCTTAATTCAAAGATGGAAGGTGACGAATACCGCGTCACAAGGGTCGCAACTTTCCTCGATTCGGTAAGTCGTTGGGTACGTACGCGGCTCCACCGCATAACTGGGCGAACAGTCGCATCTGTCAACCAGTGCCTGCCATAAGGTTATAGGATCTGCAGTTTATCAAATATCCGGAAAATGGCTGTAATGTTGTCGATGTACCAAGAGGCCAGAGATTCATCACGATTCGAGGCACAATTCGTAAGAAAGGAGATTCTCCATCAAAAGATTTGAGATTTGAAATTTTAATACTCTAGCACATTCACAATCCAAGCGTCGTTTTTTGCCCCCTCTACAATCAATATCCATACATAACCACCCATGAAAAACTCCTCAATCTCCAGATCCATCGTCTACATGAGACCTGGCGATACTCGCTAGTAAAAGAAAAGGAAACAAAAAAAACTCCGCGCTCAAGTCCGTTTCAATGTCATCCCGCTACCGGTTTGCATTCGGTAATCTCGCAATTGCGAGAAGGAAAAAAAGGAGTGCCGATGGAGGAAAAAGCCAAGGTAAAAAGTATATGACTTAGACTTCGGTGATGGCGACAAGAGTCATCTTGGGCGCATCCTGCTCCTCGACGACTTCTTCGCGCTTCTCCTTCTTCTCCGAGGCACCAGCAGCGGCAGAGCCAGCGGGGACGTTGACACCAGGGTTGATAATCATACCGACACCGGAGTTCTCGGTACCGAGCTCGACCTTGGGCTGGTCCTTGAGGGCCTCCTTGGCGTAGCCGAGAGCAGCGTTGAAGCCGGCGAGATCGCGCTTGATCCACTGCATGGCCTCCTCGACGGCTTCCATCTTGGGCTCGACTGGAGCGCGCTTGGCGATGATGTCGTTGATAGCGCGACGGAGGTTGGATCGTTTGGCTGGTGCACCTTCAGCTGGTTGTCCTGCAGGTTGCTCGCCGCCAGCTGCGGGAGCTTGTTCTTGCTGACCTTGTGCGCCCTCTCCTCCGGCCTTGGCTGCGGCTCCCGAAGCCAATGTAGCCATCAGCTCTGATGCTGATTCTGTTGATCCCAGCGAGATTTCACCATCACCGACTACCAGGGCAGGCGAGTAGGCTCCCAAGTTGATGTTAAGGGGGACGGCAGCGACGGTGGCGACGAGCGCAACGAGGATGTGTTGAGGAAGCATGTTTGCGAGTTTTGGGTTTTTTGAATCTTTCGATTAAAGAGTAAAAGATAGGATTTGTCGGGTAGTGATGTTTCACAAAAATATAGAATAGGTGATTGTAGTAAGTAAATTACTTCGCACGGCGAGGATAGTGAATGAAGAGTATGTGAAGAAGTGAAAGTGAGTGACCGGACTGAAGAACAGAAGAGTGTGGATTGGACATCTTCTTATACTGTGTATACCCAACTTCAACAGTGACTACGGACGAGCACTGTCACATCCTCTGCCAAGATACGTTAACCAGCTTCAAAGTGGTATGAAACTTTAATGAAGCTGTGCCAAGTCCTACAAGCACAGCATGGCAGAGCTTTACATCTCCGACCAGCGTTGCCAAGCTTCCTCTACTGTTTGATGTTGGGTTAGAACTGTTGTAAAGGAAGGCTAGTGCAGAATTCATGCTAGTTGGCGAGTTCAATGCACAGGGATAACGCCCAAAGCGGGCCAACAGCCAGGGTCTTTGACCTTACCAAAGGCCGAGGCTTCACTATTGATGGGGGCCTCAATGATCGCTGCGGAGTATAGATAGTCTTGAAGTTAGACTGGTAAGACGCTTCTATAGTCCAACTGTTTAGTGTGGGGATGGTAGCAACAACTCGAATCAACACTGAATAGTAATTGCATAGCAGTTGTACTCCATGGAGATCGGCAAGCAGAGTGCCCTTGGAGACGTCAAGTCCAATGACTGATCACGGAGAACTATGGCTGTTGCCAAGCTGAACCCAAGGCCATGACACCTGTAAATCGCGGGCTGAGCAGCAGTGCTTGAGTTTCCAAGCCTGTCGCTGCTCCACGAGGCTGAATCGCCAAGTATATGTGAAGCGGAGATTCTAGCGAAAAGGCGTTTGGGAGGGTCACCTACCGCAACGGGTAACAATAGCCGTTGCCTCAGGCACGGGAGGTTGAATTTCTGGGTGTTCGTCTGAGGGTCAAGGGAATCCAGACTGACATCGCTCGGCGATGTGCTTGAAAAAGGCTAAGCCTCCAACGCAACACTTGGCGTCTTAGCTGCGTGGAGCGGAGTACCAGGGTTACGACTCGGAAACGTAGTGGGGGATTTCAAGACGTGACAGTTGCTTCGCGTATTGTTGACTTGTGGAGCCAAGCGACTCCGTTTATGGCTTAAATCCACCTAAGCTGCAACACTTAAAATGCTTGGCCCTTGGGGAGGTCGCTGAACTTGCTCCCTCTCCAGACACATAGTGGGGCTTATCATCGAGGCCTATGGTGCTGCTTCTTGTGAATGGGCAACCATCTGCCGAGACTGACGCGTGCCCGCGTTTGGCTGACGCGTGCCTACATTACCGTCGATCGTAATTGCAGCTCCATCGCCGTTTTGAGGTATACTCCAGGTATTAAGGCTCAGTGGCTTGGTATCAGACTTAGCTGTGATTGTTCAGGGGACGTGTCGGGCCCTATAGAGGGGGAAAGTAGTACGGCGGGGGCGAGGAAAGGAGAAAGATAACAAGAGACGGTAGCGGTTGTCTGGGGTTCCCCAATCCCCTCTGCACGTAGTCTCGACCTTTGAACTCCTGTACTGGCAGGTTTTGCCACCACCAGAGTGTATCCCTGCTAGCGGTCGCGTGTATATTTCCGAGGGCGATTTGCCGAACTGTATCGGACGGCTCCTCTGGCTCTTCTTCTCATTACTCATATTGCGTTCAAGCATGCGCCCAGCTGTACCAAGACTGTTGGTAACTCCAGAGGACGGGTACGTCCCCACGGGTAGTTGCCATAATGGCAATGCAGCGTCTAACTCTATTTAATCTTACATGGGCGCCGTTTCCGAGCGATAGGTTTCCGAGCGGTACTTGGGATCGCGCAATGCTGGAAACTATGCCAATCCCGGTTAGTCAGAAATGGCACGAACCAAAGGAGATCTCTAGATACCCTGCACATGCAGCGGCCGTTTCAACGGAACACTTTGCGCCGATTTGAAACACGATGCACTTCAAGCTACTTGAATCACACATGTGGCGGAATTTTCCAATGGTTGCACAGACGAAGAGTGGCTGCTGTCACCGTCACAGAGGAGCGAGTATACGCGCCAAACTATTTCACGGCCGTTTGAAATGCATTGAACACATAGTTCCAGAATCATTCCAACGTATCAAGCTACCGGGCCAGACCTGGGACCTCAACTTGTCACTTGTACCAAAAGCTCTCGGGGGAGGGAAGCCTTCGGCAGCGGAGCAGGGCTGTTCAAGCGGACACGCTACAGCAACTCCGCGCTACGCAAAAAATTCACGACCTACTAGCAGTCCTCAAAGAAGCCACCAGGGGGATTGAACATTCCATTGCGCTCACTGTTCTGTTGAGAAACCTCTATATAAATTACGCCGATTTTAAAATTCCCATCGAACAAGGCTCGGTGGTGTAGTTGGTTATCACGTCAGTCTAACAACTTGTTAGGCCCACTGAAGGTCCCGAGTTCAAACCTCGGCTGAGTCAAAGCCGGAGCTCGCATGAGCTTCAATATCTTTTTTGCGGTATTTTTGTGCTTGATGGTGTTGTATGGTCGAGGCGAAGACGACTGGTTCGTGACACCTTTTTTTCGTTTGAGAGGCATCGTGAAACATGAATATTCCTAGCTAGTTATCCTGATCATGAGGCATGAAGAGCCAAGTTAATTGGCGCCTCACTAGTATCGTGTAGTACCAGAATGTTAGAGATCTGGGCTGGAGTCTGGGAACTCGAGTGGGATGGTCATTGAGCAGAGTTTATCAACATGAAAAAATGGCCGTTGCAGCAATATGCTAATAACCACGTTCTTTTGGGTCCAGGGTATCAGTTTGCGGCAAACTAGACGGCCCATATCGTTCTCGACGTATCACAAGCGGGGGTAATGCTGGGGAGAATAACGAGATTTGCCTATATTGTGCCGACGTAGCAAAGTCCAGCTTGTTGATGCGACGAATATCCAACGACAACAGTTACGTCAAACAAGCGCAGTGAGGGCACAGACAACCACCCCAGACACAGCTAGTAGTTTCAATCACACATGGACGCGCAGTTGCATAGGAACAATTGAATGAAATTTTCTGCCACTACGAGAGCTCAGAAATGCCCAGCCGAGCTCTCAGACTTTGAAGCTATCAACGTACTTCTTCACTACGTTGTACGAATCTGATCTGAAGTTATCATCCGTGTAGCTGTTACTATTCGCCCCGAAATTCATCAACTTCTTGCCCTGGCTCCACTGCGGCCAGTTGGCAAAGTTGTTGCCGACATTCGGATCGAGGTTGTGGACGAAGGAGAAGTAGTAGCCTCTGATTGTCTTGCGGGCGTTGTTGGGGAGAATACCGAAGAAGACTTGGATAAGGTCTGAAGCATGGAAAGTACCGAGGAGCGGGGTACCGTAGTTGTAGGTGGCGATGTAGGACCATGAGGGCACGCCTGGGTTCACTTGGGTGTGTACCTCGGAGAAGAGGCGGCGGGTCAAGATGAAGGTGAGGTCGCCGATGATGGCGGAGATGCGCTTAAATTGGGGCGTGAAGTTGTTGAGCAAGCCGGTGCGGAAGGGTGCTCCGTCTTCGGTGGTTGTTTGGTAGCTGCTGACCAGATCTTCGACTTGTTGCCGTGTGGCGCTGTTGAAAAACTGGGTAGATAGGTAGTTTGTGAGCTGGCTAGTCGTGGTGATATTGAGGGTGAAAATGCCGAACAAAGTTCCCTCGTCTTCTTGGGTACCGGCGATGAAAGGGACCTTGGTATATTTTCCGGCTCTCACCAGGACATCGGGTGAGTCTGTAAGAGTCTTTCCATCGGGACGTGGAAGGTAGGACAGATTTACTGTAGAGTAAGATGCAAGACTTGGGACGCTGTTGGCGGCATTAAGGAACTTGGTGTATGGGGTTGTACGGAGACATGCTAGAGTGTCACTTGCACTCTTACATCCCGCTTCCTCGACAACCTGTCATATAGTTAGCATCGAGAGTATGTGCTTAGCGAGTAGATGACTTACCTTGTTATAGACAGCTTGGCCCTTTGGACAGTCTACAGGATCGGCGGGAACAATGGAGCCAGAGTTCATGATTCCCGCTCTGAAGAGAGGTTTGCCTTTGTACGTGTTGTCGCCATTGTAAAGTAGCATCTGGTCCATCACTGAAATGGAACCAGCGCTCTCTCCCCAGATTGTGACCTTGGTTGGGTCACCACCAAAGGCAGCAATGTTGTCTTGGACCCATTCCAATCCTAGTCGTTGATCGAGTAATCCGAGGTTAGCAGAGCCGTCCTGGAGAACTTCTTTTCCTGGCAAGAAGCCAAATCCTCCAACGCGGTAGTTGACAGCCACAAAGATAATAGGCTTGCCTTGTTCAACAGATTCGCGAATTAGGCTGGTTCCATCGTACATCTGAGTTGAGCCAAGTTGGAAGCCGCCGCCAAAGATCCAGAAAAGTACTGGTAGTTTAGCGTCAGGCTTTGTGCCGGCTGGCCGCTGCACGTTGATGGTCAAACAGTCTTCTCCAGCATTGGTGACTGTTTGGAAGAAGGGGATGTTGAGTATGTTTCCCAGAACATTAGCGGGAATGCTTGAACCGTCTACGCTAAGGAGGAATTGGGGGCATGCGTTTGGCTGGCCGGTACCATCGACTCTCCCAAGGTCAGCGGTCAATGGTTGAGGTGGCTTGAGTCGTAGCTGGTTGATAGGTGGCTTTGCGTAGGGTATTCCTTTAAAAGACTCGACATCGAGTGCATCAACACCGACAACAGTGGCTTTGGGCAAAGGCGCAATCACTGTAGGATTTGCACGCTTGGCGAGGGTCGCAGGAGCCGCGTAGGCCAATGGGAGGAGAGCTAGGGCCGCTAGAAACTTCATGATGGGATACTCTTTTCGACAAGCCCTGCTATGGCACAAAGTGAAGTTGAAAGGCTTTGTGATTTTCTCGTAAACGGTCAAGTAGCATGGTACTTAACCACTTCGTGGATGCAATTTCACAAGCAAGCAAGTCCCTTCACAGGCACCAACCTCGGGCAAAAGGTACATCGACGATGTCCATGTGATGGATCCTCTGCAGATTCTCAATACAATTCCCAGATTTACCGTGATCTTAAAAGTAACCCTGCTCCGATAGATACTTCCCTGGTTCCTGGAGTGCAGGTCGGCCTCTATTGGGTGAAGTACCCTCCATCAGTCTCGCGTGAGCAGTAGGGTTTGTAGAAACGATGAATACAACCTATCAGATGAAATCGCGCTACATATGAACCAGGGGAAGTATCCAGAAGAGGACTGGGCTATTATTACATGGCTTGGGGTGCTTACTCGTACTACTTGGTAGGTCATGGGGCTGGCAATCACTGAGCGGACGAATTTGGCACACCATAAATATAGTCTGGCGAATAGTGCCAACGGCAATAAAATGAAGGGTGGAAAAATTCTTTCTTGTAAACTCCTTATGTTCTCTACCTTCCGGACAGAAAAGTTTGTCGAGGAAGTGTGATAGAATGCGATTCATGCACTTTAGTGAGTGGTGACGTATGGAGTGGGATGGATAGTACAGCGTCGTTATCCCGGTCAGCAAAGTGTAGTCCCAATCCGTTTTTCGTAGATGATCCGGAGCTTGGCCAGTTGTCATCTGTCAATGCATTAACGGCGGAGGTATTTCCTCTACGGATTGGCTTGGGTAGTCCCGCGTGGCTCAAAATGCGGGGTAGTGATCAAGGGTGGTTTCCCCATACTCTGACTCAATTAGACTGCCGATGCATTCCCAAGTATTGTTAATTAAAGAAAGGCGCCTCGGTATATTTTCTTTGTCGCTATAGAGCAAAACTTTATACCACATGTGACAACGTGACGGAAGATCAACCCTACAACGAACAATGTCCGGGCGTCTGGTAGTACAATCATGGAGTAAGCAGCCATTCTTGGCAACAGGAACCTGCATTCAATTGGCCAAGAGATTTCGGCTGCTACTAGCCGTGCATGGGGATTTCTGCGAAGCATACGAACACTTGTGGGGTATGTTTCTCGCTGAAGAAATATGACTTCTTTGGGTACAGCGTACTTAATGGATCCCAGATCATGATCAGTCGCTCCCTTCCATTTCTATACGGCCGTAAACAAGAGAGGAAGGCAGAGTTTGATAGTGTCGCTTTAACTTCCTTGGTCGCTTTTTCCAGTAAGTAATAAGCGCTTGTGATGAGAGCGAACATCAAACATCAATTGTGGTTTCAGCAGCTGCAGTTGATAGGGTATAGAATAACCGAATTTCTTTAGTCGTCTGAAGTTTGTAAGAAGAATCGACACTAGTGTTTATTTACAACTATTGCAAGTCATTCTTACTATGATACCATCCAGAGTCACGTGCGACGATCCATGTTTGACTTATTATCGATAAGCATCCTCGCATTCGTCCGATCTATTTTAGGGGCCTGGTCATCTTCGCATGTTGTCCGTAGAAAAAAGGGATCGATTTCTTTCTACAAGAGCTATACGTTAGCTATGAAAACTAATCTCCACTAACCGGACCGTCATGCCGTAGGATTCTGTAGGTGTGTAGATCGTCAATACATTTCGACTGTTACTAAATGGGTTGATAATGACGAAATACTCAAGCAATACCATCACAGAAGCACGTCCATCACACAAAATGGCGGCCCCATCAGTGATTGGAAATTGCTATCTGCGCATGAAACGCTTAATCAGCTCTTATCGCAAGCGAGCCTGTCCTACGTCCAGACTCGATAATGGTGTTGCATACGCTCTCGGGTAAATGCAAAGTCTTGTGCGGCTGAGTTACAGCTTTCAGCCCCCTTCGGCTACAAACACCAGACAATTGGTTGATCCACTTTAGGCGGACAACAGGACGATGTCTCCTATACCCACCAGCCTTGCATACAATGGTCACACCAAGCATTGCCAGTTTGCTTAGAGAAGATTGTAAGACATGATCCAACATCTAAAAAGACACACATTCCCATTGTACATTATCAGCATTTGGCAAAAATATGATAGCCAAAGTTTGATGGTAAATCCATCGCCTTGAACCAGGCTCCACCCGAGGTCCTACGCCCCACCTGCATGCATCCGTAAGGTGACACCGATAAAAAGGGCGCGCTGTTCCCGGCCAGTAATGATGTTGTGTCTGCGCACAGCACTTTTTTTCAGCTCTGCAGCCCTAATGTCTTTCAATATCTCTTACATATAGGTAAAGGACATGGCTACTTCGCTGCTTCAGCTCCCCTGCCAGAAACCACCTGTCGAACTCTTGCACGTTCTTTCCTGATTCCTGATGACGTATTTCGAGATCAACATCATACCTTTGCGTTTCAATAGCAAATGCATTACTTTTTCAGAATGGGTCGCGTTGTTTACACTCTGTCTCGCACCACTAATAGCTGTACGTATTGCTCAATACATGTGTTTGAAAAAAAAAGCTTTGTGCATGGACTGACATAACCATCTCCTTTTGTAGCACGTGGCTTCAGGAGCACCTCCAATATCGTATCTCACGGACCGTCGGCTCAAATGGTACGATCACATCTGTATTTATAATCCCACATCTATCATTTAGCGCTACGCTGCCATTACGGACCGGCGAATTCGTGCTATAAATTGGAGCCGGCAAGACTTTGCGGCTAGTAACGCAATATTCTGGACCTCGAACGGATGGGACGGCAGTGAACACATGGCCTCTGTTAGTGCGCCGTACTGCTTGCGATATCCGGAAACTACGCACGCAAGGCTCCTTTCGTTGACAACCGTAAAGACTGTCATCACGACTCTGCAGGGAGTCTCAGCCCTTATGCTTTTGATTGGAGCCATTACTGGGTCTTCGATGCTTGCAGGCCATGTTGGATTCGGCGTCGATACGATATTCTTCCCGCTTACGATATTGGGACTGTTACGACTATGCGCCGCCGCATGGTTGACAGAAGACTACGTTTATCAGGATTATGGACAGCGAACAAACTCTACGTGGGAGATGACTTCGCAAAGTTCACAGAGGCCTGTCGATAAAGATCGTGAGATCAATGTCCATGAATCTCGCACTGGACTAGACCCGCTACTGGTATCGAGGTTCCAATCCGCCGGCTTTAGGTCTCCTAAATCCTCGTGGGGCAGCCGTATATTCCGATTCTTCTTTCTGAGCATGCTTTGGGGGATTTGGGTGTTGGCGGTTTTCTGCATTGTACCAAGTATTGGTGGCGGAGTGACATACTATACCACTACTTCTTTCTTACTCAGCTTGTATTATTTAATCTTCGCTACTGTAACCGCCGCCATTTATACCTTGTTCTTTTTCCGAGGCAAGACGACAAACACCATATTACCGTGCATATCCAGCACATGGTACAGGCTCTACACCATTTTGTTCACGGGCCTCATGATCGGCCTTGTTGTCATTGCGAGCATAGAAACAAACAAGACCGTTGAGGGTAACTATAGCAGTTGGGAGCCAATGGAGAATCTTGGATGTTTGGGCCCCGATGATTGGTGGCTGCTGGGGCCATCGTCTTGGATGATAGGCCTTGTATACCGGAGAAAATTGGACGAAGAATGGTTTCCGCAAGATCAAGCAAGGTTGCCGGTGGCAAGTGTGAATGGGACGAACTCTTCTACCCCAGAGACGTTCTGGGTGCACAATTTCACGGGCTACTGCGTAGGAAGTTTAGCTGGTTTATAACACATGCGTATAGACGGGACTGGTTAATATAGACCATGTTACACAGTAAATGTCAATAAGCGACTAGTTATCTCTCAAGCATGCTCCATTGATGAAGTGCAATAGACAGGCTGGGAAAGACATGTTTACAGCATTAATTGAGCATTGCCTATGCAAACTCCACGCTCTTTACACATGTGAAATAGCTAGGCTAAGGTAGGCTAGCGCAGAACGCGAACTGAATGGGCAATGACGATGACGCGCTTCCCACCATTCATTTTCACCTATATACACACAATGCAAAGCTGTACTTGAAAATTGCATGCTAGCACCCCAGAGAAACCTCATAAACAGCTTGCAAATCACATAAAAGGCATGCGCCAAAGTAATACTTGGGCACACCAAATAAACTACCCCACCACATCCCACCAAGCGTCCGTTAAACCCACCCAAAACGAAACAAAACAAAATGCCACAGCCAACCGACATCCCCTCGTTTGCGAGCACACAACTGACACTCCTCTCCGCCGAGCTCGAAGCCGAGCTCTCAGAAACCAACGAGCTCCTCACGTCGCACACGCCCTCAGCACTAGCGCGCGCAGGCCTCGCAATCCTAAACCTTAACATCACCTCTATACGCACAGGGTTGGGCGGCAAAACCGTGCTCGAGCTCGGACTCGACAGCGCAGTCGTAAACAAAGGAGCGGCCCCGGATATCCCTGAACACGGGATCCGTGTGGGGGATATTGTGGCGGTGCAGGAGCAAGTTGGGGCGAGTGCGAAGAAAGGGGAGAAGAAGGAGGCGGCGAGGAGGGGGGTCGAAGGCGTGGTGTTGAGGGTGAGACGGGAGAATGTCGAGGTTGTGCTGGACAGGGAGGAGGATGATGGGGTGAACGGGGGTGGCAGGTTGTGGATGTGGGTTTTTACTGCTATTTTAAGACGAATTTTTTGGACTCGATTGATGAAGCTGATGTGTGTTTTAGAGTCAAGTTGGCGAACGATGTTACATACAAGCGGTACGTTCCTATTGTTTTTCCTCTTGTGTACGAGCTTTGAGATTCTGACGTTGATGCTCATGATGGGTAGGATGAATCAGACTATGAGCAGGCTACAGAAGCTAGGGGATCAGGACTATTCACCTTTCATGCGGGTGTTGTTTGGACAGGCGTCGCCATCTCCACTCCCAAAGGATCTTAATGATCCTTCGAATCCGCTACACAAGCTCGAGTGGATCGATCCTTCCCTGAATGATAGCCAGAAAGAAGCGATTAGGTTTGCGTTAGCCTCGAGAGAGGTCGCTCTCATTCACGGACCACCGGGAACAGGCAAGACCCATACGCTAATCGAGTTGATTTTGCAGTTGCTCAAGCAAAAACTACGTCTGCTAGTATGCGGTCCGTCCAACATATCGGTGGACAATATTGTCGAGCGGCTAGCCTCTCACAAGGTACCCATGGTGCGCTTGGGACATCCAGCGCGGCTACTGCCCTCAGTCCTCAGCCACTCTCTAGACGTACTCACACGGACTTCAGAAGCGGCTGCATTGGTAGAAGATGTGCGCAAAGAAATGGACGAAAAACAGGCATCTATTCGCAAGACGCGTAATGCAAAGGAGCGACGACAGATCTACACTGAGCTGAAAGAGCTGCGTCAAGAGTTCCGAGAGCGAGAAAAGGGATGCGTCAACAATCTTGTCACAGGCAGCAAGGTAGTGCTGGCCACATTACACGGCGCTGGTGGATTCCACCTCAAGGGGCAAGAGTTTGACGTTGTTATTGTGGATGAGGCGAGCCAGGCGCTGGAAGCACAATGCTGGGTGCCTCTTCTGTGGACAAAGGCGAATAAACTAGTACTTGCAGGAGACCATCTCCAATTGCCGCCTACGATCAAGTCCCTGAACTCCAAGGAAGCCAAGACGGCCAAAAAGAGTAAGGACAAGAAGACCAAGGATGCAGAGGATAATGCGGATAGATCCATGTTAAAGCAAGGAGAAGATGTAACACTGGAGACGACACTGTTCGATCGACTTCTGGCCTTGCACGGCCCGTCGATCAAGCGTATGCTAACGACGCAATACCGAATGCATGAGAAGATCATGCGCTTTCCGTCCGACGAACTTTACGATTCGAAACTTGTGGCTGCGGATTTCGTCAAAGCGCGACTGCTCAAGGACCTGAAGTACGAGGTGCAGGAGACAGAAGATACAACGGAGCCGCTCGTCTTCTGGGATACCCAAGGCGGAGATTTTCCCGAAAAGGTCGAAGACGAAGGTGTGATCGGGAAAGGTGGCAAAGGTATGATTCTTGGCGACAGTAAGTCTAACGAAGCCGAGGCGGCGCTGGTTAGAATGCACGTCAGAAGTCTGGTGGCTGCCGGTGTAAAGCCTGAGGACATTGCAGTTGTTACGCCATACAATGCGCAGGTACGTATGACTTGTCCGTCCTTTTTCCCCCTCTAGCGATTTTTTGCACGCAGGAAAAAGTCTCACCGACTCCACAATTGCCCGGACACAATAGGCAGGGACAAGCGGGAATGCTTAGATGCTAACGTGACTAGCTCGCATTGCTTGCTGGAATGCTCAAAGAAGAGTATCCTGGCATGGAGCTGGGATCCGTTGACGGGTTTCAAGGAAGAGAGAAAGAAGCTGTCATTGTCAGCACGGTGCGGAGCAATGCAGAGCATGAAGTTGGATTCCTGGGCGAGAAGAGACGACTCAACGGTAAGTCAAGACCCGTATTGCGACAATTTCAGGTCATGTTTAATATGGCACGCATGAAAAATGGCGGCTGCAGAGGGCCTCTGTGGTGATGATGTACTAATGAGGATTACCGGATTAGTGGCCATGACACGCCCAAAGCGGCATCTCTGTGTGATTGGAGATTCAGAGACAATCAGCAAGTAAGTGTGCACATGTGGACTGCCGAATCCATGACCCCGGCAGCCCACTTTCTTCCTGTTTGTCTTTTGCGGCCTCGTCATCCAACGTCTTTTTGGGGGTCCTGAAACCTGAGGCTGTGTGCATGCGCTGCGTCCCGAGTGCGAGTGCAGCGGCAGTCCGAGCGGGCCCCCAAAAGATGAAACTGCCGTGATACACGTTCCCCTGTGTTGTCACAAGCAGTATATCCACCCGTCCCTTGCCCTGTCATCGATTACATCCCAGGCCGTCGGAACACGATTTTGATGCTCCGAGGGTGCGGATGACAGTTGGTCGTCGTCATTGCACAAGAGCGAGTTTCAAAAAAAAAAAGGGAACATGAGTTTGCTAACGTATGTATCATTTACTTTGTGTGCAGGGGTTCAAAGTTCCTCAAAGCGTGGATGCAGCATCTGGAAGATCACGCTGATCTTAGGTACGCCAATGTGACGGAGGTATACGGCGATTAAGTGTAGTTAAGTAATATAGTAATATCACAAACGGGACGATGGGGAGATGAGTGCTCGGTGAGCAACAAAAAAGGGCTGTAACATGGCTGTTGCCGTTGTGAGAGATATTTCCGGTGGTAAATTATTCCGGATCGACGGGCGAGAAAGACGGCATCACAAACAAACGATGTTAGAAAAGTGTGCGGTTATCGTGAAAGGGCAGTGTGTGTGGTAGGTGGGTGTGGGGAAGAAAGGGCTAGACATGGGGGGTTCGTGTGGGTTATTATTGACTAAGGGGGCCCAAGCGCTGTGGCGGCCACGACTCTTGGTATAGTTTGGTTCAGCGGTGGTACCGAAGCCACTGCAGGCGATTGTGCGGTAGGCCCATGACTCTAGCTGCAGTAGTTCAGCGTCAAAAAAAAAGACGAAGAAAGGCTGATGACTGCCCAGAGGGACACCAGGCTGGACAATACGAACCCCACGGCAAGTGAGACGGCAGGATCAGTTGCTCTCTATGTGAGGTACAGTAAGTGTATGTATGTACTTAGGCTGCGCGCTTATAGTGTGGGAACAGTCGGCACTCTCGGCATAGGTATGGATAGAAGACGGCGGGCAGGGATCGTATGTTGCAAGCACAGGCCGCCCAGGGCGCTGAGACGAGAGAAGAAGGGGAGTAAGAAAAAGAAAAGGAAAAGGAAAAAGAAAAAGAAAAGCGCAATCGAGACAAGAGAGGCAGAGGTGTGAAAATGCGAGTAATGTGCCTCGGTGACGCCGCCACCGAACTCTCCGTGAGTGTGTGATGAGCGGGTTCGAGGGTGGCGAGTCGTGAAATCAATAGAATCCAATACAATAGCGCAGGGCAGCTAAGACGGAAGAACGAAGACATGGCACGGGAATGCAAGAGAGCGAACAAAGAGAGCAAAAGAGGGGGGAAACAAGAGAGTTCAACTCAACGGGCGCGCCAGGCTCTGCCACGTTGCAGGGCCATCTGCTCTCACTCTTTTGTCAGGGCACGCAAGAAAATAGAGGGCCTAATGCAGCAACGCAAGGCCGTTCACAAAGTCTCTTTGATTGTTGCTTCTAGGCTTGCTATTGGGCTTCTTGTTTTTTACATGGGCGCCAAGGGATGCAGTAGAGTACCAAACAAAGTCACGATAGACGGTATACGTATGGATGTGGGCTTGCTGCAAGCTCGCGGGGGTGGGTGTGTGTGTGTGTGTGTGGTTCGCACTCTGCTGTTGCGCCCCCCCAAAAAAAGCGGTTCGCGGCCCAGTGTCAGCGTGTTCGTTTGGCCTGATGGGGTTTAGCGCGGTACCCTCTCAAACGCGTTAATGCACATATGGAGGCAACAGGGGTGGGTGAGGTATGGCCTTTCCCGGAGTTTGGAGGAACGAAAAAGAGTGGCCGAAGGACTTTCTGATGTCGCTGTCTTGATTGAGGAAGCGGGACATGGCCAAGCGAGTCTGGGCAGGTTTGGCAGATATGGTGTTTGAAGCACGAGGGAAGAATAGCGAGGGGAGCCAAGGGGGGGGGGTTTTGTTGGCGAAGGGGTGTGGGTCGGGAGGAGAAGTAGGTACATAGAGAGTATGCACCTAGAGAGTGGCCAGCGCTTGTTCTTGTGTTCTGGCTTTGTTCGGGAAATGGGGTAATTAATAGTCGGGTGTAAGTACTCTAGTAGTGGTGGTGGTGGTGAGGATGTAAATAGTAGTGGGTATTGGTGCAGAGCACCCAGGATGTTGGATGCAAGTGCAGGCAAGGAACAGGGTGGAGAGGAATGAATGAATGAATGGATGGATGAACCCAAGGCCGACGTTTCAGATGGACAGAGGCAGAGGGCAAAGCGGGCGCGTGCATGGCACCGGATTTATCGATTGCAGGCCGCCGACAGGAACCATGGCCAGACAGGCGCAACAACGACCATGCAGGCGTCGAGCGCATGTGTTGGCGACCACCTGTCTCCCATGCTCCATGCTCCACGCTGCTCCATGCCGCTGCTCGAGTAGCCAGCGTCAACGCCCCGTTATTGGGCTACGGCTACGGCCAGCCCATGCCTGCTTGCCGGCCATACTGCTTGATTCGCAACGACGCCATTTCTTTAGTAGCCTCCAGCCTGCCCGCACCCGCCATGCCCGCCCTCCGACAAACCCTCCCCACTATACACAACACACCCTGGCCCGAAATAGGTCCACCACCGTCGCTCTCTTTGATACATAGGCCCTCCACGCGCCCCTCCCATCCCGACCCCGTCATCCTCTTTTGCTCTCCTCCAACACGACAACCCGGCCCTCGGTGGCTTGACACACCCCATTGCTTGCTTGTCTGCTTGCTCGCTTGATTGCCCGCCTGCCTTCCTGCCTGCCTGTCCGCTTGTTTCGTTTAACCTCGTCGCTCCTTCCATCCATCTATCCACCCACCCATACACTCAGCTTGGCCTTCTTTAACCCTCGCTCGTTTCTCTTCTTAATTCCTCCGGCCACCTTATTCTTGGTTCATATTTGCTTTTTCTGTTTATTCCCCCTAGGAACAAAACCACAAATTCCTTCTGCCGCGCTTACCCCTTCCACAACCCTTCTCGAATGCACATCACCTTGCATATCTGGTGATGGTCGCTGGAAGAGCCACTACTTGAACTGAGGCACCCCTGTCGTAGTTGTCCCGACTGCAATTTCCAGACGCGGTCCGCCCGACGTCCACCCCACTCTACCATTGCTCATCCACAATCGCCGCCCCCATCCACATGCTCCAGCGAGAAGGCTTCGTCGTCGCCGATATGAGTCCATCAACTCCCTCGCCTGCGCTGTTGCGCCGGGCCAGCTGGAAGGCAGAAGCGATCCGAAAGGGCAACTTGAAGATCAGCGGTCCAATCCCCATCACTGAGGACATGCCGCTCAATGACGAGGAAGAGAAGAGATTTGCTGAAAACGGGACCTTGAGTGATCCTCCGCAGTCGCCAGTCGCACCGCTGGAAGAGCAGCGCCAACGGTCGGCGACTCCCCCAAGACCAGCCCATCCTGCCCCGGCAGTTCCAGACCATCCAATGCCATTGCGATCAAATCTCGTTGTAGTAGACCAGCCGCAGCAAGAGGAGGAAGCACGCGATCATGTTCCGTTGAGATCGCCGCGCAATCTGCAACCCATCAGCATTGTACAGCGCGATAGCGTAGTCCCATCCAGCATAGCCCCATCTCCATCGCCTTTCCGGTCAACGCCCGAAAGTGCGACGGCAGCGGCGGCAGCAAAGGCGACGCAAAGGAAGCGCAAAAGTGGGCTCAGGAATGTCTTTCGCAAAATGTTCGGTAAAAAGACGGCCGAACCAGAGCATCAGCAGCAACAGGATGAGACCACCCGTCGTGGTCATAGCTATCATAATAGCGTAAGTAATCTGTGCAATACGCGACACCTTATTTCTAACACGATATAGGATCCGGGCTTGTTAAGATCGACACCACCAATAGAACAGAGGCCGTCACCATCACCAGTTGGACCGCGGATATCTGATTTACCCGTCAAGGAGCTGGAGCCATTGCACCCCTTGGGCCAGCACCTGCCGTACCCAATGAATGTGAATGCGCCGCCAGCAAGTCCACCGGACGAGTATCTTACCTTTGATGTCAATAGACAGGGGCGCCGAAGAGCTACGCTTCCCAACGTACCAGGCCTGGTCGTTCAGCGTCACAGCCTGGACGAGTCGCGACCAAAGCTGGCGCCTTGGCAAGAGCGAATCGAGGACGGTAATACGTCTCCTTCTCGAATTGGTATTGCACTCTCCAGTCCATCGCACGGCACTTCGAGACCCAACAAGCGCAGGTCACGCAGTGCAGATGCTCTTCATGACATGGCCAAAGACCTTGCTTCGATCGAGAGGAGACGCAGCGCCGAAATCAAGTACTGGCGGGAGAGCAATATGTCTGGCAGTGTGTACAGTCGGCCAGCAACAGCAAAGACGGTGGAGACGTTCCGCAGCGTACAGATGCAGGAGCCAATGATCCGGGAGCCAGAGGCGGATTCATACAACGAAATGAGCGCTACGCTTGTGCAGGCGGATGATCCGCAAACACCCACGTCAGAAGGACTTGACCGGTCGAAACAGGAGGAAAAGGAAGGAGGTGTCTACGCGATCGTTTCTGATTTCAATTTCGGTGATTTGAAGGACGGCCGAGAGTCCGGGCCGGTGCCGGCAGAACCACAGCCAGAACCGGCACGAGTTGTCGAACCAGTCTCTCAAGCCGGCGGCCAAGAAATCTCACCGGTAGCACCTCTTCCGGCGCCAAATCCAAATCGACTATCAATGGAAGAGCGGCTCATGCATCTTGAAAACCAATACTCTAATCTCGAAACACTAACCCGCCGCCTTTCATCCCGAAACAATAGACAAACTATTATACTTGAAAACGCACCCCGGAGCCTTCGCTCGAGAGACCGAAGCACTTCCGTCTCTGCCTCGCGGTCTCACTCACGCTCTGCACCGAGCATCCACCAAGAGCCTTCTCATCTTCGTCATCAGAGCACCAGCAGCGAGTACATAGAAGAGCCTGTGCATGCGCCGAGCTCTCCTACTTCAACTCTCCCGGTCGCTAGCAACAATGAACAAGCCAAGGCGCTGCAAGACATGCGTGCAGTGTTGGAAGTGGAGCGCAACGCGCGAATCGCACTCGAACACCGCGTCCACTCACTGCAGATTGAAGTATCAAACTTGCAAGCTCTAATAAACAAGCTCGTCGCCGGCAGCGGAGCGACATACCCCACACCCTCACCAGACATGCTCATTATGACTTCTGAAGATAACCAGCGCGTGAGCTGTTCTACACCACGCGCCATGACACACAACCAGAACGCTTACTACTCCCAGCACCAGCGACCGCACAACTGGAGACACGACTCTGAGAGCATGTACTCTGATGACTTGGTCCTGGGGTCTTCTGGCACAGGAGAGGCCGCATCGCCTGATGAGTGGGCGACGCCCAAGGAAGAAGGATTCTCTAACAGTGGATTCTTCCATGCTCGTGACGATGGCATGAAGGAGTATTCATGAGCTATTGTTTCACTTCTCCTCTTTCCCTTCGCTTCTTCTTCTCTTTGAAACATTTTCCTTTCTTGTTTCTTCGTTTGACAAGCGATTGCAAAAATGTGAGATTGCAGTTTGGATGGTGAAAAATCATGTTTTGACTAAGATACCCCCACCGCAAGCGTTTACACTGGCGGACGCGCACTGCACTGCGCGTGCTTTTTTTCTATGTTCTAGTTTTTTTTATCAGCTTGATTGGAAGGAGAGTTTTTGAAGATTATTATTGTTGTTGTTGCCGCTTGATGATTTTGTTTAGATGTCTTGGTGCTGGGAATGTCGTGTGTGTCTGTGCTTGATGAGTGTGAGGTTCGAATTGGTGATGCCTATGCATTTCGTGGTAATTAATTAGTCCTTTAGTAATGGACATTTTAGAACTAGAGGGTTAAGGAAATGTATATCTTATACGTTATACTGATTGCAGAAGAAAAAAATCGCGCCCTTTTGTAATGAATACAATGATTGGCATATAAAGCAAACAACGCCACATCGACAGAGCTCCGTTCAATGCTGAAAACAGGTCATGAAGGTTGCTTTACTTTGTAACTACCTTATCTGACAAATTACGAATATGCTCAAACGATCGCACCGCACTGCACGCGATCGGATGGGATGACGCTCGTTTCTTAATCACGCACACTACGGACAAGTGGGCTTCGGCGAAACGTACTTCCGAAGCCTTCCTGTCCCCGCGCCGTATGCAATGCAGCAGCGCTTAGCTATGCCAGCCCTCTCAGCCTTATGCAGCTGACAATGGATCGCAGCACTACTCTCAGCCTGACAGCGGCCTGGCTGCTCTGTGAGCTCACAACGACGCGAAGTACGATCGATCGGTTTACTTCTTCTCCGTCGCAGACCTCGCATCATGGACGGCCTTTCGGGCGCAGCAAGCGTCATCGCGGTAGTCGACATATCCACCAAGATCGCTTCGCTCTGCTACCAGTACTCCGTGGCTGTCAAGGACGCGAAGGATGATATCGAGCGTGTGCGGAGGAAGGTTAGCGACATCACCCACATCCTGGAGAAGATCAAGCAGCTCTTCGACGGCCAGGACAAGACGCGGCTCTCTACTACTAAGGGCCTGTCTAACTCGCTCAAACAATGCCTAGAGGAACTAAAGAGTCTAGAAGCAAAGCTAGATCCAGGAAAAACTCGCAAGACTATGAGCCGGTTCGGCTTCCGTGCGCTCAAATGGCCGTTCACAAGTAAGCAGGTGGACAAGGTTATTCTGAACTTAGAAGGATACGAGCAGACATTCAGCTTGGCACTGCAGGTCGATCAGACGTAAGCTTCTGTACCCAGATCTGCCGTGCGTAGACCCAGCTTCTTATTGACTATACAGAGTCGTTGTGTTCAATATAGACCAGAAGCTAGTCCTAGCCAAACTCCCTATCGCGATAGGCGCCTCCTTCAATTCCCACAACGAAGAGCACAACGCACGGTGCCTACCAAAAACCCGCACCGAGCTGCTAGACGAGATCACAACATGGGCGAATGACAAAGATGGCAAGTCCATATTCTGGCTGAGCGGCATGGCGGGCACGGGAAAGTCCACGATAGCGCGGACGGTCGCTCAGTCGTTCGCCAGTCGAGGGCAGCTCGGAGCCAGCTTCTTCTTCAAGAAAGGCGAGGGCGAGCGCGGCAACGCCTCACGCTTCTTTACCACCATCGCCACTGATCTAGTCGCCTGCGAGCCAGGCATGCTACCTAGCATCAGGAAGACGCTCGACGGGGACTCGACGATCTCACACAAGGCACTAAAAGACCAGTTCGAAAAGCTGATCCTGCAGCCACTATTAGGAATAAAACAGGCTCGTACGCGGGCCTTGGCGCGTGTTATCGTAATCGACGCGCTGGACGAATGTGAGCGAGAAGCAGACATTCGAGCGATCCTCCAGCTGCTCGCTCAGGCGAAAGACATCCGCCCAGTGCCGCTACGGATTATGGTCACTAGCCGGCCAGAGCTCCACATTCGTCTCGGCTTTCAGGCGATGCCGAACGGCACATACCAAGACCTAGTTCTCCACGAAGTACCAAGGAGCACGATTGAACACGACATCCGTCTGTTCCTAGAGCATGAGCTCGGTAGGATACGAAAAGAACGCAAGTTGGCCTCGGACTGGCCAGCGAAACAACAGATCCTCGCGCTGGTTGAGCTGGCTGTGCCGCTGTTCATCTACGCTGCCACTGTGTGTCGATATGTTGGTAGCAAAGGAAGCAATCCCACAGCTTTTCTGAACAAGGTGCTGCAGTATCAAAAGGCGACCTTTTCGCAGCTAGATCGGACCTACCTTCCTGTTCTCGACCAGTTGCTTAGTGAGCAGGAGGAAGACGAGAAGGAGACGTGGCTTCAGGCTTTCCGAGAAGTCGTCGGTAGTATTGTCGTTCTCGAAAGCCCACTCTCTGCTGTCTCGCTTGCCCGGCTGCTTCAGGTCCCACAAGAGGAGATTCAGTGCCGACTTGACTCTTTGCACTCTATTCTTAGTGTTCCTAACAGCGAGGACGCACCTATTCACCTTTTGCACTTGTCCTTTCGCGAGTTCCTCGTCGACCCCTATAAACAGGGAAAGAGCCCGTTCTGGGTGGACAAGAAAACGACACACAAAAGGCTCGCCTCTTACTGCCTCGAGTGTATGTCTGGACTAAGCGGCCTACACCCAGACATATGCAGCCTCTTAGAGCCTGGGGTCCTAAGAAGCGAGATCGACGAAGGTACGATTACTAGTAGCTTGTCACCTGACCTGCAGTATGCGTGTCGTTACTGGGTCGAGCATCTTAAGCAGGGTCAGCAAGACATCCTCGATGGAGACACGACCCACCTCTTTCTGCAGAAGCACCTCCTTCATTGGCTCGAGGCCATAAGCCTTACAAGGGAATTGAGCAGATGCGTCGACTTGCTCGACAGCCTTCAGGCACTTGCTAGCGTAAGATCTTTACGAGCCACCTTGCTACTACTTTGCTAACGTGCAACACAGCCATCTGCAAAGCTAGTTTCAGCCTTTCTTCACGACGCCAAGCGATTCGTGTTGCGGTTCCAATCTGTGCTTACAGATGCGCCGCTGCAGATCTATTACTCCGCGCTCGTGTTCGCACCAGAGAGGAGCCTGATACGACAAACATTTGCAGACCAAGTGCCAGAAAAGGCCAAGATGCTGTCTATAAAAGAAACAGACTGGGACGCCTGTCGCAGCACGCTTGAGGGCCATTCCTTTGGTGTCAGCGCGGTGGCCTTCTCGCCAGACGGGCAGCTGGTCGCCTCGGCATCTGACGACAACACAGTACGGCTGTGGGAGACGGCGACGGGGACATGTCACAGCACGCTCGAGGGCCATTCCTTTGGTGTCAGGGCGGTGGCCTTCTCGCCAGACGGGCATCTGGTCGCCTCGGCATCTTACGACAAGACAGTACGGCTATGGGAGACGGCGACGGGGACATGTCGCAGCACGCTCGAGGGCCATTCCTCGTATGTCAGCGCGGTGGCCTTCTCGCCAGACGGGCAGCTGGTCGCCTCGGCATCTGACGACGAGACATTGCGGCTATGGGAGACGGCGACGAGGACGTGTCGCAGCACGCTCGAGGGCCATTCCTTTGGTGTCAGGGCGGTGGCCTTCTCGCCAGACGGGCATCTGGTCGCCTCGGCATCTAGCGACAAGACAGTACGACTATGGGAGACGGCGACGGGGACATGTCGCAGCACGCTTGAGGGCCATTCCGCGTATGTCAGCGCAGTGGCCTTCTCGCCAGACGGGCAGCTGGTCGCCTCGGCATCTAGCGACAACACAGTGCGGCTATGGGAGACGGCGACGGGGACGTGTCGCAGCACGCTCGAGGGCCATTCCTCGTATGTCAGGGCGGTGGCCTTCTCGCCAGACGGGCATCTGGTCGCCTCGGCATCTGACGACAAGACAGTGCGGCTATGGGAGACGGCGACGGGGACGTGTCGCAGCACGCTAGACGCCCCTTATGGATATATCACTTACATCGAGTTCTCGCCAGATGGCCAGGTACTTCACACGAACCGAGGCGATATTCCTTTGCTGCAAACCTGTGTTGTCACATCGCTTTCTAGGCCGCAGCCGCAGCCCTTCTACGTTGTACTGCAGGATCAGTGGATATGGCGTAACCAGCAACGCGCTCTATGGCTTCCGCCAGAGTATCGATCAAGCTCGACCGCAGTACGCGAGGACATAGCTTGTCTGGGGCTTGTATCTGGTCGTGTGGTTCTGCTTAGGATTTTCTAGCATTGTGCATTGACAGACTCGGTTTACTATAAGTTCAATATAGACTTTACAGCATGATAAGAATATAGTTAGTATAAGATGTAGGTCTTGTCGTTAGTAATCTCCCTTGAGAACGACCTTCTTGTCGGAGTTTGTACGCCTAGACCACCTGCTCGAGCTAAGCCACAACCCTAACAGCCTCTAGGAATAGATTAGTTACGCGAAAACGGTTACATAAGATGTGCAGGGCCGCTTAGCACGAGCCGAGGTACTGATAGCGACTGCGATCTTGCATAAACGTAAGCTTTGCAGACGTCATAAATGTAAGGGGCTGCGCTCCGGGGAGCAATCGCGAGGTATACAAGAGGTTGTATTCGATAGAGAGCTAAGCTTCTAAGCTACGTAGCTATCTATATACAAGCTGGTTACCTGAGTAACAATCGGGCCGGTGAAGTCTAGGTGCATGGGGCAGCTCCTAGATCCTGCGGCTGTCGTCTGAACGTCGTTCAGGCGATGCGCGGAGAAGCCGGGTGCTCGGAGTAGCACCCGGATTCTACGAGTAGACCGAGATTCCATCGAGGAGCTATCTAAAGGCCGTTCAGCCCGTTACAATAAAGCTAAACGTAGCTCACCGTGCTATCGCAAGGTCTGTAGGATATAACTAAACCGTTGTAGAATTTTTAGACGCTACAAGCTTCTATATAGCGTTGTAGTATAGCAACACTATTATGCACGGAAGAAAGGTCTACCGTAACTTACGTAACAAGAGAAGTAAAAGTAATGCAATTTTTAGTTAGACGTATTAAGATGTACTAACACGTAGCTCTAGTACATAGATATTACAACTTTTTAACGATTCTAAGTGTGCGCGCAGAAAGTGAAGTCCTGAAAGTCAAAGTACCCCTCATTTGTCCCAGCACGGCGGGTGTCCCAGCACTTAGGGAGGGACGTTAGTTGTTGTAACTTTTCATCGTCCCAGATCACGTGAACATTGCAACTTGATCATCTTCTCCAAAAGCAAAATTGATACATATTACTCATTAACTATCTTACAATTCTCGCTCGTACGTTTGCAAAAATTAAACAAAGGAAAAAAAAATCACAGGTCAGCCAATTTGACACCCCTGATCATTCACATGCCTTTCCCCTTCTCATCTCGCCAATTTAAACACTAGCATGCGGCATATACGCCGGCTCCCTCCGCTCAACTCCATCCGCATCCATAAACGTCGACCTACCATCACCATTCGGAGTCCCATTCACATTGTTAGAAATGTAATGTCTATCCGCCATAACACTATCCCTATTCCCCGCAACGCTCTCACTGTACCTCACCTCCTTACCGACATACTGCACCTCGTCTTTCTGTCCAAAGCTCTTTGCACCGAGAAGGAGTAGGGCAAGGATAGCGAGGTTGCAGAGCTGACCGAAGATAATGAATAGGAAAGCTAGCGCTTCGGTGGTGCGGCGCGACCAGCTGCGCGAGTCGCGGTAGAGAACAATGAGTTGGGCGATGGAGAAGGCGTTGCGAAGCCAGACGAGGGGTGTAACGAGCATTACGAGGCGGGTGAGTGGTGACTGGAACTTGTTCTGCCCTGTATTAGCCACTTCTACATGGAAAGACGGGGGAGGGGAAGGGGGAGGGGGTTGAGGTGATGCACTTACACCAGGAATCCCATTCTTTTTAATCCCCAACCAACATAAAATCGCCTCAAGCGTCACACTCGTCGACGCCGCAATCACAACGGATACGTACGTTACGTACAGCGTGCGAATCACGTAGTCAGACCCGATTTGCGTGGGATACGGCAGAGCGCTGCTCCCGCTGCCGCGGCGATACAGACCCAGCGACCAACTCGCCAGTCCTAAGGCCAGAATCGCAACCATCCAGAAGAGATTCAGCGCCATACTCAGCATGCCGGGCTCGCGGAGCTGCGTCCCATTGCTGTGCACGTGATTGGCATAGATCCATATCGCGCCGACGATGCTGGCGTTCATGAGAATCATAGCGCATTGGTAGAGGAACGAGAGGATGGAGATGGCGCTGCCGTAGCGTAGGTTGGGGGTTGAAGTTGTGACGCCTGGGTAGCGCGGGTAGGCGTAGGAAGAGGTGATGTAGAAGGGGGAGACGGTGAGGCGGGATTGCAAGGCTACGATTGCAGATTGGGCGGCGTAGCCGAGCATGAGGCAGAAGAGGCCGGTTAGGACGAAGAATTGGGTGCTGGTGGCACTTGAGAAGGGATTGTTAGTATATGGAGGTGGACTAGATGGGGAAAGAGGGAACTCACCTGTGTCTCTTGCCAGTTGACTGCCACACCTTCATGACTGTCCGTGATTGACTCCGTCTACCAGTGAGTTGCTTAGCAAACAGTCCCAAGGCAGCGAGGAAGAGCAGAAACGAGACGCAAGCTGTGATGACATGGAGGGAGAAGATGCCCTTGACGGCACTCGACGCGTTCGTTATACCCATCTTTGCCCTTCTTTGAAAGACCCCAAATTGCTCTGTCAATCTTAGTAGATGTTAAAAAAGAGCCAACGTCTCTGTGTGTTAAAAAAAAGGACGTAGTGTGCCTGTCCTTTTGATTGAAATATAAAAAGTCAAGACGACCCCTCTCTTCTATACCTACCACCGCCGCCAACACCTCAGACTATGCCGTCACACACAACTTCCATGCTTCCAGCCCAGCTACCCTCTATCCACCCATCATGACGACCGCCCTTCACCCCAGTGACGTCCCCTAGCCCGACAAAGACGTGTTCCATGGAACCTTCACATCCACATTCCCCCTAGCTTGCCCGCTCATCGCCAGCTTCCCTAGCAGTCAGCCACACACGACAACACCTTCTCTAGCCCACCGCAGACTACATGCGCCGTGCGACATGGCAGCAAATAAGCCACGCCCGGCGCCACTTTCCACCACTGCTTTCTTTGTCCTATGATGGAACAAGTGACGTTGAGCGTGGCCGCGGTGCGCGGAGCCCAGCGGGATGACGTCAACTATTGTAGTCGCTATAGAAAAAAAAAGTAATGACAACCACGACCACCAGCTATTTTCCTTGTCCGGTCGGAATGGGAGTGTTCTAGGCCAGTAGTTTGGAGCGGAACTTGCAGAAGCCCGGCGTAGAGATGCAGAAGCGCTTGGGAATCGTTGTTGCATTAGATGGGGGATGTCAGGGATGGAGAGGGAGATCGACGCTAGGATTTGAGGTCTGAGGGCGCTGATCGGGGGTGCAGCGTGGGAGACTAGGGAGGGATCGACGGGGCTGGGCGATGGGAATACAGGTATGTAAATATTTACGTGCGTGCGTGGGCATATGACTGGGAAATAGACTTGCACTTGGACTTCCTTGGGGGATCTTGTCGGAAGAGTGATCATTTCTAGTTCGAGGAGGGGTCATCCATTCATTCGGTGCACAAGCACAACGCCAACTTTTTTCTGAATTTCGAATCGATCAATCGCTCTTGCCTACCCCGACGACTCTTCCACTTCCTCTTAGACCCAGTTCTTCGGGGCTCAGGAAGCGGCGTGCAGCTTCGATGTCCTTTGCTCTTCCGCTATTGTTACTCTTGTTTTTCTTGCCGTGCTGTGCGATTTCGTAGTCGTTTTCGTTCCACCATCCGCAGCCGAAGATGACGAAGAAACAGATTAGGACAAATAGAGCAATGACTGCGAATACAAAGACCAAAAGCGCCCAGACGCCTGAGCTGATGTAGTTGACAAAGGACTCAGAGGCTGAGTTGACGATATGTGTTGCTGTGCCCTTTTTACCATTGGCATCCCAATCATGAAACCACATTGAGACTTTTCTCGGGCCTTTGACGCCTCTAGTCCGCGCGGGCGGTCTTTCAATCAAGTGGACCTTGACAATCTCATAGGCGCCAGCTGGATCGCCTGGAGAAAGCAAAGGCCGCTGCATAAGCACCAGTTCAACGATCTTCTGCTCTTTTCTATCCAAGAAGACAGTTAGAGGGGGCGAGGTAAGATCAGTCCATAATTCCATGATGTCGAATTGGAAAAGTAGGGCTTTGGGCTCATCTTTGACACGGGCTAGTGTGTACGAATAAGATGCGCCAAAGTAGCTGCCGCCGAGGTTGTCGAGCTGGTTTGAGGAAATGAGCGTGGCCACGTCATCAGTAGGTATGTCTTCCAGCACTTGGTTGGCGTAGATGCGCGGGAGAATCTTGTTGTTTGTTAATAGTGCGGCGTTGTTGATGTTTAGGTGGGCCGAGTCGTAGGGTAGAGATATATTCAAGAGCTAAGAGTATTATTATCAGCAATGTTTTTTTTTTAAAAAAAGCGATGTATGATGGCAACGGTACCAGAGCATTTGCATCTTTTCTTTGCGTCCATGGCGCATCATTGCCTTTCGACGTGTCTTGGTACAAGAACGGACACTCCACGCAAGGGACCTTAGCGATTACGTTGTAGCCTTCCGCCACAATCGTGATTTCCGGTGCGACTTCTGCATTGGCAAATGTAAAGTATGCGATAGCCGAGGCCAATGCTGCTATTCGCGATTTCATGTTTGCAGGTGCGAATAGCAAGGCAGGAAAGTAGACTGACTTGACACGTTGATGGTGGTGTGGCGCGTAAGTCAGCCGCGGCGGGTGGGGGCGGCATCAGCTATGTATCATGTGAAGCCGCGACTTAGCGTGTTTGGGATACAAGGTGCTTTACTCTATTTTACTTTTGGGAAAATATTGAGGGCAGACCGCAGTGAAATTTTCGGAATGTCCCATCTACATCAAAACCATCAAAATCGATCTTGTCTTATCAATTTTCGTTATGTTGCCAAATTTTCCGCCACGCCATTGAAATCCCAAAAGTTTACCTCTCTAATCTTACCATCGTGAAGTCAAACATTAAAATAAGAAAACATGCCAAAAACGCTCTCGCTATGCGACCAATATCAGTGTTTAATATGAATGATTTCCAATCTCATCATTCGCCATCTCCAACTTACTCATCTCCGCCTTCCCTAACCCCATGTTGACTCATCAACATTGCCATGGTCTCGTTATCATCGCAACCATTGGACAGATCGGAATATGCTTCCTTAGGGATATTTGCTGCTGTGTTTCCATCATCTTTCAACACTCCATCCATACCCTTTGTCTCTTCTTCACACTCTGTCGTCCCAATCAAGACCTTCCGTATCGTTTTGCAACTGCGAAGCGCCTCCGCGCCTCCGCTCTTCCCTAAGTGCTCTTCGATATTAACCAGTTTCTTCGAGATACGCTCTTGGTTTGATGCAGAAGTGTATGGTTGAAGCCTAGGGCCAATACTACTGTGACTGGTGACGGCAAGGGCTCCAATTTCGATAATCTGCCGGCTTCTCGCAAGTTCTTCTGGACGCGACATTTGTCGAAAGAGAAGACCCTCTGTAAATGAAGGGAAAAACGGATTGTTATTTTCTATGCTGTGGTTTTGATGAGTGATGTTGGTGTCGCAGTCGGTGCCTTCCACTACGTTCAACGGCGTTCCGATCGGGGTTAGCAACATACCGCCTACCAATGGGCTAGACTGTAGCGAGTATGGAATGCTTTTAGGCTTCATCGGCCTGCCTCGAGTTGGAGGACTTTGGCATAAGCCCCTTACACAGCGCAAGTGTAGGTCTCTCCCCCGGAGTTCCTCCGGTATAGTTCTGGCACGTGGTGCTTGGAGACGGATGAAGGTTGGATTCGGTATGCTTGCTGCTACGACTCGGTCCATATCGCCATGACTGAGTGATCGTCGGCGACTGGCGGGCTGCACCAGCTGTGTTGAATAGAGGTGGACATTGTTAGTCTCTGATCTGATGGGAAAAGGTCGAGAATTGAAGATGGACTGAGGTATACTCGCTTCGTAAGGTCGATTAGTTTCAAATGGGTAAGGGTGTGGTTTGTCCACTTCTGGAGTCGGATACGCTAATGAGCGACGATTAGAGCTGTGAGCTGAGGGTTCAGGTGTCGATATGACAGAGAGGCTTGATGAGTCGACAGGTACTAGTAAGGCATCTCCATATGTGAAGTTAGTGCCGTCAAACACTTCGCTATTGTTCGATGAGAAGATGTCTCCATCCGAACCACCAGAGCCAAATAATTCCTCAAAGTCGGCCTGGGAGAACTGATCTGAAGACGAAAGAAACGGGTCTTCAGTGGCTCCATCGAATGGCGTGTTTGGCTGAGACATTGTGCTGTATTACAATTCACTAGAATAGCCTCGGAGCGGTCGGGAGAGCGTGCGATCAATTGTAGCACAGAGCTCTATAGTTGCGGGAAGGATGTTGCACAGAATATGGAAAGCCGCGTGATCGACGTCCAGATATAGTCGTCAAGCTGCTTATGGGCTGGTCTGGGCTGAGACATATAGCTGGAGAGAGCTTGGTAGACTTGTTGACCGCAATACGGTGAGCGAATCAGCGAATAGCTGTTTGGTACATGGCTCAGGGCAAACACCTTTGAGCTGTGAACCAGCTTGTGCGTGGTTAGTTTAGAGCATTGTTTGTACAGTACACTGGGATTAGACATCTCATAGTGTACATCTCGATCTTCTTTGCCGTACGTGTCATGTTGTGATACAGTTACTGAGTCAACTCCATTGCAAGTGCACGGATCCTCTAAAAAGCCGTGTTTGTTCACCTCGTTTCTGAGTCTTGATCTCAATTGTGTTTCACCAATGCTGCCTTGATGCGGCAAATCATGAACTCATGAAATTTGTCGCCTTGTAACGGTACCCAGCATGTCCTTCCCCGTAACAATACCAAATACTCATACACGGAATGGCTTGCCTTCCTCAGCGGTGGAAGCTGGTGCGCCGCTCATCATAATTTACACGATATAATGTACATGTGAGAACTTGTTCCAAGGAAGTTGCCATGTTCACTCCTTCTTGTTCTCATTATCTTTGCCCTTCTTCTTATCCCAATTCCACACATCCCAAATCTGTTCCATGATCAAATCTCCATAGCCCTTGCCTTCTTCAAGCGCCTTCCTCTCTTCCTCTAGACGTCTCTCCTTCCATCCCTCGTCTTCATCTCCCATCCACAATTTCCCTAGTACGCCCTTTTGCTGTCCCTCCTTTCTCTCGAGCGCCTTCCTGCCCTTTTCCCTCTCCTCTTGCAGTATTCTTTGTGTCTCTCGCGCTCTGTCTGTGGGAAGTTCCATTGCGCGCATAGGTGAAAGGTTCTGTACGAGCCCGCGGCCGGTGCGGAGGGTGATTAGGTGGTCGGCGGACAAGTAGAACCCGATTCCTAGTGAGAAAGTATAGAGGTCCAGTTTTCGCGGTGGGAGCAGTGCAATTATTGGACATATCACGAGCCCTCCAATCGCCAGGTTTCGTACTATACGCTCATAGCGCTGTTGTTGTTCTAGGGCTAGACGTTGTTCTGGTGGGATGGGCACGTTTTGTATGGGATTCGGGGTCGCCATTGGCGGTGTGGGCGCTGCCTGCAGAACCGGAACACAAGACGGGATATTTATAGTGAAGTGTTTATTTAATGTTTGGTCTGTTTACAAGGTTTCTAGGGTAGCGTGGCGGGGGGTTTGGTGAATGTCAGGTCGAAAAGTTCAATGATGCAAAGACCGAGCGGTTAGCTTCCGCTCGGCTGCAGCTTCCCCACTAGAGCGGAAGGGCTGCGGAGCGCGTATGTACAGTACAAACCAGCTCGCGATATCCAAACAACGATGCGATCCATTGTCGCACTAGGACCGATTTTCTATCCAAAACAAGTGACGCTGAGGCACTTTAGATCTGAGACCACAACTGCCTGCCGCGAATTCGCTACGCTACCAGCGCACCGGCGGAGCTCGTGTTATGCTGCCAGGGCCTTGCACCCTTTTGCCAGAGAGACGGCGCATCATCATCGAAATTTTCGTCTTTTTACGTCGGTTCTGTCGTCAAATCGCTCCGTGTCATACCTCACAGGCCCGTCGTCTTTCCTGTCTCTTGTATGCTCAAATGCCCCACTACTCCTCAGCCGTTTCGTCGGTGTTTTCTCGTATTCACCTCCACTTTGCTGGTTCTTCAAGTCTTCTTCCTCTGTCGCGGCTGGCCCGCCTGAGCTGGGTGCATCATCGTATTCATTGTATTTTCGCTTCTGTGCCGTGCTAGGAGTCTGCATCAAGCGCCGTAAACGGCTCTCCTGTAGCCGCCTATTGACTTCTTCTGTAACATCGATGTGCTGAACTAGGTGGGCTCCTTCCGCCTGCGCTGTTTTTGCGCGTGGGGTGGGTGATTGGCCGGTGAGAGGGGATATGGCATGCGAACTTGATGCGTAAGTATGGGTGTTGGGCGTCGGCGTAGCGTGCTTTGCGCCTTCAAGGCTGAGTCGCTTGTTTGAAGTCTTGACCTGCTGCTGTGTAAGGATCCATCGTGAGCGTAGGTGGCGCGTGTGCGTACCTTCTTCTCTGCCAATCCTTCGCTTTCAAGCTGGTCTCTAAACCTCTTCATGTCATCATGCAGTCTACCCGATTTATTTCGCAACGATATAAGATCCGTCGCCAGCCAGTCGGGGGCATTATGATCTGTCGCCTCAAGAGTCTCGTTCAGAAACAGCAGCTGGGCGCGTAGACTGCTGATATGTTGGTCAAAATCCTAGCAAGTGAATAAGTTGTTTGTCAATTTAGGTGGCCGAGTGAATTACATCAAGCGATAGTCTCGCCATGTTGTGTGGGGAGGCTAATGTGAAGGGCAAGGAAGGTCGTGTGCAGGAGACTTTGAGATTGCGGACTCCCGAACTGCAGGCGGCTCAAGCTATACCCCTGCTTAAGAATGTTCCGACATAATTCCGATCGGAACCTGCGTCTTTAAAACTGTGTAAAACGAGGTCTCGATGCGTTTGGCCAGCACCAAAGTCTGGCAGATGAACCAGTGTATTTCAACATTATAACGACTTCTTTAAAATTGACCTAGTTTTTATACCAGGAAAAAAGGAGAAGTAGTAATAAATCCCAACACTAGTCGAACAAAGCCAATGCACGCAGCGTCGGCTCGCAACAAACGCAACCTTCATATCCTTGCCTCATCATCTGGTAGCTTTATCTCCTATAAACCCCCAATCCAAGGGACTGGAGGAGCCAGGCTGTGCCCGTGCTGTATGATGTGTGTGGCTTAGCATTGATACCGTTTGTCGGGCTAACAGACCATGTAGCCTATGGGCAACCTAAGTAGCATTTCCCATTCGGGCATTTGAACCAGAGGATCAAGGTAGAAGTAGGGCCTCTTGCTGAGAACATGCCTCGCACCAAGCAGGATTACGTGTCTGTGAAGATAACGTAGATTATAACCTCTCTCATCCCTCATCTTCGTCTCCAAAGGTAAGTTTAACTGCTTTGGCTTTCTTTTTTGGCTTCTTGGCTGGTTTGGTAGTAGGCTTTTCGGCATCCCTTTCTACTTCACTCCTGCTATCGCCTTGATCATCGCCAATAATCTTCGCGGCCTTGCGCTTCTTTGTATTTGCACCAACTTCAGCAATTTTGTCTTTGGGTTTCGACTCATCTTGCTTGGTTGCCTTTTGCTCGGCTTCATCTGTTACCGGGTCTTCTTCGCCCTTGCTGTCCTTGCCAGAGATGAGCGCATCATACTCCTCTTTGCTCAACGACTGGTTAGTATCTTCCAAGACGTATGTCGGCGCATCATCTTCATCATCATCCTTGTTCATCCTCTTGTTTCTGGCAATGGGATGTTCATGACGAGCGGTATCCCCACTTTGAAGTTGCCCACGTAGCCGCTGCAAGAAGGCTGGCTGAGAGCTGTCTGCGCTAATCAGTACCGCTTCCACTCTTCTGCTGGTGCACTCACCAAACTGTAGGTCCTTGGCCTTGAAGCTCATGGTGAGGCCGGTGGTGCAAGGGCTGGTGATGCAGGAATCTATGCCGAAGCCTGGATAGGATTGCAGGGCTGGAGTGATGTTGTATCTCCGTCGCTCACGTAGCGGCAGTCTCCTGTGCGGCCCCTTCAGACAATCTCGTGCGTGTCCCTGAACCAGAAGTTGAGCAAATTCTCTGCGACTCCCTATTGACGGGCTGTTCAGGGTACAGGTACAGAGGCTGTGTGTCGGGCCTAGTGCGTGAAAGATCCAGCCCTCACAGCTGCAGCCTCCTGCGTTGGCTAGTTGCACCTATCGGCCTGCACCTATCGAGCTGTGCTCTGCCTACTTTAGTGAGCTTGGCGCGTCTCCACCGATATGTTCCCTGTCAATTAGCACTTCTCGAAACGCATACGCAATCGCCGACCGTTAATAATTTACACTCGACAACCCTGGTTTCCCCTTTCGACACTCCCCCCGACCTCTCAACTCACAGAGTGTCGCGCAAAGTCCAGATTCCCATTGATGGTCACATACCGGTTCGGAACTGCCACCCAACGACGCTTACCCTCGTCACTCGCCCCAAACCTGGCCGTATCAGAACACATATCTGGCCGCCTACGATTGGCATCACCTAGCAAAGAACTGCCACTGGCAGTAACGTCTTTCTCCAAGGCCGCCATCGCAGCGTCGCAACCATGGGCCTCCTGCAGGACATGACGCAGAGGTTGCCAACGACAAAAGAGAGCCTGGACAGATTCGACGACCTCTCGCGCCGCGCTGAAAAGACGACTCCCCGATTGTCCTTCTTCCGCCGCCGGGTACGACTGAAGGGATCTTCGTCCGTTTCCATTCCACTGGGCCTGGTGCTCCTCTTCCCATGTCTTGTAATAATCATAATCATAATTCTTTTCGTGAGGTCGCCAGACTCTCAGGGTATTATGAACATGCCTGCGGGCACCCCGCCGTCAATAAGGTATCATCGCCCCCATTGCAGCAGCACCCACTAGATGGCTAACAATTCACAGAAAGATCAGCGAAAAATACGACAAGCCCTTCGCTGTAGGCTGTCTCGAGCCCCAGGTCAACGGACCCCGAGCAAACGCTGCCTTCGTAGTGCTAGCAAGAAACAAGGAGCTAGACGGCGTCCTCCAGTCGATCAAATCCATCGAGAGACATTTCAATCGGTGGTTCCATTACCCATACGTCTTCCTCAATGACGGCGACTTCAACGAGACATTCAGGGAGGTGGTCTTGAAGCACGTTAGTGCTCCGGTCGAGTGGGGCAAGATACCGCCAGAGCAGTGGGGCTTCCCAGACTGGGTCGACCCTGATGTTGCTAAGGAGGGCATCGCAAAGCAGGGAGACAATGCCATCATGTATGGTGGTATGGAAAGTTATCATCACATGTGTCGGTTCTACTCAGGGTAGGTTTAAGAGGAACAAACACCGCAAACTAAGGCTGGGCTGACGATCCACAGCAAGTTCTACCAGCACGAGCTACTTGCCAAATACGACTGGTACTGGCGTCTCGAGCCGGAGATCAAGTACTTCTGCGATATCACATATGATCCTTTCATCCACATGATTCGGAACAAGAAGACGTACGGCTTTACAATTGCTGTGAAAGAGTTGAGGGAGACGGTGCCCAACATCTGGAGATATGCCTCGGCATACAAACGCAACAACAACCTCACTTCCAAGGGCATGTGGGAAATGTTCGTCGAGAAGCCTAAACCTGAGGACGAGGATACACAAAAGAATGAGCCCAAACCGAAGAAGGCCTTCTTTCCCCAAGATATCATGGACTCAGAATTTGGCTCAGACGCGTTGCCTGAAATTCACCCCGAAAACATGGAGGGCGAATCGTACAACATGTGCCATTTCTGGAGCAACTTTGAGATTGCCAACCTGAACTGGTTCCGCAGCCAGGAGTACAACGATTTCTTCGAGTTGATGGATCGCAGCGGTGGCTTCTGGATGGAGAGATGGGGAGACGCTCCCATCCACTCGTTAGCTGTGGGAGCACTGCTTGGGCCCGAGGACATCCACTACTTCCGCGACTTTGGGTACCGGCATACTACTATTCAGCATTGTCCCGCCAATGCCCCTGCACGACAGCTACCTAGAGATCCCTACCTAGAGCTGACGACAGAGAATGAGAAAGAGCGAATTGAGGAAGACAAGTATTGGGCGACGCCAGACCCTGTCAAAGAAAATGGCGTCGGGTGCCGCTGTAAGTGTGACACGGATATCGTCGAGGTGGAAGGCAAAGAAGGGTCTTGCTTCCCCGAGTGGGTCGAGGTGGCGGGCGGTTGGGCTTCGCCCTAGGTACCAGAACCGTGGTCTCTTCGTGTTGCGTACTTTTCTACCAGCCTCCAGTGAGCATTTTGTGGGCGCATTAGCATTGACTACTGGTTTCAGTAAGGCGTAAGGTGTTGGTATTGCATGTCTGTTGGGCGGCCTTCCAGCAGAGGATCATCAGGACTATGCGGGCGTTGTCGGTGCGCCTCGGTTGCTGCATATGGGCGGAATTGCCATATATCTACGAAGACGAACCACATTTCAAAATGTATGAGTAGGTTTATAGCCTGGAGGTGAACCTTATTAGTTATGACTGTTCCTTTGTCGCGGATTTGGTGTTCGCCCCCCACCCCCTTTGTCCATGTGAACCATGTATCGTACGCTATCGCTTACTATGCGGGGTACCCCCGTTGGCATCATCCCGCCTTCACCATGCACCCAGCTGCGCCGTGCCATTATCATTGTTTGCATATACTTGAACAATCACCTGGATTTAATGCAAACATTTGAAGCATCGTTCACTCTTACAGTAAGCAAGCCCGCATGTGCTTTCATTTGCTCCGTATCTACCCCACCCTGCCCCAAGGCACCCTGACGCGCCTCGCCCGTTGCTAGTCAGGCAGCGGCGACCAGGTGCCCACTGCTACCTATTCCCACCCTTGCCCCTCCATCTACTTACCCTCCTCCCTTCACAGCTGAGGAGTTGTAAACACATTGTCTCCTACATGAATTCAAGCTGACATGCCTTCTAGCGAATCTCTTGCTTCTCCAGATCTTAAGTTTCCTCCCGTGCGAGTGAACGGATCACTGACAAGGCTTGACCTTGAAACGCTTATGATGCGGTCCACCCAACGCCCGCAGCCAGAAGAGGCAAGCAGCGCTCTTGAAGATAGCAACTATGATATGCTCGGCGATGGGGTAATGGAAGTCTCGGACGATGAAGCTCACACGGCATCGATCGCCTCGACCGACGCTCCAACGCCCGATGACACATCCGACGAGTTCACTGACGATGAGGCCGACTACGAAATGGGTGACCGAGGCCTACAAGATAGCATCTATTCATCACAAGCCGAACCGCTAGAGCAGCAATCCGATGCACGCCCCGCATTAATGGGCGAGGACTCGACGTTGACCGAAGTGCCGTCATACCTGTCTGGGAGTGAGAGCTCCTGGCGCATCACACTAGACGAGCAGCCAACGGACAATGATGAGGTTGTCCAGGGAGGTAATGTCATTCAGAGCTCGACCGACTATACGGACGAGCTCCCACAAGTATTCAGCCGTTACGGCTGTGAGGAGGTCAGGCTGTCCGTAAAGGCAGCCTTGTCGAAACACCCCTTGCCCCCTCCAGATTCGTACAAGATACTATACATTGGAATGCCTGAGAGATGGGCAGAAGACATCACCACTACCCAGATTGCTATGGCACTCGGTGCTTACCCTAGCATCTCCAAGTCGGTCATGGTACGCGGGCAGGTCGAGCCATACGTCCCTGTCCCGCAAGTTTCTCGCTGCACCGGTCTCGAGGTTGTCACCTCACGTGGAAAGCCAACGCGAATTGTGGCCAAACTAGAAGATGGCAAGCAGCTCGAGTTCAGCCATAGCACGGCCGCTCACTTCCTAGACCGGCCAGATCTTGTCATCATGTGTCACCGAACACAGCCACACTCGTCTAATGAAAGAGAGGCCATTGACTTCGCCAGAACGATCTTTGCCTATGCTGAGATACCATGCATCGAGCTTGCTCAGGTCATCCCCCATGGTATTCCATCGCTCGTCGAAGACCCGGCAGCTTTGCAAGTGCATGTTGAGGGTCGAGATGACCCAAACACTGACTACAAGCTGAAAGCAGTATTGCCCCTGAATCATCGCGGCTTTAGTAGATTGGACCCATCGCAACTCAATCGTCACCTTGCCTACATCAGCCCTCGCCTCATGACTGCACGAGACACAAAAGACAGCACAAAGGCACAGACATCATGGATTGGTGGTAAGATCAAGACGTTCACGAAGAAGATTGGAGTGCAGTTGCCCTTGGCAAGAACGCTCATATCTGCGCTGGTTCTATGTGTATTGATACCCGCCCTATTCCAGGGCGCAGCCTTTGCCCCTATGCTACTCCAGAAGGCTTCACGAAGCGTATCAGCATTATCAGTCCTCTCTGAGCTGGAAAACATTGACTCAAGCATTACTCCTGTTGCGTCAGAATCTTCACGACTCGTGACACCCATCTCTTCTTCGTCTATCCCGACGGCAATGGGAGCTCTCACAGTCGTACCGGCTTCACTGAAGCAGCCTAGCAGAAATCCAAAGACAGAAGATGGAAAAACTGGAAGCTTTGAGCTCCAAGCCACTGGGGATCACCAGTTCATACTTCGCCCTTCAAAGGCATTTTCTTCGAGGCGTAAGAGACCACAGCTTCAAATCCAGATTGCTTGTCAGTCGCAACAGGTCCCTATTCGGTACAATCGAACCATAACTGGAGAATACATTGTCGATCTCGAACACAAGTATCCATACGGCAAGTTCAACGTCAGTATTGCAACTCACTCAAGGCCCCTTCTGCGACAGTCTTTCGAAGTCATGCTCGGCCACAACAAGTCGATGCTGGAACAATTCATGGATAATGCCAGATCTGGTCTCATGAGTACCCAAGATGCTCTGCGAAACGTTTCCTTGATGGCGACACAGCACATGCAAACCTACATGGATGTGCGGGATATCGATGTCGCCAGTGCCTCTGAGCAGATGCAACAGGTCCGGCAGAAGTTTCAGGAGCAATTTCAGGCGAAAGGTCGTCTGGCAAAGCAGATACCTGGAGCAGCATGGGTGGGTCTACGCGAGGTGACAGCACCGGTACGCACGTCACGGGCAATGAAGAGAGCTAGGATGAATGCACTTCGCCTTCGATGCAAGATGGAAATGGCTGCAGGACTGTCTGGGAAATATGACGAAGAGAAGCAGAGCTGGGCGTGCTCCAAAGTGAGAGGGGATATGTGAGATGGGGTTTGGTAGAGGGTAGTCGGACGGTCAAGTCCATGGGTGGAATACTGTGGGAGGATGCCATGTTTGCTTCTGGGTTTTTCTTTGGCGGGGTAGAATATGTATATGTTGCAACAGCATTTATTGATGGACACGAGGGCGTGGAGTTATGAACATGATACCCGGTGTGCACACTGGACTGGTTGAGGCGAATTGGCGCGTGGCGTTTGTATGGGGGCGTTGGGCTGATAGGTTACTGAAGCCGGGTTAGTTTCAATGTATTTAGCACAGTAATACTCTGGCCGAATGAAGCCTTGCGCCCCACCCTATGTGTAATCATGTACATATGCTAAAGATTTGACGTTTGCCTTGTTTTGATGTTGTACATTAGTGCACGGAAAGCAGCATGTGCACTGCAGGAAAGGTTGTGACACAGGACGTTGATGGTATAGCATGTTGGGCAGGGGTGGCACGTACGTCAGAGGGCCTAAAGAGGTAAAGCGCGAGATAGAGGGGCATGCATCCCACTTGCTCAATTTGTGGGCAGACTGTTTGACACTGAACACCCACTCCTGTACCTACCTAACACAAAAACTTTATCTCGCCACTACATACCAACCCCCAATATACATTATCAATACAACAACCATGTCTGAAGCAGCCAAGCCCGACCCCGCCGCCGACCAGGCCGCCAACCCAGGCCCAACTCTTGTCAAGGACGAGACTGCAAAGGTGACGACTGACAAGGCTGCCGACAAGGGCGAGGCAACGACGGAGAGCACAGACAACAAGCCTCTCACGGAGAAGGCGACAGAGGCGGCGGCTGCAGTAAAGGACAACGTTTTCTCCATGTTTGGTGGCGGACCCGCAAAGGCGAAGAAGGAAGAGGCCGATGACGTTGACGAGCCGTCAGGCTCTTCCAAGAACAAGGGCGATGTCGGTATCTCTGTCCAAGTGGTTTTGAGGTTATGCTAACGTTGCACTAGGACGAGAACCCAGAGAACGAGGAGCCTGATGTTGAGTTCCAGCCCGTCGTCCACCTTACCGAGAAGGTTGATACCAAGACCAACGAGGAGCTTGAGGAGCAAGTGTTCAAGATGCGCGCCAAGCTGTTCAAGTTTGACAGGGAGTCACGGGAGTGGAAGGAGCGAGGCACTGGCGATGTTCGGTTACTGAAGCACAAGGAGAACGGCAAGACGCGCCTTGTCATGCGACGAGACAAGACCCTCAAGGTTTGCGCCAATCACTACGGTATGAAGTGACTCGATTGGAACGACGAGATGATAATACTGAGATGTGCGTAGTTGTCCCCGACATGAAGCTGTCACCCAACGTAGGCAGCGACCGCAGCTGGGTCTGGAACGCCGCAGCCGATGTCAGTGAGGGCGAGCCTGAGGCGCAGACACTTGCGATCCGTTTTGCAAACAGTGAGAGTAAGTAGCAATTTGTTTGTCTAGATGGTAAAAGGAGGCTAACCATTTGTGCCAGACGCCAACCAGTTCAAGGAGGCCTTCATCAAGGCCCAGCAAGAGAACGAGGCGCTCTTCGGCAAGCCGGAGTAAGAGGGGTCACGATAAGGTCGAGGAAAAGGTAACGAGGGTTTATGGATGATGGACGAGCATGAGCATGCATTGCACGAATAGCGAGGAACGGTTTGGGATGATAGTATATCCTGGCGGTAGTAGATGTGCCTCATTAACAGCACAACAATTAGATAGTAACTCAGTGGCCTGGCTAATAAAGTCAATGGCATTTCCCCCAAGTCGGCTTTCTCTGTAAATTGCCAGTGTGATTATCTCTATCGTGCTAGCACTGTGCCAGGCCTTCTCTCACTCTCACCTGGTGGTGTAAGAAAGGCATGTAATAAGGGTCATGGTTCTGGTATCAGCAGGTCTCTCACCTGATAGAGTAAACCAGACTAGAACCCCTGTCGGGCAGCCTTGCGATGGTGCAGCCGTTGTAGTGCTTGACCGTTGATGCCAAGGCCCAGAAGATCGAACGAGTAATAGTCAGCCTCCGCCCGCCCCGCCGCGACGTGCATCACCTAGCCTCCGCCAAATCATAGCTCGCGACCAGCGACCAGACCAGCCACCGCCTGCACTTCCAACCCTCTTCTCTGCCCAACGCCCTCAAACCTTATCGCCAGAGGCATACTACCAAAGTCGCATACATCCGGACTACCGTCTTAGCCTGCATTTGGTGCATACCTTGTGCGGAACACGGCAGCTTCCAACAACTAGTTACTCTGCCATACTCAATCCTTACGGCGCAAGTTAGACAAGATGCCAGACGTACGTTGCGCCCTCGACAGATACGCACCCCATCGCACAAACACTAACAGTCGAGCAGGCCAAGCGATGGGTCAAGCTCGTTACCCACCAAAAGCCCATGTACGTCTGCATTGCGCGCAGTCGCAACCGCTGTCTTGACGCGTATCCACAAGGCCACCCATTAACACGCGCACAGTGACGAGCCTTCACCTGTCGAGGGCTTTCCCATGCGAACATGGAGTATAGAGATCTGGCTACTTGACGACCAGGGTAACGAGGTCATGCCCAACGTCTTTGAGAAGGCTGTCTACAACCTCCACCCGTCATTCGAGAAGCCCAAGCATGGTGCGTGTGCCATGCAGTCTTACCTTGATTACAGCTTTGCTGACCCCGAAAACAGTCCTCAAGAAGCCTCCTTTCCGTATCGAGGAGAAGGGCTGGGGTGAGTTCGACATGACCATTGTCCTGACCGCTGTCGGCAAAGGCGGCGACCACACCCTCGAACATGATCTCAACTTCCAGTCTGAGCGCTACGAAGCCAAGCACCAGGTGGTATGTCTACAGCTAGCACCGACTACTTCGTAGCCACCAAATTGCTGACTCTATGCCAGACCTTCCGAAATCCCAAGCCGGAGCTCCTCGCCCTCCTCGCAGAGTCCGGTTCCGCCGAGGCAAACGGTATGCGCAACAAGGATGCTATCAAGAAGAAGAGCCGAAAGGACAAGAACGTCGATATGGAGAAGCTGGCGGATGGCCTACAAAAGCTTGGCGAAGACGACCTCCTGCACGTTGTCACTATGGTCCACGACAACAAGACGAGCGAGACGTACACGAAGAATGATGTAGAGAGTAAGTTGTCCTAGGCGTTCAGATGGGACGAGATATACTGACATGTGATAGACGGTGAGTTCCATGTCGACCTGTACACGCTACCCGACTCCCTCGTGAAGATGCTATGGGACTTCACGGCCTCCAAGGTGGACCTGTAAGCCAGCCTTACAGTCTAGCCATCTTATCTTTGATCAATGCGTCCTGATCTACAATCACACACACATGATGACTCATGTACCATTTCCAACCATCTTACCACATCCTCTCCAAAGACCCGAGTAGCAGCATTCCGCCGCTTACTTCACAAGCAAGACTCGCATCTGTGTTTAAAGATGCGAGACCTCTCCCACCTGTCTGGACGTGACGTGGTCAACATCTGGGGGATAATCTCATGTGTTATTTCGTTCCACTATTCCTCTCCTCAATTTCTAGTTATCCACGAGCCTCGGAGTTAGACACGGGCTTTTTTTATTCTAAAAAGGACTGGCTGGATGGATGTGTATGGGTGGTTTTTCACATATCAGCGACCCTCTATGTTTTTATGGAACTGGAGGGGATTCGTGGCTGGTGGATGCGTATACCAGGTTTTCATTATATATCTTTTTCTTTTCTCCCTCTCTCTGACACAGAGGCAATGCAACCATTGGTGTACTCATTTTTGTGTGAAAGGAAATGACGATATATTGGGGCTCCATCTTTTTTTTGAAGTTATGAGAAAAGAAAAAAATGACATTGAGACTTCACGAAAAGACGAAAACAAAAGAGGGTCACAGTAGATTGCAAGTGCATCTGCTTGCCACTGGGGAACATTGATATATCGTACAGTCCATGCATTCCAAGCACATGGTGCTTTCGTCACTCATCCATATCGTACATCCAGTAACCATCTCCACCCCCCTTCACATCACACCTTCAACTCAAACCCTAACCCACACTACTCCTATTCTCATCTGCATCTCGATACCACTCACTTCTTAGCTTCAACTCCACCACTAAGCCACCCCTCCACCGTAGCCGCTAACCGCCTCGCCTCCTCTCTCCGTTTCACCGCCACCGCCATATCAGTAGCCCGCCACTCTACCGGCACCCGTCTCAGCACTGTGCCCCTGGTCCTCCCCCGCGCAGACGAGCCATGCGAACGAGATGGCAAACGGCGTTTGAATTTCGCCCTCGCACCATCGGGGTACCGTATCGTCCCTATGAAGAAGGATTCGTGGCGTTTGATGGGGATGGGGATGCTTACGCGCCTCACTCGGGGTCGTGAAGCACGTTTTTTGATGGAGGGTTTGCGTTTCTCAGGCACAGAATTGCGCTTAGAGCGAAGTTTTCTTATCGTAGGGTCTGCGCCGACGTTGCTCTTATGGTAGCGGATTTTTGTGCCAAATTTCCTGCGGCGTGGAGCGTGGAGACGACGGACGTGTCGAGCGCGGGATAGAGAGCGTCGGTGTTTGACTTGTGTACGCAATCGGTGGTGTTGGATGCTGGAGAGGGTTGCGCCGGCTTCTTCTGCTAGACGGGCGGCTTGGAAGGCTAGGATGCGGAATGTTTTACTGAGTGCGTCCGGGTCATGCTCGGTTGGGATGGTTAACTTGCGGATCAAGGGTGCTTTTGACTTTTTTGCCTTGGAGCTAGGTTTCTCCTCTTTCTGCTTTCTTATATGCGTAGTGGCTTTTCCCATGGAGTTGCGAGTCTTGCTATTGATGACTTTACTGATTCTGCCACTGCCATGCGTCCTCCAGGAACCTTGTCTACGACAGACTGACATTACCGCTTGGTATTCAAGTTTTTGTTCCTCAAATCTCCTCCGAAGTTCGTACAGTATGCGCTTTGCTGTGCGAAAGCTGAGCCGGCCAAACGTACTGACACCAGCAATACCAAGTGTACGCACCAATTCTGGTATTGTCAAACTAGGCGAAGAGTATGAGTAAGTCTTTACACTTAGAGATGATCCACTCGCTTTTCTTCGTGACTCCTCCAGTTCGGGTCCTGGATGTACAGAATGGGATGGCTTGGTGGCAGCAGTTGAAACTTCCAGATCTACGGTTGCATTCTCCGACTGTGTATCTGAGTTTAGTGCAGAGCTGGAGAATTTGCACATAGACACTGGTCGGTTGACAGTTGGGATATGTCGGATCCCAATTTTCCGCGGATGGTTTGAAGGTGGGTCAACCAAAACATTTCCTACATGAGGAGAAGAGTTCAGAGTGTTCCGCGATGATAATGAGTTCAGTTTATTTGGAGATGAATTTTGCTACTTAAGAATCAGAACACGTGCTCGAGTAAAGATCACTCCGAAGCAGGCTCACCTACGTCCTTGTCCTTACCATCCTGTTCTAAGTTTGTACGTGTCGTGGAGTCGGCATATGAATTAGTTAGGTTAGTCGTCCAAAGGCGCGAAAAGGGAACGTCAAGCTTGGTTGTATAGACAGAGCTAGTCTCGCCCACGTCTTTCCCACGGCGGCGTATTATAGTCAAAGCACCTTCTGTCAGGGCGCCGAAATTGCCCTGGAATACAGTAGAGCGATGCTTTTCGGTCGTCATGTGCTGCCAGGACTCTCCGGGAATAGAATCCATCGTGCTAGGAACGGTACCTAGCTCCCAGCCCCAAGACCTATTGACCTTTGATAGCGTTGAGATCGTCCCATAGTTGTCAGCCTCACGAGCCTCTTGAGCAAGGTCAGACTTTGGTAAGGTGAAGAATTGTATCGAGTCACCATCTTGCACAACTGGTGTGAGGGTTGATTCAAAGTTTCCTGGGTTGTCAATGCTGGTTGGAGCGTCTGGACCAGAAGACTTATTGACTGGCATGGGATCCAACGACAGCAGACCTGCTTTCTTTCCCCATCCGCCTCCTCCACTTAGGACACGGTGGAGACGCGCCCCTTCTGAGAGGGCTTCAGATACAAGTGTATTCCAGACAGGTGGTTCACTTCGCCACAGAAGTTCCCAAGCTTGGTCTGGGCCAGTAGAAGTTGGTTCATCTTCGACCGGAACGCTAGATAAAAGTTTTTCAGTCTTTTCCGTGATTGTGTCTTTTAGATCTTTGGGTATGACTAAAGCCCAAGCAACTGTGGCTTGCACCTGTTGACCCCTAGACAAGAAGAACCTAGGAACCACGTTCTCAAGCTCCGAGGATGCCTGGATACTATTGCCATCAGTGTCGACAACACGACGGATAATGTTACCCATGCATCCCTCTACAATTCGAGGTAAAGTAAGAGGAAGCAAGGGGATGCTAAGAGCAGATTTAGTGTCCGGAGTGGGACCATCACCAGCTAATCGAATGACATGGTGAGAAGGACTTGTCTGTGCGACCTTGGTCAATTCGCCACTTGTGCTGTTTTTTTCCCATCTTGACCTAATCATGGTTGTCGGCATCCCTGTTTGAAATACAGTATTGGCAAGGGGGAGCCGCAATGTGTCAAGACATATGTCATCGTTAAGTACATGACTCGAGGTGATGAAGTCGATGGTACCTTGCTCCGATGGCAGGAAAGACTCATCGGATTCGATAGAAGCGCTGAATGGGAGAGAAATATAGGCTATCCCTTCAAAGCCTGTTCCTGCGACGGGCGTGTCCACTTTGCGCCGTGATAGCTGAGACTCCAAGGTAATGCCACTCCACGGGTGTGGAACCGGCAGCTTATCTACGACAGCACAAAGCGCACGTATGTCAACATGTGCCGCCTCAATTGCCTTTTTGTAGATTCGTACAAGGGCTCTGCGAAGGAAAGCATCATGGTCGAGTAGGAAATGTGCGTAGGAGGGAGTGACAAAGAAGACGGCAAAAGACTTCTTGTGGGCTATGACAGTTGGTAGTGGCTTGATGGAATTGAACAGGTCATGGGGCTACGAAGTCGTAAGCACGCAGCATTCGATTGAGGTGCGGATTTCTCACATGGGCATGAACAGAATCCGGAATGATTATGCCGCCATGGATGGCCCTTCGTTTGGCTGCTTCATTGAGGTCGGTGGTTGATGGAGGTACGGTGTAAGAGCGCAGTCGAGAGCGCCGACTGCGCAGAATAGCAGAAGCACGCGTCACAACTGGCCATTGTCGGGCAACCAGCAGAGGCATTTGTCGAGGGTCAATTGATGACGGCGCGGGACAAAAGTGGTGTTGAACATGCGGGCATCCATGACGCCTCGACGCTAGGGTGCGTACGTAAGCAGAGCCGCGACATTCGCGACGGGGTATGGCTCCGACAATGCGGAGATTCCTCCTGGAATTAATCTGTCCACGACCACTCTTGCACCCTCCTCCCACCGTGCCCTCATTCTTAACCCCTCTCCAATTCTTCACTCAACTCGGCCTCCAGTGCACACCTTGTGGCTGTGCACGCCGCCAAAACTTTCTCCGAGCGCCGGCCAGGCCACGTCTCGCGCACCTCCTTGCGCCCAATTACCCTTACCACGACCACCACTTACCGCCTCCAACTTCTGATGCGCCAACCGTAGGCCCTTTTCCACTCTGGCAGCCGCGGTTCGCCTTACTCCTTAGTTTCCTCCAGCCACCATGTCACGCTCGCTCCGACGCCAGAATCCCATCACCATAATCCTCGCTAGTATCCTCTGCATTGGTTTCTTTATCTTCTTCTTCTCCGGCAGCGATGTCCCCTCCATGTCCAAGGGCAGCGGCGATGTAGCCTCCAACCCACTGTCTCCGCCATCCTTACCTTTTCGCAAGTCGAAAGCCAATTCCCCTCAGGTCGCGCCGCCAGTTGTACATTACTACATGAACAATGTGACCAATTCTCGCACGCCTGCTGAGAACGAAGAATCAGTTCTCATCCTCACACCATTAGCTCGGTTCTACCAGGAGTACTGGGACAACCTCCTTAAACTCACCTATCCCCACCACCTCATCTCCCTTGGATTCATAATCCCAAAGACAAAGGAGGGCAATGCTGCATACACTGCATTGCAGGCACAGGTAGCAAAGACGCAATCAGGTACCAAATCGAAGCGCTTCGCTGCCGTTACTATTCTCCGCCAGGACACCGAGTCCCCCCTACAATCGCAAAACGAGGCCGAGCGTCATAAGATGGAGAACCAGAAGGCGCGGAGAGCAGCCATGGCAAAGGCACGAAACTCGCTCTTGTTCACAACGTTAGGTCCCTCAACCTCTTGGGTTCTATGGATGGATGCCGACATTGTTGAGACCCCACCCACATTGATTCAGGATCTGGCTGATTACAACGTGCCCATCATTGTGCCCAACTGCTTCCAGAGATACTACAACGAGGAAAAGAAGGCCATGGACATTCGAGAATACGATTTCAACAACTGGATCGACAGCAGCACTGCACAGGAATTGGGCAAGAAGATGGGCAAGGATGATATCCTACTCGAAGGTTATGCAGAGATGCCAACCTACCGTAGCCTGATGGCCAAGATGTACGACCCGTCAGCGGACCCTCACGCAAAGGTCAAGCTCGACGGTGTAGGAGGTGCTACATTACTAGTTAAGGCCGAGGTCCACCGAGACGGTGCCATGTTCCCGCCATTTTCCTTCTACCATCTCATTGAGACGGAGGGCTTCGCCAAGATGGCCGCCCGATTAAACTGGGAGAGTTATGGACTGCCCAACTACCTTGTATGTGTCCTTTTCTGGATGCTCTACGATAACCCCGATGCTAACAGCAACTACAGGTGTACCACTACAACGAGTAACAAGGTCGAAAGCGAAATTCTTGAAGTTTTGGGGGGCTGTTCCGTTTCAGTGGTCATTGGGCGGCGTTGGAAATGGCGGTTTAAAGACATCACTGCAATCATGAGTCTTACCGCCGCGCATTTATGACAACCATGTTTTGGAGGTATGGTGGCTTGCTGAGCAAGAAATATACCAGTTAGCAATTTTTAGACTTGAAATACCAACACGACAGATTTTTTTCATTCAATCGGGCACTTGATTTTTGTAGCAAAAGAAACTTTAATGTATATTACATGGAAGCTGCTCAGCCGTTGGCATCTGACTAACTCGCTGTTTGGTTCGTTGCGGAGAATGTGCACCCCCGATAGGCTAGCTATCGCGACCTGCGGGACGAGCTCCACAGATTCGCTGACCACTGCGGCAATGGCGATATGTTCTTTTGATGTGATCAAGTCAACAAGTAGCCTACATATGCACCTCCGGCTACATCATGCAGCCCATATCGGGTCCTTATCTCCTCCCCTGCGGGGATTGTTTCAACGCGCGCCAGGAACATCCAAGTCGCCTTCCCGTGCTTAAATGACGTTTCCCGAGTCCCGAGCAATGTCTACATGCCGCTGCTTATCACGTCAATCAAGTCAATATCTAGCCAGCCGCAACATATCCCAGCACTTGCACACTTCCCAGCGTATCCATCTGTAATATCCGACATTTTCTACCCTCGGATTAAGAGAACAGAAAAGACTACGCTATTGCATACAGCTTACCCGCGGATCCACAATGGCATCTATCTCAGGCCCACGCAAACGCATCCCAGACTCACGCGCAGACACACAAACGTCATCACAGCACATAGCGCCAACAGAAACATCATCTATACTTTCGTCCAGCAAGCCCAGCTCGATAAAAGACTACAACACCTTATCCCCCGAAATGCGCGCTCGCAACCACGCACACCCCTCTTCCGGCCCGTCCGCTACCAGCGATTCCGCAGCTGGCACAGAACAAGAAGGCACCGCAGGATCAAACTTGCAGCCCGCGCGAGAGCACAAGAAAAGCGACAGCAGCACCGACGTATCCAACGGCACACGAGGCGCACGACAAGGCGAAACCGGACTCCGCATCGAATCCAGGGCAGCAACAACAGCAGAGTCCGCAGCAGCAGCCGCCACGCGGCGAGAAAAAGGATGGTGGACCGGGTTCTGGGAGAAGTATGGAAGCGTAGAGTTGGACAACAAAGGGAGTGTAGCTAGGGATCATTTGGCACTGGGTACGCGCTTCCTCCCTTCTTCCCTTTATATATGCAACCCGTTCAAACGCGCTGACGTGTGATACTATTGGGAAATATAGAACGTACATTTCTCGCCTGGCTCCGTACCTCGCTCTCCTTCGCCAGCATCGGCATAGCGATAACACAGCTCTTCCGGCTGAATACGTCGTTGGCGGATTCGCCAGATCATTCCTCGCCGTCGTCGCACCAGATTAAGCTGCGGCAGCTAGGAAAGCCGCTTGGTGCGACGTTCATAGGGATAAGTATTGTGATGCTGTTGGTTGGGTTTCACAGGTACTTTGAGGCGCAGCATTATGTTATACGGGGCAAGTTTCCTGCCTCGAGAGGCAGCATTATTCTAGTTAGCGCCATTTCAGGCGCGCTGATAGGAAGCAGTCTGGTCGTCATCTTGGTCACGGCGCCCGGCGCATTCGAGACTTGATTACTCCAATCAAGAAAATGGAGGCAAGACTCGGTAAACTCGCTTGCTTGCTTGCTTTAAGTTTGGGTATCTTTGATTCATTTCCCTCGTACGTAATTCCTTTCCTTTTTTCCTTCTTTGTCGGAACCCTCACATATGCATTCACCACAAAATGCCGTCTCTTACAGATACAGACCCGTGTCAGTCCTGTAGATCGAACACACATATCCCACAAGCATCTGCAACCTCGTTCTCTGACGTCATAAATTCTTCCATACTCAAAACATTTTATGATCCCTTGGTAATCATTTCCGTCATCTCTTCCGTCGTCTTTCCGGCTCGCGAGGACTTGATAACGGTCTGAATCATATCTTCGACAGCGTCCCAGTCTGATGTGTCGATGGGGTGTAGGTCGGTCCTGAAGTATGAGGCAATCGCGTGCAGTTGCTGCCAGCTTGCCTTGTCGTGTACAAATGTTAAAGCAACACCGACACGTCCGAAACGACCGGTTCGACCAATGCGGTGGAGGTAGGTCTCGGGGTCTGCATCGATGCCGTTTGCCATGGTCGGGACATCCTGATATTTAATTAGTGCCGTTACTTGGCCTGCCAAAGTTAATGAAGTTATGACTTACATAGTTGATAACCATGGTGACGGACTGTACATCAATACCACGCGCGAGCACGTTGGTAGTGATGAGAACCTTGGCTTCGCCAGAACGGAACTGGTCAATGATACGGTCACGCTCGGGACCCTCTAGAGCACCGCTCAGTTGCGCGACCTTGTGACCCTCGGCTACCATGCGCTGCTCCAGCTCCTCAGCAGTCTTTCGTGTACGCACGAAAATGATGGACGAAGCTTGTGTCATTAGGCCATAGAACTTGAGCAGAGTGGCGTACTTGTCGTTGTCTTTGTCGATATCAATATACAGCTGCTTGATACCTTCAATGGTTAACTCCTCATGTGCCAGAGTAAGCGTGTTTGCGTTAGGTGCGAAGCGCTTCGCATATGCGATAACATTGGGCGGGAAGGTAGCGGAGAAGAGGACAGTCTGAATATCCTTGGGTAGCAGTGCCTTGACACGGGTACATTGGTCACCCAGACCCTGCTGATCCAGCATGTTGTCCGCCTCATCCAAGACAAGGATCTTGATGTACTTTGAGTTGATCAACCGCCGCCTGAGCATGTCCTGTACTGTTCCTGGTGTGCCGACTAAGACCTGCGCGTTGAACTGCTGTCCTCTGCGTGACGGGTCGGGAATAGCAGCCATGGTCTTGAGTCCGTCCATGAACTGTCCCATATGAGTGATGACACCCAAAATCTGACGAGCAAGCTCTCGACTGGGCGCGAGTGCCAATGCCTGGGGTTCGGGGTTGGCGAGGTCGACGCGGGAAAGGATATTGAGCGAAAAGGCGGCGGTCTTGCCAGTTCCGGACTGAGATTGCGCAATCATGTTCGTTGGTGGATTCAACAGAAGTAGAGGCAAGGCCTTTTCTTGAACTTTGGACGGTTTGCGGAAGTTCATGTTGCGGATACCTTTAAGGAGTGCCTCGGAACTGCATTTGTTAGTATGTCCAGGCGGCGAGCGCGTCTAGCTTACAGTTGTAGGTCTTCGAACGACTTGGCCGAGAACAGAGGGTTGTTGGGGTCAGCCTGCAAATCGGCAAGCTTGACCTCGACATTGAACTTGGTGTCGGTCAGTTCAGAGCCATTGCCCTCAGGGCCGCTGCCGTCGACCTGGGATTTCTCGATTGCGTCTGATGGTGTCTCTTCGGCAGCAGCATCTTGCTTGATGAGTGTCTCCTCCGCTGACGACATGGCTGGCGGCTACTGTAGTTCGCGTTGCGGGCGGTGAAGTTGAGTATCTCGCGGCCTGGGGGTCTCGGCGGTGTTGTTGTATGGGTGGAGTTCTTTATTTGTTAGAGGCAATTTAATCAACAGATATATAGTCGTGTCGGTGGACACACGCGACTGGAAGATTATGCTGTTGTTGCTGAAGTATGTACAAGACACCGCGTTGGAAATTGTGAGAGCTCCAGAGAGCAGCCTTTGGCGGGGCTCTGGCGCTAGCCGGATTTAGCGCCAGCGCCCGCGCCCGCGTTGCATGGACAGGGCCCGGCGTACGTAAGTACATATGTACGTATCCTATGAGCCTACCGCATCTTGTCGCGACCGAGCAAAGCGTCCACCTTTTTGATGCGCATGCAGACTTGTGTGGCTCACTCTGAGCGTTGTTCATAGTAAAGAATAGTGATATATACCAAACACAAGACCGTACCATTGCAGGAACGTCATCGGATCAGATCCCGGCCTTCCCTGCCCGGCGCGAGCACCGCCTCCTCCTGCCTCCTCCTGCCCCACTCTTGGGCATCCCATACCCAAGGCTCCTTGTACATACATACATACACTCCACGTAACCCTCGCTGTCTTTACCCCAGAAGTCCTTCATCCTCTATGTCCGGGGTGCCCATCTCCGCCCTTGCAGCGTTCGACCCATAGCTCTCCACGAATCATGGACGTTGATATTGCGCCCCAGTTCGGCGCTGAACTCAAGGTATACGAACGCGACTGTGCCACACCACCGAACGTGTGCTAACTGAGAACTCCAGGATGGCTTCAAGAATGTAAACGCTTGGGTATGTTGCCTGTGTCCCATTATGTCCACCCTGCGCGCTCATTAACTATGCGCGCTGTGGGGTTTGCGCTCCTATCGCTAACGTGACAGGCTACAGGTCTCCGGCGGCATCTCCTGGCTAGATGACATTCAGCAATTCTACCGAGAACGAAGCGCCATAGAGAAGGAGTATTCGGCGAAGCTGAGCGCATTAGCCAAAAAGTATTACGAGAAAAAGGCAAAGAAGCAGAGCAGTTTGAGTGTTGGCGACAACCCTACGGTTACTCCTGGCTCTCTGGAAAGGTACGGCTTCCTCTGCGATAGCATGAGGTCAACTAACGACAGCTCCCAGCGCTTCCATGACCACATGGGGAGTCCAGTTGAGCACTCTCGAATCTCGCGCAGCCGAACATGAACAATTCGCCGGCGCCCTCATTACACAACTGGCTGACCCCCTCAAGGTCCTTGGAACGAGGACCGAAGAATTGCGCAAACTTCACGGAGACTATGCTGCCAAGTTGGAAAAGGAACGGGATAACCAATACACAGAGTTGCGCAAACAAAAGGGCAAATATGACAGCGTCTGCCAGGAAGTCGAGAGTCGGCGCAAGAAGGTTGACACTGCGTTCGACCATGGCAAAGCAAAGGCTCGTAATGCATTTGAGCAACAGCAAGTCGAAATGCGCAATGTCAAGGTAGGTCACGCGCACCAAGCTCTGGTATTCGATTGCTGATCTCTCACAGAACACTTATTTGATTAGTATTGATGTGACCAACAAGCAAAAGGAGATGTACTACCATGAGTATGTCCCTGAACTACTAGACGTAAGGACCCTCACGGACAAGTCGGGGCATTGTTGACCATTACAGAGCCTGCAAGATCTTTCCGAAACACGAGTTCACAAGTTAAATACTATATGGTCGCTTGCCGCGGAGATCGAGACTCAAACGCTTACCCGAAGTACGGAGTATATGAAGCATCTGGCTGGCGAAATTCCGCGCAACAACCCCTTACTTGACTCTATGATGTTTGTGCGACACAATGCCGGTCCATGGCAAGAGCCAGGCGACTTCCAATTTGAGCCCAGTCCTGTCTGGTTGGACGATGCCAATATCGCCGTCGACGAGTCCGCGACTGTATTCTTGCGCAACGTACTTACAAAGTCAAAGTCTTCATTGGGAGAGCATAAGCGGGAGCTCGAGAAAAAGCGCAAGGAGGTAGAGAATGCTAAAGCGGTACGACAAAAAGTAAGAGAAGGAAAGGATAAGAGAGACGAGGTGGAAATTGTTCGCGCCATCTTTGCGATACAGGAAGCGATGCATGAAGTCGAGCGCCAGAAAGTCAGCGCTGAAGTCGAAGTTTCTACAATTACCTCCGTTGTGGGTGATCTTAGCATTGGCGCAAGAAACCACAACTTCAAATCTCAAACATTCAAGATACCTACAAACTGCGACCTCTGCGGAGATCGGATATGGGGTCTATCTGCAAAAGGTTTCGATTGTAAAGACTGTGGTTACACATGCCATAGCAAGTGCGAGATGAAGGTCCCTGCAGACTGCCCTGGAGAACAGACCAAAGAAGCGAAGAAGAAGCTGAAGGATGAACGACAGAAGGCTGCGCACACTGTAACCGCAACGAACGGTACCGCAGCAAGCTCTGGTGCAGAGATGCCGCGTCTAGGAAGAAGCGATACAGTGAACTCGATGAACACACTGAGCTCTGGCTACTCAGCAACCGCACAGCGATCGATAGCTGGAGGAGCCATGTCACCGACCGTCGAAGAAACCCCCCCACCTCCGGAAAAGAAAGCACCAGCGCCAGTACCAGGCCCTAGGAGGAACCGGATAGTCGCACCTCCACCTGCCCAATACATCAAGGCTGACGACGACATCCCAACCCCCACATCAAAGTCTGCTGAGCCAAAGGGCAGAATGCTGTATGCTTACCAAGAAAACGGCGATGGCGAGGTG